CCCTAAACCCTAAACCCTAAACCCTAAACCCTAAACCCTAAACCCTAAACCCTAAACCCTAAACCCTAAACCCTAAACCCTAAACCCTAAACCCTAAACCCTAAACCCTAAACCCTAAACCCTAAACCCTAAACCCTAAACCCTAAACCCTAAACCCTAAACCCTAAACCCTAAACCCTAAACCCTAAACCCTAAACCCTAAACCCTAAACCTAAACCCTAAACCCTAAACCCTAAACCCTAAACCCTAAACCCTAAACCCTAAACCCTAAACCCTAAACCCTAAACCCTAAACCCTAAACCCTAAACCCTGAACCCTGAACCCTGAACCCTGAACCCTGAACCCTGAACCCTGAACCCTGAACCCTAAACCCTAACCCCTGAACCCTAACCCCTAACCCCTAACCCCTAACCCCTAACCCCTAACCCCTAACCCCTAACCCCTAACCCCTAAACCCTAAACCCTAAACCCTGAACCCTGAACCCTGACCCTAACCCCTAACCCTAAACCCTAAACCCTAAAATATATAGGCGCTAGAAATAGCTAGGGCAGGGGACAATTGATACATCTGAGCCATAATTTGATCTGGCAGCTAATAGTTCATATGCACCGAGGCACAAGATCATTTACAAGTCTTCATTCTTTACCCAATTTCTCTCGTGTCCTGTGACAGTGCACAAAGGCAGAAATGGCCTTCCAGGACTAGCGCACACCTGAAAGCCTGACAACACTGAAAGCAATCCCTACTTCTTCCTTTTGTCCTCGCGATCCTTTTCCTTGCCCTTCTTGCTGTCCTTCTTCTCACTCTTCTTCTTTGGAATGGGCGATGAGCTGTCCCTATGCCTGTGCCTTCTGCTCCCCTCGTCTGCACCACTCCAATTTCTCTCAATATCCCACCGATGGCTCGTGGGGGAAAACACTGACTGCCGCATGTGCAAGCTTCTGGCAACAGCCCAATAGAAGAGGGAATTCAGGAACAACAACACCCACCTCTGGCAGGGGAGGCAGTGCGTGAGCGCCTGCGTTTGCGTGCAGGGCTGCGGCTCCTGCTGGCAGAGTGTTTCCTGCTGCGCTCCTTCTCCCTCTCCTCCCTCCTCTCCCTCTCACGCTCGCGCTCCCTGTCAGCGCACAGCGCACAGCACAAAGGTCCTTTTGTGCCGTGCCGGTGAGACGTAAGCACTGCAGCCCCTCAGACTCAGCCCCCCAATCTAGCAATCTCAACGGTGCCTCAGAGACATGCTGGCAATCCTATGACGATGTGGTGGTCACACAATTGCTTGACTTTGTGAGGCATCGTTCTGGAAACGACAGCGTGAGCTGACCTTTCTCGGCTCCTGCTGCGCTCACGCCTGAGGCGATCCCTGCTCCTAGACCTGCTGCTCCTTCGCCGCTTCCTGATGTCTTCCTTTTCGCTCTTTCTATCCCGCTCCTTTTCTTTTTCTGCTTTGTCAGCTCTCCTGTCGCTGTTCGCATCTCTGCCCTTTCTGGCACTCTCCCGCTCTTTCTTGTCCCTACCAGAGTCCTTCTCCTTGTCCTTCTCCTTCACTTTTGCTTTCTGCTCCTTGCCTCTGTTCTTTTCTCTGAAGAGAAATGGAAACAGAGTCATCTCATTACCATTAGATTGTGTACAGATGATGCTGAGGATCCAGTTCGTTTTCAATACATAGACCACAGCACCTTTTGCAGGCATACACCATAGCAGTCCGAAGTTTTGGCCTCAAACTCTTTATGAAAGAGCATCACATCGCAGCAGGATGTGCAAATGCATACCTTTCAGTATCCTTCAGCTTTGCCAAGTCTTTGCCTTGACTTCTCTCCTCCGTCAGCTCAGGAGCAGCACCCGGGCCAGCACTCCCCTCAGCCATGCCCACCTCATCTCCTGCTGACGCTGGTCCTTTTTCAGGCTCCGCATCTGCCACTATCCATGCACAAGCACCCAGTAAGGCGGGCTGTACACCAGTCGACAAGCAGAATAGCACTGTTCCCATAGTCTGCATTAAGCCAGCTTCCACCAGACAAAATCATACCGATGCACATCGTTTTGTGTTTTCCACCTCTTTCAGTGCACGTAAGCAAAGGCAGCACTTCCTGTTCTTGACCGATGTGAAAAGCAACGCAGTGCGAGTACCTGGCTGGTCTGCAGGGGCGTGCGTGACTGCACGCGGCTCCAGGCGGTGGCCCTCGGTCTCGCGCGAGCTGTTAGCGCCGTCCAGGTGGATGCAGTACGACGGCGGTGGGTGCATCACGTCAACCGCCAGCACCACAGCAGCGCAGCGCTTGCCCTCGCGGTCAATGTACCACACGCTGCACTCACATGCCACATTCACTTATCAGGGGCATTAGAAAGCTGGCAGCACACCTCGCTATCTTATCTATGGTGTGAATGCAAGTTGAAGTCCTGTGCCTCATAAGCCTTGTTGCAGCAGCCCTCCGGAATATGGATCAGAATGCCGTTGCATCGGGTAAGAGAGCCCTAAGCCCAGGAATTGGGGTCAGATCCGTGAAGCCTCACCTGTCTCCCTTGCTAAATATCGCTGCAGCGCCATTGGCCACCTGGGCAGTAAATCCTGCAGCTGCTGCAGCCGCTGGAGCATCTGATGCTTGTGGGGGCTCCTCCCCACTGCTGGCACCTGCCGGCGCAGCGTCCCCAGCAGAGGCTGCTTCCTGCTCCTGCTGCATCCCTGGTTGCGCGTGACTCTCGATCTCCTCGGCCTCCTGTGACAATCTCACGACAGGATCCCCTGTTTGTCCCGCAGCAGCTGCTTCAGCTGGAGCCACCTCAGCTTCTTTGCTGCTGGCCTCTTGCGCAGGCACCTGCTCCAGCTCAGCTTCATCGTCTGAGGCATCCTCTGAGCCGTACCCCAGCCCCAATGCATCACCCCCTCCACTGCCTTCATCCTCTTCACTGCCTGTTGCAACAGGATGTCTTTCATCAGAAAAAACCCCTCGCATCACCCTGTTTGGCAACCACAATCCAAGATTCACTAAAATACAGCCTACAGCACACCACCGAGCTGGAAGAAGAATCTCAAGTATGCACCACAGACATACTATTATTATTACATTTTAGATACCTTGTGGGAGCCACCTGAGGACATAGCAAATAAAGACATCAAGGGTGGTTTACCTTCTCGGGTCAGGACAACAGCTCCGCCAGGAGCCGCCTTCTCCTCCTTACCCCCAGTGAAGGTCGGTGCAGACTTGCTTTTCTGGGAAGCTTTGAACACATCCACAGCTACCTCCTCTGCAGAAGCATGGAGAAACAATCAAGACTGGATGTTCTCGTCCAAAGAAAACATGCAAGCCAGCTCAGGCCGAGCTTCTAGGATGCTAAGTTGGCAGAAGGTGACGAGGCAAACGCACCGAACATTGCGTCAGTAACCTCCAGCAGGATGGCGGTCAAATTGCGCTTGACGAGCGCATTGAGGCGTTCCCTCCGCAGCTCCTCTGCCCGGCCCAGCTGGGCTGCTTCCTCTTCCTCCTCCGATGACTCACCCCCAGCTAGGCGGCCGCCGCTGCCTGCTCCCGCCGTGCCACCGCCCCATCTGCAGGACAAGAGACAGTGCTTGCATTCAGCAGTGAACACATTCATTTACAGAACTTGAAACCCACCCATGGCAATGGATAGGATGCTTTTGATACGCAGTTTGCAACAGGCAGGAAGAGCCTTAGGAAGGGACAAGGATGGCCGAATCACAAAACCCACCTTGAGCTTCCCGCTTGAGCTAACCTGCGGGACTTTGCCTGGTCAGGCTCAGTGTCGCTGTCGCTACTTTGTTTGGGGGCTGTGGGAACATCACCGCAGGGGCCACCAGTCAATGACGCAATCAAGAAAACAATCTGTTCAGGCTTTCAGGCTTCCGTTCTTCTTTCACCCCATCCGCACAGACCTGGAAACTTGCACTCCACACTGCCCGTAGGGACATGGGTGGGCAATTTGTCTCACAAGAAAAACTTTGCCAACACACATGAACATCACTGTTGTCCATCAGCACCAGGCTGTGAAGACACTGTACCTCCAGATGCATTGAGGTTAATGCCACGCTTGAGCATCTCTGCGCGCAGCCAACTGGGCACCGTCCTCTTGGGTGCCGGTGCTGCTGATAAGGCACCAGCCATCCCCAGCCCTGCAGCAGATATGGACGACCACCTTTGCACAATGTCTAACAGCCGCCCAGTGCACAGAATTGAAGCTATAAGAAACGCGAGACAAGAGTGAGATTAGGGCAAACATCACCTGGCCCAGCTTGGCCATAGGGCATCTGGATCCCATGGACACCAGAGGGAGCACCTCCACTGTAAGCATGAAACATGATCTGGCCTGACGAGGGCATTGGGTACTGGGCCTGCAGACAACCAGTGAAATTGCTGTGAATTCCCTGGGAGCAAGCACGATTGAGACGATGCAATGTGAAAAGGTAATTGCACTGAAATGCCGAGAGGAAGGGATGCCTGTGGTGGGTAGGGCTGCATGGGGGGCTGCGAAGGGTTGAGGACTTGTTGGGGCATCTGCTGCATTTGCTGCTGTTGGTAGTAGGCCCCTAAGTCCGGCTGAGGGTACTGAGGCTGTTGCAGTGGCTGCTGAGCGTACTGCTGTCCCCACTGCTGCTGCTCATACTGCACACCACAGCCATCTATAAGCACATAGGAGACACAAGAAAATCCCAGTTCCATTTCTAGGGGAAGGTCCAAAGATCCCTCCATTCCATTCCACAATGCAGTATGTTTGAAGGATTTGCGGGGTGTTGAAACAAGTAATGCACCCACTCTATGCCAATTAAATGCTATCATGCAGAGTCAGCAAGCATTGGCTAGATCTGCCACCTGATTGGGCTGCTGGTATTGTGCAGGTGGATACGGCTGCTGCTGTTGCTGTTGTTGGTCATAGTACTGTGTGTAATACTGCCATTGTGCCCAGTATGCGGCTTGCTGCTCTGGATTCATGGCCGCATACTGCTCCTGTGAGAGCTCTGCGCCCTGCTGATCTGGCCACTGCATAGAGCACACCAATCTGTAAGGTGCCTCTTTTGAGATTTCCAAAAGACTACCCTACAATGGCTCCTATAGCAATTGTACAAATCTTCCCAAGCTTGAAAGAGGGCTCGAAAACCAGTGCATCTTACAGCTTCTTCAAGGGAGATATCAAACAAGTAGCTCACTGCTCACAAAATCTGTGTATAATTCAGTTTCTTCTTTCCAGGGACTTATCATTGCTGTGATGTGTAGAGTGCCCACCTGCTGAGCTGGGTCTGCTGGTGGGGCCGGGGGCTGGTCAGGCAGCGGTGGCGGTATCGGGACCGGTGGGCCCTGAGAGTAAGGCGGAGGGGGGTCCTGCAAGGGGATTGGAGGATCTCCAGGGGGCGGCATCGGAGGTGGCGGAGGCGGGCCCCCCTGCAGGCACCCCTCATTGCTACCAGCGCACGGCAGTGTCGCACAGACTATCTGATCCATCACCTCCCGCACCGTTGCTTTAGTCTGACCCTGCCCTCATGTAAAGCAATATTATAGCACAGTCATTGGAAGCATGGGCATACCTGGCCAAAGTCACTGCTGACAATGTATGGACCTGGTGCATTCCATCCGCCTTGCCCATCACCAGCAGGATACATGGGCTGCTGACCAGGACGCTGAACACCTGTCAGGCCACCTCAGGCTGCTCAGGATCTGGCTTCAAGCAAAAAATGTGATAGCAGGGCGCGCAAACGTGACTGAGGGTGAATAGAAACGCTTCAATTGATGTACCTAGCTGGTCACCAGGAGGTGGGGGAGGTGGCCCGCTGAGAAAGTGCTGATCAGACTGCATGTTGTGTAAGAGTGTCTGAGACAGTTTAGAGCAGAATCATAATCATGATACTCTTGCTGTGAGGATCAAAGAGGACCGTCCAAAACAATACGTCCCGTTTACGGCGAGACTATCACACCCTCGCTATATCAGAGGAAATCTCGATGATGCATTACCTGTCTTGCCCTTTAGATGGTGTCGTTCAGCACAATCTCTGGCACCTGTCTAGTCAAGGGATGTGAATATATCTGGCTTTTCGGAAATGTATGCTTCCTCAAGCACTGTCTACGTCAACACCGAAGACTCCATACATTGCTCGAGAAGTGTGCTGTTCACATGATGCGAATGCCCTGCAAGCTTCAAGATTGACTGGAAGAGCGGGGGGACCTGCACATGCTCTTCACGACACCAATTTCAGGGATAACAATATAATTGAGCGCGCGTTGCGTTCTCGATCTGCAGTAGCGACCGCCATCTATTCCGTCCTCGCTTTGAAACTCTATTTCAGCTGGAAGTAAAAATAACATATATTGTGATCAGTTCTCAGAAAAACACAAGCGCTCAAACGGTGCCTGTAAGTCATTCAAAACAACAACTAAATCAGTGTGCATCTCCTGTCTGTTGTACATTCTGTAGGGGGATCTTGGCGACACTAGCCCAGCACTTTGCTTCTTTCAAGTGATCTACAGAATGACTCGTTTCGTTGGAGACGCAAAAGATGTCAGGGATGGCAGGAAAAAGCTGTTTCCAACTAGCAAAGAAATGAAAAAGAACATGGAGATCTTCAAAAGGACAGGGAAGCATCCTGCACTGGAGGCCAGCAGAAACTCTGATTCCCTGCCACCCCTTCCAGAAAGAGACATGAATCGACCTCATGTCTTCATCGAAGTCACTCAAGGCAGCGAGAATCTAGGTAGGTGTGCCTTTGGTACCTTCCTTGAAGAACAGGACATCTTTTAGACCGTACAGGGCAACTCACCCGCTGTACATACATGCAGTGTCACTGTAAATCATGCTGCTTGGTTGTCAGTGATATGAAGCGACCATGTAGCAACTGCTGTTTATCTGCAGGCAGGATAATCGTGGAGGTGTTTGAGGACCAGGCCCCACTGGCTGCACGCCACCTGATAAACAGGTGCCGTGAGGGCACCACGGATACCCTCCAGCACACCTATGTGCACCGCCTGCTGCCCGACATGGCCATGTTCTTTGGCACCTCACGTGGGTGCGCTCAGCTGACTCGCCTCAGTCGCATGATTGGCTGCCTTGACCCTACTGCCATGCCTTCCATATTTTCTTGATAGTCCTGTTCCCTCAGCGGGATTGCAGCCACGTCTGCCACGCAGACTTTGCTGCATATGTGCTCGCCTTCACTGGTGTATTGAATTGTGGTGTGGGAGATGCCAGGTACAAGGGTGCTGGTGTGCGTGTGCGACGGTACAATAGGCTGCACCACAACCATGCAGGGGTGGTGTCGCTCTCGGGCGATGGCTCTGAAGTAGCCATCTCTCTCACAAAGTCAATCTCGCTGGACACCGACTACCAGGCGAGTCAGAGGCTTTGCATGGGAAGCTTTTTGCCCTCTACCTGATTGTGAAAAGAGACAGCAACGGATGGGTCTTTTTGTGCCCTTCAAAGGGCCACCCTGCTGTGTCAATGAAATCGACTTATGGCGACTGGTAGTCATCAACGCAAATACTTGCTCTGCAAAAGCTCTCTCGGCACCATTGGTGAGAGTGAGCTGGGTGCGCAGGTGGTGGGGCGAGTGCACAGGGGACTGGAAACTCTGGAGAAGGTGAATGAGGCTGCCACAGACCCAGATGACATTCCCCTGCAGAGGATAAGCATCACTTCCTGCGGTCTCACCGATGCACAGGTGCGAGGCCAGTCCAGAATTGCTTCAGGCCGCATTACACCATGTACCCAAAGGTACACATACTTTCACGCTCCTTTTGCAATTGCTGACTGATTGAGCTGTGCTCTGTCATCTTGAGGCTCTCCTGAAGTGTTTCTGTGATTTTCAAGGACTTTTTTGTGTGCATAGGGCACGCATGAGTCGCTGGAGGAAGCAGCTAGGAGGGAAGCGGAGAGGAAGGAGACCCCTCAGCAGGCTGCAGCAAGGCTGCATGCAGAGAGCAGACAAGCCAGAGATTCCGTCAGGTGACCTGAAATACCCGGTATATCAAAAGCGGTGTTCAGTACTACAAGATGCATTGCTTAGCTGCATGGCTACCTTCTACTAAACACCTGAATGTGGCAGGGATGCACTGGAGACTGGCATGCAGCAGAGGAGGAAAGCTGGGGAAGGCGCTGGTGACAGGCAGCCGGCCTTAAAGCGCACCATGCTGGCTGATGTGCTTGGTGATTCCAGCGACGACGACGATGAATCAGAACAAGATGAGCCAGGAAGCTAGGCCTTACACATTCACCAACGACTGTGCACAGTAGACTCGATTTATCATGGGCAATGGCAATGCATGTGGTCACCAAACATCTACATTGCTTGCAACAGTGGGAGGTCCAATTATTGAGGGTGACATGATCTTAAGCAGATATGGTGTGACGGCGTCACTGTGACCCCATCCACCTTGATGCATGTAAGAAAATTAAATACTGAGCTTTTGCATTGACAATGTCAATTTGACATTGAGCTGAATTGGCATGTAATGCAGAAGCTGACGGAAGCTGGCTCCCACATGCTCCTCTTGGCAAATTTTGCCATAATTCACTGCATTCCACAGAGGGACCTTGCTGACACGGAACTCTTTTCCGCAAAAACGGGAGTCATTCAAAATTCTCAATTTAGCAGAAAATGGGAAAAGAAGGCAAAAGCAAGAAGGCGCATGAACGCAAGAGAGATGTGGAGGATGACAGCGACGATGATTCGGGATCGAGCGGTGCGTCATGCTAGATCTAGATCTTCCATTCCGTACATCTTCCGTACATGGATTTTGAAAAGACCAAATGTGCAGCGTCCGGGTCACTCCAGCGAGGGGTGTCCCACTTAGCCTGCCTTTTCACATGGTTTCTTACACTGTCATCAAAGAGTGTAATTTGACGACAAAATGGTACTTTCAAAATTCTTAAATCCATTAGTACTCATGTGTTGCAGACGACGAGCCTAGAAACGATAAGTCGAAGCACAAACACAGCAAGAAACACAAGAAGGAGAAAAAGCACAAGAAGAGCGATGAGGACAAGCATTTGCTGAAGGCAGCTAAGAAGTTCTTAAAACAGAGTGCGCATCGCTAGATATGCCACTTTAATTCAATGTGCTTGAAGTGTATATTTGTTGGGAAGACTCTGCTGCCTGGTGAGTTCTGGACTGCTGATACAGAGCTCAAGGGCGGCGAGACTGGAGGTAAATCCGGCACAGAAGAAGACAATGAGCCCCTCAGAAAGAATGAAGCAATCAACGTGCTGACTGAGGATGACTATTTCAGAAAAAATGCCGAGGTGCCGCTCTTTCCAACCTGCGGAATGATACTTCAGCGTGTTTGTGTTTTATTCCTGTTCAGTGCATGCGTCCTGCTTGATGCTCTTCACAGCCGCACAAAAATACACCAAGCTGAGCTTATAGCAGGAGTCTGCCAACTGCTGCACAGGCACGCAATCATGAAACGCAGAAGTGAAAGGAGACCAAGCGCACATGGGGTAAATTTGCAAATTTCTGGATTTCTGCAATTCACAGCACTTATGCGGTGGGACTGCCTGTGCGCAGTTCAGCGAGTGGCTGCAAGTGGAGAGGGGCCAGTTCTTCAATGAGCTGAGCACTGAGGAGACGCATGCGCTCTTTGCCGGATTTGTTGCCGACTGGAACGCGCGCAAGCTGCCAGCACGCTACTACCGTGGCATCACCGACACATCACTGCGCCGCACCAAGCACGCCTGGGGCATCAGAGGTGAGGTGCTGGGCAGATTACATGCCGTTCACTTCTTGTAGCTGTTTTGTGCCATTGCCTCAAGTTGCACATCATGCAAATCAGGACTTTGTATAAGGGGGAAAGTGTGACTCCAGAAAGATGTGGAAGCTCAATTTAACAGTTGCAGAGGATGGAAAGTTGTGACTTGTACTATCTGTCCTCCTCCTTTCACAATTGAGCAGGAGTTGTAAGAGAATATCCCTTCCTTTGCAGGAACTGAGGAGAGCGGGAGGGCGGCTCTGGGGATGGCAGCTGCGCTGGAGGATGACAGGGAGACCTTTGGAGCGCAGAAGCAGGCAGTGGCGGCCGAGCGCAAGGACTGGCGCGCTCAGCAGCAAGAGGCGCTGGACGAGATACTGCCCAAGGCAACTGGCAGGTGAGTCATCTCGAGCCTTGTTAAGCCACTTCTCTTTCTTCATGTTGTTGCAGAATCACACTCTTTTCTGCCGTCAGGCAGTGACAAATAGCCGCCAAGAGGTCCAGTGTAGTATTCTGACTTTTGAGCACTTTTCTTGTTTTGTCGCAGTGTCATTCTTGAAAAGCAATGAAGCTGAGGGGGAGGCCTGTGATTGTGAAAAGGGAAGGGATTGGAGGCTGAACGTTATCGTTTGTTTTTGATTCTGCAGGGAGGCGCAGATAGAAAAGAAGATGGCGCGGCGGGAGGCGGCACGGGAGCGCGATGCATCGCCAGACATCGTGAAGCTGCCAGGTGGCGGCGATGTCATGGGGGGTGATGACTCGCTGGAGGCTGCCAAGGCCAGGCATGCATTTCCTTTTCTGCCCGAACTCCTTGCATGCCCAATTGACAGGACTGCTGTAGACTCCTGCAGCCAGAATCATGCCGCAAGCACTCTGCTCTGCACCCAGCTGAGTGAAGCAATGAAGCACTAAAATATGCTGCCAACAGTCTGGATTTCTTGTTGTGCTTTTGATACCACAAGAGGATTTGGGTTGCAGTTATTGTGCATTTTAGTTGCATGACTGCGCATTTGCTTTGCTGCAGGGAAGCCAAAAGGTCAGATTGGCGGATGAAGCAGCAGATGGCAAAGCGGGAGGAGGTGAATCACAAGCTATCAGCTGCACAGGCAGCTGAGGATGCAAAGATGGCCGCTTTCCGGGCCATTGTTGCTCAGGGACCCATCAGCATCCCAAAGAGGCAATAATAACAGCTGTGCACCGCAATCTACACGTCACCACAAGAGAATGGAATTTGTCTCAACTGCTTTGCTTGGAAGCAAGCCTTGCACATGCCATTGCTATACAAAGTTGCAGGTTACTGCTTATTGTTGGGTGCGATTTCAATTTATGGTCTCAATGTCCAACACCAGCTGCAACTATAACAACGATTATTCTGTCTGTCTCTGAGCGCCATGAGCAAGTGGGCACTCTGCTGTAGTACGTGTTGAATCACAACAAGTACAGAGCAACAAGATGCATGCTGCATGATGGTCCAGTATCCTTTTGGTTCAATTCCTATCTTCTTGGTATACTTCCCAACTTCCGGCAGGCCCAGCACATCTTGCAGCGACAGCCCGCCTGAGCTCCACGGAACACGCCAAGGTGATACTCAAGGTCTGAATTCTCAGAAATGCCGACGTAAGACAGCCCTAGCTTACATGCATCTAGGGCCGCATCCCCCTGGCTGCTGATTGACCCTTCATCCACGTACTTCCTGCTCAAGCTGATGCCCTTCCTGTCAAAAGCCTCCTGCAGCTGCAATGTGCCGATCTGGCCCCTGACTGGCCCTCGAGACCGGTGAAGGATGTTGACAATTGCCAGGTCCAGGCAGGTGGCATCTGCATCCTCAAAGTACAGGCCAAGCGTGTCAACGTAGATTTCTAGGCTGGTGAGGCGGACGTCTCGTGGTATGTTGATCCGGATGTTCATGTCGCTCTTCATCCATAAAACCTTCAGGCTTGAAAAGATGTGTGGGTCTAACAGCATGGGCTGCGTGCCCTTTGAGAAGTCCAGCATCCCCACTCCATGGAGGCGCAGCTCCTGGATGCTCCCTGCAGTGCACTTGTGTTTTTCGAGATCAACCAAGCCAGAGTCTGAGCAAATATCATCACACAATGCCTCAACACGGTCAACAGACGTTTCTTGCACTTTCAAGGCAGATGAAAATTGCAGCATGTGATCCCATCAATGCATCAGACATCCTGCTGAGCCTTCCTTCCTCAGAGGACAGTCCCTCACCTGCCGTCATGGACAGAAACTCTGGTAGGTCCTGCACGTTCACCACTCGTAGCCCTGTCTTGCGCGTGACGGTCCATGTGCAGGTGCATGCTGTCAGCTGCTTCAGGGCGTCCTGCCACTCAGGACCAATCACCTGCAACACCAGATCACTGACACACCCGGAAGTATCTACTACGGGAGATAAACTATTATGGTCCTCCTGTCTCCAGCAACGCATTGGTGTGTGATAACGAATGGCGTAGAGGCCCCGATCTACTGTGCACGTGCAAAAAAGATACTGGCATCAGGACGGAGGAAACAGGAACGCAAAAATGTACCTCATCCATGAAGGAGGCTTCCCCTTTCAGATCCATGCGGCAGGAGGGCGGCAGGGACAGCTTCTCAGGGATGACATCATCCAGGCGCACATGGCGCAGCCTTACCAATTCCCTCAAGCACAGCTCGGGCAGCACCGCCTCAAGGTGCTCACAGGACAGCAGCAGGGTCTCAAGGGAATGCAGCCCCTGTAGTTGGTCATTCACGCCCTTGAAGTCCACTGCACAGCACACAGCAGGTTGTCGGATCAGCCTCCGAGCACATCAAATTAATTGTTAAAGTATTCGTGTCACAGTTGTCAGGACAATTGACTCATGCAAAGAACTTCCAAGTGCCATGAAATATCTTATCCGCAAGGAGACACTGCCACTAAGGAGCAATCTAGTCTAAGAAAACATGGTGTATATGTATGTTTGGGAATGGGGATGCAACGCACTCATGTGCAGCTGCAGGTGCATCAGCTCCTCGAATGCTGGCAGTGGTGGAATGCGGGGGATGAAGAGGTTCAGGTCGGCGAGGCGGCCCATCAGGGGAAGCCAGCACGCGCAATGGAACTCCAGCGGGCCGTCTAAAATGTAGATTGGCCGTGCGCCGTCGGTGCGACAGCGATTCTTGGCCATCATGGCTTTGTAGGCCATGTGACAGGTCACAAAGGAGCCCCTGAACACTCTCAGCGCTCCTGGCGCACCACACTGGGAGGCTATTGCCTGCCAAACGAACCAAAGTCGATCGACAATTTGGCTGGTGGGTGTTGGCAATAATGCATTGGTGTTTGGCAATTTAAAAGAGTGATGGAAAAAATGATACCTGTGACACTCTCTCCAGTACCCCAGTTCCCTGGAGATGACGAAAGTCAGGAGTATCCACTGAAATATGTCTAACGGTCGGATACATAGTAATGTCAATGCTGAGAGCTTCCCTCCAATGGTGCAGCATCCAGCTTGCAGGCCACAAAATTCCAAGTCAACCCCAGCACTTATTTGATGTAATGATTCATCGAACAGAACTTCAAGCTTTGTTTTAGGATTTGTACCCTGTAACAGCCTCCATATTGCCAGGCACAAATCTGGAAATATTCCATTTTGAGGTTGAGATCTCCACATGGGCTGGCTGCAGCTGATGAAGAAGCTTGTTGACGGAGCCACAGCCTTTAACCCACTCCCTGGTTGTAAAGTGATCAGAAATGCGCTGCCATACGTCGTTAGGCAGCTGCATCAAACAACCTGGTTCGGCACCTTCCAACATCTCAGCGTGTCTTACCAGATCTTCGGGCCTTGTCTTCATGGGCAATGAAGAAGTCAATTTGCATTGTGGCAATGCTATTATTGGCAATCCGACACTTTATTGCTATTGAAACTGAGATGGAGATGATATAATTGGATCAGGCCAGCTTCTTGTCCCGCCGAAGCTAACGTCACTTCAGCCCACTAAACTCCTCTAATTGCATTGTTCTTTACAGCTTGCCAGCAGGAAAAAAATTGGGATTCGCCTTTTCTTCATGTAATTAACCAGATCAGATAATCAGGCCCTGTAAAAGTCGAAAAGTCTGTACGTACAGCTGCATATGCAAATTTTGCACGAGGCGATGTCGAGAGCGTGTCCTGTTTTCGCCGACTCTAAGACTTCAAAAGATTTGAAGTTTCTTGGCTTAGCATTGATCGGCTTTAACTTCCATTTGAACGAGATCTATCAATACGATGGGTGCCGAAACTCGCAGTCCTACCGAAGCTGAGGAGGACGCGCCAACAACAAGTGGCATTTCCTCAACTCCAGGACAAACACAACGACTGCGAGAGCTGGCGACAACAGACAGACAGTAAGAATGCAACTTGAATACTCCTGCAGTGCTTGTCAAATGTATGTAAACTTTTAGGGATCAAATGTTGATGAGTGCACACTGATCATGCACGTCAATCGAAACACTCCATTTGAAGTTTAAGTGGACACCAGGCTGACTTTGGAGGAGAGATGGGAGCTCGCATGTAGCGTTGGCATAGAGTGCATACAACCCGAAGAGCTGAAAAATTTGCTCGACAAAAAACCCAATCCTGTAGCATACGATGGCTTTGAGCCCTCAGGACGCATGCACATTGCACAGGTAACCCCCTCATAGTAATAACTGTTCTGTGACTTACACACCTATATGTTCTGTGCATACCCCTGGCAAGAGTTTCCGCCAGTCCTGATCTACACTGGCCGCTTGCAGGGAGTCATGAAAGCCCTCAATGTCAACAAGCTCACTCGATGTGGAGTCATCTTCAAGTTCTGGTGAGTGTACTGGAGTCTAGAGCCTCCCTCCAGTCCTGCCTCACAGGGACGGTACACCTGGAATGTTCTCATGTTGCTTTGGTGGCGTTCGACTCCCTGCACACTCCCTGAAGTGTGATCACATGTGAACGCAGGGTAGCAGACATCTTTGCACAGATGAACAACAAGCTCGGCGGGGACATCGAAAAGATCCGCACCACTGGGCGCTACTTTGTGGAGATCTGGAAGGCCATTGGCATGGAAGGCATTGGCGAGAAGGTGCAGCAGCACCCTATCAGTCTTCCATGCCCTTGCTACCTAACAAGCAACCAAGTTGACTTGGCCATTACGTGTGCACGTGCACCAACAGGACTGACATAACCTGACGTTGAAAATCTGCACAGGGCTGTGACAGAGGCTTTCTTTTTTGCAGGTACTATTTCTCAACGCGGGCGAGGAGATTGCAAAGCATGCGCGCGAGTACAATGACATGCTGGTGGATGTTATGGACAGCTTCACGCAGGTCCGTCCCGCTTTGACATATTTCCACAAGTCCCCGAACACTGCTGAACTGTCCCCCTTCTCTGCAGAAGCCCCAGATCTCCCATTCGTGGAACCAAAGAGCTCCCTGCAGGTGGCGATGTGAGAGGTCCCAGCAAGTTGAGACCTGATTTGGGCTATTCGACCTTAGGTGGATTTGTCGGTGTGCTCCCTTGGCATGGATTATCTCAATCATAATCCCCCCGCGACTTCGGAGTCGATGATGACTGCGGAACGTAAAGCTAATTCCGGGCGCAGCAGGATGTGAGTCTAGGAGATACTTTGAGACTGCGAGAATATTCAGTCAGAGACGATTGGCCACGCGGCTACTGCAGGCGCCATTTTGTCTATTTTTGCCCTGAGGGCTGCCATATTATTGCAGGACCGCATTCTGCGCTGCACGCAGATCATGGGCCGGAGCGAGACGGATGACCTGAGCCCTGCGCAGATCATCTACCCCTGCATGCAGTGCACTGACATCTTCTTCCTCAAGGTGTGCAGAGGATAAATAATTGATTTGAGTGTTGTCCAAACAACATTGTGAGATTGTAGATTTGTCCTAAAGGACAGCCTGCAGTGTTGTACATATACCAGGGGACCCTAGATCAGTTGACCAAAGGCCTCCGCATGTACCAGCCAATCACAGCCAATGACAGCTCATGCACATCAAGTGTGGACGTACATGCACTGTGGAGTATAACATATGTTATCATTGTTAGACTGTTAAATCCATCTGCACTCCTGACCAGAATACTGTACCATCCCTGATTGCCCCAGAGGGTTTGAATTTGAACTGGGTGTGCCTGATCAGGCGGACATCTGCCAGCTGGGCCTGGACCAACGCAAGGTTAATGTGCTGGCGCGCGAGTACTGCACCAAGATCAAGCGCAAGCTCAAGCCTGTCATCCTCTCCCATGAGATGCTCCCAGGGCTGCTCGAGGTCCTTACCCTTATCTATATGACTTTATTAGCAATCTTGTCTTTTTGTGATGCATTGTAACATGGTGTCCATTGGATGCTAAAATGCCAGCTTGACAGGCTAATCAATACGATGCCTGAAAGGCAGCGATTTAAAAGAATAGCAGCAAAACTTTCTGTCTCTCAATTTCCATGTCCCGGCCCTTTGGTGCTTGGTCCCCTAGTGTGTAACAGTGTGCTGACTCAAGGGAGGCACATTTATGCCTTTGATGAACTTCTGATTTTTTACTACTGCAGTGCACTAGTGTAACTGCACATGGAGATTGATGGGTGATGAACCCTAAAATCTCACCCAAAACCCTATAAATTGTAATTAAATAGATAAAATAATAAAATACGATGGGGGACAAGCGGAGGTAAAGTGTCTGCTTGCAACACTGCAGGGTCAGGAGAAGATGTCAAAGAGCGACCCCAACTCTGCGATATTCATGGAGGACAGCGCGGCTGATGTGGAGCGCAAGATAGGGAACGCCTTCTGCCCAGAGCGCCAGGTGGAGGGCAACCCATGCATCAAGTACATTACCCTCATCGTCCTGCCCTGGACCGGCAGCTTCAGCGTAGCTCCAAAAAGCGGCGGCAGCAGGTGCAGTCCTGGGCTTCTATCACAGACAAGCGTGATTCTCAAAAATGCATTTGCTCAATTCCTAAGTCAAGGAACTTAAAATGACATGCTTGTTCCAGCAGTCAGGGCTAGGTGCTTTGCCATAAACTCTCAATAGTTCCCCTCCAGCCATCCCTGTCTTGGCAGTTTCTCCACCTGTGGCATGTCAATCCAATGGAATCAAGGTCTCAGAAAATAATTCAGCGTGGCCCAGAGTACTCCACCTTTTTGCCACCTGCTTAGTAATCCTGAGCAGATGATTGGAAATTAACCTGGTTGGACCAGAAGTCCATCCCAGGACCCAGAAGGCAGAGGCCAAGTCCCCCTGGGTTAAGAAAATACAGCAAGTGTATCTTGAATGGTGCTGTGACGTTCCAGGGAGTACCTGGATGCTGCTGAGTTGGAAGGGGATTACTTGAGCGGCGCACTGCACCCCAGTGACATGAAGCCGGCTCTGGCGGCTGCGCTGAATGGAATTTTGCAGCCTGTGCGCGACCACTTTGAGAATGATGCGGAGGCCAAGCAGCTACTGCGAGATGTCCGCTCGTTTAAGATCACGCGATGATGCAGAATTAGTGAAAGTGGACACGCATGTGTCTTCTGTAAAATTTGCTGTTTTCTGATAATCCTGAAAGTGTTACGGTGTTAGGCGTCACGGTATGTGTAACACGGTTTTGCACCGAGGTGTCTGAATTGCATAGACCCCAGCACTGGTACCGGGCTTCTTGGTGGCACAGGTGGCACCAGGTTAACACAAATTTTAATCCGATCAAGAGTCAGTGCACATTCTCATGCTAGCGTGCCTGCGTTGCAAGAGCGCCCTCGCAAGGTCAAGTCAGTACGGTTCACTAGTGGTTTCCATGCAGGCCTAGCTTGTAATGTACACAAGTGCTCCGTTGTCGCTGTTTTGGGAGGCTCAAGCTCAGGATCTTTGCCTAGGGTGTAACGCCATTACAGGATCTAAGGGTCATTCCGGGGTGGATAAGTGCCAAGGTTTGGGAGCCTATACAGGAGTGCGCTTTTCGAGCCTCTCGCTAAAGATCTGTATCCCGAAGGCAAATCAATGTATCCGTTGAGGAGACGGGGCTGTTTCTAGCTCCTTTCTTGTCGGCGCAGGTTTGCGTCCCATCGGAAGCAGAAAACGAAGTAAAATCCTCTTTTCTGCAGAACACGCGCGTTTTCGAAACACCATCCGGACTGGTTCTGCTTAGGTTTGTTGTTTCACACCCCTTGAAATCAGGGCACACGGTTGAAAGGTCTTGCAGCCTTTGAGTTTGTGTTACTATTCTGAAAGAATCCGCTTCTTTCAGACATCGTCCAAACAAGGTAATTTTAAAGAATCGCCGTCGGAAATTATTTGGCAGCAGAGTGCATATAGAAGGTCCAGTATTTAGCATGGACATTTCCTGATACGCAGATCATAATTGCCGAATCAAAGGCAAGTTCTTTATCGGGAAAGAAGCTTCCAACGGGGCTAAGGTCATGATGAGGCCAAGCTTGCAACTGAGGCCCAGGGAGGCCTTTGCAGCGTTCAGGACGCCACATCTTCAGGGAAAATACTCCAGGAAAAATCTGCATGTGTGCGCTGGCGTGCTGACAGCCACAGGGCCGCGCTTTCAAGCTGAAGATGTGACTGTGAAGGGCACCCTTGGAGAAGGATCCTACGGCCAAGTCTTTGAGGTACCTTGCGACCGTTGATTGCATCATCATTGAATTTGAGAATAGAAAATTTGATTGCATCGCTCCTTTTCAGAATTATCGTTCCTCAAATTTGTTTATCTGCCCCAGGGAGTGCTGAAAAGGAATGGGGCCTCCGAGCATGTGGTGCTCAAGAGGGTGAAGACGAGAGTGGAGGTGTGTGCTGCTACTCAATAAACCCTGCAGACTTCGATATCGCTGCTTGAACAAACCCCATGGTTCCCAGCCCATCTTGCATGAACATTTCAGCCCTCCTGCACTTATATGGGGAAGAATCCCTGCAACGTGACAGCTATCTGTCGTGTCTGGTCATGATCCAATTGCAGAAGCTATTTGATCTACACCTGGGACATTTTCACAAGCTTCTCAATTCGTTTTGGTGGCAGGGCGCTGAGGAGATGGGCCAAATGGAGCTGCTCCTGAATGTGTACGCGGCCTCCAAGGCAAGGGGGAGCATCGCCGACTTCATGGGCCACTGCGCTGTGCAGCCAGAAGAGGCCAACCACCGCCTCACCCCAGGCCTCTGGCTGGTGTGCATCAGCCGCCCTCCCCCTAGCGCTCTTATAGTCGCAACCACCACCCAGGCAGCATCGCAACAGCTGGCTGAAGCCAGCGATGATGAGAGCAGGCTGAAGTTTGTAAAGCATTCAGGGGGATGTGTGGGGTGTCCGATTGCTTTTTGTGTTTCTGCTTGAATGGTAATGAAGCCTGGCAGAGGCAAGCAACTCGTTCAGATACGCACACATCCATCTGAACGCCTCTGCAATTTTCAGCCTGGCAGCAGTGAGGATCGAATATGTGCATTTTCAAAATCTTTGGTGAGATTTGTCGAAACGTGCATGAATGGGTGCAGGTGTGGAGGTATGAGGGCTCCAAGACGCTGGCGTACTACCTGAAGCGGCGCGACTGCATCCGCGCACTCGCAAAGGACCTGGCTGTGCCCGAGGAGGCCGTTCCGGCAACTGTCATGAAGCACATCTTCGAGTGCCTCACGGTGGGCCACTTATCTACACCCTATTTGGCATGCATGCTGTGAGGCTTTCTGCCGTGCCCTGAACACTAGTGCTCACTCCACAAAGGGAAGATTGATAGAATTGCCAATGGGAAGGCACCAACACACAAAATTTGGACTTTTAACTGTGCAAAATCGCTCGCCTGTAGCCTGTATTTCTTGACATAGATTTGTATTCTGTGTCTTTGACTTCCAAGGAGGTTGCCGAGGCTCATGCATCGCAACATGATGCAGGGATGGAACATGGAAAGATGCGCTTTCGCATCAGAGCAAGGCCGTCAGGGGGGGATTCTTGCTCGTGCTGCGAAATTTCTTTTTCTGTTTTTCCACGCCGCTATGGGCTTGCGCCTGCAGCCCATGCACAGCAGCAGGCTGCCTTAGCAGCGTGCTGTCTAAGCAGCTCTTCGCTTCTGCATTGCAACAGGTCACTCATCACAGCTGCTGAAAACGTCATTTCCTGTAACAGGCGCTGCACAATGCTGGCGTGGTGCACCGCGATGTGAAGCCCCTGAACCTGGTTCTGGCCGAGAAGGAGCGCCGCTTCAAGCTGATTGATCTGGGCGCGGCAGCCGATCTGCGCAACGGCACGAATTACACCCCCGATGAGTCCATTCTGGACCCCAGCTACTGCCCCCCAGAGCAATATTGCCTGCCCACCAGCGCCCCCCACCTCGGCCGCCAGCTGGCGCCCCTCAAACTCGCCATATCCCCCCTGCTCTGGTCCCGCCACAAACCAGACTGCTTTGACTCCTTCTCCACAGGTGTGACTCCCAGCATCCTGCAGCTCCTTTTACTGTCCTACCATCTCCTTTCATCCAGACTTCCTGTATACTTCTGCCTGATCACTACACTGGCATGCGCCCTTAGAAAAGCTGCATTTGCTTTTGAGAGCTCTGACGTTTGAATTGTCAAACGAATTCAAGAGGGGAAATGTGTCAAAGACAGACCGGTTGTTGCTGGCCTTGTCCTTAGCAGTTCATGCTTCTTATGGATGGTGAGTTTGCAGCACTGATGCGAAGCTGTGCGCGCAGGGCTGGTGCTGATGCAGCTGGCGGTGCCCAAGCTGCGGTCGGCGGGGTCGCTTCGCGCGTTTAACAAGCAACTGCAGGCGCAGCGCTGCGACCTCGCCGAGTGGCGCGCGCGGGAGCGGCTGCCGGCTTCGCAGTCGGCTGCGCTCGACGCCGACAACGGCGCCGGATGGGACCTCGTGCAGGCGCTGCTGCGGCCGCGCAAGCTCGAGGTGGGCATGCGGCTTACGCGTACAGACTGGGTCCATGTTTTGTTTTGAACACTCAACTTCCAGGTAACACTCTAAGGAAGGCTGATGCAAGGGCTACCGCAGCTCTACGCCCCGTGGTGCACTTCTACCTTGGCAGTGGTGGGCACCGTATGGCAATTTCTAACGAATCTTTTTTTCTTCTTTACACCTCTGGGTTGTCTTGAATGGATGCTACGGACTTGCAACAAAAATTTTGTTGCATCCATGCTCGCACACAGCTTGTCAGAGTAGTCCTTTCAGGCAGGCTTTGGTGGACCATGACACTGACGTGTGTCGGCCATGCAGGTCAGAGAGGACGGCGGCGTGGACTTCATCAATGAGGGCAGAGGCGCGCGGCTGCGCATCTTCGCAGCCCTGAAGCACCGCTTCCTCAAGCAGGTGCTGCACCACATCAACACTGTCTTTGAGCCGTCATGACCCTCTATACCTGCCTCTTTATCTTGACTCGCCATCTCCGGGGCCCGGAGAAACCATGTTTGGCTTGCATGCTGTTGCGCTTCCATGCGGTTCCACACCTGAAACCATCGGATTACTACTTAACCCCATAAATTAGTCATTTGCGCGGCGAGTGCAGGCAGCGCTGCCGGTGGTGCAGCCGGACATTAAGTGGGCGGGGGGCACGGCCGGGGGGACCGGGGAGGTGCTGGAGCGCGCGCGGCAGGGCGGGTCCGTTACGGACGCGGCTATGTCCATCTGGCGCCGTGCCACCGGCAAACTGTTTGACCTGGAGTCGCGCATCGTCATGCAGGTGTGTTATTTCTGCCGGCAAACGTGTTCCCAGTGCTGCCCTCACCTTACCTGGGCAAAAGGCGCTGCTGCATGCTGGGCCCTGACAATGTGAGTTCTGTGTGGCCGTGACTCTTGTGTTTTAGTTTGTGCGCAGCTATTGTCGCAAATTTGCAAGCAATGGGCATGTGCATGAAAATGGGTATTACCGTGGAAATACAAGGAAAGACATGATCCTGAGGCAAGGATCCAAATATCACTGAGTTCTGAGCTGACTTTGCTGGTCAGGCGGAGGCGCTCGACCAGCAGACCACAAAGATCAAGAAGCTGCAGGACGACCTGGACAGCAAGGATGGTCGCACACGCGCGCAGCTGGAGGCTCAAATCGCCAAGGAGAGCTCCGCACTTACGAGCATGCAGGTGCAGGCCCCTTCACACACCCAGTGCAGTTCCCCTTCCATCGAACTAAATGGCGCTCATTTTCTCAACCATAATGCTTCAATTTGCACAAATTGGGTTCTGACACACATGGTTTCAATCCCTGCGCCTATGCCAATGCATTCTGCCATCAGACATGTTTCTTTTCCATGCTTGCCAGTAGTTCAGTGCAGCTGTTGATTCAGGGTTGCACATAAAGTATGCAGGATGATTGTGCTATTTAGCAGAGCTGAATTCAAACCAATTTCTGTTGCAGGGCCAGCTGAACTCTCTCACAAAGGAGTTCACTTCCACAGCAGCTTCCGCGCAGCGCACGCTGAGGGGCCTCTTTGGGGGCAAGGCTGCCAGCAGCGCGCCTGTCCCAGAGGGCGTTCCTACGGGGAAGCTGCGCCCCGGCTATGGCGCAGGAACTACCGGGGGTACTGCAGAGGAGAAGGTTGCGCGCGGCATCATGAAGAGGGTGACCCTGGCAGAATTTGGCGTCGTCGGGACCGGACCAAAGAAGGCCGAGCCTGTCATCAAAGAGCCTGGTGCGCACCTACCTCTCTGTTGCTGGACTGTTTAAGAGATATTATTTCTTGCACGTTGCACAGAGCCTCTGCTCTCTTTTAATTTCTGCACATCTCAAATCATTTTTCGGCGAGAGGAGAACCTGGAGGAAGCTCATGCTGCACGCAGCAAGATAGTAAAATGTGCTGCATTATTGCATCATGCTCGAGGCTGCCTGATGCTCTGAAACATTTTCATAACAAAGGCATTTCTTGCGAAGAGCCAGAGGCACCAAAGGAGGCGGAAGACAGCGCGAGCTCGCGCGCCGGCAAGGCAATCGCGGGCGCGGCAGTCACCGGCCTTTACACTGGGCTAAAGTTCACAGGGCTGGCAGTGCGCGTGGCCAGCGGCCTGGCCGCGTCCATCGGCAAGGACGCTGAGAAGGCGCTGTCGCGTGCCGATGCCACCCCTCGCGCAGCCACGCCCGCCACGGTGAGTCATACTGACGGGGCCCAACAGTAACCGGGCTGATGGCCCGGATTCAATGTTGGCCTGATGCTGACTTGGGCACAGGACTCCGAAGATATATTGTTCCTGCACAAGAAAGTTACAGGAAGCATGTGGTACGGCACATACAATGGTACATACCTCCCATATTTAACGCTGCGCGCATAGCATGCACCAAGACACAAATGTTGCCAAGAAGATGTTCTAAATGCGGGGATGTTGTCTGGTCGCTTGTAGGGTATTTGCTTGTTTCACATCTGCAAATCCATCAAGATATAACATAAGTGTGGCGAAGTGTTTTACGCAGGCGTCTGCCCGGCCCGCACCGGCGCGGCCGACGCGGCGCGCGAGCGCGGCATTCATGGAGATGTTGCGGGGGGCACGGGACCCCCCAGTCACAGCCACAGCCGCATGGGCCGACGTCTCGGCACAGTTTGAGGCCGACCCGCGGTGCGTGGCCATTGCGGAGCCGCAGCGTGAGCAGATGTTTGTGACGTTCAAGGAGGCGCTCGCACAGCTGGAAGAGGCCAAGGCTGCCAAGGAGCGCGTGGCCGCAGCCGAGAATTACAAGGTGCGTGTCGCACGGCTCTGAGCCCAAGTATATGCAATGCTTTGCTGAGGACCTGCAAGATGGACGTGTAGCTGTGACAAAGGTGCTTGCTCACAAACTTGAATGCTAACACATGCTGACATGTGCTTGGATGCTGCTGACCAGGCAAGCTTTACTTCTGCCGTACACGAAGTTATTTCGAAATGCTTGTGCATGGCTGGAACCTGTGGCTCTTGCTGATCGTCTGTTGTGATTCTGACTGATGCGTACCCGTCTTATCGTGGTCAGCCATGCAACGGCATGCCTTCACTCCAGCTGTTGGGGGTTCAGTGACTGTTCCCAGATATGCACAAACTGAATCACCCTTGTGTATATTTAAGCTCAAAAAATGTCTTCTGCATGCAGGCGCTGCTGCGCGAGCTGGGCATGACAGCGACGAGCGAGCTGCGAGCGATGCGGCAGCAGCTCAAAGAGCTCGACCTGGCCGCCCCAGCTGCTCTAAGCCCCGAGGAGCAGCAGCGTGTGTTCCTGGAGGTGCGGGGTGAGCTGCGCGCGGAGGCTGGCTTCAAATCCCTGTTGGAGGCCACCCCCGGCATCACCGCCGGCACCAGCTGGCCCCTCGTCAAGCGCAAGGTGCACTGCCCTGCCCAGATTTTACAATGTGCAGGGTGCATCCTCTTTGGGCGGAGGGCGCACTTTGCTGCTTGCCAATAGGTGCGCGATCACATGATGCAGCTTCAGCCTTCTTCCTTGACATCTAACTATCCAGATAATAAAGCAACACGAGGACAAGATCAAACCCGGCGAGTTATGATGCTTCGCACCTTTGGAGCTTGCAAATGCTCATGCTGATAGACATCATGTACCGAGTATTGCGATGGAGATTGTGCTTGTCATCACTTTCAGTTGCTGAGGTATCACATTATTTGATCTGAGCACGCTGTGTGCAGATGTGGACGGACCCGCGGTTTGAGGCGGTGCCGGAGCCGCGGCGCGTGGCGCTGTTCCGCGAGTTCAAGGCGCTGCTGAGCGAGGTGGAGGCCTACCAGCGCTCACAAGCCTCCAAGAAGGCCGAGGCCGACCGCGCAGCCGCAGAGACCGAGGCCAAGCGTGCCGCCGCCGAAGCCAAGGTGAGCAGCCGTTGTTGCAAGACGTAATTGAATCTGCTTCTGTGTGCAATCCCTTATAAAAACACAAGGTTTCCAACCTGCATACTTGTTTACCTTGAATCACATTCAGTGTTTGAAGAAGAATACCACGTGGGCAGCTGAACTGCGTCAGGCAGGTGTCACAAAATATCTCTCTACAAGGAATTGACACACACAAGGCAGATCTGTGAGACCTTGCAACAGCGGCTACCTTGAGTGCATCAGGCGGGTGTCTGGGCAATGGAACACTTGAGCATTAAGCATGGCAGGGTATGGGTATACGGTATCTAGGGTGCTGATGGGTGTGTGAATGGGTGTGGCAGGCCAAGAAGGACAATCTTGGAGGCCTGCAGGATGAGCAGGCGCGGCTGAAAGCAGAGTACGACCGCATGGAGGTGCCCTCCTATTCCTTCAAATTTCAAAACAAGTGCCTCATGATGCAGAATCTGCAGGCTCATCAGGCAGCTGTGGCGTCGTGGATAAATGCTACAATTCCTTAGCATGTCAAGAAAGTCTTTGGAATTGCACAGATTGTTTGGAAAGTGACGTAGTAGCGACTGAACAGAGTGTGCACGCTACAACAGGCGAAGCTGCGCGACATGGAGGCGCGGCTGAAGCTGAAGGAGGCCTCGCTCTTTGAGGCCGGGGGCGTCGCTGCGACAGCCGCGCGCGACCGCGAGGGCAATGTGGTCTTCCGATTTGACGAGCAGTACGCCCCTTCTCCCTGATGGCGCTGCAGGGCATGCTTTGCCTAGATCAGAGGGACACTTCTTTCAGCGGGAGCTGCCTGCAACGTTCTTGACCAGCTTGTTGAAGCCGGTCTTGTGCTCTGGCTTCTTGATTTGCCGCTTGAACACCGCTGTCAGCGCTACCTCCCCTTACCTAATGACATCTCAACATTCTGTGCACAAGCCAATAGGTGTTTCAATTCACTTGAGCACTGTACAGATAGCTGCGCGGATATCCCTTGCAGATTGACAAATTTTAACGCACAACAATGCCTTGCTGACTGACTGCGCTGACATGCAGGAAGGAGGAGCCTTCCCTCAATGGCAGTGGGCTGCCCAAGCACTGAAGCTGAACCTGGCAGGGGGCCGCACACCCTGGATCCTGCTGCTGACATCAACAGCAACTTGCATTTGTATTTTTCAAGTCCAAGAATGCTTTGGCGAGGCACATGGACATGCAGATGACAGGGGCAAGTACAGTATGAAGATTCGAATCAAAAAGGCAAGGGCCATGGTGATGACCTCCAAGCCACATGTGGAAGACTGAGTTGAACATTGAGCCCTCTGGGAAGAATAAACACATGATGAAGAATATGAGTGGGAAATGGTACTCGGCAACAGCTGCACATGTCTATGGTGTCTCGAGCAATCATGGACGTATGCAAGTGGGATGGTCTGACATGGTGAGTCAGAGGTTTCTGTGAACGTGGAGGACGAAATTGTACACTGGGTGTTGGGGGCTGATTGAAAAGCCACTTTTTTGGTGCCAGGAAAAGTTCTTGGTACCTGTGTGGCTTGGATCGCACCGTCAGAGAGATAGAGCAGCAACACATAATTTTTTTTTTAGGATCAAATGTATTTGTATTGTGGCGCGTGTGTGTAGGATGTATTGAGAGGGACCGCTTCGTACTCACCAGAAGCAAACAGGCTGCGTGAACTAGCTGCATATGCATGCATGATGCAGTGACAACATAGAAACCGTGAGCATCTAGAGGTATTGTTTGGGGTTTTCAGTGGCAAACAATGGTGTCATCCATTCTTTATATTCCTCCCATGGTGGCAGAAGGAACTCGGGAAGTGTGCTTGCAAATGATCATCACCTGCATTGACGGCATTATCGGCCAACCTGCACACCCTGTGACTTTTCTCTTGGTTCGGCAGATGCTGGTTCTGTACAGGGAGGCATGTTGTGCATTATTGGATTGATGTCAAATGATGGTTTCAAATGAGGAGAGGTACATTGGGTAGTCTCAGACTGGGTCCATTTGCTGCCAAGCAGCCTGCAACACAATTGTAAGGGAAGATTTTGCAATTTTCAGAAAAAAATGTCCTCAAGCGCTGAATCAGAGCATATCTGGTTGGCGTACATTTTACATTCAAGTACCTGATGGAATTATTCAGTGCCCTTGCATGAAATCTGCAATTGCTTGATATGACCGCTGGCTCATGTCAGGGTTGGCATTTGGAGCATATATCATCATGACATGCCCCGTCTCAAACTCCTGCAACTGCGCATCCACCCTGCATGTACGATGCATTATGTGACTATTCATTCAGTGGCATCAGACACACCTTATATCTACCGTGAGCTTACAGAAGAGCCACGGCTAAAAGTGTGATTTAACGTCACAAAACAGACAGATGGGCTCTTGTGAAGTCTGTTATGCCCTGCCAATTGTCAAACTTGCTTACATAGGCCTAGGAGTGTAGTGTGTGAATTATAGTCATGCAATTTAATGGGATACCAGCATGCGCACCCTGCTTCTTGCAGCCGCTCCGCATACAGCACGCCATCATCCCGGAGAATGTCCCTGTCAGAGACTATCACGAGGGCAGGAGGCAGGCCCGATAGGTCCGCTGCCTCCAGGGGAAATATGGCAGGGTCCCTGCTGTATTTATCGACATCCCCCAGGTACGCGCAAAGGGATGCAAGGCCTGACTCGGCAGTAACAACTGGACCATCCTTGAAGTCCAGGTGAGAGCCTGTCAGCGGCTCAAATATATGACGGAGCACCTGCACATACAAACCTCTGCTGAAGGTATATTTGAAGTTCAATTGCTCAGAAACAATGCTTCCTGTTCCCAGAGAGCCTGCAAGTTTACTATATCAGTCACGTTGCATGGCAAATTTCTGCCTGACTCGCATCCCGAGAGTCAGCTTTCAGCATGATTCAGCATTTACACACTCAGAAGATAGCTAGCAATGTCACCAGCACTACCCTTCTTCACTACCCGAGGTTGATATGCTGTGATTGGGGCACGTCATTATCAAGAAGATTGAACTCATGCACCGGGCAGATCAGGATCTGGTAGTCTAGGCAAGGGAAGGAGGTTTCTCGAGCGCGCAGCGCCAGGCACGCCGCGAGATTGGCGCCCGCGCTGTCCCCTGCCACTCCAAAACTGAATCTGCCCGGCCGTACCCCAAGTTCAGGTGCATGCTCATACACCTGAGATGCAACAATGGAGTGTTTACTAAGTATGTTGCTGCTGCGCGCGCGCCACAGTGCGTATCACAGTTTAGGGCAGTCCCTTTTTTGTCCGGAGGGTACAGTCCAGAAAGACATCTTATTTGCAGCGAAAACCAATCGGGAGATGTGCCTGTTTGCTGGGTTGGCACATGCAGATGCATGTACATTGGCAGGCTTGGCAACGGCATGGCATTGCAGGGCTGTGAAGCACACCCACTGTGCAGCGGTGCAGCAGTCGTCCAGTCCTGCCGGGTAGGGATCCTCTGGCGCCAGCCGATACTCCACAGATGCCACCAGGGCCTGACAGCAAAGCATGCTACAATCGGCGCTCTGATAAGCCTGCCTAGTATCTTCTACCTTTCTACCAGCAACAAAACAGACATGGTCATTGTGCCAAAGATCCACTTTGGCACAGGCCCTCTCTTTACTTTCAAATAGGGATCGTGTAATCTCTAAATTAGCACCCTTGGAAAGATTGTATATTTTGTGATGCCGCTGATCACCTGTGAGGTGCTGGTCAGGCGGCGGCAGACTGCGTCATGGGATTTGATGCTGCCCATCGTGAAGCCCCCGCCATGGAAGTAGACCAGCACTTGTGATGGGGCCTCCTCGGACGGCTGATACACCCGGACTGGGATGTCGCATGCAGCACCTAACACCTTCACATCAGTCACCTGCGCAGCCAAAAACAGGCTGTTGATGGTTTGGAAAAATTTCTGGATGCGATAGCACAAATTGGCATGTGCATTACCTCCCGACGCATGTATGGGGCCCTTAACAATTCAGACATGCGGGACGATGTGATGCATTCGACGCAACGCTGCTGGCTGGCCATTTTAGTTGAGTGACGAAGTGAACAGTCTGCATCAACCTCTCGGACAGTGGGAAAATGTATTTTTCATTTGGAACGGCGCAAACCCGGTATATCTTATCTAAAGTGTCGAATAACATGGGTAGATCCGTGTCCATGAGCGCTCGCTGCTCTGATAGTGACATTTCTGTCTTTAATGCCAGGTCTGCATCAGCCATGGCCTGCACACGAAAGAGGGCAATGAAATGTTCTTGGAATCTGACAATGCCCCCTTTCTTACGACCAAATGTTCCACATCGATCTTGCACAAGATTTTAGTGGATCAATTCTGCGTTTCTCGAAGTCTAACTCGTTGACTCAGTGCTATTAGGTCACGCTTCACACTCAAAACGGACAATAAAAACTCATTTGGCAAGCTACACGGCATCTTAAAATTGTGATAGTACATTTTGAATTCATTTCCAGGGCTTACTGCGTTGCTCTTGGATGTTGTCGGTGGTCTCGGGAGGAGGCTGAGTATCCTGATCACTGGACTCCTGACTCCAAAAACCAAGAAAAGGATCCCGGATTCGTGCTGAAGCCAGCACCAGTTGTCTTGAGCATGCCTGTTCTTGACGCAGGCTCCGAGATCTTCCAAATCGGAACCTGGACGAGGAGAAGCTCACGCGATGCGCCAAGACAGGCAACCGAAGTCCCCCACCGGAAGCTGCTCCTGCAGCTAGATCGCAAATGGTTCGCATGGTTGCAGTCTGCAAATTGCTGCAATTGCATGTAATAGTTCAACTAGGCATGGTGTATCTGCAACAGACTGACTTCAGGATATAAGTCATACGCTCGTAACCAGCGTCATCGTTTGGACCAGGCACGACCGCGGTATCCTTCCACAATCTGCTCAGGGCCCTGACCCCTGACCTGAAGCCTCGCTGTATTGTTCTGCCCCTGAAAACGAGCACAATTCGGTGCGAAAAATCCCCACACAATTGTTCTCACTGGTGTCCTTTACACAGCGCCTTTAAATCATCTGCAGCTGGTGTCACCACTGTTGGGACGGAATTAAAAACAGGACTTGTGTTTTACTGAACCGCAGGGAGATTTGATGGAGAGACAAGTTTTAGTGGAGCAGCTTCCTATTGAGGTTTGGAAGCAGATTGCGCTGCACATGGAAACGAAGGAATGGGTAAGGTCAGCTGGGGGAACCTGCGTCGCCCTGAGTGCCCCTGCAGCCCACCGTCATCAGCGTGCATGGCGCCTTCAAGTCGGCTTTCATCTTGCATCTGCCCATTATCAGCCCACCGGACATTGCTAAACCCAGCTAAAAAGGTCCTCGCAAGAGAAGTGCTCCCAAAAGGGATAAGCGGGTCAGAGTCAAGCCATCCCTCAAATACACTCACTGTGCGGCTCCAGGCGCTGTATGTATTACAGCGTATTCCCATGTTTACTTGGGATAGACTGCCTTTTTCAAAGCTTAAAGCTTGAGCACACTGCAGATGTGTCCCACTCCCTTTCGAGACACTCTAGCGTATGTTTTGCTCTGTCTGTAGCTCCGTCATCCTTCTGCTCTGTTGCGAAATGTATAATGCCACTCGCACGTTATCATTGAGTTCATCTCACTTCAGGTCTGCTGCGGCGATTGCCCATCCTGTTTGTCAAGTCCAGGTTGTATGACCAGATCCTTGGAAGACGCAAGAAACTGAAGATGGATGAAACCATGCTAACTTCCACACACATCCGCGAGCAGCCCGACTGTGGCAGCTGCCTGGGGTCTGCATCACTTGAGCTTGAGCGCCTTCACTTCCTGGTGCAGCCGCTTGGCCTCAGCGTCACTGGCAAAGTGGTCGCGCACAGGCTGCAGGATTGCATTCAGCGCAGCCGCCAGTGCCGGCTTCATGTCGCTGGGGTGCAGTGCCCCACTCAGGTAGTCAGCCTCCACCTCAGCAGCATCCAGGTACTCCCTGAAACGAGGAAGCCACAATCAGCCATGCTTGGTTTTAGCGAGGCCGGTGCTCAGAACTGATTCTGCCATCTGATTACCGGGGCCGAGGCAACCAGCGATTGAGGCTAAAAAAGTGCTTTTTAAGGAACTCAGGACACTAGCTGCACCCCTTGACAATAGCAGCGCATGCTGCAAGTCCCAATTCACGCTGCAATAGACTAAAGCCATGGGGAGTCAGGCAGGCAGGAATCCTCCTGGTCAGTCATGTTATTCAGGCTGAATAGCATGCAAATAAATGTACGTGGACTGAGGGTGAAAATCTCATGCTGGTTGAAGACAGGTTGCGCAGTGATGTTGAGAGCGCACTTTCGGCGGCCGTCCTCCTTGGAAAAGGTGACGGTGAATTTGCCGGCCCAGGGCAGGACGAGGGAGGTGATGTAGGCGAGGCAAGGGTTCTCGTGGACCCCGAAGCCCTGGTCGTGCAAGGGGCAGAAAGCCTTTTTTATCTTGCGTTCCACGTCCTGCTTGCTGTCATCCATGTAGATGCCAGAATTGGCATCCCCTTTCACAATCTGCTTCTGACCCTGCGCGACACATGCGCGTCCCAATGAAGCGCCGTACAAGACAAGACATGTCCTGTCAGCGGCTTGTTGATGCCCCCTTAGCAATTTCTGGGATTAGACAGCTTACCAGCAAATTGGCAAGCCTCAATGGTGCATTGCACAGTAAAGAAAAAAGGTGTTGTCAGGGAAGGCATCTAAATGGTATGCACTTCGGGGGGAAGAAAGAGAGGGGAGCAGACCTGTAGCAAGCCCGGGAGCCGCGGGTAGGTCAAGAAAATGGGAACCTTCTGTCCCTCCCTCTTTGCGCAGAAGTCCCGCGCCAGCACTTGCACTCGTTCTGTGCGCTCGCCCTTTGGCAGCAGACAGATGTCCGCCTGGTCAGGCAGCAACATCTGTCAAGGCAGTGGGATTTGATGGGTTTCAATTGTCCTCCCCATGAGACACAGTACAGGGAGGCCAAGCGCTTGCATCTTCACGAGTGGAGGCCACCGTCTAAGGCACCAGCTTCAAGGGAGCAGCTATCTAGACGAGCATGTAATTAAGTTCAGGATCCAGTAAATTAGCAAATGAGGTCGGCTGAGATGCTTAGATTGGGGTTTGGACCTGCAGGTAGAAGCCATGGGCGCACTGCTTGCACAGATGAGCGACCTCTGAGGACAGGTCATCGCCTCTGGTGCCCACGCTCTTCAGTGTGGAGCTGCGCGCAACGTCCAGCCACAGAGCATTGTACTCCAGTGGTGTTCTGTCAATCTCCTCACAGGCGCTCACAAAATGCACCTGACAACATAGGATTGATCTGTCAGGTCCATGTGATACCGTGGATGGCAGAAGGAGCAGCAGAAATTATTGAGCACCTGCTCGCCAATGCCCTGCATGCCAAGAGCCTTCCAGATCTCTTGAAACAAGTGTGCCGCTGACTGCATCTTCTTGGCACCCTTGGATCGAGCGCAGTCATCAGCGACCCTGCTCAGCACCGAATACAACAGATATAAGCTATTATTATGCATTCGGCCATAAATTCTGCCACTCAGATGTATCGCTAAAGGGTGGTGCGCACCAGAATTTGGTCGTCACTCCACATCTCGTGAGTTTGTTGATGTAGAGAGCCTTCAAAACACCCTGATGCAAGTAGAGTAATGTCACAACTAGACCCCCGGCACCTCGGCATCTGTGTCATCAACAACATAATTGATCACAAAAAATTGTTAATTCCTTCGAGAAAGGAGGCACAGGCGTGCCTGTTCGATGTCCATGCGTCCTGAGGGCTCAAAGCCATCGTATGCTAAAGGACTGGGACTGCTGTCAAGTGTATGTTGCAGCTCATCGTGCTGTAGGCATTCCGATCCGATGCTAGATGCCAGCTCCCACCTCTCATCCAGGGTCAACCTGACCGAAGAAAAAGTGCAGTCAGGTCACAGCAAATCACAGAAGCGGCAGTGGTCAATCCATTGAAGCACTTCAAATGAAATGTTGGAAAAATTTCAGCGAAATCTTACTGTGCTTGTGAGGCCAGGCCTCGCAATCTTTGTGTCTGTCCTGATGGATTGGAAGGATCACTCATCGTGGATATTGGAAGTAGTGGCTCAGCTAAGGCCTGACTATTTCTTCGAAAAAGAATTCTCAATGCTGCGAGATAAGTGCTGCTCCATTAACTCGATTGTCTTGATGATAGTTCGCAGTCGGCGGGTAGCTGAGCTCCAGATGTATACACGCTCCCGACACCGCCTCGTTGAAATTTGTTTTCAAATTTGCATGGCAATTCTTGAGCCAGAAAAGCGCGGCAGAGCAATACTAGTACTCCCGCTATGGATCCATCCGGATGATGGCGCAGATGACTCCAAGTCTACATGACAGGCAGTGCGCTGCATGTGAGAGCTCTTGATGTCATGACTGTGGAAAGTGCTTGCAGCACACATCCTACGAGCTTCCCGGCTTCTGCGCCCATAGGTGTGCCCAGCTCTTGATACACTTGTGTACATTCTCAGCGCTTCATGCATACAGAGTACCGAGATCTGGTATCTTGTGGGCCCTAAACTCCCAAAAGTCTGCAAGGGGAGCCTGAAGGGGAGACGCAGAGGGCAACTCTGGAGTGGGCGCCGGCCCAATGCAGTCAGCAAACGTCTGCAAGCATTGCCAGTATTACTATTTGTACAGGTCCGCAAATCCAAAACCAAAGGGCATAGGGCATGCATGCAAGACACCTGCAGCCACGTCTGCCGGGCCTATAAAAATCTGCAGCCTAGTATTTTTGCACATTTCATCGGATCTCAAGCACCAAACCCTGAAGCACTCCCTGCACAGTATATGTACCCCTAAATATCCGATACCTCTGGCCTACCTTGAGGGTATCTTGCAGGGAAACCCGAAGTTGGGCAGACACATCACTGCTTTACATGTCCGAAAGGTTTGCCAGCATTTTTACAGATGTATCTGCAGACATCACTAGTGGGCAGCATGCACTAGGGCGCCCTACAAGCCGGCCGGTGAAAGTGGGCATACAGCCACTATTGCCGTGCATGACGGTCATGCAAGACATTGTGTTGAAGCTTGGCATTTCAAGATTGCAACTTTCTCAATGCACGCAAAATTGTTTGAGCACTCTTCTTTTCCCTAAAAAGCTGTTGAACACATACTTGCACCACTACATGCGTCCCGCAGCAGGACTCCTGCCACATAGTCTCACATTGCAACTCCTTGCTGTCTCGCCTCTGCTGTACCCTAATGGTATTTGTTGATGATTCACAAAAGACACAATAATTGTACACCTGCACCTGCTCGCCAGAGCCTCCCATCTCCTTCGATTGGTCCTTAAACTTGGGCAGACCGTCCTCAATGAATTTTCCCAAGTTCTGAGTCCTGGCGTCTTCGCAGAACACATGAAAGGCCGGCTTAAAGTCAAGCTCTTCCAGGTTAGTGGCCACCATGCCCCTGAAAGGCACTCCATCTGGCTGGTGGAATAGCTTAAACCCGCACTCCTGCATCCAAGGTAAAACATCTAGCTTGATGTATCGCGTTGGCAGGCATGTCAGCTCCCAATGTTAATCTTCGTGATCTGCAGGGACAGGTGCGAATTGCCGCTGGTGTCCCGGGCATAACTTCCAGCACAAATCTATGGGTCACAATGCAGGCCATGACATGGGTGGATATTTTCATATTGCTCTCGCTTGCTAGGCTATCTGTGGGTCCAGAAAGTGCGTCTGCAAGGGGTGCACAGCCTTAATACTTTTACCAGGCATGCTGGGTTCCAGTCACTGCATTCAAGCTGCATCGCTCTTCCAGAGCCCAGATATGTTCCTACGAACCTAAAGATTTTTAGAATGCACTGGATTGTCTCGTGCTGCTTCGTTGAAGATTATTAGGCAACCCATCAAGCCCCATCAGGCACCCACCTTGCAGAAATTGCGCCCCAGTGTTGGCTTTCGCACGCTGAAGCGTTTGATGTAATCTGATCCCTTCGATATGCTGACGGCGTCCGCCGGATACAAGGCAACAGGCACGGGCGTTGTTTGATGAAACTTGGCGCTTGAGTGGCAATGGCACCATACTTGGACTAGTGGATTGCCTCTCACATCCAACTCGACTCGTTTACACGCACACTGTACACTGTATCGAGGCTCTGGGTTAGTCATATCCGCCGCAGAATATCTGAGGGGAGCTCCTTTCCGGATGTTATGATGTTGTTGGTGACGTCACAGTGCTCCAACTGAGGCAGTCCTGGATATTTCTCTGTGTGCTCCTTGGTTGGGAACTGTCTCTGTCCACTTCCTTTACATATCAATTCTCACAGCGCCAATGGAGCTAGCAGCATGCTGCACATTGCACAGATGTAGCATGCCAGCATCAAAGCCAATGCAAACTTATGTGCTTGCATGCCCATGGGCATTCTCAGATTTGCTCTGTTACAACAAGACCCTGTATCACGAATTGTTAATATAGCTGTATATTTTCCGCATGATCATGAACACTGTTGCCCGCTCTGCTGGCCTGCAGGGGGAACGCCGCACCCTCCATTCACACATCAGGTATTCTAGCTACGCAGCGGGCTCGGCAGCCTGAGCCGGCTCAGCCGCCTGTTTTGCGGCCGCAGCTTCAACAGCAGCCGCCCTCTCCTGCACCAGCGCTAGTGTTTGCCGCGGCAGCGGGCCGCAGCGATCAGAGCTCACAAATTCGGCAGCCTGAGTTGCCACCTTTGCCGGTAGCTTGTCTAGCGCCAGGCCTAGGTTCCTCAGGGGCAGCTGCAGGGCAACACACCGTGCTCCTTTGTCAGCTTAATATCTTAGAGCACCTAAGGAGAGTAAGAGAGTTCTCTTCTTGGGAGTGATAACTGCCGGCTTGCTGGGAGAAACCTGACGCATGCATCCATGCCTCTGCAGAGCCTGCCACATGTGCACCGCAGCAAATGGCATGCTGTAGAAGAGGATATTTCAGGCAGTCCTCCCGCCTATACAGAAAGGTGACACGGAAAGCAGCGTCCAAGGCACAGATATTCAACTTCATTGGACGTCAACCTTCACGTGACCGTAATGCTATTGGCCTTGCAAAAAACACACATATAAGCCCCACTGTTTAATCCTTCTGAATCTCACTTGATTGAACTCAAAGCCATGGTTGTGTCACCGGAGCATACCTGCAGCAGCACGGGGAGGGAGTCAGGAAGCAGCTCGCGCACGCACACAATCCACCCTTGCCACTGCTGGCTGTCAGCCCACACCGCCTGCCCCACCAGCATCGAAAGAATCTCCAGCACAAATCCCCGTAGCTCGCGCGACGCCGCGTTCGCCTGGATCGTGAAGCGCATGAAGAGGAACGGCAGCGGCTTCCTGCGCAGAGTTTTTCAAAAATCCCAAAATCTTAGTGGTCCCCCACTGTACAGTGGACCTCGACCTGAAATAGGTGCACGGTGCCAGGACAGTTCTGCAACAGGGCAGTGGCTTGCTGCGCGGGGATAGTCGAATCATCCGAAATTCAGTTGTGTATTCGAAACGTGAATACCTGAAAACTTGCACACTTTTGACTAGACATCAAATGGACCGTACACCTGGACACAAACGTAAAATCAGGGCCAGACCTGAAGTAGACCTCCACCTACAAAGGGAGCATGTGCGCAAAACAGTGCCAGGAAAGGGGCATGTAAGTGGCAGTGGGGTATCAAGTTGCTGTAATAACGTCTGTGGCTGCCAGAGCAGAGGACTCTGAAGCCTCACAAGCAGCCAGAGCACAGACAACAGCCCTGACCCATAACAGACTCCAGGCTGCCATGCACTGATGGCTGAAGCATACTTCGAGTGTGTTACTTGAAGAATTTGGAGAGGCTGTGAGAGCATATGATGATCACCCGAACACAGGCTGAGGGAGAGGACCGATCCTTGCCACAAGCACTCAAAATCAGGTGTCCATTGGCTACTACTTCAGTGTGAATGAATATGGCACGAGAGTGTCAAGAATCCAAGATTCATTTGTTATTCGCAGTAAACTATGAATGAAAGGACAGCCCAGCTTTATTAGTGAAGGAGGGGAGATTTCGGCATTGCAAAAGTGATAGCAAAAACACACCTGACCACAAGCTGCTGCAGGGTTGAGGCGAGGGACTTGGGAGGGAACGCTGGCGCGCCGTCAGGAAGCTTCATGGTCAGGCAGGCCGTCAGTCCGCCCGCGTGCTGCTTCAGGGGCAGCGAGTCCTTTTTCAAACTCAGTATGGCCACCAGGATCTCCTGCGGCGCCAGCAGCGGCTCCCCTGCACGCACAGGGCCTGGGCTGTTTATGAACTTATTTAATCACAGGATGTCTCCATGTTTCAAGGGACTCCATCAGTCTCAGCCATCCAAAGGTGCACTGCGCTTGACAAGGCAAGATGAGCACGGCAGCACTGGTGCCATTATTCAAAATCAATGTTTGTTTCTCCCTTTCATATAAGGAACACTGGCTGCGGTTGCCCCTTGGTGCATCTGTTACAGTGCAGCCAAAGGATCACAGGGGACCATCATCAGCACCGGCAGCAAAATCGCATTACAATTTTCCAACTCCGATTTAAATCTCACCGAACTCAGGCTGCGGCAACAGGACATGCCGCAGCAGAGATTTGTCCATGAGCTTTCAAAACTTGCATTCAAAGCACACCGGTCGCGGGCTGTGGCAGCATTAGGCGCTGCAGCAGATGGTGCTCGGAAAATTTCAAAGCTAAATTTCAAATTTCAAATCTCATATCGATTTTGAAACTCACCGGTCTCAGGCTGCGGCAGGAGCAGCCGCTGTAGGCCGGCAGTGAAGCCGGCGGCGTCCTTGAGGGACAGCAGTTTCGGCAGGTGCATCAGCGCCTCTTGCCGCGTCAGCCCGCCCAAAGCCGGCACCAGAAATCGCACATCCTTGCTGCGCTTCAAAGCCTCCATGCACGCTCCCACCAGGCTCGCCGGGGGTGGCTTGCTCTCTGCAAAATTCAGACAGTAAGCTCATTAAGCCCTATGCCGGGGGGTTGGGAAATCTAACAATGGGGCTGTTATTAATTTGCCCTTGTCAGAATTTGCCAGAGTGGCTTGCTCTCTGCAGAAAACCAAGAAAACAAGCTCTGTGAGAAAATATGCTGGGTGGTGGCATGTGGTCAGATGGTACTGGCCGGCTGTTGGCACCCTCCTTGCGGAGAGAAGAGATATGGAGCGACTGAAAACGTGCCCATGTAAGAATTTGCCAGGGCGGCTTGCTCTCTGCCGCACAGTGGAAGTTTGTTCTCAGCTGCCAGGAAAATGGGGCATGCAAAAAATTCAGTGGTTGGTTTTTGAGCTCAGGAATATTGTCATGCAAAACTTTGGAGGTCAGCCTGTAGAAGATGGATGCATGACAAGTATAGCGAGTGATGTAATCAGCTTGCATCCATGATTACTGCTTTGCATGCAATTGCTTCTCTAGGGCACTGGGTTTCTCTGCAAAAGGCATATAAATTTTCTTACGTTCGTTGCCAACATGTGGGGGGCGGACTGTGGCCATGTGTCGGGGCCGGGGACAAAGTTCATGGGACTACGCGTCTTTAGAATATCATTTAATTGAAGGTGGGCAGTGCCTGTGAGTGTGTGCAGCATGCTGAGCAGGAGAGGCAGGCTGCCTGGCGGCGGGCGCTGTCGCAAGAGTCCAACAAGCACCGGTGAAGCCGCGCCGATCACACGCGCGAGCCCCGGCGCCCTCTCTCGGATCGCCGCGCGCGCTGCCTCTGCCGCCTGCCACCCAAAGCATATGAGTATGTCACATTGCTGCACACTTTCCATGTACAGCACAATTCCCAGTCCTGAGGATTAGGGACATCAAGCAATAGCTGTGTTGTTGCTGCACTTATTCTGCATGTGCCCTGCGTTAAACTCAAATCTGATGTTTTAGGAAAATAGCGCTGGAAAGCATGCTCTCAGAAGGCATTTGCATTAGTTATGGGTCACACCAAAAATCGCATATGATCTCTCGTCATACTGTCGGCTATGGGTTCGTCAAATGAGATGCTAGCCCACGCATTTCAGCCGCTGTGCATGGAAGCTGTGATGGGCATATTGAGCTCACCCTTTCGGCAATTGTGAGGCAACCTTTCAAATTCAAATACTCAAATTTAGACAGGCCCACCTTCCCATAGACCTGCATTAGCTGGTGCAGCAGCTCCGGCTTCTTGGTGCACAGCGCGCAGAACAGATCGCAGCGACTCTGCGCATCCTCCACGCTGCCTATGTAATCCTGCGCTGCCGCCTCCACCAACGCAGCAATCCCCTGCGCTGCCCCCGCCGCGTTTGCCGCATTTCCCCTGTGCACGCTCTTTTCTCTCCCTGACACCGAGACAGCTTCCTTGCCGCTGGTAGTTGCGAGGCTGCCAGACTCCCTGCGAGCGGTTGTGTCATCCGCCGCATGACTAACCCCCTCATCTTCCTTTGATACACCCCCTTTATTTTGCGGCCCCTGGCTCCCCTCGCTCCTCTCCCCCCTGCCTGCATCCTTCACGCCATCACCGCCGCTCGCGCTTTCATGCTCACCGCCGTTCTCTGTGATTGCTCCTGTTGGAGCTTCTCCGCTTTTCTGTTGTTTACTGCCTTCGGCCCCTTTGCTCGCAGCCTCGCTTTTTTGCTTTCTGCTGTCTTCCTGCGGCGCGCTGCCAGAGCTGCCGATTGCTGGATCAGACCCTGCCGATGTTGCCTGATCTGGCGCGGCTGATCCGTTCTCCGACGGCGTTCCCTCAGCTGCTGCCGGTGCCTGATCTGGCGCGGCTGAGCTGGTCTCCGGCGGCGTCACCTTCTCTGCTGACGGTGCCTGATCGGGCACCGGAGCTGCACTCAAGACAAGCGCAGCTGAGCCATTCTCTAGGGCAAGCGGCTGTGAAGCTGCCGGCAGCTCCTGCTGCGGAGGGGTCTCGAGTTCGCGCAGCTTTGCCAGTGCAAATTGCTCGATTGCGTCCTGCAGGAAGGTCTCCTGGTACAGCCGGTTTGCTGTCAGCCTCACCGCCTTGCTCCTGCAGCGCAAGACACCACCACCTTTTAATTCTTTCCCCTAATACACTTTTTACATTCTACACTGCAATGATGTGGCGTCACGTGTATTTGACTGCCCTTGACAAATTGCGTCAGGCTGGGAAAATCTGGCATCAGTAGGCGTTGCTGCGCTGTTGTCATGACCAGTCAAGAGATCTGCAATTTTACTCCTTTGAAGTTATGACCCATATCAGCCAATGTCTCAAATTCTAAGTTCTGGATTTGCACACCTCATATCTTCATCCTGCGCTGTGGCGGTGCTCAAAACCATGTCCAGGACAGGGGCTCTGTCATTTGGACGGCCCATGATGATGTCACGCGCCGCCTGCATGCCATCATACATCCATTGATGGTATCGGTAACTTGCATGACATGTGTCTATGTGCGGTCACCAAGGCTGCCTTCCTGTAAACACTCCGTTGCAGTTTCAAAATTGCATTTTTGCCGCCGAAAATTTCTGGGGCTTTCCCGCTTGGCAGGTCATGCTGGCATCTCAGACCCCTGAGCAACGAATACACAGCAGGAAAGTGCAATGACCCCGGTTTCAGAAGAAGCCAGGGATTATAAGAGGACACTATCATTGTTATTATTCTTACACGGTTTCAGTCCTGGGTACCAGGTACGTCTAGCAACACCTGTACAATTGCTTTCCACTCTTCTCAATTCCTTTCTCCACCAGTCATGGGCATCACCACCCGCATCTAGATCTTCTCAGACGTAGAAGACCCCTAGACCATTAAAAATAAACAATAAAGAGCGCACCTGCAGTGAGAGGTTTGCCCACTCGTCGCCGCCACCGGCCACGTCGGCCAGAAAATGCGCGATGGCCGGCTGCGGCAGCGCCGGAGCTTCCATCAGCAGTTTCGCTATTGTGCGGTCCTTGGGGTCCGTCTGCTGTTCCCTGCTCAGAGCGCAGCACAACCAGATTCTTTCCTTTCTTGCCCATAGCCAAAGATAACCACCACCGATGGAATTGCACCATGGTGCCAATTGCTTGCTGGGAAGTTTCTTCGCGCACATGCAAACAGTCAAATCGGTATTCCTTAAAGTAATCAAAATGCTCTGCCTTACCAAGTCCTTCTTTCCTCAGAAGCGTGGAAAAAATTGCTAGAGAAGGTCCTTCTCTAACAATTTTTCCACGCTTCTGAGGAAAGAAGGCGGGAAAACATTGGAGAGGGGCCAGGGCGGACATGCACAGGCATGCTTGCCAGCACAGCAGCCAAAGTGCCGGACTCAGCATCCTCGGCAAACCAAACCTGACTCCCACATCACCAGAATCCAAACACCCTTTGCATGATACTTTCCATTTAAATCCCCTCTGAGACGTGATTCACAGGATATTCCCCACCTGAGACCTTCCAGCATAGCGAGTAGCACAATCTCATAGGGGCTGTCCACAAGCGCCGCCGCCCAATTCCCGTCCCCCTCGGAACCTCCATCTTCCTCCCTTACCGCAAGCTCTCTGCCGGAGCTTTCTGCAGCATCCTGTGTTTCGGGCTGTTCAGGCTCAGTTGCCTGTTCTGGCGGCGCAGCATCTGCCATAACTTCGTCCTGTGAGCCAGCGATCAAGGCGCCAGAATTGGCGTTGTCATCCGCTGATGTCATCGCCATGTCATCGTCCAGAGCTGATGCAAGCGCTGCCTTCCTCTGTAGCAGGCATGCCAAAACTGAGTCAACTCTCAATAAATCACATTGAAGGCAACAGATGCTCACTTTGTTAATGAGAGCAACCAGCAACGTACCAAAATGTATGGCTAGCTAGAATTTTGTGAGAGAAACAAAGTACAGCAATTGAGGAGGAGAGGCGCCTCGAGCTTCAATTCGCTAATGCCTTGTGTAAGAAGCTGCCTAGTACGACAATGCAAGATTGAATGGCTCGATCAGAATGTGCTGTAACATATTCGTCAGAAGGAAGGCGAGTCACCTCGGGCTGGGTGATGTGAGCGCTGGCGGCGGCCTTGGCGGCTGATGTCACGCCGATGCCAGCATTCGCAACAAACAGGCGGTACAGCCACTTGAGCGCCAGGTCATAGCTCTTGGGCTGATGGAAGCTGCCCAGCAGGTGCTGCAGTACCATGTCAGCCGCCAAGTCACCCACCGGCGCCCTGTGATCCACGAACCCTCAGAAATTGATTTGAGCAGGAGTACAGCCTACGTTGCCACAAACGATTGACAGACATCGCAGCTGTTTTGTGGAACTTGCAGACATAGGTCCCCAGTACCTTTACAGGTCAAACAGACCATTGTCCCTTGCTGAGGGACTGTCATCTGGACATTTGTAAGCCCAAACGCTTCGCGGATGGAAGCAAACATCTGATACAATAATGCCTCCATTCCAATGTTGTCTCTTCAGAGATCAGATAGCTACACTTCTTTGATGGCAGGCAAAGGTGTTCAAAAGAACCAATTATGAGAATCTTGAGATCACCTGGTGGCCAGCGAGGCCAGCACAGACGCGCGCAGGTGCTGCACAGGGGCGGCCTCCGCTCCTAAGACTCGCCCGACGGCGTCCAGTCTCAGCGTTCCCTGCTGCTGCTGAGTCAGCGCCAGCGGTTCCAATTTCAGCACCGGCAGCTGCGCTCGCCGCAGCGCCAGCTGCCGGGGAGCTGCCAGGGGTTGTGGAGCCGCCTGCAGTAGATACAAAGTAGAATAAGATGTTCCACCCAGATTTCAAGTAGATTGAGACCCTCTGTGGGGGTTTGAAAAAGGGTGAGAAATTCCATGGGGACTGATTTCAGATCACAGCATGGAAGATCAGACATTCCACCACGTGACTGTAAATTTACGAACCTTGACAAGCAATTCACCGTCACAGTTTCTGAAACAGACGCAGAAGTACGTCACCAGAGAAGTAAGCTTCACACATCATGAGTTTGCCAGGTCAATATTTGAGAAAGTCACCTTTGGCTGTGGCTGTACTTCGGGCGGTTCCTGCTTTGGCGCGGCGGCCGGTTGCTGCTGCACGGGCTCACCTGGCTCTGTCAGCCCCTGCAACCACGTAGCATTTCTGAAATTTAAGCGTTAATGCACTTATATTGCAGCCTCTCGAACAAATCCACGCCCATGTCATTCTGACGTTACACGGCTGACCATCAACTTGTATCCGCGGGCAATTTGCAACAGAGCAAGACTGCATGCAGCTGCCACGGAAGCAAGCAAAGAATTCAGTAGCGGTGAGCCACTGGCGGCCACGTGCCAAATTACGCAGCGTCGCATATCTCACGTCTCTTAAAATATTATTAGGGATTAGGGTTTTTTCACACCGCCCAATTATTCAAGGGAATCAACAAAGAGCCAGATGAGGCACTTGAATAGAACCGCCGAGCCCGCCGAGGCCGGGCGGAGAGAAAATGCCGTCGCGAAAGTCTCCGCCATAAACCCTTAGTACAAGCCCAGAAACCCTAAATGCCTATTAAACAGGGCAAATACCCCTAAATACATATGGAGGGAAACAATAAACGGGCCAGATGAGGCACCTGCAGCAGGCCGGCGAGGCCACCGAGGCCGGCCGCTGGAGCGGGAACGCCGTCGCAGACGTCTTCCCGCCGCGGCAGGTGGTCTAAATTGGCGATGACAGCGTCCGCCAGCACAGCGTCCGACAGCTCAGCAACGAATGCCTTGAGGGTCGTGAGATCGTTCTCTGCCGCTAAGACCGCCATCACTGCCAGAACTTCTCGCAAGTCCCTCTCCGGCGTGTGTCCAGGGCACTCGTGCAGAAGCCGCAGTAGCATCGACGGCTGCGTGGGAAAACTACGACCTCACTTACTACTACTTTTATTATTATTACACGCATTTCCAAAGTATAGGATCTGGTGCGTCGCAGCAACTCATCCTATGGATTGTAACATGGTCATTCCATGACTTCATTGGTCTGTCCCGTTGACCTGGTCCCTGTAAATTACACCGTCAATGTGAGGGGATATAAAAGGGCCCGCTTACGGGCCCATTTGTATACGGGCCAACTTTGCACATTGTAACGCAATGTGCACATGCACACCAGCTCGATAGGGCCAGGGACTGTGTTGTCTCGAAAGCTGTATTCTGGGTAGGATTTGTGAGTTTAGAATCGAACAAACGTGCGGGGTAAATGAAACATGCAGATAACTGGGGTTATAGCTACACTGACATATAGAGCATCCCACAGTACAGAATGGGCTTCGCCGGCATGAAGAACACATACAAGGAAACGCCGAAAGGAACAAATCTGGAAAACATGGCAAAGGAGGGATTAGCAATAATGAACGGGCTTGGCCCGACAGCACAAAACATTTAAAAGACACTACGATCTATGCCTATGCGCAAGATGACCGTACTGCTAGTGATCACGCCTGAATCTAGTACATAAAATGCAAGGAGTGCGGATAATAGATAGCAAGAATACACGTGTTTACTTGACATGCTTAATATTCCGGATAAGGCAGGAGAACGGCAATTTAAATAAAGGGCTTTTCAGCAATTTGATGGCCTGCAAACAGTTTGCATGGCCTGCTTGCTGCAAGCCTTACTTAGCTACCTCCTAGCTGCACGGCTTACTACCTACGAGCGGCTCGTGAGCGTTTCACCTCATACTGCGGTATTTGGGGCGTCGGCTGTGGCAATGGCTGAACCACTGCAGGTTGGGGCTGTGCAGGTTCTGCTGAGGGCAGCCTCTGGCGCTTGGCTGACCCATTGCTGTCTTCGTCCTGCCTTGCGCGTTCCCTCTTAGCCTGCAAAGCACAGATCAGCAATTTACTCACCCCTCTAGACACTCTGCCTCCCTCGTCCCAAGCAGCATCACACCGGAAATGGTGCGCGATCAAATCCACTGCACGTGTGGTACATCACTTTCAGCAAGCACGCACAGACTTCCTCGGTCAAGACATGCTCAAGTGAGTAGCTGCAAGGGGCTGAAGCATATGATTGGCATCGGAGCCATGCACATGCTGATAGAGGGTATCAAGTATGGTTGGCCTGTGGCATCAGTGCTTGTCACGTGCTTTTGTGCACCGCACAACATGCGATCCTGTATAGGCAGCTGATGCGCGGACGGCAACCATGTTTGAGCTGGCTGATAAGATGCAAAGCCATTACTGTAAGGGCACTTGGAGAGCATGCTGGGGGCCAATCATACTTGCGGGAGGGCAGGATTATTATTCGGCTATGTAAGAGCCATTACAAGGAGTAGGCTTGTCCAGTGTGCATCCAAGTGCTGTGCTACACATATTGGATCTGTGCTGACAGCGCTCGGGCGCACACAAGGGAGTGTGGCTTGAGATATCGAAGAGATGCAAGCACTGCTGGTCATCTGGACCTGTCATCACCTGTCTTTCACTCCTGCGCACTTCAGCATCTGCCTGCTCGCCCGCGCCCAGAGCGTGCAACGCCGCCACTATCTGCTCCCCAGACACACAGAATTGCTCAACACCGACTTTGGTTCCGCTAACCAGTGCTGCGTCCCCAAGAGCCAGTAGTCACCGCTGCTATTCTAAGTTGCATCTGCTTGTCTACTCCAGCAGATTGCGAGCCAAAAGAACAATGGGCGAGTATCAGCCCTTGGCCGGGTATACATCCAACAAGCTGAAGATATAAAGAAGGGCCATGACCTGAGCCTGTTTAGGCAGGGTTTGATCTCAAAAATAACCAATACTCTGCTGCCAGGACTGAGCAACAACGCTGAAGCAGAGGTCCGCACCTTCCGCTGCCACGGCAGAGCCTGGGGTGCTTTGCAGCGCAGAACGGACATCAGCGAATCTTTCACCGCCCTGTCCACGCTGGCAGCAACCCCATTCCGGTCATCCCCCTGAACAAATACAATGGCTTTTGAACAAACACCCCCACTTGCATAATTGATGCAGAAATGCGGAAGGATACTCGCAGACTTCAGAGTCAGCTGATCTGCTCTCCACAAGTAGTCTCCTTATCAGCGCTTTCATGTGCTTACATATATGGAGCCATGGACATCCCCAAGAATGCCCATCAGCACGATTGTGCAGATGTGAAACCAAATATAGTACATGCACATGCGATTGCTCTTCCTCCCTTGCAATGCATGCGCTCAATTGTTATGGTGAAGGCAGAGTGTGAGCGGTGTACAGTGGAGCTGCTCTTGACCGTGCTCCCCAATACTTGAGATCTTCAAGACATTGTTGTTGGTATTGGATTTCATGTACACGCATTGGCACACCACTACGGATGCCATTGTCACCATCATGCGCATGCAGTTGCTATGAAATTCAGCAAGCTGCAATCTCAGCAGAGATCAAAGCACGCACGGAAGAGCTGCTGTTGGCAGAGGCGGCGGACAGGAGGGTGGGCAGCACTCGGCCCAGGTATTGAGGTCGGTGCGCTGCCAGAGAGCCGACGGCTTTGACTGCCACGATGGCAACGCTGCCAGGGAGGTTCGCCAGTGCAGACTGCTTCACCATGCCCAGCAGCTGCAGCAGGAGCGTCTCTGCGTCGCGCGCCACCTGTGCACAGCAACAAATGAGCCCCACGCTGAATAATCATTATTACATTCGGCAGGATGCATGCATGACACCAAGATAGCTGCTTACTTACGGCACGTTTTCCTTCCCCTCTTATTATGAAGACAGCAAAAGGAAAGACTCGCCTTATGCTGTACCTTGCTAACTTATCAGGGTGTTTAAAATTACTCATTACAAATTGTCTACTTGTCATGATACAAGCTGACTGGGGCAGACAAAGAGGATACAAAAGCATATGCATGCATGAGACACACTGAACAGAAGCTGACCTGTGCAGGGTTGAGGAGGGCGTGGTTGGCGAGTGCGAGTGCGCCCTTCGGGGCTGACTCAGCGGTGACGAGCATGATGACAAACTCCATGAACTTGAGCGCCGCGAATCGCACGCCGTCGGAGACGGGCTCCCCCGCCAGCTGACTCACCCTCTGCCGGATCCCCCCGCAGGCCTCCCAGACTGCCGCCACATCGGGGGGGACCATGGGACCCCTACCCAGAGCCAAAGCTGCAGAGTGCCCTGGCCTACAATTCCAGTTTTGTCGGCATCGTAAGCACTGCAGTCACTCAACAACAGTAGGCTGGAATGGATTCTAATGGCATGGTGATTTTCAATGCATCACTCCCAGTGCTTGTCCATTGAAGAAGCCCGCTGCTGCTCTGCTACTGCTGGGATTCTGCAAGGGCAAATGGCCCGCTGGACAAGCCTGAATGCTCAAGCATTCGATTGTGTCTCTCCATGGACACTTCTATTGCTTGCAAGGTGGAGATCAAACATATAAGCTATGCGCAATTGACAGTGCTGCTCAGGTAGCACACTGAGATGGCAGAGTTGGATTGTCGCACCTAAAAGCGATGGAGCATGCGGCGACAGCACGGCGCACGACAGCGGGCGATGAGTCATCCAGCAGCTGACGCAGCGTGCACAGCACAGCGTGGAGGGCGGCCAGACTAGGCTGCGCGCGAACGGCAGCTTCCAGCAACTCCACCAGCTGCTTCCGCACCGGCACTGCCGGCTCTGTTTGCAGCAGCACCACCTCTGGCAAAAACTCCTGCATGCATGGAAAAATCATCGTGTCAACCAAAGGTAACATCATTAAACAGCTGCTCTGCCTAAACAAGCAGTCAGCCAAGAGAAAAGCTGATCCCATCCTCTACAGGATTCCAGGCACAAGATCCACAGCATGCCAAAGGAATTTGGTTCCTGCAAGTAAGTCCTGTGCAGTCTCCACCGCTCTCTCATGTGCATCAAGTGGCAAGGACCGTGGTAAATGCACTGGATTATGCTGCGCACCGATAGCAGTGCTGGCTGCTTGTGGACAATGAGCTCTGTCAGGCCCTTCAGGAGGTCCACCTGTAGATCCACGACACACTTAGCAAGGCAAATGGGTCGTCTCAAAACTCACCCTTATCCGTAATGACACTCTATGTGCTACCTAGCAAACATGATTCAGCGATGCATTTTCATATAGTGCCTGTGCCAGATGATATAAAGACGTTTGCATCCAAAGGAGAGATCAGTGCCTTCTGGCTGGCGTCGGACGCCATCTTTGCATCGTTGAGCAACTGAATGGCTTGGTTCCTGTCGGCTTCGCTCATGGTGATTTCCGATTTTCTCTGTCTGCTTCAAGGAGAAAATTTGGGCGTGGGTGGGGTCGCAAGCAGTAGATAGCAGCCAGGTCTGTGCTGCATGTTTTCCCTGGTGCCAGCAGATATACTGTAAAGACAATATTGAGTGCTGGAATCAAATATATTTGAAAATGTTCAACGTAGTAGTATACAGAATATCTTGTGAAAACACCTGATGCCTTTGAGCATCGCACCTGTGCATCAAGGTCAGGAAACAAACATCACATCCCTGTGCACATTTGAGTTTATATGTCCCATGCTAATGTTCCAAAGTTCCTTTACATGCACATGCTTCGTCAGAGATGCATCACATGTATGTCATAGATCGGAGACGATGTGCTGAAAGACTTTCAAAGCGCTTAGCTTCGTGCAGTCACTATGGAACGATCGCAACATGTAGAGGTAATCATTGCCTACTAAATCTCACGGAAAAAAAGCCATTGGAGTGCAGCCAAGCTCCCTTGAACTGCCATGGACTGAGCGGTTGCCTAATTTTGTCATCTTGCTGCAGCTGGGACGCCGTCTTGCGCGTGCCGTCTCTCGAGACACGGCTTCAGCTTCCACAGCAGCTGAGCGTGCAACTGCTTCGTCATAGCTCGGGGAAAGACAGAGACAAGAACGGAGTCCAAAGCCAGAAGTGAAACATTCCATTCAATTACATCCAGCTAGCACCAGGCCTGTATCTTGGGCTAGTGTTCCGGCATCAAACATGAAGAAGCAACTCGCTCTTGCTGCGGCCATCTTCGGCCTTCTCGCCCTCGCCAGCGTCGCTCATTGTAGGAATCCACCTGATTCACTCAATCGTTTTAATGTACTTGTACCATGTATTCACTGTTCTCAGAACTTGGGGTTGGCGCAAAGCACTGTCGTTACCCTTCGATGACCTCCAGGTGATTCCGGCTCCTCTGGGTCTGGAGGCTTGGGCAGCTCGTTTGGCGGTCGCAGCGGCATCTCCAGTGATATACTCGGCGGTCGCAACGGAGGCTCTGAAAACTCCGGTTCCAGCTTCAGCGGCAACTCTGAGCGCTCCCGCAACGTTGATCGCTGGGGCGGGTGAGGCCACTGGACACACAGGGTGCTGTAATAATCTCTTGACATGAAGCAAGTACCATGAGTCATTATATTGAGCTGAAATCATCCTGCAGTTTGCGCATAGAGCTTTGGGGTGATACCTGCCAGATTCTTGCGCTCGGCATGTGCAGCAACGTGACGCTCTGTGCAAGCCCAGCTGTTCTAAGCCAATATTTCATTCGTTCAAGCCCAAGTTGTTATAGTAGTGCGCGCAAACGTCACTGAACGTGAAGAAAATCGCTTCAATTGATGTACCTAGGTGGTCACCAGGAGGTGGGGTAGGTGGCCCGCTGAGAGAGTGCTGATCAGACTGCATGTTGTGTCAGATTGTCTGAGACAGTTCACGGTTCTTACGTAGACGTCTCAACGGTGCTTCCCAGGTACTGGAACAGCGACAACCACTACTGGTGGAACGGTGGCTACTGGGAGGGCGGCTGCTATGGCTGCGGGCAGTGGATCTGCTATGGCTGCAACTACCCCTCCTGCCCTCCCTGCCAGTGGTGAGGCTGTCTGCATCTCCACAAACCTCTTCACATATACCAGGACCTTCGGCACAATGTGCAAATGACAGCACCTTTTGCACACTTGTCACTTTTATTGCACGCTTCTTGCCAAGCTTATTGCACACAAGCCGCAGTGCACTGGCTGCAATAAGGGTCCCCTTGTTAGACTCGCCATATTCAAGACCCAATCACCTGCGTTCGGTGCTGAGCTTTCATACCGCCCTCGCCGTCCGGGGCCTTTTGCAGATGTGCTCAGCAAAATTCCAGCTCTTACTGCAGCATCGGATGAAAGCAGGACCAGCATGACTGTGCTCCCTGGAATGTTTGCAGCGTTGACTGGGTTTGAATGATACAGCTGAGAGCGACGCTGTAATCTCAATAGCTTGGTTTTCTTTTTGCAGGTTCAACCACCAGAGGTGGGAGTGTGAGTACACAGAGACATGCAACCGTGGCTCTAGCAATGTGGGCGGCCGCAAGATGCTGTGAGCAATTTCCAAGATTGCAGTAGGGTACAACGTGAATGAAGACTTGCCAGTACATGAATTACTGATCAGCGGATGGATGCATGATCGGCACCCGTTTTCAGCCGGGTGGCTGAGTGCAGCCTAGACACAAGGGGAATGATATGATTGTGCAGAGGCCTTTTGGGATCCAGGGTAATGGGCAGACAGCAGTTCCTGGGTTTTTTCCCAGAATACCTTTTGGACTCTGATGGTCCGAGGTGCCTCCTAGCAGCCTAGTCCTGTTCAGAAGCAGCTATCCCGATTAGGGGCATAAGACTATTCATTACTTGCTGGTAACTGTATATCTGCACAGAGTTTTATATCTGCGCATGGGGGTGCGATGCCTCTTATGTATGTGGTGGGTTCAAGAATTTGGGGCTGCTTCAAAGAAGTGTGGATCATTGCTGCAAAGTGAGACATGCAAGATGAGACGGGCCAAGTGCTTATTCCAGGAGATATGCTCCTGTTTTGCTGAATGACTGCCAGAACTGAGTTTCCAATTTGCTTTTTTATTTATTATTTCTAGATGTTGTTTTATGAGACAAAAGTGTTATTAAGGGTTTATAAGTTAAGCTATAAACAAGGGATTTTAATATGTCTCCTTGAATAATTTTACATGATGCCCGCATGCGGCAGAGAGAAAATGTAAGAGGATGTTGCAATGGAGTGCGCAGCATGCACACTGACTGAGCACACAGCACCCCCCGCGAGAACCCCGGGGTCTGCTAGCTGCTACTAGCTGTTAGTAACGCTTGCGGCAAACTCTTCTTGCATTAATTATCTGTGCCATGCCCAAACTTCACAGTGCTTGGCATCTGTCACATGATAGTCACACAGTATGACATAGTATCATACAACATGTTCATCGATGGCTCATGTGCGGAGCTGCAACACCTGCTGCAGTAATTATAAAACAGCTGTATACAGCTTACATCGCTTATAAGCTAGCTGTGCATGCATGCATATGCAGCGCGCTGCACAAAGCCAATGGAGTAACATCATGTGAATCCTGATCAGGTAGGCTGTCACATCTGCAGCCAAACTTATCTCCTGCTGCCAGACACTGCTGGCGAAAGTAAGGCGCATGCATGAGGTGCAAGCTGACGTGGTACTGAAAACCAACGCAAAGTCAAAGTCTCGGTCCCTACTAGCTCTCGGAGATCCATCTTCCTGCAGGGTTGTCGTACACATTAGGGACAATTTGCCTTGCAGAAATATCCGGGCGCGTTTCCCTAACGCATCTCGGGGAAAAGAGTTTTTGTCGGGGACAGCCGACTCCCTTGTCACTTGGAGACCTTCGACGATGCGGCGTTGGGCAGCTGCCTCAGCATTTGCCACCCTGCTCCTGCTGCAGGCTGCTCAAGGTGAGAATTCACATCACGATGAAATCTGAAGCATCTGATCACCAACTCGGACGGTAAAGGCCAACTCTTGCGAGTGGTGCAGATCGGCCAGCCTAGCATTGCCTCATGGTTAGTCAAGTTGACGAAGGCAGCTAGAAGCTTCACAGATACTGGAAAGGTACTGGTTGTGGAACCACAAAAGCTCATCAGAGGCTCCATCCCGCCGGATGGCTGGACAGTTTGCAGCACGATGCCGAAGATTTGCTTCACGATGCTCAAGTCTTTGCTTGCCTTACCTTATCTCGTGCAGCACATTTCTGTCTATCAGAGTCTTTTACTCCTGATTTATATGTAACGCGAGACTCTGACTAGGACCAGCTACCGAGCTGCTCTTCAGAAGAAGTACGAGAGCCCTGAACATGACGGGATGCTGCAGGGCAGCAGGGCACTTTCTATGGAGTAAGCGGCGGTAATGCAGGCCCACTTGGCGGTTCACAAACAACCACCACTGGCGGTGGCGGTGGCGGTGGCGGTGGCGTAGGGGCCTTCCCTGGCACTCGATCTAGCCGCAGCAGCAACAACAATGGGTGAGGCATCTGCTGCACCTTGCATCACCTCGACTTTCCCTGCACATCTGAGCATCTCAACAACGTTATCGCTGCCCAAAGTGTCCCTTGTCAGACTGATGCTTGCCCTGAACCTGCCTGCAAAGAGCTATGGAACCCAATTGCGAGGGATAGATTCAAGAAGGCATCATGCAGTGGCAGCTGAATCCTGTTAATTCTTTACCTTAGTTGGCTCTCACTAAGTCTGATGTGCTTGCTTCAGGGACTCTGGAGGCGTCTCAACAAATGCTGGAACGAGCGGCAACACACCCGCATTTCCCACCGGGGCCACCGGGTCAAACAATGGCGGCAGCTTTATATCTGGGGGCAGCAGTGGTGGGAGCAGCAATGGAAATGGCGGCAGTTCTGACAACAGTAACAATAATAACAACAATAACGACAACAGCCGCAACCGAAACTATGACAGATTTGGCGGGTGAGCAACACTCGGCAGCCTATATCAAATTCGAAGTTCAAAACATCCATTGCGCACCTGCATGCTTCCATCCCTGCTATGTGGCTACGATTGCAAAGCAAAATCCAGATCCTAAAAAGGCCACAAGATCAACAACTTGCCAATTAGAGAAGCCACAAGTGCTCATACTTGATGCTGATTTCTCAGTTGCCAACATGCTCTCGTTGTTTTGTTGCAGGTATTGGTTGAATGGGTTCTACTGGTGGGGAGGTGGCTACTGGGTGAGATTTTCTGTCATCTCACGGACCTATGCCAGATGCGCATTCTTCACAAGAATGGCCACAGCACAAAATGCTTGCACTGGCCTTTGCTGCCACTCTGATACTCACGCAAGCAGGGGACTCGGAACTATCCTATATATAAGTACCTTCACAAGTATAGTATAACTTCTATATATATGTATAGTCATCTTCTAGACACTGGGACGATCATTATCATTACACGTTTCCAGTCCTAAGGACCATGTACGTCAAGCAACACCTGTACTAATACCTGATACTTTGTGACCGATATATATATACACGGTACATACTGTTTAGTACTTATAATGGATTTCAAAAAAACCTGACGCAAGCTGACCAGGGGAGATGCATGCGCAGGTCGGAGGCTGCTTCGGCTGCGGTCTGTGGAATTGCTATTCGTGCAATTACCCCAGCTGCCCCTCCTGCCAATATTATGATTCTGCCCAGGGCATCTGCGTGTCAACCCCTGCCTGCTACGGAGGCAGCTGTCCGCAATGCCAGTACCTCGACCCGTCATGCCAATGCTGCAAGACTGTGTCAAACTGCAACGGATGATGTCTTGGCCATTAGTACGTTTTCATTAATGTGCTGGAGCAGCACTTGCGGACTCAAGACCTCTTTTGGCGCAGCTATAGCTATTAACATCAAGCTTGAAAGGCATATTGCATGGAGATCCGTGCAGCAAAGAACATAAACAAGGATGTTGACAAACAAGAAAAGCAAGTTCATATATTTAGGGTTTAGGGTTTTTGTACTTAGGGCATGAACGATGTCAATATCTGGAATGGGTGTACGATTCACTGCCAGCACAATCTGACAACGACTGTGAAGTAGCTTATTGAAGGGTGGAGGATTTGCTGTTTGCACTGTATCTCATAGCTATCGAGAACCTAACATGTTGCATAAATATCTAGGATGTGGATTGGGATATCCTTGGAGTGGCTGCCCTAATTCAGCAAAGTGGGTTTGCAATGCAGCACGAAGCTAATGAGCTTCTGTGCTGCTTAGCGTTCTTCCTTTTCAAGCAAAGGCCTTAGGACTGTAAAATTCTATACACATCTACAGGACCTTAACAAAGGCTGCATGCAATGGCTTGCATGGACTGCACTATTTGGCTGCATGCAGTAAATTGCACGGATTACACTGTCAATGAACTAAAACATGCGTTGCATGCGCCGCACTATGGCATTCAGGTCAGCCTCTTTCACAGTATAGCGCATCAGCGATGGCAGCAGATCCCTTATGGAGGCAAAGGGCTGCTGCCGCAGCCTCTTTCCCTTTGGCTGCTCACCTTCCGTTGGCACCTCTATCTTGCACTGCAACTCGTCCGTTGCAGTTGCTCCCCACTTGTACCTATGAGATACACATGACATCTCCGCATTTATATCCAATACCAAAGGCGCCGAGCATACCACGGCTCATTAATCTTTAGTCGTGCTGCTGCTGCTGGAGACCTTATGCATACTGTGACGCCAGTATTAAAGGAGAATTTAGAGTATTACTTGTCCCATTGTGTGGTCAGAAGCTTGCAGGTTCAGGACTGTCGTCTCTGCTCTTGACAGCTGCCAAAGAGAAGCCTTTTTATTTTCAATTCAAGCTTTAGAAGTGGAGTGTACCTGAAGTAGTGCCAGCTGGTGTGCTCCCAAAGGTCCCATCCAATCTGATCCCCAATGCTCCACTCTTGCCTCTTCCACTGGTTCCGATTGTCCTCGGTGATAACGTCAGCTGCCACAAAGCCAGCGCACATCAGACAGGCAGCCTTGCAACTTTGGCACCTGTTGAGGTTTTATTTATCCACCCTGTTTGGCCAAAAATAATTGTTTATTGCTGGTTTTAGAATGACTACTACAGCATATACGCATTGACATGGCCCCGGCTGGCGGAGGGCGGTATAAATACCACCGTGCCGACACTTGATTGGCTCTTGCTTGGATCTGGCGAAATAAACGCGGGGTAGGATTGTGGCAGCCTTTAACTGCAGCTTGTCTGCAGGACGCACCTGGCCTTTTGGCGGGAGTAGCGTGTTGTAATAATGTTAGCATTGCTTGCAAAGGATATTGCTGCAAGAGCAATCAAAGATTGTGGGTTGGGCAGGCACAAACGGGACAGTGGACAGGTGGTCTCACACCTTCAAGGATGGCTTTAGTTCTCTCGTAGTCATGCAGCGGCAGCTTGAGGCCGCGCTTCATGTCCACCACCTGCATCAAATGTCCAAAAGCTCTCAATTACTCAAAAACAGACTAAGATATCTTTTGTGAGCAAGCAAAGACACATGCATCCTGTGCTCTGCGGGCAAATTCACGGTCATAGCATAGACCAACAGACAAGCAGCAGACAAACCCCGGAGAACCAACAAGTGTGTCATTTCTGCATGTCGGATTCAAATCTGCCGGCAGCAAGATTGCCTTCGGCGCTCTAGTCAACCAGGATAAGAATAGAGGAAGCTACCTTGACTCCGCAGTCCTTGCAAACGCTGCCATGGTTCAGTGTGCGCCACTTTTGGCGCACTCGGGGGTAGTAATCGCAGTCGCTTTTGTACATAGTGATGAACGTGTCGTACTTGAATTCGCGCGCCACTTCCGTGCGCGTGGCTGAGAACCAGTCGTAGTGGAAGAAGACAACGCCCCATTTCGGGCGCTCCTCAATTACCCTCTCCATGCATGCCATCACCTGCATCCATGCATGCAAAGCACTGTCAGAACGTTCCTTGTGGCTTCAGTCCCTCATCATACCCCGAATTCGGCAAATTTTGTTAGTCAGTATTTTACGCCATTTTCTATCTCTTTGGGCTCGATAAGGTTATTTAACGATCCGCAAGCACTTCCCCGCTCATGAAAATTGGCACATATGTCTTTCAAACCTGCAAGCTCAAGACCAGTTATCTTGTGCAGGGTGAAGTGACCACAACGGTTCATGCATGTTCATGCGACACTGCATGCAATGGGACAGCCTTAATCACCAAAGCTACTGGTGCATAGCAGCCTAGCACATGTGTGTGCCAATCAAGTTCAAGATTCTGGTTAAGGCATTAGGTTGCCTTCAGTAATTAACCCACAGCATGCGTCCACCTAGCAAGTCAAAAAATGGTGTCTTGTATGTTTCACGCATAACACGCATAACACTGCGAGGCAGCCCTTCTCCTTACATGGCGCTCGTCCTGCCTCGTACGTCTTCACTCAAATCGGCTCAAAATGGGCAGACGGCGGGGGACTCTCAATCATTCGATTTAGATTCTCCTGCAGGTGCAGAGCAAAGGGATGTGCTTGCCTCTTCAGCGAAGACCGCAGTGGCATTGGAAGGTAGCAGGGCCACATCAGAGTGGCCCCAGAAGAAGAAGGTGTAATTTCGCTCAACTGCAATGTCCCCGATCATGTTCTGCGCCTGTGAGAAGGTCAGCTGCACTCGCGTGGAGATCACTTCGCCCACAAGCTCACTCACCCCTTCAGCAGCGCACTTATTATCTCAGACACAGGATGCACATGAAGAGATTTCTTTATGTGCCAGCATGCGTGATGTCTGCACTTTTGCCTAGAAGTCTCCTTGCGGTTGCGTTGGTTAGACGGCAGTTGACAGGTTGCATGCCAAGCTGCCACCCTGTTTGTTGGCACAATGGGTTCATGCAACAAAGGGACACGGAGCGTGCATGTGCATTGCTTGTGGTCCTCTCAATATAGCACAGAAGTTTGGTTTGCAGCTGACATCAATGATCAAAATTCGGAAGGCTGAGGCCCACCTGGGTCGTTGAGGATCAGTCTGTTTGGGGAGTTGTCAATGATGATGATGCGCTTGCCCCAGCCGGCGGCCAGGTAGGTCTGCAGCGAGGTCCAGAATATCTCATAATTCCATGAGAAGATTATGAAGACCGCAAAGTGGTGGTCGGGGAATGGCAAGCCCCCATCCCTTCTCACAATCGCAGGCATAGCTGCTTGGACGGCTGCAATATCAACTCCCCCTGCTGCCTGCACGCCACCATGTACTGTGAAACAATATTCAAAAATCGAGTGCTGTTTTGAGGCCATTACAGGCATTGGGCCACCCACCAAAACTAAATCCACAATGTCTGAACGGGGGCCCAATAAGATTTCTTAAATTACACGTCGCAGCAGAGCATGCATGCGTAACATGAGCATCTTTCGGTGGAGCACAAGCAGTGGGGAGGGTCACCAGGCACAGCATTTTAGCACTTATGGTGGAAGCGCTCGTTCACCTGCAGTTCGGGAGGAGGGACGGCTGCGCTGCAGGATGCCAGCCCATCACATGATGACGCAGGCTGGGAGAAAAGAAGGTACAGCTGCACCTGCAGCCGCACTGAATCCTTATCTTACTTGCACATGCAAAGGCCCTGTTGAGAGCATGTGTAAGCCTCGTTTGCTGAAGAGGTGATCTGCATTGCTCAATGAAAGTCAAAACATCAGAATGCAGGCCGCGTGTGGCTTGGAAGCAGATGCATGCTGGGCTCTAAAACTGTGATCATACCAGATTGGTGCATATCAGTAAGAGGACAGCTAGCTTCGCAGACCATGCCAGCCAGCCGGCTCCTGGACCTTCTGCCGGCTTATTCATGCGTTGGGACTGCAGCAGAGGCATTCCTGCCAGCGATCTGCTGCCCCCTTGCATCATCAATCGTGCCTTTGTCGAGCTCTCCTCAGAGGTCTGGTCAACAAAGTTTGACAGACAACGCCCCAATCCGATTCCCTTCAACAGCTGGAGCCTGTCTTTCTGACACCAGAGGGACCTGCTCAGTATACTTTGGAGAGGAGGAGCCTTGCCGCCTTTCCTGCACAGACGATAATTTCGTCTCTTTCACAGTGCTCAGTCCAACCTCCCCCCCATTGGCAGTGGCAAATTCGAACATATGAGCATAACATACATTTGCAATAGATGCTCTACTAAGGATCACGTTATCCTGGGTTTGCTTCACACATATATGGCAATATATCAAGATGATGGAATGGGTGACGTCACTCACTGTGCAGCGCGTCGATCAAATTGACATCACGCTGGTATGTTTTGACGAAAACAAAAAATATCTGCTTTGTGCTGTCTTATATGATGGGTGTCTCAGGACTGCGTACTTCCATCCTCTGCACTTTGCAGTCATTCACCAGGGTGCAGCGTAAAGAAAGAGTACAATTTGATCAATATCAGCTTGCGCTCATCAGAACAAAGTTCTTATACATGATTGCTTCTGAAGGAAGAATTGTTTTGCTAAAATTTTAATGCATGATTTGTGCCACAGTCGGCGCCTGATCAGGCTTTGGCCGGCCTGAAGTTTTGGTGCGCGCTGGAATTGAGAGGAAAAGCGGGCTCGAAGTATAGTGGCCAAGATTCATAGTAGTTCCCAGCTGATATCGCACACATCCACCTCTTGAGTCATTCCTTTATACTGTCTCAGAAGCATTAAATCTCCCGTTGAAAATAAAGCACACCTGTCTCTCAGATACTCGTAGTGATTGAACGACATGATATTAATTTATGGTTTTACTCAACTCGCATTCTCTCGCAAGGCTGGCAGCTTCGAGTTCTCACGGTGATGGGTGACTCGATGTCGAAACCACATGATATGAACCAATTAATCGGTTAAGCAATTCTACGTCTTGCATTGACGACCATATCAGCCAGTCTCTGCTAGAGAGGTAAGATCGCCCCCAGCAGTGTACCCGTGGCCTTGCTTTCCAGGGGCATCTTGAACAATACTTTCCTTGTCCCACCCATAATTCATCTGACCATCAAATCGGCTAACAGCTTTGCAGGCCTTGTCCTCTTGACGGCTCATCTGATCTCGCGTCGAATTCGATTGCAGGAGTTTGTGGATAGGGCCACCCCTCATCTGGGCCTGAACTGGTTGAGAAGCTGGTTGAGAGCCGCGTAACAGATAAATGATCCTTGCGCAGCACAATTGTCGCTAGCGTCAAACATAAACTCAGACAGTCGCAGATAGCATCTCAGATCGTATTTGTAAGAGCCACGTCCTGTGAGACCAAAGGCCATGCAGCTGCCCCACACCTTCACCTCCAGCATGCAGCGCAGCAGCAGCACAGTAGGCACCGGCATAAAGGCAGCCATTGTTGCGCTTGTCATTATCAACTTGGTGCAGCTCAATCTGCTGTTCCTCGGGACAAACAGCAGCCTCAGCTGCTACTGGCGATGCGGCAGCAAGCCCTCCCAGAGCTCTGGCAGCCTTCCAGCAATTGCACCGCAGAGTCCCAACAAAAAAGACAAACCTGCACAAGGCTTGTGGGATACACTGGGGTGAGCATCCACGATCATCTGAAATTATGCTTTGTGGAGATTCGGGATTGGATCCATCCTAAAGCAGCGTTTCAAATTGCCACCTTTGCCGGAGGTCTTGGCCATCAGTAAATTGTGGTGCCCCTTTGCCCGAGCCAGGCTTGCACGTTGCACATACCTGCCACGCATCCTATACTAGGTAAACCCACCTGCAGGTCACCTGGTTACTAAAGGCAAGAAAATTGCAACATTGACCGTGTGTCATGTGCTTGCAGGAGGGGCGGTAAGGGCAGGAAAGGGGCTGGAAAACAGAAGCCCCGCTACGCAGTATTTGTCATCTACTCGTGGAATTACGAGGTCCTGCTGACATCTGTGGAGGGCTACCAGGCAGCGGGCTTTGGGGACAGCCTAATTATTATAGACAACTCCCCCGACAGGCGCATTGTGGGGGACGAAAAGATCAGGAGCATGGTTGGGGAGGTCCTTGCCACAAAGGCACGGCTGACATTCTCCCAAAGCCAGAACTACATTGCAGGCAAGCACCTCTTGCTTTCTAGCATGCCTTGTAGCGAGACATGTCAGAATCCAGCATTTGCTTCTTGCGGTGATCTCTACCTCTTCAGGTGCTAGGAATGATCTTTCACTTTGCCAAACAGAACAGAATTTGGTCGGAATCTGATGTAAAGAGACCAGCCCAAAATTGACCAGTATGTTATCAAGTTCCTGGCCAGTCATGGTACAAAATAGCCAGTGCCCAGCTGAGGTTTTTCTTTCTGTGTGCATGCGCAGACATCGCGATAGAGAGGGGTTATGAGTACTATTTCTGGGGCCACTCGGATGTGGTTGTTTTCCCTCAAAATACTACGACATCATTTGCTGAGGTGGCGGTGACATGCGCGGAGGCCGCCATGTCAGCAAAGCCCAACTGGGGAATCATGTACTTCATGTACGACTGGTTCTCCGCCATCCGCACCGACCTTGTCCGCAAGGTAAATCCCCCTTTTCTAGTAAAATTGAATGTAAATTCAAGTATAATTTCTCACACGGTGCCCGTTCTCCTAGTCCTTTTCTCTGTGCCAGCATGCATGCACGGCTGCATTTTATGGACACACACACACACAGTGCGAAATCGCACAGGGACTGGTATGTTTGATCAAATGCATGTAGTTCTACACGAAGCAAGTGGCTAGCAATGCAAGCGAAAGCACAGTGCTACAGCTGGCTAGAAATCATTAGTACATTCCTCCCTTCTGCAATTTGTGCCGTGGGTGCTGGGGTGAAGCAGTGATTATTGCTCTGTGCAGGTGCAGTATGACACATTTATAACGGTGTACATGTCGGACTGTGACTTCTATCCGCGAGTTCGTGCTGCTGGCTACGAGACCATTGAGTACCAGCAAGTGAGCATTTTCCCTGCATCTGCTCAGGATCTCCTGCTTGACAGCCTCACTGAAAATCCCCACTGCACAGTCAGCATTCATTTAAACAGCCACCGAGAGCTTGGCATGAGAATGAGAATTTTCTTAACCATTGATCTTAATGGCGGCGGCTGCAGTTTAGCATTGTTCAACCTTCACTTCTTCAGTCAAAGTTGATACCATACAGAGTGCTGAGCTGATTACAGGTACCAGCTCAACATCAGTCCAGATGCAAACCTTTATTTGGCTGATCAGTTTCTCCTGTGTTGCAGGCTTGCCCAGACACTGAAATAAAAGTGTACGATCTACACTCGCCCTTAAAAGTGCCCTGGGATGACTTCGCTGCGGCCAGGGAGATCTTAGACGCACATGAGCGGGACAATAGCAGCAGGTGAAGCCGTGAATGGCCGCAAGTTTTGCATTTTGATTGTGCATGCCCGCATGTGCTGTGCGCATGTGATAAGAATGCATCTGATGCCGTGGTGGCGCAATCTTGGCAGCACACACCCTCCTAGTTGTGAAGCAATGACTGGTGGATTCAGGATTAATTTAGAGTTCATTATCTCCAGAAATCATGCAACTGTCTGCAAAGAGCATGGGATTCTCTTTGCATGCTTTATTGCCATGCAGAATATTGCTCCATGTGGGTACCTGCTGGTCAGGTGTGGGATCATGTGTGCAGATTCAACTGGAAGCTGGATCAGATGGGCATTGATGAAAAGCTGGGCTGGGACCTATGGGAGCACTCTTCATATATGTACTTCAGGGTGAGTGTCTTATCAATCTACTGAGTGTTTTATCGATCAAGCTTTCAAACTTTTTGTTTCGAGCATATGTGGCTTTGTTTGGAAGGAGGAAAAAAGGCCGAGTCCCTGAGTTAGCCCTGCAAAAAGACATCGTTAGCTGCGATGCTGACAGTTGCTTGTTGTGCATTGATTCACTCAAAGCAGCAGCTAAAAATGATTTCTTTTTATTCCTTGTTGTCTTCCATGTATGACAGCAGTAACAGTTAAATGCCCAATTTGGATGAGCAATTGTAACTACACAGGTCAACGCCAAAGCACAAATGTCTCACAAATGGTTTTTGGGGCACAGGCAAAGTGGGGAGAGCTGCAGGATCCAAATCAGATATGCAAGATAGAGGTTGAGTCAGCCTTGACGGGGACCAAAACTCTGCCGCAGCAGCCGTTCAGCAGCTTGCAGCACCTGCAGAGCGAAAACTGGCTGGACAAGAGGTCAAACAAGCAGTACGGCGTTTCAACCCTTAAAGGGGTCGAAATGCGGGACCCATTATTTCCCCCTGGACCCTAAGGCATCAGCCGGCCTCTCTAGAGAGCCATTAGCAGGTTGTACATTTTTTGGTGCAGGGATGCAGATTGCTAATGTGCTGTATGGACAAATCCTTGAGCCTGATGTCTTTTTTGCCATTGACGACTAAGAAGCTGTGGACATCTGATCGGCCCTGTGTGGCTGGATTTAATGGACATTTCTGGATTCAGCCATATTACTGGAATGATGTAATCTCTTTCTCTTTCTCTCTAGCTAGGTGTAACACACTGTTGCATGACAAGCAAAGCAGGGATGCTTGAAGCCGCTTTTGGCACGGGTGCGAATCTGTCAATTTGATTCCTGATGAGTTCTTACAAGACGCTACTTGGCCGAGGGGAGCTTGGCAAGACGGATCTGCCTCGAGCAGGACTTATACAATCATGCCACAAAATCTAGTGACACATGGCTGGCATGCAGGCACATATTACTGTATTGACGCCATTTAGCTATCTGAAATTAATTAATGGTGACTCTTATATCTCCATATCCACAAAGTTATCCTCCCCTACTGATGTGGTCATGCAGAGCTCATGTGATTAATACTGTAATATTGAGGGCGCACTGCTTCATCTGATGAAGCTGTCGCAATCAATGCACATCATCATACTCGCGAATCATAAAGACTTGCGCTAATCTTGTGTCGCCAATCCAAATATCAATCCCCTGATTGAGAGACTTCCTGGATGGCCTGCAGCAGTGCAGCATGCACTGCAGGCGTGGCAGACACAATACCCCTATCCAGATCCAGCCACCTCCCTTTTCCAAAGTCAAGAGGGGCTCCTGCAGAAGCACCAGCCACTGTCATCAAAGCCCATGCAATGTCACTCCGTGCGGAACGGACTTCCATGTCATGCATCAACAAAGGCTGGCCATTCACTTAAGTGGTGCTGGCCACAATTGCTACTAGTAATACTTCTGGGCAATACAAGCTGACGCGCAACATGCCCGGTCTTCACGAAAGGTCGACACGGATTCTTTTACTGCAAAAAAACCTGACGAACTCTCTGATCTGCCACAAAAGCACCACTCTCTTCCTTTCAGCTGAATAACAGCTGACCTCTGGCCTTCTGCAGGAATACCAGCATGTCATGCAGGAGCGCAGATCTGACCCTTGTTGAGACCGTAGCCTCCCCATAATTGATTTAATCGCACCTGAAGCATCGCTGATGACACCGCCGGCCTCCTGCACGATGAGCGCGCCGGCTGCGTGGTCCCAGATCTTCTCTCTGTAGCCCGGCCGGGGGAATCGCAGGTTTATCGCTGCATCTCCCCTGGCCAGCGCACCTGCAGGGCGTTGTCAAAGTTTCCATTACTCACAACCGTCGAACCCCACGCATGTCCAGACAAGAATGTCCATGCACAGAGAGGACAAAGTGGCGCGCTTAACGCGGCTGACAGGAGCATGTCAGGAAGCAGACTTGTCATGTACAGGCAACCCTTGGGACCTCAACCTTCCGCCATCACTGACGGGGTAAAAAATATATGCAGGCAATACTCCATCACTTCCTGCAGAAATCATTTTCACCCCTGAACAAGGGGGTTGTGCTTATTCTCAACCCGCTAGGTTGACTGGCGCAAGTGAGCTAGCCCTCAGAGACCCATTCCACATAACCACTCTGCTCCCAAATGCACAGGGGACTCTAGGTCAATTGTAAGTCCCTTGAAAATTTGGCGCAAGGGGTGAAGGAAACACACGCACCGTATTTGGCCTGGCTGTCGATCCGCAGGGCCGGCCGGGAGACGCCAAGTTTGGCGGCCAGCTTCGCGGTGAAGCTGAAGTCGCTGTGCTTGGACTCGTACGACTCCATGAAGCGGATCTGGGAGAAGTTCTGCGTGTCTGACAGCTGCAAGCGATCCCGTGGAAACGCGCTGCCTGCACAAGGTTATAGTCTGATTTTGATAAGCCTCACCATGCTCAAGATTGCACTGAATGACACGACAGCGCAATGCATCCAGCATGGAGAATTGGCAGTGGTGTGTAAAATACAATCCTCTTCCTAAGGTCTTCAGCAAAGGTCAGCTCAAATGCCATGAGCGTGTGAGCCCATGTTCACCATTGGCAAAGATGTGAAAGGTCAGCACAGATGAGCAGATGGCGCTGGTGTAGGGAGTATCTAACGCCTTCTCAGGTCAGGAATGCACAGGCAATCCTCCCTCTGTCACGCCAGGCATGCATGGCACCAGTCTTTCCCCTGAACGCGCTGCCACAAGCTACTGTTTGTCCCTCACAAGGTAATCCAAATGTAAAAAGAAGGATGTCAAAAATGTAAGAGCTCTTGCACCTGCCAGGGGCCCTGCGTACGAGCCAGCGCCCTTTTGCGCTGCGAATATGACGCCGACGCCATCTGTCCCGGCCTTGGCGGCTGAGTTGCCGGCGCCGTCCTCGTCCTGTATTTGCCCGCCGGGCAGGTTTGGGCAGCCCAGCACTCCCACCACCACCTGCCAGATCAGGCCACTTTAACATACTTTCAAATATGAAAAGTGAAAGTCTGGAGAGCTCCGCGTGAACATTGAAGATTTGCCTCTTCTCATTTTCTTCTCACGGAATATTGCAGGGTAATGGCCAGTGGAATAACATTCTAGTAACGGCAGCTTTGCATTGTGGCGCTCTGATGATGTGAGCAGATTTTTCGGGTGAACTTTTTTCAATATAATATACATAAGGGCTCTGCACTCCTTTACTGGGGGCGTATGGGTGCATGGTGGACTTCAATAAGTGGGTGAAGTACCTGCCCCTGGTCAAGCAGGCCAAGGCAGACTGCATACTGGCGCATTCCCACAAAGCCTCTTGTGCCATCTATTGGGTCCAGCACCCAGTGCCTCCCCTGCAAAGCCATGCAGCAAGAATCTGAGGCTGATTTCATAGAAAACCATCCAACCAACAATTTATTCTTTTCTTTGTATCTCAGGACAGCGAAGTAGAGCTGCCAAGAACTGCTGGCACACTTGCCAATTTAAACCAAGTCTGAACTTGCTGCAAGCCCGTGCGGGAAGATTGCTGTGAATGCCAGTGTTGCAAAGGTGCATGCCCTTTGATGGCATCTCATCTCAGCATGCTATAAGAGTGGATCAGGAATCATGGCTGGCTGGGGAACATTGCTTGGTCCTAAGGGGGGGGCGCACCTGAGAGCCTCCTTCCGAGCCGCCGGTGTCTATGAGCCCCAGAACATCGGCCTCAGACAGCGGCTGAGAGCCAGGCTCTTCTTGGGAAACGACCTCGTTCACCATGGCTGTGATTCGCGCTGCCATGCCTGCCCCCTCTGGCTGCCTGCAGTGCAATTCCCCCAAACATTTTGCATTTTACTCCCATCACAGCCAAGCAAGAACTCCTAACAACCTCCCAACTTCTGATTGCAGGAAGGTCTTCATGCCACCACACTTTGTTCAGAGGCTCTATGCAGCCTCCCACGATTTCTCTCTGCATGACTGTCTTGCTGCTGGCACTAGCAAGACAGAGAAAATGAGATGAAAATGAGAGATGAAAATGAACATGCAGCAGCAACAAATGGACATGACTGGAGTTTGTTGCGTGCCTGAGATCCACGGAGTCTTCCTCTGCAACCATGGAGAAGGGCTGATTTGGCAGGGAGCGCTGCAGACTCCATGCCACCAAGGCCTGAGCGCCTGCACATGGCAATGGTTTTAAAGTGCATTTCAGTGCTTGTGTGTGATTGTTAGAAGTTGATGCCTGAGGCAGAAATGATGCAAGCATGTCTATATGGCGTCGCTCATGCAAGATTTAATTGCTCTTGGCTCACCGTAGTCTGCCACTGTGACGGGTGACTCATCTGCCTTGTCTGTTTTCTCTCCCGCCTTCAGTTGGAGCTGCACTCTCTGTTTCAAGCTGCAGATCTTAGCACAGTGGGCATGATATATGAGGGCAACAAAGCGGATCAAGCCTGAGATTCCAGCACTTACAAAGCGCACCTGGCAGAGCTTTGAAGCCAGCCTGACAGCTGTCAGGGCACTGTGCATCTCCTCGTCATAAGAACCAGCGTCCACGGTTGTGGATTGCGCTATTTGGGTCGCCATGGCTCGGGTGAGGTGTGAGAGAGGTGTGGTTGTGCTCAGATGACGCACTTTATATCCACGATGGAGAGGCTTATATGAAGTACACTGCTTCTGAGAAAAGGCAAATTTTAATGTCTTTACATTTGCATTCAGCAACGATGGCAATCTTGCGTCAGCAAAGCAGGAACTTTTCGAGATCAGGGACATCTGATCACATCAGAATCGGCATTTTGCCAACCTATCTCAACTGGAAGATCGTCACTCTGAACGATGCTTTGCTTACAAAAGTCGCGTGATACAGTGTTGATATCAATAATTCCTCCGAGAGAGCCGATTGAGCTTCTGAGATTTTGTCAAAACGGAATGACAGCCCGTACTTTCTTGGAAGACCGTAAGTTTGAATTGGCAATTAACAGTAAGTGTCAGATTGACTGTGAGCCGTGAGATTGTTGTTTGGCCAAGGGGCTTGCCCTGCTCGACAGTACTGCATGTTGAAGTACGTAGGAACCAAACATCACATTACGCCGTATAGTAAGGTGCTGGCCGACAGCTGTCTGCGGATTGCCATACGGATCATATTGGCCCAGCCAACTGGTGCCAGATGCTATACAACTCGTCAGAGGTCAGCCTGCTATTTTGTCAACATTTATAGCCGCCAAGAGCGTGGCCTTTTTCCTCAGTCTGTACTGCAGGGAGATGAGCAGGTCAGAACCATTTGTCCCATTATTCCTCAGGTCTACGTCCTCTGCTAAGCTGGTAGGAAACGCCGCCAAGAGCTGCTGACACCGCCGCGCCAGAAATCGACCTGCACATGATCGGAAGATGTTGATCAGCTCAAGATCAGCTGCTGATGGCACACATTAGACTGCACCAGCTGGACTTTGACCAGCTGCAACTTCCCTTCAGCTTGATATAGACAAGTGTGATCTGCTATTACATAACAAATAAGTAATAGGAGAGAATGACAAGAGGCAGGAGCTTACTGTAGGTGTCTGGTTGCGAGGACGCAGCGCTAAGACTCTCCTGGGTAGACAGGAGGATCTGGGCAGCGAGAAGCAAGCGCTCATCGTACCCTTGAGGAGCAATTCCCAACCTGCCAGGAAGAGCGACCGTTAGTAATGCACCTCTCTAAGACACTTCGGGCTGCGTGCACTTGATGGGATCTATTTTGATGCCAGAGCAACCCTCTGTTAGACCACGACCTTCAGGCTGTGGTTGCCATTTACGCTTCAGTTGGAAAGTTGGATGATATGGAGAATCAGGTACCTGGTGAAATCTGTGATGCCATGCTGTGTGCGCAGAGCAGCTGCTATTGCCTCCGCACGATCTTCCACTGATCCATACGGACTAAGGTCCTGAGACGCAGCTTTTGCAACTTCAGTCATTGGACGTCCCACAGCACACAATATACAGTCATTGTGACCGGTACGAGTGTTAGGTGACTATAGAAGAGCGCGTTGCTGCATTTCTTGGCATCACCAGCATGCAGTGTAGCTTCACAGGCGTAGAAGTGGCATCACATGCAACAATTTCTTGAAATGAGGGCGCACAGGATCCAGTGTGTCGTAGAAGACAATCATTTGCTGCAAGTCCTGAAACAGGACCGCCACATCAAAAGGATTGTCACGGGGCACAAAGCCAAAGAACAGGTAGAAGACATCGTTCGGCCACGGACCGTAGCTGATTGTGACCTCATCGCCTGCCCTGGTGCGGTCAGCACACAAACAAGACCTGAGGTTCCTTCACACTCGTTTCATAGCACGCCCAAAGAGGCCCACAAGCTGCTTACTTAGCTTTCAAGCTTCACCAGAGAATCAAAGGAATGATTCCATTGCTGCACACAACCATCAGCCGCTGAGGGATCTTTTCCTCATAAACTCAATTTTTGGTGAGCCCCATTTAGGGACCTTTCAAAGCCAGCTTCTTAAGCAAGATGAATTAGGTCAGCAGAGTCACCTGATGCCATCCTCCCCAGCAAACAGTTCAAAGCGTGAGGGCTCTGGGGGCGGCGGTACGCACACCTCCTCCACTGCATCTCTCCCCTGGACCGCCTCTGGGCTGTGCACCAGCCTGCGCAGGGTTACACAAACCCGATCACCCTTTGAACACCCTTGCCAGAGGATGTAAGCATGCCTTGTGGAGTCACTTCACGTGTTTGAACGCGTCAAGATCTTGCGGATGACAAGCACCGATCTGCGAGGCACATCTCGGCCCACGAGCCATCACTGGGGTTATCGTATCGTGGCAAAAGACGACACCCTGGAGAAGCTCACACTTCTACTTGCTGATCTGGACAAATCTGTCATATATTGAACGAGCCATCCGTCGGCGAGATGGTCATGAAAGGAGGGCACATGCTGGACAAGCCATGCACAAATCCTAAGTGCAATAATTTTGTTTTTGTGGCTCTCACCTGACTGCTGCGCTGGGCTCGAAGCTGTGGTTGGCCATGTCAACACCGGGGACACTGGTGTGCACAGGCGGCGAGCCCACCAGAAAACAGCGGCTGTGTAGCACTGACATGGCCCACTGGACATCCTCCCACCCGCACCCCATGCCCTGCAACCTTTCCTGCTCACTCTGCATCACACACAAATTATACTTGAACAATTCAGCAATTCCAGGCGCTCCTGCTCCTGAGGTCCTCAGCTTTGTTAGTACGCCCAACAATACAGAGGTGCTCGCCAAAGAGTGTGTCAATGATCTGTAGCCTGCCCGAATCCAAATTGATATGTGGCTCGGGGATTCAGATTGAGGGCAACCTGACCGATCAATGTAGGAAAGAGACTATTTATGTATCAAAATTGATAAATGATCCAAGTGCGTACCACTCAAGTTTGGTGTCTCAGCTGCAGTTGCTCAAAGAGTCCTGTTGAGGGAGCTACTTGATAGAGAGGATAGAGAGCAAATTCTATGGTCTTCTGACAAGCAGATGATGCACCTCACATGAGAGATGGCGAGACAACTGCAGGTCCATCCCTGGCACCTGATATGTTGCCTCTGCACTGGCCCGGATGGCAGTGGCTTCTCTGATGAGATCCGCATCCTGACAAGCTGCTAGGTCAGCCTCTGAGAAGTATAGGAATGGCAGGTGCACGTGCTTTGGCAGGGCTGCTATCCACGGGCACAGACAGTCTTCGTCCGCTGTCCCACTGCAAAGGCATTCATCAGGACCGGTCTACCTTGGAAAGCTCATTAGACCTGTTTTTGTAATGCGTTGCCTCCAACATAATACAACTGGAAATTATCGCCTCTGGGCAACAGGTGGAAATGCAATAAGTTGGACAGTTGCTGGTTGTGAGTGCACTAACTGACCTGTCACATTGGTGTCTCTGCTCAAGTAACCTCATAGCCATCCTGCCACTCCATGACAGATGGCTGCTTTCGTCTGTCTGCCATGCCAAAATCCCAGTCAGCCAACTATTTTGCACTGTGATTCTGCAGCTGGTCCAGCATGGCTTTCACGATATCACAACAGCTCACTTAAAGCAAGAAGAGGAGCTTAAAGAGCCTACAGCAATGGTCATGAGGTTCAGCTGACCTCTGTATCGCCGAAGACAGAGTCCAAAGGCACAGTGAGCAACACTTCCCCTGATGCTACATCTTCCTGAGCCACCAAACCCCTTCCCAGGCCTCCCATAGTACTGACCGCAATTTTCAGATTTCCTGCTAGCATTCATGCCGGCCTTAGTCACGCAGGATGGGCAAATAATTTTATCAGTGCAGGATGCATGGCTGTGCTCAATGACGGCAAAATAGAGTACAGTAGTGTGCTTGCAGTCAGGTCAGAACCGTTTTTCTGTCTTATTATCTGAGAATACAGCACACCTGGAAGAGCTCGGCGCTTTTCGATGAGCCATTGAAGTAAGTTATCTTCGTTTGCTGCACAGGCTCTTGGCTCTGTTGCTGCAGCAAATTGTAATCTATAATGTCTCCGCGTCATTGTATTTGGAGCTGCTGGCAAACATCTTAGGCTAAAGATGCGTTCGCAAGGGCGTAGGCTCAGTGGGCTGTGTGGCATGTTTGGATTCTAGTGCTTCGTGATGAACACCTTGTTATCGAACTAGGCCAGCTTTGACTTATTTATGCACCCTTAAAACAATAACTTCATCGCTTAATCATTGGATCGTCGCAACAATGCAGGATCTGGTTCAATCAAGCCACAGACGATGGGCAGTTTCTCATGGGGAGGAAGCTGGGGGAAGGTTCCAGATTTGGAGTTGGAGATGAAATGTCTTTGCAGAAGTCGCCATACCATCAAGGACCTTTCAAGTGATTATCTCATTTTGCTCCTGATGCTCCGGCTTGAGGACCCATCTGAGTGACAACGCCTAAGGCTCGCCTAGAGAGCTGCTTGAGGACTGCTAATTTTTATCAATAGACTCATTAAACGCTCATCAGTGAATAGAAAAGTCACAAGGGAGATCTGAGAGTGGCAATGGCAGCCAGGCACTTGCAACGGCTCAGAGCAGCCCAAGTTGAAAACCTTGATGAAGAGTCTTCATCTGAAGAGGAAATTGTCGCCCAAAGGGCGCCCTTTAACCCCTTCGATCTGCTGAGTGATGAAGAGGTAAATCCATTAAAACCACCGAAATTGCAGTTTCACCTTCCTGTTGCACCATACAACCACTTTCAGGACAGGTGCCGATCTGAGAAAATGCACTGTTGCTCCTTACAGGCAGGACCTGCTCCGGCTGATGACGATGATGAAGAAGATGAAAAGACCCAGGAGCTCCCTGCTGCGCATGTGCCAGATCTTCCCAGCAACTCAGCGGCCAAGAAGAGTTGCAAGGCAAAGAAAAAGAAAAAGAAAGGAGCTCTGCACACAGAGCAGGAGGACGCCGCAGCGCATGCAGCAGAAGCACAAGACGATGAAGACCTCGACAAAATACTGGCAGAGCTCAATATCCAGTCGGTGAGGCAACTTATCAGTCTGGTCACCTCTCAGTATATCTCTGCTTATCAATGCAGTAACACGAACCATGTTACTACATTTGCAAACACTGCAGAGCAGCATGCGTGTCCACCTTTTCTGTACCCACTGGCAGGGGTTTCAGACACGTGTACTTGCCTGTGAGTTGTCATTACAATGCGCCTGTGGAAGGCAGTGCATTTGGGCAATGCCTTGGCTGCTCTTTCACAGGGGAGCGCCTCAGCAGGAGCAGCAGCAAATGGGCAGCAGCAGAAGGCGCACGAAGCCGCAGAGCCGCCTCTGTTGGCTGTGGACCCGAGAAAGCTGCGAGGGGAGGAGGAAATGCGGCGCATCTTTGGGGCGCGCATCTTGCGCGAGGAGGAACGGGACAACGCCGGAGGTGACATATATCTATGGTCTTGCATTGGAATTCATTGGTGAGGGATCCAATTCCAAGGAGGACAGGTTGGAATTGGTACCCTCAATGGTCGATTGCCAGACCTGCAAAACGTGTGTTTGATCGAGAATGCAGCCATGACAACGCTGACAGCATTGCGCATGACTCCGAGAATGGTGCTCTTTTTGAAGTTACGTTGGGTGTCCCCGTTGCTACGGCTCCTTTCGACCTCCCGCACTTGCTGTAGAGCTGCATTGCATTGCGTGCTGAAGGTTCCCATGCCAGAAAACTGATTTGGCATTTGAGCAAATGTGTCTGCCATGCATGCCCTTATTGCGGGGCTACCCTGTGTGATACACTAATGGCACCGCATCTCTGCTCGTCCAGGGCTCTCATGACCTCCTGGGCAGCTATTGGAACCAGAGTAAATGAGGCAGAAGGCCCAAGGATAACTCCTGGTAACCACGGCACTATCAGGATCCGAGGGCCAGTAACCAAGATCAAAGCATACAGAAGATTAGGAGAACGAAAAAAGTAAGCGCGCGCGCAGGCGGGGTGGTGGGCGCGAACCGGCGCATGCGGCGTGCAATAGCGCGGGGCCAGCTGCGACGGCAGCCGCTGAAGCGCGGCATACTTATAGCTCCCAAGGACACGTGGCCGCGATTCGACGGCGGCATCTCCATGGAGCTCGCTGGAACCTCGGACGAGGGCGCCCAGATCTTCAGCTATACTCACTCCGCTGCCTACCAGGTGCGATATGCCTATTCGATTATTCATCACACGCTGTTCCAGAGGCAAGGTCCGTATGCAGACAAGCTGCATGTGAAGGCTGCCAAAGTCCACCCCTTGATGGACTCGCCAGATCCAAGCACGACAACCACCTATATTGGCGTCTGGGACCTTCCTGCTTTGCTAAGAGTTTGTGCCAGTGACCTTTCTTTGTTACTCAAATGCCGCCTTTGCAGGAGCAAAGTTTTTGCAGCATTCCAACATACTAGGTCTATTCAAGGCCCTGCATCTGCCACCCACTCCACCTAAGGCAGTGTCTCCTGCTTTCAACAACAAAATTTGGGCCACCCTTGGCGTGAATTTTCAACTGCAACTGGTCTAAATACTCACAGGGCTGGGGAGATTGCGTCGGCTGGTCTGTGGGCGTGCCTGCTGCTTCTAGGAAGGCTCCATGGGCCAGAAATTTTGTGTTAATTTCTATGAAAACCTGTGCTTAATGGTTGTGTTGGCTGGTGCGCGGGTGTGCAGGGAGTGCAGGCGCTGTTCGAGGAGTGCCAGGCGACCTTTGACCCCAACAACATAGTGGGTTTGCTGGGGCAGCACCCCTACCACATTGACTCCCTCATGGCTATGTACGAGCTGCACAGGCGCGTTCCCTGCCATAAATCCTTTTGATAATCTCATCCACGTTACTACCCCTTGAACGACTTGTTGCTTCTTGCATGCATGCCATGCCATGCGCTCCGCATGCATGCAGCACGTCCTTCAAGGACTTTGGCAATTGTCAGAAATTTCGTGCAGCAGGTGTCATTCGCGGCCTTTGAATTGCTTGCCTTAGCATGCTCCGTCACAGAAAATGCCTTGTGTTATCACCATTAGTTGGTAGGTGCTGCATTGAAAACTCGCTGAAGCTGAATGTGCTGAACTGGCAATGACCAATATTGCAAATTGAATTTCATCTTTTTCTGCAGGGCCACGGGGCAGCACGAGTATGCAGATGAGATGCTGGAGCGGTGTTTGTATGCGCTTGAAATGGCGTGGCACCCATGGTTCAACCCAGCCATTGGCAACTGCCGGCTGCCCTTTGCGCAGGAGCAGAACCGGCCGCTCTTCTCCGCCCTCTTCAAGCACATGCAGGCACGCGCAGCCACCTGTGCTGATTCCTGCAGAAACATGACATTGCCGAGCCATGGGCAGACATAATTTGGTGTCTTGCTGTAATCTGTTCTGCCCAAATCGGTGTACGCACGTATTTCTCCACAGCGGGAGTCTGCCTCTGAATTTATAAGTTATAAAATATTTCACATGCACTTCAATTTCCATACGGTGCCGTGATGTCAAATCTGCAGATCTCATAGCATGCAGGGTTCAACATGATGCCTTCTGTCTGATAGTGGTCGTGTCGCGTGTATTGACAGGGGTTGAGCCGCAAGGGGCTGCACACAACAGCCTTCGAGGTGGCCAAGCTCATCCTTCTACTGGACCCGGACGACCCCATGGGCGTCATGCTCTGCGTCGACTACTTTGCCCTTCGCGCGCACAACTATGCCTGGCTCCAGGTTTGCCTTTCTTCTGGCAATCCTGGTAGATATTGTTGGGTGCATGCAACTCACCCTCTTTGGACGTCGCTAGGTCCAGCACGTGCGGGTTGCAATGGGCAGCAGCTGTCTGCACATCAGAGGCCTGGATATGACATCTTCTCTTTTAAAGATTGGCAGTGCCCACATGACCAAGCTTTGTCTTCAATGTCATGCAGCCGCTTTACATTCTTGTTGGATCCAGGGTACATTGGTTTGTGGAAATGGCACGAGCATTTGGGCAGGGCAGAGTGCTGACAAGGCAAAAGTGCTGGTGATCCAAAGTTATTTTCGGAAGGAGCTATCTGATCAGATGGCTGACATGGCGAGAGTGTATCCCCGCAGCGGCTGGCTGAGGGCGAGCTGAGGACGGGGCCGGAGGGGCGAATCACGGCGGCCAGCCTGCCTAACCTGGCGTTCTCCATCCCCCTGGCGCGGCTGCGGCTGTGGCAGCAACGCAAGGAGCGCGCAGATGCTGCCGCCGCACGCACAGGTACCCTGCCCTGCTGTTGCTGTATAAGTGGCATACTTCAGGATTACAGCACGTGATTCCAGGATACAGATCTATCACCCTTCATCCGCGTGCCACCTCTGAATGCCTGCTCCCGCACGGCTGCCGTTGGGGCACAAAGCATACGTTGTCATACCCGCAGCCTTGAGTTACAGTACTGCAGTTTTCGCCAGTGCCTGCAAGGTGGGTGCAGGCTTCGGTGTCTTTTGCCTGTGTTATTTTTGGTGCAGCAAAAAAGCGCTGCAAAAGTTCTGCAGTGTGGGAATCTGTGTCCACTCCGGTCTCTTTCCAATCTTGCACCGACCTAATAATGCTTCACCAAAGGCTGGGGAAAGACGGTCAATTATGGTGTTTTGTGGTGTGTCAGGTGCAGCGGGGAAGTCAGGGCAGGTTGAGGAGAACGGCAGCTGCCAGGCTGAGCTGGAGGGGTGCATTGAGGCGCTGACGCAGGCAGTGCTGCTGCACCCACTCGCGGTGACTCAGCTCATGAAGAGGCGAGGCCCCCTTCAGAACTCGCCAAAATACTTGTCTCGCCCTCTCGGTTCTGTTGGACAACTCTCAGCTGATTTGCTTTTCATGTGTGTCAGGGATTGACCTGGTATTATGACCTGCGTACTTTGGCTATTTATCCAGGGATAGGACCCGCCTCTCCAGCGACTTACTGCCTTGTGCATGACTAATTATGCCAAATAGGAGAGTTGCTTAAAATACAATGCATGGCCTTCCGTCTGTTGCTCTGCCGCAAATGCAGCAGCCTATGCGGATTGTAAGCCACTTCTATCCTTGCATCAGGTTGCAGGAGAAAGGGGTGGGCAACGATGCGCAGTGGCTGAGCATCCTGCAGCGGCCGCTGTTTGCCAGGGCCGGTGACGACACCAGTGCCTCCCTCGAACACCTGACCGATATCTTTGTCGAGCGCCAGTGGCTGCTTTGGAAGGTACCTTTCTTTCATCATGCGACTACCTTCACATTCTACAAGGTACCCTTGCTCAGGGCTCTGCTTGCGTGACGTAATTATAAATTGCCACGTGTCACCTTGAAGCTGCACGTCCGAGCTCGACAGCCATATGCTCGGCAGGTGCTCAGAGGAAATACATCGCCTTGCCGAATGCTTGCAAAGGAAGGGCATTCCTTCAGGTCCATTCTCATATGACTGTATATTATGTAATGCTATCTTGGGAGCGCAGGCGCCGGATGTGCAGCTGTGGCTGAGGCGCGCATGCGGGGATGCGACGGAGGGGTCCCTGGCTGAGTCAGCGGGTGACTACGAGTGCGCGCGCCAGGAGGCGTTCCCTGCCTCGGATGACAACGCCTACCGCCACCTGCGCGTCAGTGATTTCTCCGACGCCGTCGCAGCGCTGCCGCCCGAGGAGCTGCAGGTGACTCAGCAGTGACTCACCATGACTGATCCTGCCCTGATCAGGAAACAAAGATGGAAGACAGAGTGAGCGCCAATGCAGGCAGAAGTGTCTGCCTCGCACTTGAGTGGGCCGGAAGCCCCACAATTAGCTTTCTTCCTTTTCACAGTGCTTGGGTCGGTTGCGACAAGTTCACAGCGGCAGAGGCTTTGCAGTAGGCTGCTGCTTGGCAGCAGCTTGCATACGCCTCGCTTGCTTAAAAAGGCGCACCTTTGTAATGCTGTCAACGCCATACTGCGCCTGAAGGGCTGCTGAGCCATTAGCACACAAGTGAGCTACCAAAAAATGATACTGGTCAGCTCCTAGAATTTTGAGTTCGGAGCGTGCAGGCGGCGGTGATGGGACCGCAGAGGGGCGCGCGGGTGAGGCCGGCAGATGGGCAGGCCATAATGCAGCTGGAGGAAGCCCTTGCAGCCATGGCGGCAGCCGACCACCAAGCGCGCAATGTCGGCCCCCAGGCAGGCAAGAGCTACAACTCTGCTTCTGTCTTTGCATTGCCCTCAAAACCCTCGTCATGTCCTCATTTGTCACAGCCAAGTTTCTTTTAGGATCACGCCCAGGGACCTCAAATGGGTTCCTGAATGCCGCCATTTCTGCAAGCTCAACAGAGATTGGACGCCTGAGTCGCCGTGCTGCATTCATTTGCAAGACTTAAATGCTCAAAACGCCCTTGTGACCAGTCTTTATCTCATCCCGTTTGTGGCTTATGGAGGTGCTCTTCAGACCATTGAATCGCACGAGGCAATGAGAGTAATGCTAGTCAATGATTGGATCTGTGTTGCCGCTCATGCAGAGCCCATGGAGGAGGCGGCACTGCGGGAGATGCATCCGCTGCAGGCACTGTTGCGCACGCTGCTGCCCTGGGTCAATGCCGGCCAGGTACCGGACTATGCAGCAGAGACAGATGCAGCCCTGGAAGGTGAGAGACGTGATTGGAGTTTGCCCTTCCACGCAGACCTCCAGATTGGACTTGGGTGGCTCCAAACGCTCAGGGTTCCTGAGACCGCGACCTGTTTGTTTGTTAAGTGAAAGGTGGTGATGCCTGCATAGACTGAGAATAGCATTGCCTGGTGCACCGAAGCCCTACATACCTGTGCCTGCACACCAGTGATTCCAATAATCTTACTTAGATGATACCCAAACAGCAGCGCTGGTTGCTGCATGTAGGGGGTCAGCATGAGCCGCCTGCCGGCCCCGACGGCGCGCCGGCAGCGGCGGCCGGGCCCCCGGGGCCCCCCGGCGGGGGGACCCCGAGGGTCCCCCTGCCGGCGGCGGTGGCGGCCCAGCTGGGGGGCGACGCGCACCTGGAGGAGCAGCTTGTGGATCTGTTTGACCGCATGGACAATGAGCAGCTGGCCACGCTGTTTGACAGCCTCAACGCTGTGGGCAGGGTGGACCTAGATGGGGGTCAAGAGGGGCAGGAGCAGGCGCAGCAGGCGGAGCAGGCGGAGCAGGGGGATAATGGGGGCAATGATAGGCAATAGCGCGACTTGTGCTGGGTTGTGGGGTGCGTTTGGAAGAGAAGGGCAGAGGGCAGGCAGAGGAGAGGGGCAATGGGGGGTTTGACAGGTGGTAGCCCTTGTTGCTTGTGTTGGGATTGTGTGTTGCAATGGGGCGGTTGTGGTATTGCTTGGTGCAGAGCGCTTCTGCGATGCTGCATGGTCTGGACGTTAAAAAGCCACTGCTTAAAATCACATCATCACACGATAGGCTCAAAGTATTGATTGTGCTTGGCCAGTTTTGCTGATTGACACTGATGCCCCTTGTGAATTTCCGCGCAAGTTGCTAGAGGAGTTAATATACATGACATGACGTGATACGTTACAGTGGTCAAGTTAACATATTTTCCATTAGTGGTTCTCATCACCACTGCAATATATACTCTCATTCTCTGCCGCTCACTGCTGCCAGGGGCACCTACAGAGGGTGCAATGCAACATCTAGCCTAGCGCCCATACTCTGCCTACATCAAGAGATCAAGACTTTGCCTACCCATCTTGAGCCCAGTAGCCTAATTTGAACATACTTTCAAGCCAAACAAAGTCTGGCCTTTAAATAAGGGCAGAGCATAAAAACCCCGCCCTTCCCTGACCTGACCTAGTCACCCCAAGCAACCCAACGTTCCTCCATTTAGAAATGGGGTGCAGCATCAAGCAGCAGAGAGCCTGCTATCATGCAAGACAAGCTGCCAGAATGAACCAAAATAGTGGGCATGTTTCACAGAACCGCCAAAGTCACAGAACCACTGTCTACTATGAACCACATAGCACAAAAATTTGCTGCGTAGTGTACGCCTTGCAATGCCTATCTACCCTCAATCTTGCCAGCCAGCCACCTTTGAATTCTACTGGTTATGAAGAGCATCGGTAAGGGTGAGACTCAGTCTCATGCCCTGTTCGACATCAGTCTTTGGAATATCAGTCATGCGACGGGGTGTGTCGTGGCCTGCCGCCCAGCTTCTGCCCTGTCAATCGCCACTTGAAAGGACGGACGCAGGGTTTCAACCACAGCCGCTGCTTTGCCGATGTCCTCCTGCTCAGGGGGAAAGGCATTTGTCAGTTCTGGACACAAGCGTTCTACACCTGCACCCAATGAAACCCAGGTGGCCACACTCACGGTCAGAAATAGGGTGTCCTGAGAGGGAAGGAGTTAGAGCATGCATGAACCAGGGTCTGGAGCAAGACATCCCCGCAATACTTGCTTCTCCTGACAGGGAGAATATGCGCTGCAAGCTGCTAAAATTTCCAATTTGCCGCTGGAATGATTCTGCTGCAGCCTATCTATATTCCCCAAAATGGCATTGGCTTCTTCATTCGCTGTGACAGCCTAGCACCTTATAACACACTTCCTGTGTTTAGCAGTATTGTGAGTGCACCTCTGGGACTTGCAGATCGCGCAAAGCGCCCTCCAAGTGCTCCAGGACAACGTCAAAGTGCTCCATTCGCATTCCCATGTTCCTGGCCAGGCGGTCGTGCGCAGCAGTCATGTTGGCGTTGCCCTCGTAGCTCCTCGAGCCGCCCATAGCATATGTCAGAAACGCGGCCTGCGCCCAAATGGGAGAAGAATAAGACATAGGATGGAGACATGTTGACAATGCAAGCGCCAGAAATGAGATAAAGAGCTGCCTCGCAATGAAACATCACGCAAAGACAACACAATGATCCCCTGGCCCAACAAAAGTTAATCTAGAAGAGGCCAAACAATGTTGCTGCGCCACAAAGTTAAGTGCCAAGCAAACATATTTTTGCCAGCAATCATGGCTCTGTCTTGCAGCAGTGGATGGCTGTCCCACACTGCAGTAATAAAGTAGAAACCGGCCTCATCCACATGCAGATTTCCAAGACGTGTCGGCAATAAAAGGGAACAGTGTGCAGACCTGGTGTGCGCGCTGCTTCTTCATATCAACTCCCTCAAAGAAGTAGCTCACACGGGGGTCGTCGATCATCTTGTCGTAGAAGAGGTCCTGCGCAGACATGGAAACTGTTCAAACTGTTTGGCAACAACTGTTTGGCTGATCGGCAAGCAGGCGCGCTTACTTCGGATGTATACAAACACATGCGCTGCAACATCCATGTCACATGCACAATAACTCGATGTGGTGAACAGGACTCACAACTGCAGCTCTGACAGCTGGGCCGCCGCCAAGCTTCTTGAAGAGGGAAACCGTTTTGCTAGGTGCCTCGGCAGTCACTGCAGTGCCGTGGGCTGTGGAGGCAGGTGCCAGCGCCTGAACACACATTACCAAGTCTTCAATTGACGCATTTGACCATGTTCGATATGTTTACAAGGTAGCAGAGGGCAGCGTTGAGCAGGTCGCACGATTGGCAATGGTTGGATCCGCTGAGACAGGCTTGACAGACAGACATGCGCGGCTCTTGTTCAGGTCGACCGTACCTGCTTGGCGATGCGACCCCTGCTGTTGGCGGTGGAGCTCACAGATATACGATAATTGCCACGGTAAGGCTGCAAAGGCCGGCCTGCGCAGGAGCGAGGACAACACAATGCTAAAAGGCACGAAGGAACCTAAAGCAGGTTGATATATGGCGACGAATCCTGCTGAGACACATTGAAGGCTCCAGAAGTGCTTGCAAATTTCCAAGGTATAATTGATTGGTTTTTATAATAAAAAGGGGGGCCTCACTGTTTGCGCGCCCCGTCGACAGAAACTTTGCCGGTACCACACAGGTGTCGAGATAACTGCGGCAACACTAATCCTTCATCGATTCAAGATCTAAGAGTGCATGAAGGAAACAGCAAGCCTTCAAGATGCACCTTTCCAGCTTGTTGTGAAGCATATGGTACCAAGACGGAAGACAGATGTAGTACGACTGTATAGCGGGGTTTGCATCGAGGGTCCTCTTCGCACCTTGACATCTTCTTGTCCTTGCTGGTGTAGCTAAGTAGTCTGGAAGTTCGAGATTTACAATGGATTTCTGCTTGTGAGGTGACTTTGGCGAATTCATGGAAGCGAGCAGAAAGTGACGTCAAATTTGATCTCCAAGGCATCACGAGAGCACGGGTCTCCATTTACGCAATATTGCAAATGGGCATGTGGGGTCGCTTCCGCCACCTTCCAGACCCAATCGAAAACTTGGGCTTCTTCTGACATGAGCCTTCGAGTGTCCACTCTTGGAATGCTGCCCTTCCAAGCTGAACTCATAATGCTCTGGCCCAATACCAATTCTGTTCTGGCGACTGGGCCACACGCTACATGTCATGTCACATGTGCACTGACAGTGCTCGGGACCTACAGCATGCTTTGTGCATGCGCTCATGTGTACATGATATGTTGAATATCATGTACACATGATATTCAAAGGCCAGGTCTCAAAGGCAAATTGATTACTTGTGCTCCTGTTCTTCATTACATCGATAAGATCAGATCTGCACAAGTTCCTGCAGATGCGCATGAGCACGGTGATTGAAGAAAAAATATGGAAATAAGCACACAGTTTGCTCTGTTCCACGGAATAACAAGTGCGCGCAGCTGCAGGGCACTTAGAGTCCCCTGTGTTCGATTTCTGACGAGTCCTTCCGTCAAATTTAATGCACTGAGTGGCCACGTGCCCATGGGCCAGTGCATCACCTGCTATATATACTGGTATCCTCAGTCTTTGGCGCTCACTGCAAACAGACGTCTAGCCTAGAAACCATGCTTTGCAAACGTCAGACATAGTGTGCTTTGTTCAAGCCTAGATGAACACATCTCAAGCCATATAATATTCTGCACCTGGAATAAGGAAAATGCCCTTCCCTGGCCTGACCTAGTTGGCAAACTCTGATAATCCCACTTGTGTGCTTCAAGGAAAAAAGGTGCAGCATCCAGCAGCACAGAGCCTGCTGGTGAGGAAGACAAGCTGCCAGAATATACCGAGTAGCGGGCATGTTGCACAGAACAGCCACCGTCATAATTCACTATATACAGAAATTTGCTGTGAACCGTGCACCTTGCAATAATTACCTACCTAATCGTGCCAGCCCGCCAGAAACTAATTATACTTGACACATATTTTCCCAGCAATTGCCTCATGGAGCAAATCGCCTGCCTTTTCCGTGCTGTCAAGCACATGATATTGCAAGGAAACTCTTTTGCAAGTCTCCCTACTTGTCGCTCGCACTGCCTTTGTGCCTCTCGCATGCTCTGTTGAGTTGCATGCTCTGCTGAACTAGTCACCGCTTTAGTCGTACGTCAGCGTGAGTCATGGCCTGCCGTTTGGCTGCGGCCTCGTCGATCGCCACTTGGAACGCTGGGCGCAGAGTCTCCACTACAGCCGCGGCCTCGCCAATGTCCTCCTGAAATTGAAGATTGTCAGGTTTTGCTTGAGCTTTTTGGCCTTACCCAAATTCTCAGACTGGCCACCAGGGTGGTCAGCATACTAGAACAGGGCACCTGGTTGTGCATATTTTGTAGCAGGTGCAGATGTTGTGCAGACGCAAGGCATCCCATACCTGTCTACCTCTTATCAACAGAGAGGCCAGATTTATTGCAATCTAGCAATGTTCACACAGGCACTGGGGCTAGAGGCAGACCACTGAAGAGCTGGAATGTCTGTGTGCGAGATGACCTTGATGCTATTGGGCATCCATATTGCTGGTGGAGGAAGTGCAAGAATTGAGAAGACTGGAGAAGAGTGATCCAGGTGTTGCTTGACGTACCTAGCTAGTCCTTGAGGACTGAAAAACGTGTAATAGTAACAAAACATAACGTTCACACGATGCACCCCAAAACACTCAGTGACTCCGCTGCCGGCCAGCAGAGATGAGCGAGGCATACATGCATTGCTTGGCCCAATTGAATCAGCAGGGGCCCACCTCTGGGACTTGCAGGTCGCGCAGAGCGCTCCCCAAGTGCTCCAGGACAATGTCAAAGTGCTCCATGCGCATCCCCATGTCTCTGGCCAGTCGGCTGTGCGCAGCCGTCATGTCGCCGTTGCCATTGTAGCTCTTTGATCCGCCCAGGGCATACGCCAGAAAAGATGCCTGCATGTGAATATCAATTTGAACTTGGAATTTTGGATTTTGACCTTTACTTCTGACATTTTGCATGCCAATCCATGAGGAGCAGGTGCGTCGCAGCAGCATTCATGGCAGCCTGACACCTTGGGTCATCTCGGCAATCTTTGATTTCTTTCATTCAACTTCTCCAAAGAGGGATGGTGTCTCCGTGCTTTGGGCAGTGCATGCTTGCACTGAAAGGCCTCATGAGCGCCATGCATATCAAGAAGTGTGCAACATGGATCAATATGTAGGTGAAGACTTGGGTGCAGCGGGCAGACCTGGTGTGCGCGCTGCTTTTCCATATCAATCCCCTCAAAGAAAAAGTTCACGCGGGGGTCAACAATCATCTTGTCATAGAAGAGGTCCTGCGCAGACCAGTCAGACATGTTTTGACATAATTCCTTCTTCTTGGCGTGCTTGTCTTTCTCAGGATGTATGGTTATTGTCAACTTATTATGCTCATGACTATTGGGTGAAAAGCGCTTGGAGACTTGCCACTGCGGCTTTAACAGCTGGACCGCCGCCCAACTTCTTGAAGAGGGTATCCTTGCTGACGCTGGGTGCCTCACCAGTTGTGGTGACGGTCTGGTCAGTGGTGGCACATGCCAACACCTGCAGGCACAGATGTGCTCTTTGATTAACACACTATACCATGATCAAGGTCAATAAATCGAAGGCAGGAGGCAGTCAGTTTGCAACTTCAACGACGGCTATGGCTGACATCAATAAGGCATCTCTTGTGTTCACATCCATCGTACCTGCCTGGTGAGACGTCCTTTATTGTTGGCGTGGCGACAGAAGATTCTGTGGCTGCATCTTTGAGAAGTGTGGAAAGAGCTGCCTGCGCAAGAGGAAGGACAACACAATATGATGGGAGCATAAAGGAATGAAAAAGGGTTGGTGAAGAGGCGACGAAGGCAGGTGAATTACTTTGGCCGTTCTTGAAGTTTCTTTAAACAAATCGTAGTGCAATTGCTCATGATCTTAGAGAAGGTGGCCTCACTGCTTGCGCGCTTTGTTGTCAGTGACACATCCCGTACGACACACCCATCGAGACACCTGCACTACCGACGTTAACGTTGGATTCAAGCTTATACAGGTAAAACATTGCATGAGACAGACTGTTTCAGTACGCAGCTCCAGTGCCAAGTGTGAAACTTGCGCATAAAGGACAGAAGACAGATCTGTACGGTGGTCGGGTGGCCGCTACACGCGGGTTGCAATGCGCACCTCGACATCTTATTGTTGCTAACCTTGAATTTGTACAAGTTTGGATCTGGAAATCTTTGCAGATTGTGCTTCTCGAACGAACTTTGTGAATCTTAAAGCGATCGGAAGTGACGTCAGAAGCAACCAGGTGAGCCTCCAAAGGAAAGGGGCACGAGGACACGTCATGGGACGCCACAACATCATGCATGATGCCAAGGGGTCGCTCCCAGTCACCTCGACCCAGATCAGAGAAATCTGAGCAATCTCTGGCATGTGCACTCTTGGACTACTGCGAAAGATTATGCTTTGGCAATAAAAATGGCTGCCCTATGGGGCCTCAAGCACTACTGCGGTTCATCGGTATCGGCCAGTGATCACTCAGTCATGCCTCAGAGGTGGTCCCGGCAATGTGCATTGGGATATGCCGTTCTTCGGAAAGGAGCTGTCCTTCCTATTATCAGTCTGGGGAGGCAGATCCTTTCCAGCGATGATGTCCCTGTGCAGCTGTCATCTTTGCGGTTTTATTATTTTTTTAGTGTGTTGACATTGCAAATGCTTCCCGGTACAAATACTGAGCACCGTGCCCATGATTGGTAGTGTCATGCTTGGATCTGGCGAGTCCAACAAGGGGTAGGATTGTGGCAGCCTGTAACTGCAGCTTGTCTGCAGGACGCACCTTGCCTCTTGGCAGGAAAAGCGTCAATAATAACAAAATAAAAAGTTCTTCCCTGACCATGCACATGCATGCAGTCAACTGGACCCAAGGCATCAGCACACAGAACCGTATAGTTACTGGCCATGACCTCTTGATTTAGCCCATGATGTCCTTCCGTTGGTTCAAACAGATTCAATTCAAATGTCAGCAATACCTCATCAGCAAAATTTCCTTACCAGCAAGGACCCCTCCAGGAGATCCAGCGTATTGTGTTTGTCAATCCTGTCGGGATCGCTGCAGCTGGCTCGTGCCTCCTGTGCAAATTTGTTGCAGCTCTGATCATAGAGCCAACACCTTCACTTGTTGCGAGTCAGGGTGTATTCCTCTTTGCAAGCTATGATTTCAAGGATTCTGAGGCTCTGCAGCAATTCTTACGGGCCCCAGCAAGTCCGGCATCCATTCAGCAATACTGCGATGTTGCCCTGCGCCCCAGAAAGACCCATCAGGCAATCAAGCACAGCTCAGCAGCTTCATGCGGCTTCTCAATCAGCTGCGGCTTCTTCCAGATGGGGCAGCTCAGCATGACATTACTGCCTCTCACCATGAACAAAACAACGGCTAGTGAAGCCAGTGCAGGCTGGAACAGACACACCTCAGCGAGAGAAGATGACAGCAGATCAATCACAGTGAGGACATCAGACTGGCGGGCAAAACTCAGCATCGAATAAATTTTTTTATAGTTTGGGCTTATATTTTTGAATTTTTAGGGTTTGTAATTTACACATAAACCCTAAACCCTAAGAATGTGCTTAGAACAGCAGGAGGAGCTGCTAAGAGGCTGTATATGATTAGTCACCTGTAAGAGCGCGCATAGTCCAGTTTGTGGACGAGCCAGTTGAGGGCAAAGTAGATGGCGGCCCCTGTTCCCCGCCACATGCGCATGAAGAACACCCGGATCGCCACCCACCGGAACCTGCAGCAGTAGTGTTGCAACTCGTCTCAACTATCGCTGCAAACACAGTTTACAGCTAGTTTTTAAGCAATGCAAATGCTGGAAATGCCATGAAAATAGTCCCAGTTCGTATTGCATTCTGACAGCCTCTGTAAGATTCAAGATACTGCGCTCTCCACAGCGCTGATGCGTGCTCACAGCAGTCACCCACCTTGTCAGAGCACCGGCATCACTGCTATAACCCGTCACTTCAAAAAACTTGCTGCTAAGCAATTGTCTACTGGCCAGATGTGGGGTGAGCATGGATGAGCCAAGAAGGCTGAGGCATTTGTCTATGCATGAATAAGGTGCGATATACCGTATCTGATACCAGAATTTCTGATAAAATTCAGGGGGTTAGGGGGCTGCGCACCGCTTGTGGGCATCTCCTGTACAATTTTTCAGGGTCCACAGACGTGTTGACTAGGGTGATGTGTAACAAAAAAGGTCACATCCGATACCTATGTTTGAAGAGAGAAATCGCCTTCCAAAATAGGTTTCTGGGGAGTAGAAAAAGGGCCGCGCACCGCTTGTGCGCCCTGAATGTGTGAATGGCGCGCTGGTACTGGTGGTCGCGGATCCTCCTCACAGCCGCCATCCATCCCAGCTTCTCCACATGCGCCCTAGCCGCCTGCCCCATTGCCTCGCGCGCAGCCACATCGTGCACCAGCTTCCTCGTCAGCTCTGTGGCTGCCGTGTAGTCATTCGGCGCGTACAGGTGACCTGCGTACTCAAAGTAGCCATGTGATTCAGAACTGCAGGTTCTGGGCTTCCCAAATTTGCTATAAGCCTGAGACAGGAATGGTGTCACTCTGCAACAAAAGATCGAATGCTGCCTGCATACATGTGCCAAATGACAAGGCCATCTGCTGCAACCCAAGCACTGTTAGGTGCAAGCCGGAAATCCCATGGTATCAGTCCATAAGCTGTCTGGAACATAGCCCCTCTCCTTGCTTTTTATGCAACATCTGCTGGAGGCTAGGCATGCTAAGGACTCTAAGGTCTGAGACAGAATGAGGGATCAGCTCACCGATGACGCCCGGCTTAGTGATGATGTCCACAAGGCCGCCAGCTGCCACTGCCACCACGGGCAGGCCAGAAGCCATGGCCTCAAGTGCCACAAATCCGAGCGTCTCTGTCTCGCTGGGCATCATGAAGATATCTGCTGATGCGTACGCTGACGACAGCTCCTCGCCCCGCAGCATACCCTGCAGCCGTAAGGTGTGACTAATTACAGCGGACCGAGAATGTACAGTTGCATAACTTGCAGCGCCCCCTACCATGCAGAAAGGCGGGTATGCCTTCATGAAACGCAAGAAAGCTCTACCCCATTCTGCGGCTGTGAAGGTGTGCAGCTTTGTATGGATTAGAAAGAAAGCTGCGAAATCGCTGACACACCATCGTTTGCAGTGGCACATTTCAGAAGATAGAAATAGCGCAGCGCTCACAAGCCAAGAAAATATTCCCCAACTCTGGTACAAAGCATGATTGCAGTAGAAGCTGAGGTCCAGTATGTACTTCGTGTGCCTGCTGCAACCTGCCCATAACCTGGTGTCTCGCTCTCTGCGACAGGTTCCTACATGGGAACACTTTGCAGGAAAGTAAACAGCCCAGTAGGTAAATGCTGCCGCCCTCCCGACCATATCACTACTGTGGCATCGGACAATCAGACAGTAAAGCCACACCGTGAAGTAGACTGGGAGGCCCTCAAAGCGCTTGGCAAGGTCAGGCCGCGAGGGGCCATCACCCACAAAGCACAGGCACACGTTGGAAGGAAGGCGCTCCATCATTCCCTTCAGCGCCTCCAGGTTCTTCTCTGCAGCACCAGCAGCAGCAATTAAGCTTGTCCATCACGTGTAAGTAGGGCTTTCAAAAGAGGGGTCAGTCTCTGCTCGGCAGCAGGGGAGGTCGTTGCAGGTAAAAGCGCTTATGACAGGTAAGCATGTTCCAGCTCTGTTGGGTCTTCATGCTGCAATCTGAAGGGAGGATGCACCCAAGACATCAATTGATACAGAACATCCCCATCTCCCCTCAAACGACAACAGAAGCTCACCAGAGACTGAACATTGCTTCTCCTCAAGGCTCGCAATTAGGAGATGCAACCTAAGTCTTGATCCCTCGTATTCATGCATTGCAGAGCAACCATCCAATTCAACTCAATAGAACATCAGACTGAGCTTTTGCAGGCCTAAAAGAGTAAATAAGAGGCAATAACTATGACAAGAGGGGCCACATACCTGCGCCAAGGCGACCCACATAGGTGAGGATGACTGAGTCTGGTTTGCCGCCGGACATGCGCGCGCGCATCTCAGCGCTCCTGAACCCCGGGTTGAACACATCCGTGTCCACCGCCTGCTGCCACACGTCGATGCGCTGCGGCCGGCACTTGTTCCTGCTCAGCTCCGTCTGCGCGCATGCAGAATGGAGATGTCATCCAAAATTGATGCCACGCAACAAATGCCGAGCTGCAGCTCTGAATTTGGTTCCACTCTTCCCGTCACATGTCAGATCAGGACTTGGGCATTGACACAGGGTGTACAGACTTGTCGAGCAAAATTTGCAAAAGTACCCATAAAAGGAATGGAACCTCACCACTTGCATGCGAGCAAGGATGCATGCCTACATGCATACATGCATGTCGCTCCCTCTTGCAAAATCAGTGACGGAATGAAAGAGAGGCTGCCATGTGGACACCGAGGGCTCCAGCAACCCAATTTAAAGGGATGCGCAATGGCGCACCTTCATGGTTTTGGAGGGGACGAGGGTGAGATCAGCCATGAGGATGTTGAAGCGGATGACTCGCCACATGGGCCCCACCAGGCCCTTCCAGGTGTACTTGGGGATGTACTCCGGGATGTGCGTGTGGTACGACACCTGCATTTCAAGTTCCGATTTGAAACTGAACTTGACTTCTGAACTCGCACCAGGCAGCTCCAAAATGCATGTCTGAGCATGCCTTGACAAAGCATTTGGCGCAGAGTGGGCTATCCTTCAAGTTTACAGAAGCCTCGTGGTAAATAGCTGCCTTGCATTTGAGCAAAAGGGTGGATGGCAGACGCCTGCATTGATGTATCCAGTGATCTGAATACTAATGCGCATATAGATGACATGCCAGCATAAGGCGCCTGGTAATTTCTCGATCCTCAGAAAGGTCACAATAAAGCGAGGAAGTGGTGGTGCACCCATTTATGACACCTTCGAAAGAAAAGACAAGGGCCTCACCACAAGGGGGATGGCAAGCAGCTTAGCGTACAGGGTGGCAGCAAAGACCAGCAGCCCAGGCGATGACACATGGATGACGTCAGGCCGCTGGGTGATCAGAAAGTACAGGACCCGCACTGACAGCCCCAGCGAGAGCAGCAGCGTGGGAGACCGGTAGAAGGGCAGACTGAAGCCCAGCACGTTCACCACCTGTGACATCACAAACACCTGCCATTCAGCACTGGAATTCAGGCACATGCATAATCTGATCCACTCCCCAACAGGTGTTTCTGGCAACCCCGTGGGAGTACATTTGCTTGCCATTGTATCATGGCAGCATGGAGCATCATTAGACAGCAGTTGGCCAGTCAGCCCTGCAGAATTGATGTAGATGAAGGTACTTCAAGGGAGGAGAGATCAAGGCGCTGCCCCGTCAAACACAGAAGTCGACAGAGGCGCTACGGCCAGAGAATCTCAGCATGTGAAGCGGCGCACCTTGGCGCCGTGGAAGGTCTTTGGGGGGTTGATGCAGGGGGTGACAACCATGACATCGTCGCCGAGTTGCCTCAGGCCCTTGATGAGGTTGCTGAACCGGATCTTCATGCCTGGAAAAATTTAGGCACACACGGCAAAGTTTTACATCGATAAGGAAATCTTTCTGATGCGCATGCGCAAACCCCGACAAAGTGCAAAGGCATGATACGCAAGTTGTGCTGTCTTGGATATATGCTAAGACTGATATAGACAGCTGCCTTGCGCTGAGACAAGGAGGTTCAGGTCAGATTGAGGCACTGTCAAACAGGCATGCGTTGGGCTAATTGGAGGAGATGTACCTGAAACATGGCTGAAGGGGCTGGGCTCAACAAAGATAGCTATCTTTTTCTTCTCTTCATGGGCATCGGCTTTCTCAGGCTGTGGCACTGCCAGAACCTCGGCTGCCTGCGCTGATGTGACGGTGGCTGGCCTCCTTTTCTGAGCTATGGACTTTCTTGTCACATTAGGTGGGCGAAAGGTGCTGACTCGCAAGGTGAGGGATGTGCTTCCTGGTTTGCACGTGCTGCCAGCCGATGCTGAGGATTGATGCTGCGTTATCGTGTTGGGAAGCAACATGACTTCGCACATTAGAGTAGACGAATACCAGCGCTATCGCAGCTTCCTAGCCACTCAATTTCTCGCACGCGGCCAAGGATTGCAGAAGTGTCGACAGGACGATGCAGCCTTTCATTTGCTAGCGTCCAAGTTGAACCACTCTGCCTGCAACAGAACACTGCTGAAGCACACGAATGATCGCCTCGCACGTGAGAACATTCGTTTAATTCTGTCTGGCGCGACGATGCGCATATTCCTTGGAGAGAAGAGAATCAAAGGGCTTCGCAATATTGATGTATCTAGAGTCGAGGGTTCAGGGTGAATATTTTGTTAGAAGGCCGAATGATATGGATTTTGCTGTTGCAACCTGTGCAGGGAGGGTGCACAGTGCTGGAGCGTAAGCAACATAACCAGTCTCTTGTAGCAGCTGTGTCTGTACAGGGCATCTGTTCAAGAGTGCTCTTAAGAGCTTTAAAGCTCAAGCCGCCGATCGGGCAGCTGGAAGTTTAAACTAGTGTCACCAACAATTTGATAACTTTATTCCTGTCCTAAATTCCAGCATGTTGTTGCACCTCTAAGCAAGACCGGGGTTGGCTAAGCATGTCAAGTGCTGCATTAATTTCCATCATCACATAATCATTCACATAATTTTGATTGAGGGCCCAATTCACAGGGGACTTTCCAGCCCCCGAAAATTCAGTCGGACAAGTTCCAGCCCTGGAAGGATAGGATCCATATTGGCATGTTGAGATTCCCACCATATCCTGATTAAGGTGTGGATATGGTGTGGGCCCATGGGCTGGCCAGCAAATACCATAGCCACAGGGTGGGCTATGACACCACACAGCTGTGGGGCTGCAGGCTGCTCCTTCCAAGAAGTCCAATCATGCTATGAGAATTTCACCCCGACATCTCCATCCCCAGAAAACATCCTAAATCACAGCACAGCTCCTGTCAGGCCTGTCTGCCCAGGGGATCATTTGAACTTCAGACATGGAAAAGCCAGCCCGGCAAGGCCAACCCTCAAGGCTCTCAAGATCTGCTGAGCAAAACATTGCAAAGCACGGGTGCATATACTGCCCACGGGAAATTAGAATGCCCACTGAATGTACACATTTAAGTAGTATACCAGGAGTAAATACTCTTCGCAACACATGCGTGTGCTAGTAAGGGCAGTGGTGAGAGATGAAAGGAGCTTACTGGGCCCTCCCTTGTGCTTCCAACAGGCGGATGACTTCAGTGAGCAGAGCAGCTGGTACACCCTCGAGCTCTGCAAAGCAGGAAACTACCCCTGTGAGAATAATCATGCACCCTACTTCACTGATTACAAGATGCTCCAGCTGGAAGTTTTCCAGAGATGTCAGCCTCTGAGGAGTGCATGCCCATCAAACTGAGATTTTAGAACCCCACACTCAACCTAGCAGGTAGCTAGCAGCACACTTCAGTGCTAATTCTCCAGCCTTGTTGCAGAATAGGTGACGCCGCAGTACCTGTGCCCGTGACATCATCGCCGGATGACAGCTCATCCAGTGTCATGACAGTGTCCTGCAGGCCAAACTGCCTGATGACAGAATACAGCACGTCCGCCCACTCTCCCAGCTTCTTCCACAGCACTAGGCATCGCTGCTGTGATTTGTCCAGCCACTGTGCATTGCCTGCGATTACATGTTAGTGAACTCAGTCAAGCGCTGACATCAGCGTGCCCAACCACACTGGACCTGATCTAATGCATGGGTACCTTCCAGCCAGAGCAAATTGTTTGAATATCCCTCTTGGCATCTCAGTCGAGGAATAAAGAGTGGGTGGCTAGATGCTCTCGTGTGTGCAAGAATTCAGTTGGGAGCGGCCTCCAAGGGCAAGCATCCAGGAATGTTGCATACCTCTTTGAGTGAGCTCGTTCAAGAAGACAAGCCTGGCTTCCCGATTGAGCCTCCCTGTGACACAATATCCCGTGGTCATGCCACTTTCCGTAGCCAGTGAGTCACCTTGCCAATGTAGAAACATCAATGGCTGGTAGTGCTTACTCTCGATTCGCTTGTTGAAGAAGAGAGGGGAGTCGTCAGCTGTATCAGTCGACAGAACGTACACCTGTGATTAGACGCCAATTTCAGAGGACTGCTGATGCCGATGAGGGCGTTTGGAAAGATGCTTGCCCTCCAGATTACATACCTTATTGTGGCGACAATATCGTAAGATCAGCTCCGCCCAAAGTTCAATTTGTTTTTGTCGGGTCTCTTTCACTGGCTGAAGCCTGCAAGATAAAGATCATCTCGTAGTGTGAGAGCCAGAGCAGCTGAACAGCAAGCAGAAGTGAAACGCAATCACAGTTCTTCAAGTACACAACAGCACAGTGCCTTGATTGTATTCTCACGTAAAGTATGGAGGGTAGTTGAAGAAGAAAGGGAACTCAAACTCTGTCATCGGATTCCCTTAGCAATGAACATGGAATGCTGGATCCGCGAACTTGATGCTACCATGTTGCATTGAAACTGATAGGATAAGTCCAGGAGAGAGTGCACTTCTTGCGCCCCTACTAAAGAGCACAAGCTGTTGCAGGATTGATCAGGGCAAAGCTCAGATCTGGGAAGTTCGGGAGAAGTCACGTAACCTGAGCATTGAAAGGAACAGCTCAAATTACACATTGAACATCAGCATGCGCAACAATGTGCAACTGGACTACTCGTGATAGAGTACGCACTGTTGGGAGAAGGGCCACAGCTCAATAACGCAGTTTGGCATCCAGGTTGATTGTTCTAGCTTGCTTGGGAGTTTCTCTATTTGGCAGAGCTTGGTTGGCAATGGGACCAATTGAAATTCCAAGGGACGACGCTTTTTTGTGCTTCGGGTGGGCCACTGATGAGCAGTAAGTGTTGGTCCCCTTGGAGAGTAGCGTCTTACATTGAGCTGAAACCGCATCGTCAAAGAGTGATCCTATGTTTGGTTTCGTTGATCAGAGAGTGGCAGAAGCTGCAGGTCAGTTCTTCTTCCATCTGAGTCTCTGGAGCTATTTTAATGCAAGGTCCAGTGGAAACCTTGATATGTAGTCCAAGGTGGGCATGAAATCCTCCCAAATTCTTGCCGTGTAGGTTTTGGGGAAATAAAAGCATTGCAGGATTACCTGGATGCAAATCCTCATCAGCTGGACAATCGCACCCTATTTCAGAGCAACCTGCTGCACATCGCTGCACGCAATGGCCAGACTGCCATTGTAGAGGAGCTTCTGCGACGAGGAAGCGACTTGGATGCCCTGGACTACGTGAGGATCATTCACAACCTTCCTGACTTTTCTAAATCTTCTCAAGCATCAATCGTATGCTGTCGAGTACGTTTTTTGTTGTCTGTGCCAGCTGTGCAGGTCTCTTTCTGTCTGTCACAATCTGCAAGCATATGTTCTGAAATTGTGTCTGATTATTGCAGGGTGGCATGCGGCGCACAGCACTGCATTGGGCTTGCCAGGGAGGGCACGTGCGCATTGTGGAGTTGCTTGTCGACCATGGCGCCAACACTCAGGTAGACCCCCCTCATTCGCCTCCGTGCATCAGGTGTAGGAATGGCCAGTATTGCCTCATCGTGCTAGTGGGCATTCATTGGGGCATTGCTTTGCTGGAGGGCAAATTATGTGCAAGGCAGAGCAGTCCAGGACAGTACAGCATCGTGGCAGCTTCACTCTTGCCAAGCCGAGAAAGATTTCAAGAGTGCAGTCATGGGGGGCTAGATCTGATGAGAGAACCCATGGGTGTCTGCAGATCTGGTGCTCCCATGACATGCTCCAGCAGCAGCAGCAGCAGCAGGTGTACATTCTGCACATCTGCAAGAAAAAGTGCACAGCTGGCATGAAATGGACTTGAGCAGGCAGATGGCTGGATGTGCCCAAGAGACAGCCCCCGTAGCCCAAGTATCAAGAGGATGAATGCATGTAGCTTTGTCAGCAGTCTCCTGTATTGCTTTGGCAAGGAGAGAAAGCGAAATTTATTGAAAACATGTGGGTGGCATGCAGGTACAGGGCAAGGCATGGACCATGCTGGTGCAGGGGAAGCGCTGTGGGCGGCTGATAGACCAAGATGCGCCATTTGAAGACTCTCCCAGCAGCCTCTGCTCAAATTATGCTGTCAGGTGCACCAATATTCCCTGTCACACACAAGAGGGAAGTAAATTGTGATGTGTTGTGCACAGTGAGTAACTCTGCTGATCAAGACAGCCCTGCAACAAGCCTCCTTTGTCTTTCAAGATGTCTGTGCTGCACTTCAAGCTCTGATGTCCATGCTTTTGCAGTGATCTGGCTATGGGGATTGCCTATTGCAAATCTATTTATTGATTGCACCATGACTTGCTGCAGGCTGGCGTTGGAGCGGCCAGCATGGACGCCAGAAATACACTACATGTTCCCTCTACGCTTTAAGGTCAGCATCCCTCCCTCCATGGTCAGCGAGCTGTTGTGCTGTGTCAACCAGACATTTTTGCACTGTCTGGAATGGTAGCTAGCACCTGCTAGAAATGTACGCACTTCTGAGATCGCAGACGTGGCCACAATTGATTGATTGCAAATGGTGGCTTTTGTACCGTTCAAGGCAGAATTGAAATGTTGCGTGAGAGGTATGTAGTTCAGCTACTTTTGTGCCCCTTGTGCAGGAATTGGTGCGCTTGATGCTGCTCTTTCAACACAGCGGCAGAAGCGCTCCCTTTGTGGACAGTGCAGCACCGGCTGAACCAAGTCCGGCTCAAGAAAGCAATAAAAGTCCTGATAATGGTGTACAAGGTGCAAGGAGAGCACTGCTTAGAACTGAGCAGCAGCTGCCGACAAATGCGCGGGAAAGTCAGCAGCTCGATTGGGACTCCCTCAGGGACATTTTTGCCCGGTCAGCATATCCCATCAGTGCCTGGTTGTGAAAGTGTTCCACCCCTGTATTGCTATTGAGTCCCAGCTACGTCAGCTAAGCACCCATGTCATGCGCCAGAAATCTTTCGGCATCCTGTTAAGTAGCGTTATCGTCCACTAAAGTAGTGGATTTGGATCACTCGGGTGCCCTGCTGCCTTCTGCCCAAGCTGATGCTGCCAATGAGATTCAGGCAGTGCACATTTTATTCCTCCGTGGTACGTAATTCTCACCATTTTGCGTAGTGATTCTCAGATTGCAGTCAGAGCAAGATGGAAAGCTTGACAAGCGGCAAGAGAGACAGAGGTTGTGCTAACCTAGGTTCGACTTCTCCGGGTACACGTGTGCTAAAGTCGGGCTGCCAGTGTCAAATCTTGGGCTTGACAGGGACGTAACGTGTATGACACAGTGAGTGTCGTTTTTTCTTATTGACAGTGTTGTACACCTCCCTCGAGTCTGCCAGGGAGTGCATCGATTGCATACTTTTTGCATCTGCAATTTGTCTGGCCTGGAATCACGTGTAGAGGTGGATTGGAGTCTTGATTATTTTGTAGATGAGACTTGGCACTTCATAGCCAAGTCAGAAAGGGATAGTTAGAGGTGGCTAGGATCTCGTGCGCGAGGTTGTCCTCCTTCAATACATGCACAATTCAAAACCCTTGCTCATACCGCCTTTCCGAAGACTGCTTCATTGGACTGCAAGAGGTAGATTATGTATGGACGTTGTACTGTTGCCTACCTTGACAGAAAACTTTAGGAGCGCGCTGAGAGCCTCTATCTTCTCCACGCTGCCCTGCTGCCACTGGGTTAGCACATTTGCCTCATCTATGCAGATGATGGGCCAGTTGCTGCTAGGAGTCTTGCCAGACTTGTACAGCTTTAGCATCTCATCGAAGACTTCAATGACGTTGTTCATGGTCTCAATCTGCCTCGGCAAGTTGCTCTCATCTTTTTCAGCTCAGGAGAAAGGCGATGCGGAGACCTTTACTATCAGTGGAGAGAAGGTGGTGATAGCAATTTTGCGGAGGCACATTGAGACCATGAACGACGTCATTGAAGTCTACGATGATTTGTTGAAGCTGTACAAGTCTGGCAAGACTCCCAGCAGCAACTGGCCCATCATCTGCATAGATGAGGCAAATGTGCTAACCCAGTGGCAGCAGGGCAGCGTGGAGAAGATAGAGGCTCTCAGCGCGCTCCTAAGTTTTTTTGTCAAGGTTGGCAACAGTACAACGGCGGCAAGGTTCCCCAGAAGACATGATAGTCTATCCAGTGCTGTTGTTGCGTTCTCTTTGAGGAGCCTTACCAAGACGCTTGCCTCCGAGAGGTGTCTGGCTCGTGCATAAAGATAGGATGGAGGGTAGCCGCTGACAGATGCAATGCCGCCTGGAACCTCTTGAAGGCTGTTTTGCCGCTGCTTCTAGGACCCAGGACAACCAGGATGGTGCACCACGTGGTGGGTGCTTTTTGGAGATACTATTGCAAGTAGTACTATCGCAAGGCATCACGCTCGGCCTTTCGATCAATTTGCAAAGAAGCTAGCTCCCTGGAGGACAATGACAGCGATGAGATCTGCTTGTCGTGAAGAGTGCCTAGGCCTGCCAATTGGGTTCAACACGAGAAGATAGGCCAACAGTGGGAGTGGATCCTACCTTGTTCTCAGCGTTTGTGACAAGGCTCAGTCCTCGTGCACGCTGTTTGATAACGGTGCGATGTGTAGCAAAGACACGATGGCTCGAGTAGGCAGACTTTGCCCACAACAGACCACTGCAAAGGAAAACCACTCCTCACCTTGGGAACCCTCACGAAGCAGCGAATGATCCACACCAGAAGCAGAACATAAACTGAAGCTCACCGTGATCTGCCGAATGTAGACAAGTTGGAGGCCGGGACTTGCAGGCCTGACTCCAGATGCCAAGTGCCCCTGAAGCACTTTTTGGGAAACGTGAAACGATGCGTCCATATATTGCTAAGGCTAAACTGCTGCTAAGGTGTATTACACTGCACAAGCACTCCCTTGAACACGATTTGTTTGGCTGGAAGACAGAAAGAAAGAAAGAAAGAGACAACGCACGACCTGGGAACTCCGTGGGAGACCCAGCATGCATACGGCCAGAGTCAAAGGAGGCTCTGCAGGGAACATCACTCTGTGAGCTTAGCCTCCGTCATCAAAAGGGAAATGGGTGGGCATCGAGGAGGAGGCGGGAGCGGAGCGCAAGGGGGGCCGGCGGGTGCGAGAGGAGCGTTGTGCAGGCAGGAAAATGGAATGCAAAAAGTCAGTCACTCGGGTGGTCTTGCTCATACATCCTGAAGAACCCACTGTCAAAGCTGCCAGTCCAGCACTCCATGTTGCAGTGCTCAAGCCTGCTGATTGGCTCATCTTTTTGGAAAGCCAAGTCATGCCAAGGTGGTTTGCAGACAGCTGTGTCCCTGTGTATCTTACAACTGCCCAGATGGCCAGAAATGTGACACAAGCAATTCATGCTGATATCAGCGAGATGATATAGCAAATTGATCTGGCTTCATCCTGAACAATAAAGTCCTATGACCTGCCATCATGTTGCATCAAGATGTGGCCCAATGGCGCATGGCAAAGTGAATTGCATGGCATCCAGATTGGGATTGGCATACATCTAAACATCTACAGATACCTGGGTTGAAGACTTCTTCCAAGAAATTCACTGACGTTTTCTGTGCCTCCTATATGAGGTATGGCAAGGCGAACATGGAGGCAAGGCAGGCAAACGGAAGAACATTTTGTAGCAGTGTCTTGAGCATGACTTTCCAGATGGGACATCGCCCATCTACACAGAATATGCTTCTGCCATTCTGCTATCTGTCTTGATGCCCACTGTTTTTTCTTCTTGCGCTTCGAATTCGCCGCATGTGCTCACAGGAAGATTTTGGAGGCGACAAACCAATAGATTATGGACATCATCACAATACATAACAAATCTATCAGGGCGGCCCTCGAAGCAGCCTTCAAAGCTTTGATCTTCTGCACCACATAGACTCATGTAAGTTGGTGGTTGCACTTGAGCTGATCAAAAATATAATCGCAACATGGCTGACACTTTTAGTAGGAGCTACCTCTTTCCGTGGGTTCTGCTCCATCTTGTTCTGCTGGTCTAATCTGGTCAATCGCATCTTCTCGTTCTGATCAATTTGCACACGATTTGTTTCTGGGTCCACATTTCCAGCCCAACCGCTGTGGCAGATTACTGCCCTTTTGCTTGGCTGCAGCGCTGGTGTCTGCCTCGATGTCCCTGTGGCTCTGAGGCCAAGTTCCCTGCCTACAGGGCAGCGTGGCATAGCGATTTACGGTCGACATCTTCATATCGCAAGGGAATTACCGTGATTAGAGATGGCACAGGCCTGTGAAGTATGGTGCTCTAGAGGTCTGGCGATGGCAGCTCGATCGGCAGAAAAACTTGTTGCCTGAGCAGGCTCTTAGTACAGTAGTACTAAATAGAACTTGCTCTGGACACTTGGTTTACAGGCAAAGGCGCGTTTAATTATCTACCTGAATATATCACAACCAGTGCAAGACACATTGCTTCCAGGACACGAAAAGAAGAGTGTCCATCACGATGGACATTCTCTATCAGGGCGTCATCTGCACCTGAAGGTGCGAACTTAATCTGTTCAAGTTTAGAAAGAATACCATTTCATAGTTTTAGTGATTCACGTGTGCTCCTCGCCTTCTACTGTCCTAATTCTGGTCCAAATGCCCCTGCTGATGGGGTCCTCTTAGAATAGGTGAGGTGCGCGAATGTCCCTTATAACATGCACTTCTAATCTTTGGAACTGGTGTGCTCTTTCCCTCTTCCTCGTGCCATTTTTGCTGCTCTTTGAGATGTGCACCAGACTGTGCAATGGGAGAACATGTGTTGGCGCTGAGGTTTGGTGACATGTTTTTGGCCGTGCTTGTACGGCTGTTTATGACGGGTGTTTCTTGGATACACACATACAGGAGTTCATCGACCAGAGCGGAGTAGTGCACAGCCCTGCGCTGGCATGCAGCAATCTGATGAACTGGTTGTGCTGCAATACCGCGACTTGCTGAGCAGCGACCCTGCAATGAAGGCATTCCTTCTGTCAGCAGTTGCACAGGTGAAGCCTCTTCCCAAACCTGAATCTTTCCACTTCCTGCCTTGCCACTGCCTCCCATCCTGTGGTGTTCGAGAACTGAAATGCAGATGCTGTGCAGGCCTATGGTCCCAATGGACTAGGCATTCTGACAGTGGCAGGAGTTCCCACCCTCCTCGATCTGCGCCAGCAGCTGCTGCCACTCAGCAGCCAGTTTGTGGTGCGTGCGCTCCTGAACTTACTTGTGCACACTCAAGTTCTGCCTCGCATATTCACCCAGAGCGCAGCAGTGGTGCTGTGTGGCACTGGGCTTGCTCTGTGCATTCTTCTAGCTTCACATGACTGCTGCATGTATACATGTGATCCAGCCAACCGGTGTTGTGAAAGCCTTCCACACTTAAGAATCTGAGGCACCAGCAAAGCCACACACAGGGGGTACACCAAAGACACTTTGGGCACATGTTGTGCCAATAATGGGTATCAAGACAGGCAGGAAATGCCAGGACTGACCGTAAGCTGCCAGAACAAGGAAGGCCCGCACATTGGTATTGGAGGGACATCAAAACTTGCGGCCAACATAATATTTCTCCCTTGATATCCCGAAGTGGCACATGCAGAGGCTGCCAGAGTCTGCCCTGGGTTCACACGATTCGTTGAGATATGAAGATTTACATTTCCGAAGCTACCGGAGCCTGATCTAGCTTCATGTCATCCATTGACGTATAACAGAGGCTGCCGGAGCCTGTTTTGGCGCGGTACGAGGACCCGCCGAGCAGCTACAGCTTCGGGTGGAGCCACGGGCGAGAGGCAATGGAGGACGGCAGGGTTGACACCCTTAAGGGTTCCTATTACGCCAACCCCCTTGTGGACAACGAAAATCTGCCGCAGGACCTGCAAGACCAGTACCCTTCTTACTGCAGGTGCCATTCCCTGCTGCCAAGCTCTTTTACACACAATCCTCCCCCGAGGCTTGCGCTGCCAAATGGCTTGTCCTAGGCCATGCCATGTGTTGCCATCATGTCTATCACCAGCAAGCTGCATGCCAAATTTGGCACTGCTAAGCAGCATATTGTGTGCCATGGCATGTGTTGCTGTGATGCTCAGAAGTGCAAAATGTGCTTTATTGCAGAATCTGCTCAATCCTGTTGTGATAAATGAACACAAAGTGAGTCACCCTCAGCCACCAGCGCAGTTCAGGTCAAGCTGCTGTCTGCAGAGGATGCGCATGCGCTTTCCTGGAGGCCCAAGAGTATGCAAAAAGCTACCTCTCAGGGTCAGCAGTACTGTTGACTGCGTTGCATACGCCCTGCAGGCCCAACATATGGCCGGACAGGGATCTGCCGCACCTGAGGCCGGCCTTCCAGGCACTCGGACGGCTGATGGTGGAAGTTGGGCGACTGGTTCTGGACCTGTGCGATGAGTATGTCCAGTCACAGGTGCGCTGCTGCTGTCTCCATAAGCTGCAAAAGACCCCAGCCGCGCCCTGGTAGAGAAGCATTTCTTCTTTGCATTATATTAGTAGTAACTGACTATTGTTATTGTGATCATCTGAGCCTGAAAATGCGCCCCTCAAGTTGTCTTAAAGTATAAGTAATTGCCTTTGGGCACTGGTGTCATGCACCACTCCTTTCTGCCCTTGCTCATGGCCCACATGCTAGCTGAAACGCCACTTGCCTTTGGTTTCCCAGACTCTCTCCTTTATAGATCTCAAGCAGGGCAGGCCTTATTTGCAGCGTCTGAGCCTGATTAGGACCTGAGAATTCTATGCATCATTCCAGGGGTCGTTGCTGCCGCCGGGCAAACTCCTGAAGATCGTGGAGAAGGGAACGGCGTGCTGCAAGGCGCGCCTGTTGCATTATTTCCCCTCCCCGGGGAACGATTGTAATAGTAACGGCGGCTTTGCCAACTGGTGTGGTTGGCACAATGACCACGGCTCCCTCACAGGTGTTTTTACAACCTCTTGACATTTCGCCCTCAGGCTCAGGCTGAAAATTTTCCTTAACAATGGTCGCAAAGGGGATTTCAGGCCTTTCTGATGAGTCCAGAACCCCTGCAAATCCCTCATCAGAATGCCCCAAAGTAGTATCACCATATAAAGACATTGATGATGTACGCTCCTTCGCAAGTCAGAGGAGCTTCAGCAATTGCATTCGAAGGCAGAAACAAAGCATGCGCAAGTCAATGGGAGAAGTTGCAAAGAGGTATTGGTTATCTCTGCCTGATGCATAAACACCTGGCTGCCGGGCAGGGCTGGTGAGTGCCATGTACATGAGAGAGGGTACACCGGTGGAGAACCCGGACCCAGACTCGGGCCTGTACATCCGGGACAAGCACGGCAGGTGTGGTATCGACTTTTTCAAATGCTCGTAGTGGTGAATTGTTTGCATTACGTGTTGTGAAGTGCAGTAGAAGATGCATGCAAAGGAGGGGAATGCCATAGGATGTAGTCCCTGCACCTGCTTGCCATACTTCAGTGGCATGTGTGCATGCAGCCAATTCGTAGAAATACATAAGTAATCTGAGTAAGTATGGGATACTTACTGTGGCAGGACCGTGCGGGCGCGCATCCCGGCTGACCACATTGCCTACCAGATGGGCGAAGCCATGCAGGTGACTGCTCACCGCATGCATACAAGATCTTCCTTCCTTTGTAATTCTTGGCATGGTTATTTATTTGGGGCACTTGGGACGTGACACAGCATACTGCAGTTGATGTGCGCATATGGTGATCTTCTGCCCTGGCATCATCACCACGGAAGATTCGATATAAGCCCGCCGGGCCTGAGCAAGATTTGGCGTCGAGCATGCACATAATAATCGATGACATGTCGCATAGCGGCCGGCCGCCGCAGAAACTTGTAGATTTCTGAAACATGTGCTGCCGAGCGTGCTGAGCGTGCTGCGCATGTGCCGGCATGTGCGCGCAGGTGCACTCGGGCGGCCTGCTGCGAGCGACAATGCACTGTGTGAGGGGCGCTGCAGGGGCAGCGGCCGCACGAGTCACCCGCCACTCATTTGCAGTCTTCATGCAGCCCAGGTGACCTGCCTTTTTTACGCCTTTTATTTTTACAATTTTCCTTTGACCTTTAGCCTCTTGTCAGCTTCTTACATTTCTTCCTCGGCCGGGGACCATTGCATATTTGCTGCATGATGTTCACTTGCGAGGTCTTCTTGCCTCTGGCACTGGCTCTCCCTTGATATCTGCATTTTTCCTTTCAAGTGAAGCCACTCGATCCTGAGGTAAATCTAGGCAAAGACTGGATGCAAGGACTGAGAAAGCTGCAGTGCTGTTGCGCGCAACAGCTTGCCAATCACTTGCATTAAGCAAAGTGCTGCAGGGCTTGCACTCTGCCTGCAATGCGAGCATGCCTTCTGCAACAGCTGTCAAGCACAAAGTCACAAGAAAGGTCAAAACAAAACCTGTATTTGCAGGTGGGATGAGGCCATGGAGCTGCCACAGGGAGCGCAAGCAGCAGAGTTGGGTGTGGGCCAATTCAGGCCGGGCCTCAACTTTGGGCAATTCTCAGAGCTGACGCTTAAGCACTACTACCAGAACAATGGAATGACCATTAAAGCCTGACGGGGTGCTGGTGCTCAAGATGTGTCCCTGAGGGCAATGCACGCACAGTATGTATCATGCACGCAGTCGTGTACTCCTAAACAGTCCTTGAAAGGACAAAAGTTTTCAAATACTGCTGACAGATTTCTTTGTAGAGCCCCCTGTGTAGCTGGTAATGTCTGATGTAGCATACATAGCATATGTACACCAATTTTGATTGATATACTGAGGAGAGTACCAGCAGCAGCTTGTAACATAGAGGTAGCAATCATCACATTGCTGCACTCGCAAGCTGTCAGTGCAGCGCTATCAAAGCATGCGAGCAATCATATGCAAGCAATGATATTACAGGGTGCAAGGTGCATGCATGCAAGCAAGCAACAACCAGAAAATGATACTCTCGTGGGGACAAGAGAGCACCTGTTCACTGCATTCACCGCTGTAATCTTTATCCCTCGCAGGGATCGCCTGCATCATCTTTCGAGCGGTTGTACACCGAGAGACACCCACATCGATATTGGCCCAGGCCAGCAGGCCTGCATGTGAGGCAGCCTGAGACTCTGCCGCAAACTGTGCAGCTGCAGCCCCCGTTCAGTCGCACTTAGATGCACCATCTTCACACTGCGAGGCAGCCCTTCCTCCAAGTTCAGTGCTCGCAATATCTTCAAGTCTTGCATTCTAACTTATCCCCATAAACTGCACATTTTGAAAGAGTCCACGTGGGTCTGAAAGGCGCCTGGAATCTGGCCAGACTTGGCCGTCAGCCTGTCAGACGTCTTGCCTGCTCAATTAGCACACTTTCAATGTTGAAAACACAAAAGTTTGGGATCTTTCAGAGTAGTTTTTGCAGTTGTTGTCAGGAATCCTGACTTTGATCTTTTACACAGAATACTTGCAAATTCCAGGTACCCATGCATATGCTCTGTTTCCACCCACATGGTAAAGCATTGAACCTGGAAGTGAGCCGGGCTGCCCTTCATCGTTTTTACTTTCTTGGATACTTTGTTGAAATCTCACCTCGACTTCATCGCGCAAGATTTGTAGAGTCTGACATTGTCACACTCCTGCTGACTCTTCGTCAGCTCACACACTGCCAAGTGTTCGCCTCGGACACGAATCGATGAACAGGTCGAGGTCAAGGTCAATTTTTCGTTTGAAGAAGTTGCAGTATCTTACTTGCAGATTGCTCTTTCATGGGGCTGTCATCGTGAATATCGGGCACTCAGCAAAGGTGCATGGTCGTCCAAGAAAACGTTACCTCATTATCGTCATGATTCAGCATGCAAGGCAATTTTCAAGTTGAATTGGGTTCTGGGTTTCTTGGATCCTCGATCTGTCGTAAGTCAATGTTAGTGTAAAATTTAGACTTTTAAGGCCCTTTTCCGTTTGCGCTGGAGCTCAGCAGCCATAGCTGCCCCAGAGATCAGGCTAGCTAGCAAGAGCATTCTAACCTTCCTGAACCCAAACCCAGCATCACTCGCTCGACTTTACTTTGGCCAACAATCATTATACTTACATAAGATATCAAGAACATTTCAGGCCTAATGGGGACTGAAAGGTAGTGAAAACAGGTAGCGATGGAAACTCCGGAACGATAGAACATGAGGTTGGGCAGCAAATCTCATCCTGAGTACAACTCTGGAGGCCAAGATGAAAAGCTGGAAAAGCATGGCGCTCATAATGCTAACGATCACAGTCCTCTTCAATGTGCTTTTGATGAGGGAGATGCCAGACAGTTCAGCAGGCAGCATCGGTTCGGACAGAAAGACTACCACAGATGGCAGCCAGAGGAGAGGAGAAACCATTTCTCGACGACTTGGGGCGGCCGAGAGTAGGGGTACGACGAAATTGTCCACGCAGGGGCTGCTGAAGAGGTGGATCCTGCGAGGGAAGTCAGCACCCGAACAAAGAGCCACCAGCAGCTCGTCCCAACCTCGAAACACTGTTGCAAATGACAGCATAAAGAAGGACCAGAGCGGGGAGGAGAAGTATCTCAGCCACCCGCACTTCGCCGGGCGCAGCCCTGTCACCTCAGACACTGCGCAGAGCGCACAGAGCACCCAGGATCCCTTGGTTGACGACTCCGCAAAGCAGGGTGACCAGCATTTATCAATCAGCAGCCAGGGCTTGCCAGAAGGAGAGGGCACTGCAGCATCAGGTGCACCGAAGGCCTCAGCACTGAACGCTGAGCTCACACAGGCGCTGATAGAGCGGCCAGCCCGGCTGGAAAGCCTCTCGGAGGCATTCGCGCAGCGGCAGGAGATAATCGCGGCGGTGGCCGAAACCAACGGCAGCGCAGATGCCATGGTTGTCTCTGAGGCGCTGCCCCTGGCTGTCCCGGTCAGTGAGACGCTGGACATCACCAAGGAGAGTTCCTCGGCAGAAGAGCAACCCGAAGTGCAGCAGCAGGCGCAGCAGCAGGCGCTGTTGGATGTCCAGGAGCGTCCAAGGGCTCCTTTGGATGAAGGTAACACCCTCCTGCTTTCCTTGAGAAAGTAGAGAAAGTGTGTGTCAGTCTGGCATCTCTTTAATCAGCATCATTAGGTGAAGAGACTCTGTCAGCATGACAGATCAGAGGTGCAAGCGCAAGGGAATGCCTGCTTATCAGACAGAAGAATGCCCGCAGAGATTTGACATGCAATCTATACTTCCTTGATTCCAGGAAAGGAGGCAGGGGGCGCCTCTGGAGACGCGGCGACTGCTCAGGCGACTTCAGCGGCTGCTGTGCAGGCCAGCCAGTTTGCAGATGCACAGCAGTCACCGGAGGCTGAGAGTCCCCCGGCTGTGGGGGATGCGGCGGGAGGGGGGGACAGCGGTGGTGCGGCGGGGGGCACCGGTGCGCAGCAGGAAGCTGCCGGGCAGCTGCACGGCAGCTGCCAGGACCTGGAGGCTGGGTGTGTGGAGTGGGCGGCGGAGGATGGGTGCATCCAAAACGGGCCGTCGTTTATGTTTGAGCGGTGCAGGAAGAGCTGCGGCGTCTGCGATCAGCCCATTCTGAATGACGTCCCAGAGAATGTGCGCTCCTGCTTCCCTGTTCATGTGCATTTCTTTGGCAACATACTTTGCCAACCACGCTCGTGCTGCTCAATGTCTTTGGCCCTCTCTTTCTAATGATCTGCTTGTTTCTGTGCGTAGCCTCCAGAAGCACCTGCTAATTGTTTAGAAGCCTCAAGCATCTCACCTACACAATATCTGCCACTAACAAAATTGTTGACACGATTGAATGGTCCTCTCTGGAAATTGGCAGACTCAGACCTCATCTCCAGTATTTGCCAGTGCACGAGCAGATATGCTGATTCAGGGGAGTACTTCACATATCGTGTAGCTCATTACATAGGAGTTGCAGACTTTAGCTCAGAATTGCTGGACCTTTTGGAACCAACAGACTGCTCAGTACAAGAATTCAACATCTATTGACGCTGCGTTCTGCTGGCATGTGCAGGTGACCCTGAACAACGGGGTGGTTATGCCGCTGGTGGGATTTGGGACTGCGGGGCTGGGGGCAGCGACAGAGGAGGCGACTGCATGGGCACTGGCCAGCGGATACCGCCTGCTGGACTCTGCACAGGTTTGGGGCGTTCCCTCCAGCTGCTGTGCTGTGCTCACTTGGGTGTATTATTTTGCTCTGTGATATGGTCCTTCATGGTGCTCTAGAGCCCTTGTTGTCGGCTCTGGCCAGGTTGCACTGCTGAGAATAACTGCTATGCCTTGTAGCAGCGCTTGCCTCACAAGTCTTGCATGCATGATGCAGCAACCGCCTCGTTGGCAGACCTCTATCCTGCACTGTTCATCCTTCATCAAAGGCACTTTGCATGGGGTTGTAAAAGGTGCCTTGAACTGTGTATTACTGGATGCAGGCGCAGGAGTGGTACAGGGAGGATCTTGTGGGGCTGGCGGTGCTGAAGTCAAGGGTGCCCCGAGAGCAGGTCTTCCTCACCTCCAAGCTGCACCCCAGGTCTGTCTCATTGCCTATCTCTGCATTCTTGGCATTCACAGCTCCTAGCTACGGGGCTCGGGGATCGGTTGGGAGTTGAGGAAGACATCAAACGCACCGTCCATTTTCTGGAGCCACGCTCTCTCTGCTGGTGTAAGATATTGGTTATCAGTGGCAAATGCCACGATGGGACTTCCCTCACTTCCCTGAGAGCTGAGCAAGAAATCGAGCATTTAGAAGATTAGCAATGAGAAGATCAGCCTCCTGAGCTAAGTCTACTGCTGCTCAACAGCCTGACTTGTGTGTGCAGGCCCAATTATTGACAAGGAATGGGACACTGAAGCAAAGAAAAATCATCCGTGTGATATTCAGGGCTGTTTTGTTTCTGCAGGCATCATGGGCGCGAGGAGGCGATGATCCAGTTCACAAAATCACTGAGCGCTTTAGCAGTGGAGCAAGTAGATCTCTTTTTACTGCATTACCCCGAGTGCTGGCCGGGATTATGTGGCGAGGGGTTTACGCCGAAGGGCACCTGGCACGACAGCTGGCGCGCCCTGGAAGACCTCGTCGACAAGGGGCTCGTGCGAGCCATCGGTGCGCCCCCCTCGGAGTACCCTAGCTGGGTCTTTCAACTCCCCTGAAGCGCAGGAGGCATACTGCATGCATGCCATTGTGGGGTGTGGACTGCAAGGGCGCCTGGCACGAGGAATGTACAGGATTTGGCAAGAGCGCAGTACAGAGAGAGGAGCATTCAAAAATTAGGCAAGAAATTGGAAGGCATACGCAGGGCGAATGACAACTGAAACACGAGTAGAGAGACAAGCCCATTATTTCTTTTATGCTGGCCTAATCTTCTGGGTACGCTTTCAGCTCGTCTGCATACTGCGAGGGCTTTTTCATCAGAATAGAGCCAGAAACTCTAAAGAAGTCCGACTGCATGCGCAGGCGTGTCCAACTTTGGCATCGATGAGCTGGCGGAGCTGTTAGCGATGGCGCGCATCAAGCCGGCCCTCGTGCAGCGCCACTCCGACCCGCTGGCCGCCGATGCCGAGGTCCGCGCATTCTGCCGCCTCGCTGGCATCCAGTACCAGGTGCGCGTTCCCTCCTTCTGCTCTGTGTGTGTTTCTGGTGCTGATCACTAATATCTTTCCTCCGCACAAGGAGGCTACACAAGAGGACGGGCGCCAAGCATGGCACCTTGTCACAATTCATGGTCCCTTGCGCTGCCGCTTCAGATGCAATCAATCATGGAGAATGTTACAGATCGGCCCCGATGGCAAGCTTTTAGGTTAGGTTCAGGTTACTTTTAGACTTAGGTTATGTCCAGAAGGACCACCGGTGACCAATATGTACTAGTCTGGCCTATAGGTATCGTCACATTTGTGACATACCTCCCCCTCACTAGGGCTGAGGGCCTCCCGGTGGCCCCCTCGGGGACCTCCCGGGCCTTAACTGAAAAGTATGACATTGGCTTCCCAGAGACTTGCAGGCGCGAGTTTGATCACTTGTTAAGAAATCAAAAGTAATTTAGGCTTGAGCACTGCAAATGATTTTCAGAGTGGCAGCTTGGAGACAGAGGCCGGATACACAAGAAGAGCTGAGTGACTGAGAAATTTGGAGCAGACCACTATATATTGCCTGCTCAAGGCTTTTAAAAGTGACAAAACAATAATTTCATGACGACGCTGCTGCAGGGATACAGCACGCTGGGGTCGCAGTGGCTGATGCGCGGCATGGATGAGAATCCGGTGCTGACCAACCCCGTCGTAGACCGCGTCGCCAACGAGACCGGCCGAGACGCCGCGCAGGTCGTACTGCGCTGGGCGCTGCAGCACGGCCAGGTGAGTCACCCTTAGTCATGCATGCGGCCAATCCTTTTGCACCATGGATTCATATGTGTGCAGTTGTTGTCACACGCGCATCTAAGGAGAGAATTTTGCTAGGCAGCTTGCTTTTTCAGGAGAAGGATATGGCGCCGCAGAGCCTGTGATCTCTGTGCGTCCAGAAGTCAGCCTGACATGCAAGTTGCAGGCGGCTCAGGCGCCTGAAGGTGTCTCTTTCAGTGTTGTTGAACCCTTCTCTAGTGGCGGTGGGGGTGATTCTGGCCATGCATGCACAGGGAATAGTGCCACGCTCATCAAAAAAGGAGCGCATAGCAGCCAACCGTGACTTGGACTTTGTGCTGTCGGCGGATCAGATGCATCGCATCGACTTTCTGGATGGCAGCCTGCTGCACACTGTGTGATATGCATATGCATGCAATTTTGCATTGAAACTAACATTTGCAGCTGTCTCTTTGAGGACCTGCTGCATTGCTGTAAGTAGTTTCCGTGACTGCACACAGACGAAATATCCAAGTCTTTACGGGTTTGGGGCCGTGAAAAGCCTGGAACTGCATGTTTTCTTTCAAGGCTGATTACACGCGCTGCCTCTGCATGGGCAGGTGAATGCTGGTGCGTTGCTTTCAGTCAATACGCATGAAGTTGTCCAGTGCGCAAGTGCACGTGGACATATCATCAAATTCATGCAAGTCAAGGCTTCAGGCCCAAGGCAGCTGAATTCTACCTGAGAGTGTTGCTGTCTTTTGGAAGTGTTCTTACACAGCACCTGAAGAGCAATCTCACATGTAATGATGTCATTGCGACATCAGTGTGTCAAGACTCCAGCCAATGGCATGCTGGCAGCCATGCGAATGTTTTGCACCCTTGCTACAAGCAAATATTCACCCTTTTCGGAACACATAATATGCATGCGTTGAAATATCCCGCCATATAGGGCAACATCATGGGGCAGAGCCACTCATGCTTATGATTCATCCGATCCATTCTTGCAGTCTATGAAGCCATCGTCCACAAAGGCAGTGGAGATTGTCTTATTTTCTCCCGTGCATGAGAAGCGCGCCCCCCTAGCAGAGCACGCCGAGGTGCCTGGCTCGTCCTTCCCATTGCTGCAATCGCAGTAGTCATCATTTACTTGCGCGCATGGTATTGCCCTTTGCAGTGCATCGCCGCACTGAAATGTGCCTGCAGCACAGCACTCGGCTTGTTCCAGAGCATTGATCTCATCATGCTGCTCCAGACATGGATCATTGCAAGCTTGAAAGGAGCACACAGCTGACTGGATGTTACATGATTTGCAGACGTTCCAGACTTTACAGTTCCAGACAGTGATCTCAACATCCACTCGTTGCGGTTGGCATTTGGGCTTTTCAAAGAAAGAGATAGAATTGAGCCTGAGCAGCACCTTGACAACAGAAGTCCTTGCTGAAAGCAGTGGCAACGCCTCGTGCACAGGACACTCTATGTTTTGCTGCTGCTGGCACCTGGTTTGTCTTTGACTCTGTCATTATGTGTTTGCTGTGCTTCAACAGGCTGCCGCCTGTGGCGGTATCCGCCTTTCCGAATTGACCGAATTCAGCCTGTTGACTCCACGCAAGCTTGATCAAGAGAAGTTGTTTGTTATGTGTGATTGCTGAACACATGAAGCAGCCCCATGGCGATGAATTAAACTGGGCACAACCGATGCATAGACGCCATCGCAAGTCACCTCATAGTACACAGACCCAAAAGCACATAGTATAAGGAAGGTGCCCAACAGAGACCGCCAGGAAATTCTCCACGATGCTCTTCCTGACCTGCACAAGGGACATAGACACGATGATGAATGGGGACTAGCGAGGGCACAGATAATTCACAAAAGGTTGATCAATTACCTTATTAGCATACTAGGATGCCCTGCCACGGCTTTTGAGAACAGGGACTTCAATCATCCATCAGTGCATCAGGTTGAGGAAAAGATGTACAGGCGTCGATGCTGTTGCACCTTCAATATGTACTATCCTTCGTCACGAAACTTTGTTCTGCGCATTGCGAGCGCACTCCTTTCTATCTCCTGCTGCTTCTTACTTGCACATTTCCTTGGAACCCATGACGTCAGCAGGTTCCCACATTGGGAACCCAGGTTCCTTTCCCCTTTTGCATGTGAAACTATCGTTGGACCTGTCACGAATGCTTAATATAGAGCTTTCTCCAAGTCAAGGCTACCTCCAAGTCAACTGAGCATCTCCTGATTAAACGCCGGGGCCTTCATCGATGGAACCAATAGATGTGCTTGGCTGTCTCGATGGAGGCCTTGTTTTCTATAGGATCATTGGAAAACAAGGCATCGACTATGATCTGTGCGTTCCCAATGAGAAAAATGTATGCAAGACGTCAATTTTTTGGCTTTCCGAGACAACAATTAGCTGAGCCTTTGAATGCATCGAACCACCCTGTGTGCAGGCGAGTTCTCGTCACGGACTTCCAAGGAAGGTCCTGGAGGGCGTCATTCTCTTTGCAAGATGTCTTTGACTCCCTGGTATGCACCTGTGGCAGTATCTGTATTCCTGTAGCAATATGTTGCTCCCTGTCCTTCACCGCTCCTTTGCTCTGCTGAGAGGTTGATCCTGCCAGGATGCGTATGAACCAGAGGAGGAGGAGCTCTTACAGTGGATCGTAGGCTGCCTGGACCATCCTCGAAAGAGTCCCACCTTGCTGAAGGGCCACGGTGCAGCTCTTGCAAAGATGATCCAATGCAAAATTGCTGCGCGCAACCAAGCTCCTGCCAATGTGAATTTCCTTACAAGTGCTGCACTGCTACAGGGGGGAAGGTACAGGCGCTGCAAGCATTCCATGCCATACCTGCAATCTCCCAACCCATCAGGTTCGGTGTCCGGCTATTGGAATTTGCTGCTGAGAGAAATTCTTGATCGCAGCAGCAAACTATTTCCACAAAAAATTTGCTGACTGTCTGCAGGCTGCTGTTCCCTCCAGCTGGCGCATTGGAAGAGATCAGCGGGAAATCTTCTCACCTAGACAGCCAGGGTATGTCAGCTCAGATGGTTTTAATTAACAAGCACAGCTTTGCAAGTCTTCACTTTCATTTGGAGCTAAGGAAACCTTCTGAGTGCTGGATATTTGTGTTCATGATGCAGAACTAGCCGGGGCTCTGTTTACTGCCTACACCAAGGAGAGGAGAGCAGCTCTGGCAGCCATTTCAGAGCGAGATGACCTCAAGCAAGAGGTGTGAATTTCTATAAAAGTCACCTGCGCAGGTGGACGGGTTTGATATTTTCATAGTTGTCGGTAAAATCTCATATGTTACCTTTTAAGGTCATGGCCAATTCTGGGTGCAGGTGGCAGACCTGCAAGCTCGTCATGACAAGCTGCTGGAAAAATTGCAAGAGCTCAACCCAGCAGGCAAGCTGCACAATCCTTAAGTGTATTTTTAAGCTCACATTTGCCATGTATCTGGGGCTTTCTTGCCACGTTTGGATTGCATAGGGAGGGCTGTTCTTCTGATGTTTCAAATTTTCGCACCACACTGAAGAACTTTTCGCATCGTAACATGACAGTGTTGCTTTGCTCAACCTGCGCAGCACTCAGATCGTCAGGCTCCTTCAAACGCCAAAGAGATGACAAAAGTGCAGGTTTGGGGCCGTCAGTCACGCACACACAAGAGGGCCAGCATACAGCAGAAGGCCATTCTAACGATGCCCCAAGAAGTAATGCTGCTCCTGACGAGCTTGCCTTATTGGATGCAGACAAAGCAACACATGAAGCGGTGTGTCTCGCTGGCATGCATACATTCTTCTTGTGACAGCTGTCGTGGCGTGGTGGCATGCACTTTATTTGTCCCTGCTCCGCTCCCGTGCCTAGCTGGCACGCACTTTTTCTGTCCCATTTTGCAGAATGTGGCTTGCATGCAAACATTTAGAGTTGTCCCCAGCCTAAATGCTTCCAGATGTATGAAGTCTGGGAAGAAGGCCATTCAGTGAAGAAGATATGCAGACATCAAAGCAGTTGGAGCGCCAGGGAGATAAGAGGAAGGATAAAAGGGTGGTTTCTCACAAGTTAAGCAGTGCAAAGATGCAGTTGTGGTGCTGGTTGCAGGGTGCCATCCAAGGGGGACATGAAGAGGAATCCAAATCCAGCACACGCGCTGCAACAGGGATAGGGAGAGCAAAAGTGGTGCGCGGCCGAGGCAGGGGCCGTGCGCTGCCGAGCTTGACTGCCAAAATTGGTGGAAGGAAATAGCAGGGTCGCTTACATGCTAGTCAGGATCAGGCCTTCTTAGGCAATTTGCTGCTCTCGTCCGCCAAATGCCATTGCCATCAGTCTACTGTAACGGGTGGCAAATCACTGGACAAGTGCCAGGCCAAAGGTGCTCTTGCTGGCAAGCTGTAGGATAAAATGGCTGCAAATCTGGCTGTCACTGTGATCTACGAATTATTATGGGTTTGGATGCAAGCTTGTTCTCGGATCTCAGTATTCTTCAACGCTAAAGCTGCCTTGCTGGGAATGGGTATATTCCCATGCACACATGCCTACTCCTTGGCCGCTGCGGTGTCGCCAGGCTTGGCAAACTTGCGCAAGAACTCTGCAGCTCTCCCATCCTGGCCACTCAGCGCACTCTTCTCCCCAGTCCATGTTGGGTGCGACGTTGTGTCCTGCACATCAAGGCTTCTCAAGCTCTTAGGACCATCCCCAAACTTACAGGGCAACACTTGTGTGTATCAGAATAATACAGTCTTCAGCTTCGTCAACACATGTTGAAACGGCAATTTCCTAGGGAAAGTAGCGTACAATTTGTAGTCGCATGGGCCTACTGGCTTTGAGGATGCTCTGCACTTGAATGGTGGCTCCATTGCGCAGGACCAGAGTCATAGTGTTGATCAGCGGATGAATGCCACGCTTTGGCATCACTGCTATTGTTCTCCCTACTTTAGTCCTCAAACGGATCTTATGGGCGTGGTAAGCATACCAGTCCAGGAATGAGGCAAGATTGCCAGCACCACTGCTTCTGAGAAAAATACAAGTCAGTCCTCGGACGTTCCAACCGAGTTTGAGTGATCGTTCTCAATGTAGGCTCCCCCAGCACAAGCTATCAAAGGGTGCAAACTCTGCACCAGACCCAGGATCTTGCAAAATGATCTGCTGGCCTTCAGACGACAGGACTCCAAAATATTTTGCGGTGTCAGGGTTATCAATCCATTGATGTCATCTTGAAGTGAATTTGTCTTGAATTACAGTTCTAGCTGAGGATTTCCCTTCTGGACAAGGTCGGCGTCACCTCTGCCAAACCAGGCACCAAAAGTAACGCTGTAACGCTCCTTGGGTTTCACTCAGCATCAGTGGCTTCTGGGGCTCCGGTATATAAAAAGCTGTAAAATGGTCGAGAAAAATCCTTGGTGGAAGAACGTATCGGGTCCATTCCCAAAGTGGGAAGGACCCGTGGGCTGCAAAGACGATGGGGGAGGCTGCCACTACGGCCGTGGCAAGGTTGGCAAGATGATCATCCACAGGGCTGTGCACAACAAAGATAAGCAAGGTAGGATGATTCTAGATTATGTTCGTATGAGATCCGCTCCATGAATTTCTAGGAAGTCCCAAATATTTCGTCGTTCCATCGCAAGATGGTGTGACATTAAATGCCCTGATTGCATGCCCAGAACAAGCGCAATGTCAGTTTTAAAGATTAAAGATAGTGCAAAATTAGCTACCGATGAGACACCAGTCCAATTAATTCCAGGAGTTCATGCTAAAGACTGGGCGGATCTTCTGTAGCTGCACTCCTGCTCCAGTGGCCCCCATGACAATGATACCGTGAATACACAACGTCAACGAAAACATATCGCGTTCGCCCCAAGGCATAGGTGAATTACAATAGAATACTATTAACAGTTGGTGCTGAGTTGTGTTTTGTGTGTGCTCATCAGCCATCATGGGAGCAATCGAGGCTGGCAATGATGTGAACGAAGTGGAGGCAGCAGGGAACACCCCTCTGCACAGCGCAGCCTACGAGGGCTGGCTGGAGGGTGCCGAGCTGCTGATTGGTCTGAGCGCCAAAGTGAATGCCTCCAACAACGCTGGGGACCGGCCCTGGCACTGGGCGCAGAACATGGGCCACGAAGACATGATGGCTCTGCTGGTAAAGGTGTGCGATGCTTGCTGAGGGAAAATACGGTCGCTACCTGCAGTGTACAGTCATCAGCCTCGCACTGTGTGCTATCTTGTTGGCCTGATTTAAACTGTGCATAGCCTCTTAGCATTGTGGGGCTGTGTGCGTGAGTGTAGTTTGTTATCTCTGTTGGGCTGCCAGGTGTGCTGCCATGTGAGTGATGCTTGGTGGCGTCTCAAAGAGATGTAAAAGGCAGATGTTCTCTGAGCACATGTTTAACTTTTGCAGAACGGCTCGGAGACAACCATGGGGAAGGTGATTGTGTCGGACCACATCCCAAAGGTCAAGGTGAATTTTTACCCTCGATCAACTACCAAATTTTCCGATTCCAATTTCAAGCAGACATTACTGTATACAGCGCACGGGATGGTCCAAATCCGCTGCCCCATTGCTGTTTCTGCTTGCTCCCATTGTGTTGAACCATATTCTGCACTCACATTTCCTGTCAACCTGTCCATTTGATGTACATCCCAGACAAGATTTAGGTTCAATTTTAGGGCGATTTTGTCAGGCTGCCTATGGAAGGTGTGAGAGTATGTTGTGTGCATGCATGCAGGACTTCTTTGGCAAGGAGTGCTGGGCACACCACCCGAAGCCATATGCAGAGTTCATGGAGTGGCGCAAAAAAGAGGACGAGCGCTGGGATATGGAGAGGGGACGCCTCGTGCCGGGCATGTGAAGGCACATTAGGCCTAGGAATGGCACAAAAAAAACTGTGCATGGCTTTTTTTGCCGTCAAGAAACGCTTGTGGTGTTGTAGATAGTCTGCTTGAATTGACAAAGGGCCAAATGCCTATCACTGGCAGGGAGTCTCTGATTTACAATCTTTCTGTGCTTTAGAGTCTGACATGAAAGCTTTAAAAGCAGCAACATGAGCATTAGTGGAGTTTGGATGCCTAATCTACCTGTGAGACCTCGGCAGAAATACTAAGAGCCTCAGCCACAATGCAACAGCCTCTCACACTCAATACAGACAAAATGTGCAGCAGAAAACTATTCAAGCATGACAATATTATGAAGCTGCATCACAACTGCTCTGAGGCTGCAGCATTTGATGCACATCACAAAATTCAAGCTCAAGCTACAGAGTTCAACGACAGGTATCTAGTCTGTCTGCTGGCTGTTCAAGCTATAATGGTTATATTCAAGGGAGGCAGGCTGCAAGGAGGGCCACGGTCTCCGGGGGTGTGCCTGGCAGGCTGGCGGCCAGAACAGGCGCGACAGCCAGAGCTGCATGCTGTGCTGACATCAGCGCGCTTGCGGACGAGGACGCAGACCTGCAAGCAACTTTAGGGTTATTATATATAAACAAGAATCTTTATTACACGCTCCTCTGCTGGAGGAAATGGTGCGTATGTAGACAAGCTGCAGATAAAGGCTGCCAAATATCCCACACCTAGTGATGGACTCGCAAGATCCAAGCAAGACCCAATCAATTTGGGCATGTTCCTCAGTGCTAATCCGCCCTCTGCCAGCCGGGGCCCAGCATGGATTGTCTATAGTAGTTGCTAACCTGAAGCCATGTCACGTGTGGCAGCAATCTGACAAGTGGAATTACAAAGTGTGATTGCAAGACAATAATGTGTTGCACAGATAACATTGAGAGGCAAGTGGCCGACCTGCGTCGCTTTGCTGGTGTGCCCGCTGCCAATGCATTGGCAACCGCCGCCGCCTCAGCAGCTTCCTGCACCGCGGAAGCTGCCGCCTGGGGATCCGGGAACTGCATCAGCGCCAGGAATGCGCCAAAGAGATCCTGCACCACAAGAAATCACGGGCAGTGTCACACATCAACCCAACTCAATGGAAAGAAAGGAGATTATCAGTGCACGCATCCTAATCTGTCCCTGCTGTTCTCCCTGCTTTAGGAGAAAATAGCTAAGATCAGTATCAGATGTTCCAAAGTGACGCTCGCACCAGCGCGCATGCAGAGCGGCCTGCGCCGTCCGGTGCCGGGAACGCCCCCGACTGGATGTATCCCTGCAGCAGCTGCGACGGGAACGCCGCAGGACTGGCGCCGCTAGGTAGGTGCCCCGCAGCTGCCCACTGCTGAGTCACCCTCTGCCACAGAGACTCCAGAAACGCTGGACGCAGTAGCGGCCTCCACTCACCCTCCCCATTGGCCCCATCTGCACCATTTCAACACCATTTCAACAAAATTCTACTATTTTGTCACTTGTGGACATATCAAACTCCCCTCAATTCTGCTTGCTGAGTGACATCTGTTGCAGGGAAAGGGCTGCATCATTTGGGTTACAAAAAGGAGCGTAGCATGCTGTTGGGACACTGTTGAAGTAAAGGCATGTGGACAATGCACGCAGTTCGGTCTGCTGCATGGATTTCTGGGTGTGAGTCAGAATATCCCAGTCTCAAAAGGACTGAAAGCACAGGGAAGAAGGGAAAGGCACCTCTGCCACTTTGGTGGCGTGCGATGTGTGAGCACGCCAGGCTCATGCCGCTGCTGTGGTAGGCCAGCGCCAGCTTGAGGCTCCAAAGGGGCACTGTCGGGCCTATTCCTCCTGCCAACGCCCTCAATCCCCATGCACCCTCCACCCCTGGGAAAACACCACTATCTCATTTCAGCACCTCCTTGGCGTCTTTTGCAGCGTGCACTACTTGTGTTTTTCATAGGACTTGCGCATGGTACGGCAGCAGCGCTGCGGATGCATGCTGCATGCGATCCTGCATGCCCTTCCATCATTTCTGGGGAAGAACCCTGATTCAGGAGGCTAACCTTGTTTAAACACAACCCCAATCGCTGAAGCAAAGTACAGTTGCTTCATGGAGTGGCAGGTGCGGTTGCATTTGACTTTATTCAAAGAGGGAAGGACAAGAAGATAGGCAGCTGCCAGCTCACCTGGCTTGTTGGCCGATGATTCACTGGGGGTGCCAGTCAGGATGTCCACCAGGCTGTACAGGAACAGGTAACTCCCAAGCGCTGCAGACTTGTCCTACAGAGCAAACAAGAGTGTCAGGCACAATCTCTCGAATGTCAACCTGCAGATAATGAGGCCCGGTGTCACTAGAGGAGCACAAGCCATGTACACCTGCACGATGACAAAATTGAAGCCAGTCCAAGCCGAACGGACAAAATCATGCACGACATCGAAGTTTTAGGAAGGCATTTTAACGATGCGGTATGATAGCAGCGGTATGTGAGTAATACACTCCAGCAACCCAGCAACAGATACATGCCAGCGATGACTAATCCATGGAACAAAGGATCAGTAATGCACATGACAAATACAGCCCAGGAAGCCACCTCAGCGATGCACTCGCGCAGGCAGCTGCGGCAGAAGCTGTGGAACTCCGTGGCAGCCGTGTCTGCAGGGGAAGTGTTAGGAGGGGTGGCTGATGCGCTTGTGCCTGAAGCCAGCCGCTGGGCGAACGCCATCACAAATGGGTTGGCCGCGAAAGTGGAGCACAGGTGCACCAGATCAAAGCCGTTGGCGCCAGGGCCGGAACCCTGCAGATACCACGCATTCGAATTCAAACCAAGCTGCTCAAATTGACGATGGTTTGATCGAGCAGACCCAACATAGCAGCGGGCGACGTGCATCTGGCGAATGTCCCAAGGGCACGCCTGCAAACTCGTCCTCAACTGTGCCTGCGAATCGGCCTGGAATTTCCCTTCTGACCTTCAAAAGTAAAGATCGTTTCCTTGGCAAATATGCTTGGTCATGGCAAGAGTGACCTGAGTACTCGCAGGCATGTCAGCTTCGTGCAATCTTAGCATTGAACCATGCCTGAGCCGTCATAAGAGCGCTCGCCTCACCAAGGCTTCATGCAGTCTAGCGTGACTAATAATGAATACATGAATACGGTAAGCCGTCACATTAACGCTCTCCTCATTTAGGCTGCATGCTGTCCGCACGGTTGAGACATGGCTAAGCCTTCACGTGAGTGCTGACCTCATGAAGGCTCCTTGCAGTCCGCTGACATGACTAAGCCATCACATGGGCGCTCACCTCATCAGGTAGCCTGTGCAGCGAGACATGACTAAACGGTCACGTGGGCGCTCACCTCATCCAGGGCATGTGACAGCAGGCTGCGCACGCCGGAGGGGTCGTGCATGTACGACAGAGCGCCGCTCTTGCGCTGCACAAACAGCGTGCGCGTCCTGAACAGGCTTGCCAGGGGCCCCCCGCCGGACCCCCCGCTGCCCACCGCCAGCCGCTGCTGCCAGTACCTCGGCCCGCACACCTGCAGCTCCTCCACCTGGCGGGGGGAGAATCGCAAAAAACTCCTTAGAATTTTTTATATGTGCATGTTGAGGTCTTAGAGAATGGCATTGCCCTGTTTCTGTGCAAACCAACTCGCCACGAGAGAAACTATTAAAGACTCCACAATTGCCAAGCATGCGCTAAGACCATCTGCACTTGCCCCTATGCGGGCAGGCACAACGCAAGCCGAAAGATACATCAAGCAGGCGCATGCATGAAGTCCCTGTCTTGTGGACGTCATTCTGCTGGCACCAGCAATACACAGGACAAGGCAGGGTGAAGCAGCAACGAGCAGCAAAATAACAGCTACCTGGTCTTGTTCTGGCAGCAGGCAAGGTGCAGTCTTCCTGACAGCCATTGCCTTGGCAGCGCCGTCTGCATCCCCACCGCGCCCTGAGGTGCTCGGCACCATTTCTTCCACGTTCCATAGATCCCTCCTCAGCTCTGCAGACTCTGCAAGAGCACAGCACCAATCGTCACAAGAGGCCACTTGTGTTCAGAGTCGCTAAATCAAGCAAGTGCATGCACATCTCAATGCTATGTTGCCTGCGCACTACATGACTTTGCCAACCAAGTCTTGTGGTGCGCTTGCCTGACTGTATGTCGGGAATAATATGAAGCAATGTTCATGTGGAGTACTTTGAGTCAACGCGAGCCATAAGAACCTGTCAAGGGTGAGTCAACTTGGGTGCGCAGGCAGAAAATTGTTTCCTATAACATCCTGATCTCATAAACCCACGAAGAGCAGCACTTTGAAGGTCCGCTTGTCACTACCATGCTGTATGTTGCACATTCCTTTCTGCAGCCGTACACGCAAATGCACACCAAAAACACGTTCTGGAAGCCACAGAGATGACTCACCCATGTCAAGCAGGTCTTCGTGGCGGATGCGCACGCCGGTGCCGGGGCTAGGGTTCGCTCCCCTGACCAAAGGGGACGAAAAGGGGCGCGAGCGGATGGAGAGGGGTACGTAGACGCTCTCATGCGTGTGCACGTCGATCGCGTCAACGCAGCGAGGCTCTGAGGCCAGCACGTACAGGTGGCGGAATGCCTGCGCGCATGGGATGACTAACTATTGCAGACTTGACAGCAGGCATGTTATGACTCAAAGCATGCATGCATGGCATTAGCGAAGTTCTGGTAAACGCAAAAGCTTGCATGCGACGGCATGCGGCATGCGCTGCTTCTCACAGCGATACACTGTGATTCTCAGGTGCTTTGTGCATGAGTATTTTACAGCAAGTCTGATGGCAGGCGTGTGACGGCATCAAGCATGCTCAATGTCTCAGAAAAAGTGCTTTCTGATCGATCAAGGCTTCGACAGCGAGGCAGTGCCGAAAGGTGTAAATCTATATGGAAGGTTCTTAAAAGACTGCAGAATAAAAAAAGTGCGTGCAGTGCAATGCGTGCTACATGCGCAAGCTGTGAGAAAGCAAGTTCAATTGCCGGAGTCAAAATCATGGCACGTCAACATTAGTCATGATTCACGGGTGACTCACCTGCAGGTGGCAGCGGTGGTCCATGGTGGAGGCCGGGAAGCGGGGGTACAGCGCGATGACTAACGCGGCGGCCGCTGAGTCATGCGTGGCAAACGTGCGCGATCCGCCGCCCAGAAAAAGAAAGCCGATCGCCATGCTGAGCGCCATGTGGCTGCCGTAATTTCGCGCAGGGCCCGCAGGCGCCGCGGACGTGACCGGATGCAGCCGCTTGAGCAGACCTGCGCCATAAACCGTTTTTATTATTATTATGCGTTTGTCAGTCCTACGGACCAGGTGAATTGAGCAAAACCTGCATTATTGCTTTCCACCCTTCTTTGTTCTTGCATTTTCTCGACCAACTATGGTCATGACCAGTAGCATCCTCTGTCAGAACCTATGACCCAAGGTGATTGCAGCAAGTGGTTGCAGAGACGTTGTAATGGTGCCGTGGGTGCGCACTAATAGGAAAAGCCAGAGTGCACAATCAGAATTGTAGGGCTCAGGGGTGTAATAACGCAGGTCAGCCACCACGCCTATTACTCTTGCCGCAGCCCTTGCTAGTATCACCATCGAATACACTCAGCCCTCCCACCACAACCAAGGCCTGATAGTGACCTCTAATGCTGCAAGGCTTGAGTGAGCTGAGATGATGCTAACAGCGCACGGCTGCAACAAAAGATATCAGGGCTTGCAAGTTCCTTGCCCGCAACAATGCCGCTGGCAAGAGACTGCGGATGTCACAGATCACAGATGTAATCTGAGATATTACAAGCTACTAGACTAGCACCATGACTATCACGTGCAATGCATGTGACAGTACAATCACCGATGACTACCTCATCTGTGAAGCGGCCTGTATAGGCTCAACCAGACAAGACTATATCAACCAGCAGAAGACAAGATGCCCACAACCACTAGACCCATACAGCTAGAGTCTCTGATAAAGGTTTCGGAGAATTGCTTGACATCTTTGTATCCACCAGCACAGGTATTTTGAGGTTGACAACGCAGAGCACTTGAGCATCAAGAATTCAAGCACACCTCGGAAGAGGCACAGCGTCTGCAGATGCCCGGAGCCGGCCATGACCGCAGCGAGTGCCAGTGCTATGGTGCAGATGCAGTTCTCAATCGCCATTTTGTCCAGCCGGCCCCACGCCGCTGCCGCGCCTGCACATGACAATACACCCAACCATGTAAATCATCGCGCCTCTGGACAGTTGCTGCACATTAGAGACTCCCCTTGCATGCAATGCAGATCTGACTCGCATGCACGCCTGCAAACGCAGCGTGGGAGCGGCTCGGGCAAAGCTGTAGGACTGATGAGTCACAGCAGCGTGCAAGTCAGCCTGAAAATACGCTCTTTGCCGGCAGGGACCCTGTGTCAGACAAATTTAGCAGTGGTACCCAGTCTCTTCTGACATTCTTTGATTTAACAACTTGAATGCTAATGCATAATAAGGCAGATGCCATTAGTCACCTGCAGCGCTGTCAGGGGCGTCGTTCTTGGCAGCGAGCAGGTAATGCAGCATCTCTGTGAGCACGGTGCGCACGCCAGAATTGGCGCTGCCGGCGAATTTTATCCCCATGGCTAAACAGGCTCCGGCAATCGCATTCACGTGCGCCTGCGCTAGCGCCTCAAGATCCACTTTGTGGCCTGCCTTCGCATTGAGCCCTGCCGCCTGCTCCGGAGTGCACATGTACTCCGACACCGGCCCCTGCGCGCGTTGACAATTATAAAAATTCACAATCAGCAAGGGCGCTATTTTTCTTTATTATTATTATTATTATTATCATCATTATTATTATTATTATTATTATTATTATTATTATTATTATTATTATTATTATTATTATTATTATTATTATTATTATTATTATTATTTTATTATTATTATTATTATTATTATTACACGCTTTTCCTGCCAGAAGCAAGGTGCGTCTGCAGACAAGCTGCAGTAAAGGCTGCCAAAATCCTACCCCTTGATGGACTCGCCAGATCCAAGCAAGACCCAATGAATCGTGGGCACGGTGCTCAGTATTTATACCGCCCCCGCCAGCCGGGGCCTTCAAATTGCGCAGAAATGATGCCATGTCTTCCTGTCTGCAACACAGGCAGATTGGCAGATCCAGGAAGGGCCAAAGCAATCGTGCAGCAGTGTTGAGCCCGGCCAGGGTGTGACAGGGATGCATGTTATTGTCTGCAATGTTTCACCATTACAGGGGGCCCCGCTCAACACTTTGCTCCTTCAGGAAACTTAAATTATGCCGCCCAGTCTAATACTTCCCTCCTCAAACTCCCCAAAGTATGTCTATGGCACCTTGCTCAGGAGGACAGTGCAGGAATGCTTTCCATCTTCACGAGGTGAGGCAGTTGCCAAATGAAGACACAGACAGTGATTCGAGGAAGTCAGGACAAAATAGCAACCCTTTTTCAACTTCACGTGTAGGGCGCTCGCCGCGTTAACTTCCTCATCCACTGTTCTTTTTCAAGAGGTCTTGAAGCCTCAATTGCTTTGCATGAGACTGGCACAGGAATGCTGCCTCACCTTGATGAGGTCCGGCAGCTGAGACTGCAGCCACTCCCTGGTGGGCTGCACACTGTCCCACATGACCAGCCCCCGCGCCAGAACTCGCAGCAGCACAAACTCCGGCTTGACATAGTCCAGCGCGAAGTGGGTGTCCGGCACGAAGAAGGAGGCTGCGATGGCCGCGTCGTTGGTCTTCAGGTACATCAGTGCCAGCGCCAGCGTGGCGGCCGGTGATGTCACGTCCATGTTCACCAAATTGCCCTCCAGGACCACCTGTTTTGGCCAGAGCAACAATCTAATCATTGTTGCACGCCTTTCCAATCCACAAGGATCATTTGCGCAGCAGCAGCAGCAGCAGCGCAATGTATCAGACCTTGCTTTGAAGACAGCCCCACTCTGCTTTTGTTCACTTGAGACTTGTAGGGGAGTTTGTGGGCCTGCATTGCATCCTCATTTTGGGGTGAAAGAGGCCAACAAAATCAAATTATCGCATCATTTGCAAGGCTGACATGCAACGACTCAGGATGAGCATGTCTGTTGGCACCCTTAAGAAAGTTGGCACCAGGCAAGCCTCTTGTCGGTGAGTTCCGTGCAAGACGCCTCACGGCATCCTGCCAATTTAGGTGCAACTTGTGCTTTTCAGTGTCAACCTCATTGTCAAGACAGCAGCATATCAGGTGACAAATCCCTGCAATTCCATTTTCGGTTTCAAACTTGTAAGTAAAGCGGAGCACACCTGGGAGGTAGCCTGTTGCGCCTGGTGCTGCTCCTCGGCGCGGCCGGCCGCGGCAAAAATCGGATCGGCGCCGGACGTCGGGTCGAAGCCGGCGATGCCGGGGCCGGCACCGGCGCGCGAGTCAGCGGCCGCCCTGGCGCCCATCTTGTTGCCACCCGTCATGTAGTACCTGCAGCAGCACCACCACGTGCGCATCAGCGCTCGGTGAGTACTTCTTCTGCCTGGAAGATCCCGGATCATTACTGCGATAAATAGACGCTGGAAGTTAAGATGAGTTCTGCACTAAGGCATTCTAATCCAGGAAATATGCACCAAAGCCAGTCCAACACTGTGCCACCTGACAGCAGTGCATAGTCCGCACATAGCATAGCTTGAAGGCACCCGTCATCTTCACTTTCTTGCATCCGGCATCACTCTTGATGTCCGCAGGTCCCAGACAAGCAAGGTCGGATTCTTCATCCGTTCTTTCCGTCATGCAACAGATCAGCAGGACAGCGCTCAGCAAGGCAATGCCTTGAGGGAATTCAACGCCAGTCTCCTCAACACCTTGTCTTACCAAGCGCCTTCAAGAAGGTCAATCGCATACTGAGCACTTTGATTTTTTATCATTTTAAACGCTTTTCCTGCCAAGAGGCAAGGTGCATCCTGCAGACAAGCTGCATTTAAGGGCTGCCAAAATCCTACCCCTTCATGGACTTGCCAGACCCAATCCAACCGTAGGCACGGTGCTCAGTATTTGTACCGCCCTCCGCCAGGCGGGGCCTGAGCAATACACCGAGGCTAAGGCTGTCGACTCACCGCAGCCGGTCTTCAACTTGCAGGTCAGACAGTCCAATCGCCGTGCGACCCTTGCCGAGGCTGACTAATCCGAGTGCCAGCCCGGCGGCCAGAGCGTATCCTTCGCGGTCCTCTGAGACCGGGCCTCCCTCCTTCATTCCCCCAGCCAAATCCCCTCCCTCTAGAGACCCCGGCCGCCGCCCTATCTCCTTCAGCATGCTCTCTATCGTCTCCCTGTTCAGTGCAACACCACCTCAGCACAGGATGATTCTGTCACGCATGCATACCCACCATAGCAGGTAAGATCAGACACAAAATTCTGCCGTCGATGAATTGACTATAAGCAAGCGTTAAAATGCGCATCTTTGAATGCCCAGAGATTGATATCAAGCTGGACTCCACCCTATTGCCTCATTTTCATTCTCTTCTTCTGTTTGCGCTGGCAGAGATGTCTTGCTTGACATCCAGTCAACAGCAAGCAATGTCATGAAAAGGCAGCGCCTCTACTGGCGCATCATCCTCCCCCCATGCATCATCAGTGGAGAGCAGCTTATGGTGCTCTTCACCATGTACAAGGCAGGACATCAATTCAGCACAGAGGCAAGTCTTCGGATGGATCGCACAGGGGTCCGCCTATGGCAGGTGCCTCTAATGATGCAAGTGCAGCTTTGCAGCTCCCAGCACTCTTCACAATGCAAGCTTCCAGCACGGAGAGCATGCCGCTGAATGGCTAGCACAGGGCCACACCTGTGGCAGGTGCCTCCGATGATGCATGAGCACCTTTGGGGCTGACTGTGCTCATCATAATGCATGAGGAGGATGACAAGAGAGCAGATATACCGAGCAAGTGCTGTCATTGAGTTGCATAATTATCAGCGAGGGTGGGCCGCGCCTGTGGCAGGTGCCCCTCAAGAGCAGGCCGACGGCCATGAGCGCTGCCGACTGCACAAGGGGGGAAAGCTCCACTTCTGGGTAGGCCTGGGAGTGGCGGGAGGGAACGTGCAGCGACAGCATCTTTGCTGCCGTCTCATCCATCGTGCCTGCTCACATCACCATGAGTCACCCATTAGTTCTAGGATTTTCTGCAGTAGATGACACCACTCTCGGACACTGCATAGCATCCTTGCAGCTGTATGTCCGTCGTGCCAGCTCACTCCCAGTCTTGCCAGTCACTCTTTGCCATGGGGGATTTCTTCTCAGACAGACCTCCAAGTCTCATCCATCGTGCCTGCTGACAGGGACTCTTATCCTTTGCCCTTTGCCCTCGGTGCTTTAGTTGCAGAAATACCTCTTTTTCACTGTACTAAGTCTCTGAAAGGCCTGCTGGCACCCTGCCTTTCACCCTTCAGTCCTGGATCTTGAGGAGTCACTGTTGTGCTCGCACAGGACTCCTCAAGCACGTTATTATTACTATTACTATAACTATTACTATTACTATTACTATTACTATTACTATTACTATTACTATTACTATTACTATTACTATTACTATTACTATTACTATTACTATTACTATTACTATTACTATTACTATTACTATTACTATTACTATTACTATTACTATTACTATTACTATTACTATTACTATTATTTTGTGCAGGTCGCTCAGCAGGCCGCCTCATGCGCTTTATCTTGCCTGACCGCCTCCTCACATACCTTACCATGGAACGAAAGGACAAAGTGCGATGCAGCTGTGAGGAGGATGCAAGCACAAAAGCTGATTAGTGGCCTTGCCTGCTTTGGCTGCGCCGATGCCCAGGAGTACAGCCATGATGGTGGCGTCGTGGTACTGGCTCAGGTAGCTGAACAGATCCGTGGCAGACAAGCACGCCAGGTGATCTGCACCGTTCCAACAGAGTTCACCATGTGATTTGATTGTGAAGATTGTTGGATAGTTTTTGGGAGGTGGACCCTCCCTAAGAGGGATTCGGCAACACCCCTTCTCCGGAGAAGGAGTGTTGCATCTCCCTGGAGCTATTCTCCTTTATTTTAAACAGGCCTTCTGCAGTCTCAAATTGCATCAAATCTCTCAAATTTTGCCATTGCCTGCATTATCCCTGGTTGGCACCTGTGTGCGGAGCCCTCAGAGGGGATGAACCCAAGGACTTCTGTGCAAAAGCTCACCTGGGCTGCCACTGCCCGCCGCACATTGAATCCCGGGGGTAAGATATGTCAACAACGCCTGTCTACATGGCAATTCTTTGCATGACACATCAGGAATGTTGACGCGTGGGGCAGAGCACAAGGTGACAATGTGCAAATGCCAAGACCTGCACACCGTGGGGACTCATCATGGTAGCCTTCATTTTGTTTAACTGTTCAATAAGTTCTCATAACTGCCCTGATGGAAATGGGCATCTTCCTATCTTGTAATGCTTCCACAGATTCACTATGCCTTCCAGAAAATAGGAGAATGCCGTCATGTGAGACTCCTGTTCACAAGAATAACCTGGCAGGTCCAATGTGACATAGGTTTTCTTTTTACCTATTTCACGGTTTTCCTGCCGAAGGCAAGGTGCGTCTGCAGACAAGCTGCATGTAAAGACTGTCAGATACCTACCCCTCGTTGGACTCGCCAGATACAAGCAAGACCCAATCAACCATGGGCACGGTGCTCAGTATTTGTACCGCCCCCTGCCAGCCGGGGCCAATGATAGTGGGAGGGGTGATCACATGTGAGGCCGAGGCCCATGATCATGCCGGCGTGGGTGTAGGAGGCGACTTTGGGTTTGTTGTACACAATCCACGTCCGCGTCATCTGCGTGCAGCCCGGCGCCATGCGCAGCCCTGCAGGCATGCAAATCCACATCAAGAACATTCCTGGATGGCAAAGCTTAGAAACAGACTGCTGCTAGTAAAGCTTGACCGGTGCTGCAACGCTGCAAAATACAAGGATGCATTGCAGCACAGGTGCACAAACATCACAGGCATGCAGAGGGCACAAATGGTGAGCGTACTGCTGCCCGAGCCAACTTGCTGGCTGCAGAAATGTAGCCTAGTCAAAAAGCAGGGTGCTGGCTGGTACAGCAGTGGATTCTTGAACCCGTCACAGCCCCCACTGAATCAATGCAATGTCGCGCACTGCAGGGCGGTCCAAATGTAAGGTCCATGAAATACTATATACTGGGCAGGTCCGGCGTGTTGACACGCCAAGCACATCCGGCGTACAGCCTGCGCACATTCTTTGGAGCAAGGAGTACAGAGGCATGTGCCGGCACATGCGCGCACCTGCAGCCACGCCGTTGTGGAACTCTGGCCATGCGGTGATATCCGCGGCCGCGCCGCCGCCCGGCGGCGGCTGCGAAGCCGTGAGATCTAGGTTGACAGTCGCGTTGTGCTGCTCCGGAAGCCGACCGGAAAGGCACAACGGCGGGATTGGCAGCGGCTCTGTCGGCAGCGGGCGCATCGTGCCTGCATGCATGCAGAATTTCCTGAATGCCTGCATAATGTGCGCTTAACTTGGTGGATTTTGAATAGCAAGCACCTCTTTGACCTCTGAAGAATGGAATCTGCCATGTGGTGAGGAAATCGTCTTGGCATTGCTGTACACGCGCTTGAGTCTCTTCTGCACATTTGCTCACATCCTGAGAAGTGCAGGCACTGAGGATAGACTTCACACTGTATTCTAAATCCCTTAGCATTATCCTAAGGGATATAGTTACTCGCCGAGGGTGAGCGCGGTAGGGCCGGAGGGCAGCGCCACGGTGCGCGCGGGATGCTAGAATTAGGAACAGCCGGGGAAAAGGGGCTCTGGTTCATTTTCAAAAAGAAGGGACTGGAAGTCCAGTGCTGTGCATAATTCTATGGATTGGAATTGTTTATTATTCCTCACCGAGCTTGATTGGGTCTTGCTTGGATCTGGCGAGTCCATCAAGGGTAGGATTATAGCAGCCTTCAACTGCAGCTTGTCTGCAGGACGCGCCGTGCCTCTTGGCAGGGAAGAGCATAATAATGTAGTTTGGTTTAACTCACCGAGGGTACCCTGGATTACTAACGATTACTCACCGAGGGTGAGCGCGGCGCGGCCGAAGGGGAGCGCCATTGTGCGGGTGCCGAGCGCCATCAGCCGCACCTGCTGCGCCTGCATCTGCTCCGGATCCCCGGCCTCCGGCGCTGCCGCCACGCGCAGCGCCGTCGGCTCGTTGCTCGCCAGCAGCCGCCGCACCTGCGCTAAGAGCCCTGTGTCAATCAACGTTGCTGACAGTTGCTGACAGTCCTGACAGTCCTGTGTCAATTAACGTTGCTGACAGTTGCTGACAGTCCTGACAGTCCTGCATCAATCACCGCTGCTGCCTCCGGGGATCAGCAACGGAGGCAGCAGCTCTCAATCAATCAATCAATCACCGCTGCTGATTATTGACAAATTCACTGCAGAGGTGCAGAGTATTATTTTGAGAGCCGACAGTACATGGACCTTTCCCGCCAATTTCAGCTTGTGACATGTGGTGCAAGGGGTCTTCCTTGTCAGCAGGACACCTGGCGCAAGCAAGCCAAAGCGACATGGTTGCCAGGATGGGGTGCGTTACTCTGCCCCTAAACATGGGGCCTGTACTATTAGTCCTGCACCCTGCACTTGCTTCCTGTCTCATTGATAGAAGTGAGCACCAGCAAGCAAAGCATGGAGGCCTCCTTGTGCACGAAAGAACACTGCGAGTGACACCGCCCCTTGAAGCAAATAACTGCATCTCTGGAATGACATATGCGGGTGAGCAGGAGCACGCAGGTTTTCTTGTGTCTGCAAGACATAGTGAAGCATGACTAACCTCAGCGAGGCGCTTGTCTCGGCCGAATCGCAGCTCGCAATCGTCGAAGAGGCCCTCTATGCCGTCAGTGGGGACGCTGCTTTGCGCCACCGAGCTGTCCCTGTGGCGCCCATTCGCCACTGCTTCCTCGGCCAGCCCTGCAACACAAAGAGAAAGCTTTCCTTCTTCGTTCCAAGCTCTTTCCCTAAATCGCTTTTTCTACCGCCTTCATGTCCGCAATGTCTCACTGCTGCCCATTTTGGAGCCGCTTCCTCAGCCAGCCCTGCAAGACTCTGCACCTCAGCTGTCGCACAAAATGTTCATAAGCACACAGTATTTTCCAGGACAGAGATATTCAACTGAGAATTGGAGCCATGGAAAGGTGAGACCCCTGCACATCTCCTAGCCGATCAATGAACCCCCACAGCCTGCAACCTTGTGCTGAGTGCAGCATACATGCAAGGCTGGCAACTCGTTGAGTTAATTTGCATTGCTTGGAATGGGACTGAATATGGGCACCGGTGCAAACCCAGTGCCTAAGTCACAGCTGCGTGACAGGATATTAGTCTGGGAGGTACCGGGTATGAGTAGCCGCTGAGTGTAGGGTGTGGCTGGTGCGGGTCTGTAGAAGTCTCCAGGCTGCGTCGAGGGCGAGGGGGCAGATGCAGAGGGGGGCCGCTGCGGGGGATCCCTGGGGCCACCAGCTGTGGCAGAGGTGGAGGCCGCAGCAGCTGCCGAGGAAGCTGCCATGGCGGCAAGGGAAGCTGCGGCGGCCGCCGCGGAAGCCGCCTCGGCCGGGCCCGGACCTCCGCCGATGCTCAGGCGGCTGCGCGCGGCTGCGATACCACACAAAGGCCATGTTTAATTATTAGATGCACTGTGATCCGGTCACGCCTCATGCCATATAGAAATCCGCCAGCACTTCCATGAATAGGGACGCTTATGAAGCATGATGTCCTTTGTGCACATACTCCATCTGACCTGACGAGTATTCTGTGATGTTGAGGGTATTTGAATCATATTCAAGGACGCATCAATCGCAAAAACTGATCTTTAAACACCTTCTACATGGCCAGATGAAGATTCTATCCAGTTAAACCTGTGAGAGAGAAACGCTGCTGCGACGCACCTGATCCTCATGGATTGGAAAGGCGTGTTGTAATAATAATAAACCTGTGATGTTCACTGTACTTTGCAGAAGCTTAGCAAGACTTGCCATATGCGCAGGACAGACCTGGTGCCGGCGTGCGCAGCTGCGGCTGCCACATGGGAGACAGCGCAGGGACTCGGCCGGCTCTAAGGCCGCCCTGCTCCGCGCGCAGATCCAGTCCTGCAAAACCACATGCACAAACGGCTGCAGTAAATGTGGATACTGACCTGGCATGAATGCTGGGTATTGGGTTGCTGCTGGAAGTGTTGGACATCTTGGCATGCACACAGGTGCTGACAAATTGCATGCAAAATGTTCTCATCAGTGCTGCGTCAGGAGCACACAATTCGTTAGTCATCCTTGCGGAGCAGAGGTAAAGCAGGCGTGGTGATGTGAGCAGTCAGGAACATGCACAGCTGCGTGGGGACAATGTGCAGGGTAGAAAAGTGCAGGCTGTCAGACAAGAGCAATACAGGTGGTCTGAAAGCAAGCGAAGGGACAATCGTATAAATCACCTGTAGCACCGACGGCCCCCGGTGCCTGAACAGGCGCAGTGCCACCAACGGTGTTGGAACCCCCGGCCTCGTTGTTCTCGGGGTCGCGCTGAGACCCTGCTGCTGCCATCGCCGCGAGGTCCGCCCTGCCCACAAGGGTGTATGCCGCGGGCGGCCAGCCTGCATGCATGACGAAAATAATCAGCGTCTCTTCGTAGTACTGCTCATGATGCAAAGTTCCTGTAACCCCATGAGAGCCCAGCAAAAACTCATACACGTCTTCAGCTCAACTTGAGGAGGTAAGATGATCAAACACGAGAATTTGCAAGGGTGTGCAGGAAATGACTGTGAGAAATATGCTTGCAATAACATGTACCCGGACGTGCTTCAGGGCCTCTTCAACATCCAGTCAGGCCAGAGTCAGGCATCTGAAAAAGTTTCAGACGATTAGTGATGCAGCTGTCATTTGTGTTTAGGTTTGTGCACGCACATGCTGATGGGTCAATTCATGATTCAGTCAGGCTGAGCCTCAAGCAGGTGGAACATCCACATACGAAAATTTGAAAATATATGGTTGACTTGTTATTTTTGAGATTGTGATTAAAATTGTGAGCGCACATGCTGGCGGGTCGGCTCGGCATCGGTGGAGGGCCTCTCGGATGGGCAGGGCTATGCCCACTGGCAGGCTGTCCACATCCCTCAAGCTCCACCCCTGTGCAGCCACCGCACCTTTCATGCATGACCAGGCTCGTTGTCAAAGCAATGAACACAAAAACCACTGTGCAGCCACCGCATTGATCATGCATGACCACCATTGTTGCCCAAACAATGAACACAAAAACCCCTAGCAGCCACCGCAGTCATCAGGCATGACCACCATTGTTGCCCAAACAATGAACACAAAGGCCCTTGCAGCCACCGCAGTCATCAGGCATGATCACACTCATCGCCCAAACAATGAACACAGGAAGCAGCCACAGCACCGATTATGCATGACCCTGCTCATTGCCCAAACAATGAACACAAAAACCAATGTGCAGCCACCGCACCGGTCATGCATGACCACCATTGTTGCCCAAACAATGAACACAAAAACCCCTTTGCAGCCACCGCAGTCATCAGGCACGACCACACTCATCGTGCAAACAATGAACACAGGAAGCCGCCACAGCACCGATTATGCATGACCCCCCTCATTGCCCAAACAATGAACACATATACCCCTGTGCAGCCACCGCACCGATCATGCATGACCAGGCTCAATGTCAAAGCAATGAACACATGAAGCATGCTTCTGCATGTCAAAGGAGCCTTCATTGGTCCTGCATGCCACATTCTGGCTCATCTCCTGCAAATTTTGGCGCGCAAATGGAGGCTTTCAGCAGCACTTTTCATGAGTGGAATATGCGCAGGAGGATCAAGGGCAGGATCGTCACCCGTTGCCACAGCAGCAGAGCAATGCCCTCACAGGCGCTGATGACGATGCTGCGCAGGTTACATTGGCTGCCGGTCTTGCCTGGCTCGCTCCAGAGCTCCTGACAGCACTGCCCTGCGGCAGGAAAGATATAGAGCCTCTGATCAGCACATACTTTTTGCCTGAAAGATCTGGGCCCCTTCCCATGCAAGAGAGCCGGTAACAAAGATACATGACGCTCTTGATGCTCTGAGCTCCGGGCTGCATGTAGCGTCCATGAAAAATAGAAAGAAAAAGGATTTGTGTAATGAGACTACAATTGACTAGCTTGACACTAGGGCAGGTGTACAATTGCAAGACGCCAGATTATTGTGGGTGAGGAATTGCACACCTGAAACAAAGGCAATGTCGCGGTAGAAGGCCGCCACGTCAGCAGTGCGCGACACGCAGCTGCGCTGCAGCTGCGCCAGCGGCGGCAGCCACCGGGAAGCTTCCTCGCCCCTGTCGTCGCAATCTGAGATTATCTCTCCACCCAATTTGCAAATTTCTGGCCTACAAGAAAGTGATGACCTCTAGGTGGTGTTACCTTTTACAGCATGCATACCAGGTATATGTATAAGGCAAGCCTGGTGTGGTCAATTTCCATAGACTTCAGGGAAATGGAGAAGGGTGTAGTGTCCAGGATAATTGGTGTCTGCAGTGACAGTTTTCATCCATCTTCAGACATGGGTCTAAAGGTTCAGGGCAGATTCACGAGTTTGAGTGTAAAGTGAAGCCACAGGGTGAGGCTGAGATATGGACCTGCCGGCCAGCATCTCCTGCAACGCCCTGTGCACGTCCGCCACTGGGCCGAGCTCCTGCTGCGCTGATGTGGCAGCTTTGTTACCGCCTGCAAATGGCCAACCAACTAAGCTGACCTCAAGCCCCTCTCCATGATGCCTAGTATTGAGAGTGGTGCAAAACCCATTTCAGAAAACATGATCTGCTCCCGCCTGCATGGTCAAGAGTTGTTGCAATTTCAAGCCCTTCATGGGAAATCTGAAAAGTGATGAGCGCAGGACGCCCTTGGCAGAAACGCCATGCAACCACAAAACTGTGGTATCCTTGGCAGAATCTGTAGCTATGCAGTTTCTACGCGCGTCCTGTGCCAGCTGTATAAGCCAGGCGTCAGACTGGCAATCATGACTTTCCTATGCAGCTTTTAGTCGCATCCTGTGCCAGCTATATAAGCTAGGCATCAGACTGAATCATGACTGCAAAGACGCTGGCAGATAGAACCCTGGTAGCAAGGCTGGCCATCGCAAGGAGAAAGCTCGTATCAATTTGGCAGAGCAAAGTGCGGGCATCAATCGTAGTTTGTATTGCATATCTTAAAGCAGAGTCTCAGGCAGCACACCTGCACTGCTGGGCAGGGGCATGTCTGTAGAGGCGATGCCTGGCCCCATGTCGCGCTGATAATGGTCCAGGTAGGGCCGAGCGCCCTGGAGGGATGCCAGCTGGCACAGCAGCCGCGCCAATTTTGGCAGCAGGTGCCACCTCAGCACATCCAGCTTGAAGTCCTGCAGCCACCAAGGCGCCGCTCAGCATTTACTTCAAAAGTAAATCGGGTCGAAAAATTTATGTTGTTTCACATCCGCCGGACTCTGGGAGGTCCACCAATCTTGCCATGCATTGCGAGTTTCTCCAAAGTGATAGGAGGGCAGTGCTGTCTAAAGAAGAGCACGCAGCTCGGCATTGACAAGAAGGGATCTGCACAGGCGGCCCGGGAAGTTGCGCACTAAGCTCATTATTTCGGAGGTCTCAAGGATTAAACCCATTTAAGCGAAGTATCGGTCCTGCCGGTGATGCTCTGCTGTTTCTTCCTGATTGGGCACGTTTGCGCTTTCAATATGTCCCTGATACCACTGCTGTGTTGAAAAGGGGAGTCTGCAGGGACAATTTGTACCTCGTAGATAGCATGCAGCGCTTGCAGCGCCTTAGTGACATCAGGCCTCTCGCTGATGTCAGCGGCGGCAGAAGTGGTCGATGAGTCACGCCCGGCTGGCACCCTTTGAGCCCCCTCGCCCACCCTCAGCCATGGGTACCTCCGCTCTTGCAGAATTTTCCTGCATATGACAGTATAATACTCTGCATGCCTGTAGAAAGTAGGGCAGACTGCAGTGCCACCCACGGAAAGCAAGCTAGGCGATGTAATGGAGACACATGTAAAGAAGGAATGGAGGCAAGCACATAATCCTGACAGATCGATACCAGAATAGCCCACCAACAGCAAAGCGGCCTTGCGCACAGATTTTTGAAGGACTTTCAAGCAGCATGACACAACCGCAAACACCTGGGGATTGGGAAGATCGAAAAAAGTGGATGGCCACACAGTAGCAGAGCAGGCCAGAAAGGAGCAGAGTCGCCAATCCCCAGAGCCCATCAAGATGTTTGGGAGCTGTGAAGCGCACAGCTGCATGCATGTTGTGCGTAACAGCAGCAGAGAGCCAAATCTACCTGTGCTGACTGGACTGCAGAAGGGCCTCCCAGGCAGCGGATGGTCCGGAGTCAACGCTGCCGCCAGGTGTCGCCGCGGTGGTGGCGTCGGTGGACTGGGAGGTCCCCCCGGCGGCGGAGTAGTCCCCCCGGCCGCCACCGCCGGCCCCCCGCTGCCGGAGCGGGGGGGCGCTCAGCGACACGGGGTCTTGCGCCCATCTCAGCAGCAGCGCAGCAAAGGCCTCCCACTCTCTCTTCACATCCCCCGCCGACGCCCCTACTTCTCACGCAAGCTCAGTTCCGGGTATCTGGCAAAATTTTCTATTGAATGCTGCAGGCAACCTACTGCCGTATAAGGATATTTTTGCAAGGTGAGGGCTCACTCAGTTGCCTCAACAACAGATAGAATTACGGGCAATTGAGTGGATCATTAAAGAATTAGGCTTTCCAAAACAAACTATAGCTGCAAAATTTTGCAGGCAAACTATTGCCACAAATTGTGGAGTGCATAAGAAACAGTGAACACTTTGAATGGGCGCACCCGGGGAGGTGATGAAGCGGCAGAAGAGGGCGTGCCAGACAGGGGGGTCCAGAGCCTCTTTAAGCGCCTCCAGTGCCAGTCCCGGCAGCGGCCGCACCGGTGTGAACGGCAGCGCTACTCGCACCGCGCGGCCGTCGGCAAAACTCACTGTGACCCTGTCCCCAACAGCGTCCTGCACCAAAACAGGCAGTGTCTCAACCGTACACTTATTGCACATGTACCCTGATCTCAATAAAAAATCAGTAATGCATTAGCGGTATCTGCATTCTGCCATGACAGCACCGACAGGCAAAATTATTTGCACACGTGGGTGGCCTAAAGGATTCTGCCCACTATATTTTGGATTTAGTACTGGAGTGGCACATTTAACACTTAGTGAATGTTTGCTGGCTGCGCAGAAATGCGCTAGTTGCTGTCCTCAACCGCTGGTCCTCGACTTATGTCCGACGTATACTTTTTTTGCTGCCAGGAATGCTCTACTACCAAAGATTACATGGGCCAAAGCCAAATAATATAGAACTGCCATCTCCCTCCTTTTCATGGAGCAGCCCTCCATACTGCTGACATGGTTATACATTTTATGATGTGTTGGCCACAGGGGGCAATATTTACATCCCTTCCCACAAGGCTTGTCGGCGCGTAGTGGGATGACTCACCGCCAGGTCCACGATCTCCGGGGGCGCTTCCAGCGCGTCCCCCAGGCCGGCCACATTAGGCCCCGACACAACGCCTTCGCTCCCAGGAGAAACGGCTCCGCCACCCTCGGCGCTGCCGGCCTCGTCCATGGAACAGTCGGAGAGACCCCCCGGCGAGTCCCCCCAGCTGTGCCTCGTCTTCTGGGGCGTCTCTGCCACTGCAGTCAACACACCCTTGCCTTCTTATTATCATTATTACATGCTTTTCCCAGCAAGGTATGTCCTGCAGACAAGCTGCGGTCGTAGGCTGCCACACTGCTACCCCTTGTTGGACTTGCCAGGATCCAAGCATGACCCTTTCAACAGTGGGCACGGTGCTCAGTATTTATACCGCCCCCCACCCGCCAGCCGGGGCCACACCTTGCCTTTGGCAATTTTTAAAATTAGTTCAATCTACCATGCAGTACTTTATGGGCGACAGATGAGCAAGAGGGAGTTGCACTCATGTACAAAAAGTCCTACATGTCCAAGTCAAGCACCCTGCAAGTGCAGACACCCCGCTGCATGAGAAGTCATTGCTCTTCTTTCCAACTCCTTCAGAACGTTTGAAAGAGTAGGAGACCCTTTCATGCAGCGGGAGGTCCAGGATTGCATTCTTTGTGATGAACATACACCAGCGCCCTGCTCATTGGCTGCAGTAGTTTGCACAGCGCTTCCCTTCAGTAAACAACTTCATTTACGTGCCCAGTGGGTGCTTGGACGGTCCTGTTGACCTGGGGATTTGACAAGCTGCATGCTCAAGCACATGAGAGCCCTTGCTGATCAATGCAACAACTTACACAGTGCTCGTCTTCCTCAAAGGACTTGATGTACATGCCCTGTAGGTAATGTCCAGCTAGTAGAATAAGAAGCATCAACAGATGGGCTTTTGCTTGCATTCAGCTTCACTAGCTGCTGCAAGTCTTACTAACGGAATTGTGTGGTTATTTATCTGTCTGCAACACTCATCAGAACAAGAGCGCACCTCTCTCCTCGGCCCGGCCGCCGCCGCCGGCCACCGGGGCATAGCGCGCGAAGCGGCCGGGGTCGCGCAGATTGACGGCCACGTTGCACACATGCCGCGAGCCGATGCAGAGGGAAAGGCGGCCAGTGGGGTGCAGCAGAAGAATGTCTCTGGCGGGGTGGTCCAGGGAGGGACCCCCGGAGGACCGGGGGCCACCGCAGACCGCCCGCTTCCGGATGGACTCCACCGCCGCCACCGCCACTGCGTCCAACGTGAACACCACCTGTCCAGCAAAACGTCGCCGTATTGGGTTGAATCATTTTTAAACCATAGCATGCTTCTCTGGACTTCTATGTTCACATCTCAGTAGTCCAGAGCTTCTCTGGGCTGGTGAAAGTGTCATTTGTGACCAAAGATCCACAAAAGCGCCCCATGCATAAGTGCTGGCTCAATCAATCGGCAAACCACTTCATTGGCTTGTACTGGGCGTCTTCACACTCCCGTGACAAACTCGGCTGCAATGCTCACTTCTTGCGTCAGAAAGTGTGCTTGTTGTGCATGTATGTCGAGCTGTGAGATGCAATAGCATCCTTCAAACTTTTCTGTCAGTTAATTAGACATGCAGGGTGCAATTGCATTTCAGAGCTCAAGATGCATGCGCGATGCAATAACTTGATATCACATTCGTCTGCTGCAGCCAAGCAAGTGCAGGAGTCAGAAGACGCTTAGTATGCCACCAGATTCTTCCCACAAACTTGCAATCCCGCAAAGCATGGCATCTGTGCGAAGCTCAAACAAGCTGCAATGAACAGGGCATTGCTGGCTTGGGAGACGGGCAAACCATGCTCGCCTCGACATGAGCAGGAGAAGAGGCACTGGCGGTCGGCAGCCGCAGGGCAGTTGCGCGCGCGGCCGCTCGGCTGTGCAGCAGGAGCAGAGGGGCGCTGTCATGATCTGTCGCCAGGTGGCCCTGGTCCGGGCAGGCATCTACACAGACACACACAGACATCCTCTGAAATGCTAATACGGATGTGCACGTCATGCATGTAATCGCCAATCGATTACCTGCACACCCATCAAGCTTTTATTTTGCCGCAACGATAAATGTGATATCTGTGCATCACAAGCGTGAATGCTGCTGCAGGCCGAGTGCGTATTGCTGCACCATTCAGGATATGGCAGTCATGTAGCAAAGTGCCTGCACCATGCTTTGTTCTGTCTTCGCTGCATTGCTAAAGGGTGCAGTTGGGACAAGAACTTGGGGGCGGCAGCACACCTGCAGGCACCTTCTGCTGCCACAACAGGCCAGCGACAAGCTTGGGCTTGTTGCGAAGCTTCGTCGGCTCCAGGCCGGCGGCGCGCGCATTTGCGGCGGCTGCTTCGACCGCGCGTGAGACCGGTGAGAACGCTGCTGGAGACAGACGCCCATCCGCCAGCCGCAAGCTCTGCCTGTGAGAGCAGACACTGGCTGAATGCAATGTTTGACTTGGTATATATGCCAGCCAGGCGGTTTTAATTTTTGATCTCTTGCTTACAATAGTGGAGCTAGAACCACAGCATATGCTCCCCAAGCACGCACTTTCCCATTCAGTGGATTTACATGGGTCAACTGCCAAGGACTTGCGAAACTGCTGAAAAACCCGAGTTTCTGTTTTCTTGGACAGATTGCTTGGCTGAAGCTGCATTGGAAGCCAGCGTTTCCCGCTACCTCGCCGATGCCTTCCCCCTCGGGGGCGTCGTGCAGAGCAACAAATCAGGAACACAATTTGGGGCACCATGGCTGACGAGAGCATCGAAGATAGATTCAAGAAGGCCGTCTGGCTCATCCGCAATGGCCCCAAGATGGACTCGACCAACGAGCAGAAGCTGACGTTCTACTCTTACTTCAAGCAGGTGGGAAGTCGTAGCAGATCCTGCCTCTTGGCTTCAGCAACAATGCCTAATCTGTGCTGTGAAGCCTCAGCACAATTTTGCACCCACTTTCGTGTATTGAAATGTCAAAGCCGACACCCCTAGGCAAAGTCTGTCCAGCCATTCCTCGGATGAGACAAACCAAAGTTGTCCAATGCGCCAACTCAGTGCAACCAAAGCTGCACAAATTTCTAGTGCTTAAGTACTAAACCTGCAAAGGCGTACCATCACATTGCCGAAAAGAAAACGCAAATCATTTATCTCGCGAGCCTGACTTGAAAAAAAAGGATACATCACATCACGTTGGGTAAAAGGACTCCTTTGCCAATCTGCAGGCCACCAAAGGAGATGTGGAAGGCACTCAGCCATGGGCGGTGCAAATCGAGGCCAGGGCCAAGTGGGACTGGTGGGCCAAACTCAAGGGCATGAGCAAGGAGGAGGCCATGCAGCACTACATAGACCTCCTCGGCGATCCTGAGATCTGGGAGAACCACGAACTGCTCAAGAGTACCTACAAGCCCGCGGAGTTTGACCTTGCAAAGATCTGAGTAGCACAGCTGCACCTTAAAGCAGAGCGCAGAATGGTCTTATGCTTAGGAACTGTGTCCAGTACCAGATCAGCCTCTCAAATGAGAGGATGCTCAGATGAACTCCTGCTTAGCAGCTAGAACAATTCATATCCCAGAATTGTACTCAGTCAATTCTGCAGGCATCAATACCTATGCACTGCCAGAGTATGCCTGCTGGAGGGCTGGCTAGCAGCCCTCCCAAACGGCTCAAAATTCATTGGGCAAGGGCATTTTGTACATAGCGTATCACGCAGTGCCTGAAGCTTTGTAAATTGCTGCACTGTTACATATCCCTACACCTTGGTGCAAGAGGCAGCCGAGTACGTGCTGACAATGCCAACTAAAACGTGACTACCCAAGAAAGAATAACATACAGCCACAGCATAAATCCGACCTCCCCTCAGCGTGGCCCCCCCCCCCAAAATAAACACTGCCTCTAACATGCTGAGAGCAGTATGATGTCAGGGGTAGCGGGGCTTCAATCAGGAGCACACCTCTTGCTTGCGGAGGGAGGGATGCCTCCGTTGGGGGCGCGCAGAATCTGAGCAGGTGTGCGCGGCTGCAGACCGGCTGGAATCTGCGGTGCTGGATCCCCATACTTGATGTGCCACAATGCCAGTCGCCCCAATCTCTGCATGCACGCACGCTTTCTCAGACCAAAGGTTGCGTCACAAGCAAACCCGCACCCTTCAAAAGAAGTCAATCGGCAAATTAGTCAGTACTGTTTCCAATGGTGAGACCAGGAAAAATGATGATGCCCTTAAAATACTTGATCCTCTTTTCAAATGGACTAGAACTAAAAGAGTGCCAGTTTGTATGGTCTCGGATCGTCCAAAGATGCCACAGTGTGATCCTTAAACTGCACCTGTAAACTTGAACGGAGCAGCATCCCTTACGTAATCAGGGCTGTCACCTTGCTGTAGGTGGCCAGGTAGGGCAGCTCTGCCGAGGACCAGATGATCTTTTCGTCCTGCCAGCTGGCGCTGATGTCAGCGCTGAACTCTGCTGACAGCGCCTGCACCTCCTCCAGCGGGTGAGTCAGGATGCTGCACCGCATTCCCTCCTGCCCCTGGAGCCAGCCATGAAAGTTGTTGTTTTTGTCTTTGCCCACTTTAATGTATCAACAATAGGAGATTAGCCATGCAAGACAGCAGGGCACCGCAAGGACCGGACGATAGAGAAGACAAATATGATGAGCTCGGCTTTGCTAAGGATGAGCTGGAGAGGGTCATGGAACAGATAGAGGCCCATCCGCCTATTTGCGTCGGTCATCCTGGTGGAGCCCTAGGGCACTTTGACATATTCTGCCCAACACACTCCAGTGTGACTACAAGATACAGCATTGTGGCAACTCTGGCATTGGTGGGATGTGATGTCAGGGCCCCAGACAGTCTGCCTGCCACTGACATTGCAAGTCCCACACAGGCAAGCAGAGATGCTTGCTCAGTGCACAAGCATCTGACCACCCTACAACCTGCACTCTCAACAAGCTGATGCCCACCGAGGGAGCAGCAGAAACAGGCAGGCCTCTTCAGGACGCAGGAGGGCCAGGAACTTCCTTGAAGATGACACTCACGTTCAAAAGAAGGCCTTGTGGGATGGGGTGCAGGGAAGTGACCGCGGCTGGTACAGGCACAGTCTGCAGCTGGCCGCTCAGAGTGTAGGTGGTGAGCAGTGACTGCTGCAGCATGCACAGCGTGGAGCCTGCCCCATTGTCCTGGAACTTTGCCCATGTCACCTTCGAGAGGCAAGAGCGCATCAGGTTTACTCTCATTTAAATCGCAAGTTCTCTTGTATCGTTCTCGGGGTTACCAGCCTAGACTGCATGCTGATGCAGCATGGGACTCCTTTGTAGAGCAGATACTGCGTTGACGTTCCCACTCCTGTGAAATGGATTGTGTGAAGGCCGATGCATGCTCTGCTGGACTCTTCATGAGAGAATACCGTCAAGGGTGCGTCATGGCTGTCGCTTGTTCATCCGGCCTAGCAAATAATGGGAGACTGACCTGCAGCACAGTGGAGTCCAGTGTAAAGCAGCGCCGCACAACTCTGGCCGCACTCCACACCACCCTGCAGCACCACATGCCTTTGCATTTACATGCCTTTGCATTTCGTTAACCTTATTGAGTGCCAGGAATGTCACGAAATATAAATGAGTGGGGGTTACTGGGCGCATGTACTGTTGCAAAGACACAATCCTGTATGAGCTCCTTGTGTAGATCATATTTCAGATCATTCTGGGAGGATAGCTCTCTGCTAAAGTAGCCATCTCCTCACCTGTTCCCATGCCAGCAGATCTCCTCGTCAAAGGCATTCCCCCCGAGAACGGATGATCTGCCTCCGAAGATCAAAGCAGTGCTTGAAGCTTGGCCGCTCTGAAACACACGTGGCACAAAATTCACTGAGTCCAGGAGTTTCCCGGTCAGATTGTTTGATGGAAAGTCCAGATTGCCTCTGGCGTGGAGGGGACTGAGCTGCTCTTCAGACGAATGCCAGGAATGAATATTACCTCAAGATTCTGCTTGCTGGCCTGAATGAGGTGTTTCTCGCCGTAAACAGAGTGGCCACCAAGGTTGATGGCTGCTTTGCAAGTCAACAGGTTGTTGATGAGTTCCATGAAATGCAGCAACTGGGTCCTCAACGCAATTTATGCCATGTCAATACCAAGTGTTATTTCTTAAGATAATTTTCTGGGCTGATCGCGCTGCACTTTTGTTGATCGGCATGGACATGACACCAACTGGATCCACAAAAATCATGGTCTCGATGCTGCACGAGGGCGCATTATGCAACGATGGTCAATAGACAAATAATTTCAACTACTATCGGTCTTGTCAGAAGGCACCAACGCCTTGAGTTCTTGCCAAGATGGACATTTGATGTGTCATACGCTCTTTCCTTTGGGCAGGGCATAAACTGATGTGGTGCAAGCACAAATTTTCATGCCCAAAAATCACCATCTTAGAGGTGGCCAGTCACGTCTTTGCTATGTGTCATTGTTGATTTCAGAGAAAGAACAAAGCAACGAATGGCCGTACACTTAAGATCACAGCAAGCATGGCACTTCACTGGACGTGCGGTGGGCCGGGCTCAAGCTTTCTTCTGCCAAGCACGACTGGGAAAGCAAGCATCGCTTATAGAGTACAGAAGAATATTGCTAGCATGACCACATGCAGCATCCGTATCACATCAGTAAGGTACAAACGGTGACACCCAATCACATGATTCCCCAAATTGGCACAGTCCAACATTACCACAGGTAGGGCTGCAACACAAAAGGTAGTTCTGAAAGCTCTATGGGAAGCGCCTGAACCATGTCAGGCAGCCCTGCACTGGCAGATACACTGCATGGGTAAGCAAGTCTTTCAGAGAAAGAATGCTAGCTGTGCACTACTCGTCTTGTCCCTTACAGTGTACTTCTTGACTAAACCAATGACTCCTCCACTTGAGGCATCAGAGCCTCAGCCATTGAGTGAGGACGCCTTGTCCAGTTGTCACCTCCAGCAGGAGAATTGTGAGCACTGCCAACACTGCAAGAAGACACACAACACAAAGGTCAGCCATCGCTGCATGCTACCCCAAACGCACACTAATGTGAGCCGACATCTTTAATAAAAGTCCCCGTCCATGCTGTCCTAAAAGGTGCGCCAAAGCGCAGTCCAAAGCAAACGGCACGCACACAAGACAGGTGAATTGTCCTCCTGAATGAGGATGCATCATGAAGTTGCTGCAAGAAGCTTGCAACTTTGGCTGGCCAACCTCCTCATAGAACATCCGCTGCGTCATCCTTCACTGGCCGGAACAGCGCACATGTTCAATAAGGATACTACTTGGGATGACTTTATATGGTAAACACAGTTGTGAATGTGCTAGCCATCCCCCCCTCAGTACGCTAACACTCGCACTGTCTTGCATCCATGCCCTCTTTCCTACTTTGTTCAGCTCAGTGAGAGGGAAGGCGCACTTGCGATGCGGCCGTTCCAGGTCTCGGCGCTCTTGGTCCAGCCCCACTGCCACATGCGCACAGGTGCCGGCAGCACGCGCCGCTCGCGGTCATACGTCTGCAAGATCTCCTCCACACGCCCTGCAAGAAATTTGTGCCACATCAGTCACGCATTATCAATGGTTGCTCTTCGATGCAACTCAGGCTTCACCTGCCGAGAGAGGGGAAAGTGGGTCTGCACATGAATTGTGGGTGACAGCTGCCAAACAGCCTGAACGGCAGGCACAAGGACGCCGTTGCCTGTCACTGCTCCTGCTCTAGAGCACAGCCAGCCAGGACCTCCAACTGAACACTCCTGAACTGGAGGCCTTCTCAAGCCGTCGGTTCTCTGGACGTGTTGACCGGAGTACAGTAACCCTCATCACACGAGTTGAAAACCGCCTTTGCTGGTGAACCAACTGATTCCCAGCCGTTTTCACAAACCCAAGCCCCATGTCTCGGGCATATTCAGCGTTCAGGCGGCCCAGAGTGACAGCACAGCATGCGAGTGGCCGCTCACCGGGAATGGGCCCCAGGTTCATGCTGTCGTTGAGGGAGGGGATGTAGCCGGGCCGCGGCGCAGCGCTGGGAAGCTTCTCAAGCACCATGGCCGCCAGGTCATCGATGAATGTTGGATTCGTGTTCAGCGCCGGAACGCGACCCCACGCCTACAACGAAATTTGAAAAACTGTTCAAAAGTTGTTTGCGTCAGGGTTTGGTCCTTGAGATTCGATGATGTGAAGCAACACTAGGCTGTAAACTCTTATAGGCCCCGCAGACGCGGCTGCAGGCGCCCTGTGTGTATGCCCTATGGCCTCTGGCTTTCGGTGCGCCGACCTGTATTGATAATAATAATAAGAATAACAATAACAGTACAGTAATTCGTCTGCTCCACGAGAAGCAGGCACCGCTGCAGACCCCGCCCTCATGCAGCAGCAACTGGTGCAGCTCTGGGTCACTCTTAGCTGGTTTTTAGGAACAGCGGGCTATGGTCATGCTTGCAACAGGGGCTAGGAGGCTAGACAGCTCCGGCCCCTGCCACACAACAGCATAAGCCCCCGCTCCTAGCGAGCTCCTCATAAGGTCCAAAGACGCACCGAAAATCGTTGCACGATGCAATCTGCGCCTTCTAAATGGTCTGTCATGCCACAGAAGGGCGCACCAATGCAGTAACTACCTCAGTCCCTCAATCTGTCCTATGCTGGCCATGCAGCTCCAGATTGCAAGCCATCTGGTAGTGTTATGGCAGTGTTGATGCACACATGAAAGGACCCAGCAGGGAAAAAACTAGCGCCATTACAAAGACTAGGAGCAACTGATGCCCAGCTGTCTGTGGTTATCATTTATTACTTTTGGGGACTCAGCCGATACATTAGAATACTATTGCATTTTGGACACCTGTTGAGAGCTACCTGAGGCTCACTGGCCTTGTGGGCAGTCTTCCACTGCCCATCTTCGTATCACAAATTCCCAATGTGTCTGCATTCTGTCATTTTTATTGATTGATTGATTGATTGACATGTCAAATGACTCCTCACCTGGACGCCAGACTCAAGGGCGAGTTCTCTGTACTCCATGTCAATCTCCTCCAGAGTCTCTATGTGCTCCGAGACAAAGGAGATGGGCACTGCCAGCAGCTGCTTCACCCCTGACGCCCCCAGCTCCCGGATCTTTGCATCTGTGTACGGCTGTAACCATTCCACCTACACAGCACCGGCACACTCTCTTCCACCTGCAATTTGGTTATATTGTTATATAATGATTACATTTTAGGCACCTTTTGGGAGCCATCTGAGGCTCACCCGAGGTCTTAGAGTGACATAATACCTGCATTGTGTGGATGCTGCAGCAACGAGCCAGCAAGCCACATTGTATTCCGCACCAAGCAGGAACCATGGGGTGTCTTGGGCTAGGAGCGGCCCCACATGGCTCCATTTCTTATCACGGAATACAAGAGAGGCCCTGGGCCCTTCAATATGTGTCTCTGCCATCCCAATGCACAGTGCCACAGCCATCCGCATGCCAAATGAGCTACCAAGCAAAGAGACTCCTGCTTGATCTTTGCAGCTGATTGCTCAAGCATGCAGAGGACGGTGCAAATCAGGGCTTTGCATCAAGCACAAGCCGCATATCTCTACACATCATAGAAGTGCTACGAGTGCCGCACCGGGCCGACGCGGGACTGGTAGGCTAGCGAGTATGAGTTAGTCACCCCCCGCTGCTGCAGCCGGTCCATGATCATGCCCACACACTGCTCCATCTCGTCCCTGTAAGGATCCCCGTCCTGTCGCAATGCAATGCATACCAACATGTCACCACCTGCCCTCAAAACACCTCATACTCCAATGCAGCTGTGGCCCAGCCCCACGCTTCTCTGAGCCAGAAGAGTACGTCTTCGTTCCCAGAGCCACGCCTTCCCTCCCAGCATGCTGCACCCCTCTTGCTGTACCCCAGAAATCACCTGCAATCTGGCTTGTTAAGAGGCCTGCATATCAAGCTATTTTCTGCCGCCGTTTGCTGTCAGAGGCATATGTCCTCATTCAAGTAAGCACTAAGAAAGAGCAGGGGTTGCAGATGCATTTGCACCTGTTCCACGTATGACACAGGGACGCCGTGCGCGCTGAAGAAGATCTCTGTCTTCTCGGGTGAGTCAAACTTCTGCAGCTCCTTCTCTATCAGCTCCGCCATCGCCCTCAGATATCCCTCCCTGAAGTACCTGCAGATAATATCAAGAGCCCAATTAAGCACATCCCGCCGTTTATTCATCTGCACTGATGTCAGGCAAGACAAGCTTCCACTTACTGGTACATGACTCATGAACCTTCAAACGAGTGCGCTACAGGCTGTGCAATGGAGCTCATCGAGACACGCCCCCAAGAGAATCGCAACTGGAACCCGAGATACACAGATGCAGCTGCAAACTACTGAAGGCGTGTCACAATGAGCTGGCAAGCTTGCATGCCCAAGAAGCTCAACTCATGCACTTCAACCCAGGCTTCAGCTCCCCCACAGCGGCCACAATTGGGACTGAGAGCGTGACAACAGCACAGTGGCATGTGTAGACCTCGCTGGTAGCTTCCCAGGATGTCCTGGACGAAGAGAGAAAATCATGTGAGGGAGGTCAGGGGCTCGCCATGAGGCGATGACGGAGTGTTTGAGGCCGGAGAGGGCGGGGTCGCTCTCAAACATCTTCTCCAGCAGGCGCAGACTGGAGCCGGAGGTGGAGATGGAGAACTGGGGGTACAGCGGGATGACGATCAGGTGAGTCATGCCGTCCGCCTTGATCTGCGACCGCACAGCAGAGCACCCTCAGCTGCACGATGCCTTTAAAGAGATGCATTGGTCCTGGCAGTGACTCCTGAGGCAACGTTACACAGCAAAATAATAGAGGGGGCACTGATAGACCAGCCAGGCACTTGCATCCCCAAAATCCATGCAGGACTCGTCAGCCCTTTAAATTTCCACACTCCTGCTGTTCCAGCATACAGTGAAAGAACAGTCGAGGTGCTTGAACCTGAAAGAGCTGACAAGACATGCATTTTTTCACCAATGCAATCGCCATTATGAAAGTCTCCCAGTAAGGCCAGGCATCTGAGGGAGAGAGGGAACCCCACCTGATCCATGGCATCCTCGATGAAGGGCGACCAGTAGCGCATGCCAACGTACACCTTCGCATCCAGGCCTTCTGTTTTGAGCGCAGCCGCCAGCGCGTCGGCCTGCTGCTCTGTGATGCGCCGCAGTGGCGAGCCGCCGCCGATGCGCTTGTAGCCCTCCGAGCTCTTGGGCGCGCGCAGGCTGCTGATCAACTTCGCCAGCGGCCGCTGCAGGAAGCGCGCTGCGCGCACAGGAGAGCAGTATTCAGTTATATTAGATAACAAGGCCAATGACCTAGGTAATGATGGTGTGCTCCAGTCAACATGGCAACCAATATGTCCTTCTTCTCTGCTACAATCCACTGAGGAAAGGAAAAGGCTCCTCATTGAGGAGAGCTCAATACGTCAGCTTAAGGACAGCCCCATTGTGATGCAACCTAGCCCACATCATTGGCAATAGTGGCTATCATTAAAACAGCTCTCCTTGACAGCTGAACGACTACCGCCATATGCCGAAGCATGGTTCCATGTTGCAAAGCAACAAATGATGCCCCTGCCCCTGCGCGGGCTGCACCAGCATTCATGACAGGCACATGAGAGGATGACAGCAGCTCGCACCATAGGGAGGCAGGCGAATGATGCTGTCGTCTGCGAAGAGGTTGTACAGAAAGGGCTCCACATCATCCAAAGTCTCCGGTCCTCCCAGATTCAGCAGCAGGACCCCCACTTTCTCTTCTGGCGGCAGCCGCACGGCAGCTGTGCTGCCACCGGCGTCATCGGCGTCGCTCCCCCGTGTGTCGCTCGCTTCCCTGGAGGGAGATGCCACGCTGAGAGCCTGCGGCGGAGGAGGGAACCCCGCCCTGCGCCTGCGCCCGCGCCCGGCCGGCTGTGTCGGTTGTGCGCTCGCGGAGCAGCAACACCGCTCTGGCTGCGCCCGCCTGTGTGCCTGGGGATGCGGCCTGCGCAGAAAGGAGGAACGTCTCATCAGCTGGATTGTCAGCGGCTGTGCCGCAGAGAAAAGACTTCATCACATGCATTTGACGTGTCTCTTTGAGATCCTGCACCTTGACTAGGGTGCAAGGTTGGCAGAATCATCATCAACACCTCCATACAACACCAGCATCAATGAATACCACAAGCACAGCAACACAGAAGTGGGCCTGAACTGGTGCAAAAGGGCAAGTGGAAGGTGTAGCCCAGAAAAAGAGATGCATTCTAATAAAATTTAAAGCCCCTCAAGCGGGAGGGATGTCCAACATTGCCATCAATGCGGGGATATTTGATGATAGCTGTCTGTACCAGCTTTCCGTACCATCCCTCAACAGCGTCCATTCTGATAGGTGTGCACAATGACAGGGAGCACTTGAAATGCCCGTGGATTCGCATTGAAAACAGATATAGTCGAAGAGAAGCCAAGAAGTAAAAACATATATCGCCTTTCTCATGTTGCACAGGAATGGCAGTGCTGAGCCACTTACAAGGAGCAAAGCTTCGGTGGCGCCTGCGATGTGTGAATGTTGGGACTGCATGATGGCTGACAGAACGCGCTGCTAGGCAGCTGACAGTTCATGCTCCCCAGCCGTACTTCTCCTCCCTTTTCACTGGCCAAAAGCAATCTTCCTGCCCTCTTTCTCACAAAGGCCCGACACCGTGAAGCGTGCAAAGGTCCTCAAATAGTGTACTTTTGAAGGCGAGTCAGATTCAAGCTCTGATTGCAGCAGCCTAGCGTGATCGCTTGTCACATTTGAGAAGTCAGTGAGACCCTCGTGTGGCCCTCTGCGCACTTGGCCGATGACGTGGCGTTGCCTGCGCGTGGTGGACGCATGCACATGCACCTAAACTTTCCTATAATTTGCAGCAAGAGGCAAACTTCTCCCTAATATAAGAGTGTAATCAAAGGAGCAAAGATCTGCCACAGTGCATATTACTGGGAAGACCCAGCTGCCAGAGTCACTGACCATACGGTATGGGACCGGTCTTTGCTCGTGAGGAATGCAGGTTGTAATGTGATCGTAGTGCAGTATCTATTTTTAAAGCACGCCATGTTGGCATGGATCGTTCATACCAGGCTGAAAATGCCCGTTCTCGTCCGCTCCCGGAAGCAAAGCTGCCTTGGGCGTCACCAGTAGTGGGTTGGGTGACCACCTGCGAACCCGACGTGATGATCTGTCATTTTGCGCATTTTCCTCTTGCTCGGGCGTCTACTTACCTTCTGTTCCTTCTCCACTATCTGCGAGCATGCCTAGGTGATTGAAGACATAGGTGAGATACAAACAGCGAGGTCCCCGGTTCAAGACTCTTGCGGAACTATACATTTTTGGTCTGCTTTTGCCAAACAGTATTTGCACAAGCGTGGACAGGATTCTAACCAAACACCTCAACAAGAGTCCTTGAGCAGATATTCTGGGTGTCTAGATCTTCAAGAGCACGTGATTCACTTTCCCATGCAGCACTAATAGTATGCGGCACGGATCCGGAGGGAAGGCCTCCATGGCTGAACTCCGAACTGCATCACTGCGAGTCGCATGTACGGCAAATCGTTCACCTCTGATATATTTTCCCATTTGCTCGTGGTGTCTCAATTCTCCGAGTGCATCTGACTCGTGTGAGCAGACATTGGATGCTCTTTACAAGGCTTCACAACCCAATGATCTTCCAGAAATGCGAGGCCATCAGGCTAGTCTAGTGTAGCAAATTGCAACTCAGAGAGGCGTTCCATGCCACTTCCATACATGAGACTTCTCACACTTTTCATACCGAGGTTGGGAAAAGCAGTGGGCGCACTGCGTTATTAAACGCAGATACAGCCTACAAATGATCTTGAAAGCAACCCTCGGATTTGGAAGCAACCTGACTGATAGACCATATTCCAATCAGAAGAAGGGTCAAAAGGAGTCATCACCTCTTCGCAGCAATGTCTGCCCAGTTTGTGAAGCTAACAAGGTTCCCAAAGCACAGGTGCTGCAAAAGCAACAGCATTATAAGTTGTTCAATATAGCACAGCCGCCGTTACCCATATGCCAAATTGCGGATTTTGACGCATCATCAGAGCCAGCTGCATGCCTCTGCGCACAGATCCAGCTTGCAAAAAGCAGTACTGGAATAATTTTTGCTCGTGCACTCGACACTGAATATATCACCATTGCCTGTGTTCGTGCATTATCATGTACTACTTTATCTGCAATATTGCCTGCTGCCCTCACCATGATGGCGGTGACCGGCCATTCAAATCATGCTTGTCAAGCCTCGTGAGTGCAGCCAACCTTACCCCAGCACTCCACACAAAACCAATGCCTTTTGCAGCGGCTCTTATCTTTACTGGGGTGCACTCAAGTGCACAGTTTGCATGGCAAGCTCGCTCCCAGCACAGACACCACGATTGGCCCGCACTCGGCAGCATGCACAGCGTGCGGCGTGCACAGCGCGCAGCGCTCAGTACTTGTTGATGCCGAAGATGCGGACCTTGTGCATGGCTGGGAATTTGGCGATGACCAGCACAAGCAGCACTATGAGGTTGAGGCCGAGCGGCTGCCGCCGGTAGTCTGTGCCGTGGGTCGCGAGCAAAAAGAGCGCCACCGGGACCAGGGTGAGAAATTTGCGCGTGTTGGTGTTCTGCACCCCGTCGTCCAGCTGCTCCCAGAAGGTCAGGCTGTCATACTTGCCCTGCAGGGAGAAGCAGCAAACTTTCAGCAAGATGTCAAGAAAAGACTGTCGGACAGGGTGCGTGACATTGAAAACCCCACAAGATGGCCCTAGCTTGAGAAGGCTGGTGCGTGCGGCAAGCTGCAGCTATGGCTGCACCAGAGCAAGGCATGCTAGCCAAGATGATTGATGGAGGCTGCGCCCACAGGTGGGGAAGGCTATTCACTAGCGCGGCGGCAGCATCTTGCACCTGACTGGTCCAAAAGCTTGTGACATGAGCTGTCTGAGCCAGCTTGACTACACTGACACAAGCCACTGTGTTCATCTTTGGGCACAGTTCCCTTGACATCAAGCTGCGCACCTGGTCCATCTGCACTGGGGAGCCCTTGTTCCAGTGGAGGAGGTAGTAGGTGATGACCCCATGCAGCAGGTGCACGTAGGTCCAGGCCAGGCCCGAGTCCATGAATAGCGAGAGGATCAGCCACCCCAGGCATATCAGCGCCACGATGAAGGTCCAGGCCTCGGGCGCACTCAGCCACTCCACGTTCTTGTTTGTGGTGACTGGCTGGGAGGCTCTGCGAGTGGGGGACAGGGTCCTGCGATTTGGTGAGAAGCCATCCTGTGCAATTGGTGACGACGCCATAATCGCACCCTGCTTCGAGGGCAGGCGGCCTGTGTGGCAGGCATTCACATGTCACGGCAGGCTTGGAGGAATTGGTGAAGGTGCCAGCCTGCTCAGCGGGCAGATTGGTGCCACATCACAGATGCAGAAGCTCGTAGTCTTCAAGCAAGCATCCAGAAACTGTAGTATCTAGGAGCTAGTAAATCAATACCTTGAATAAAGGTGAACGCAATTGTAAATGATCGCTCGAGGAGGAGTTCTCGTACCTAACTCCCTCTTAAGTTCCCCGAAGCTCTGGGTTGGGAAAGCCAAGACTTCTGTCACTTTCTATCCTAGGGACTTCGGTGTGCGATTAATAGTACTCCTGCATAGCAGATTAGTGAGAATCTTTCAAAGGATGCTGCAGCGAAGGAGACGACTATACATGGACACCTGTACAGGATTGAGAATATTATTGTACATACAGTCTGCATGAATTCGCCTACGACTCGCGATCATGAAAATATATAGATCTATAATTTTCCAGCGACTCACAAACACTGCTTATTGCGCACCTACCCACCAGAAACACTTGATCGTCAATCTTCCTGAAGACTCTGTGACTTCACTTGGAGTTCTGGGCCTCGTGCGCACATCTCCCGCACGATCTTCTACGAGTGGTGCATTATCAGGTAGCAACACTATAACAATAGGGTCTCAGAGGACACTTGGAAAGAACGAATCACGTTCACGACAGTGGTCACAAAATCTTTTGTCAGCCCAAGTAGCTCAGCTCTCCAAGTGCAGAAGCGCAGCCTTCTTAAAACGTAGACACTTCAACAATGGACGCACAAGGAGGTTTGCCCGTCTTGCAGTTACCTTAATTTTCCAATGGGGGAAGCTGCATCTACTCAGCTTCTATGTGATTACTAACCTTGGCTACATGCCATTTCAAAAGATCTGTATGAATGTTGCTGTTAACATACCAGCTTTTGCAATGTAGCCTTGATAGATGCAGGTGAACCTTCACGGGTCAGTGACTGTGAGAATTTGCATTGATGCCGTGATCAAGATCAAGATCTCTGGAAATTCTTCTGAGCGCTCAGCGGAGTCAGCGAGACGGCTGATCAGTCATGAAACTGTCATGGCATGTCCCGCTAAATAACCAGGGAGACGCGTATGACCTGACAACCCGGCCCACCATGAAAATAATGATAAACATGCCATGCAGTGCTTACTCAGCATGCTTACTCAGCATGAAATACTCAGCACGCAATGTTGAGATTGAAAATCAATAGCTGCCAGACACCATCATGACTGGTCACTGACAGAAAATTATCTGGCAAAAATCTGGCAGTAAAACAGTAAATGATCTGCACTGTGCTATCATAGTGTGCTATCACATGATGTGCTGCATACGCTGCATGCATAGTCAGTATAGTACGCACGGTAGCAAACATGCACACTGTTGATGAACAAGTTTTTAGCCATGCCAAAAATCAATGATTACATCGAGTCAATTGGAGAATATTCCTGGATCAAACACACGAATTCCTATATTTTTCGTGCAATCAGGGCTTCAGAGCCGCAAATCTCTTTTTATTTCTGATTCCTGAATTTCCCAAAGCATCATTAACAAAGTTCAATCAATCAGAGGTACCGGTAATCTGCAGCTTGACCACTGATCATGTCATGTTTCTGACTCATAACCTCAGTGCCCAATCCATCTTGGACCACAAAAATTCAATGAATTATTCGTGCTAACGCAGACAAAGTACCTTCCCTATCATTGTTGCTGTTTCATACTCGGAATTCCTTCACTTCGCAGTAAAATCCCCGGCGATGTTTCACCTGCCGACCTCAATTCTAACCGACCAGCAATGGATTGCCAAGCTGACCAATTGCAAATGACTGCCCCACACTACCCGTAAACAAAGAAAAGAGGAACTTTTTCATTAAAACTACGTACACTGGATGCCACACGCACAATCCATGGCTAGCATGGAATGTAGGCCTGTTCTACAATTTGCCCTAGCCTCATCACCAAACTCATGTCTTTCCCCTGAGCTAGCTAGCTAGCGCTGAAGCTGGCCATCCTCTGATCATCAAGAACAACTCTTCGCCAAGACAGGCTGTGACGGCCGGGTCAGCAGCAAAGAAGCAACTGGCAACGGAAAGCTACAATGTACAGGGACCGAAGCCTTGGCAGCTGCGATTCGCCTGATCGCGCCTAGCCAGGCAATGCTGACAAGCCCAGCAGGGATGGGTACCGGGTCTATGATCGAACTAGCACAACAAAGAAGAGATTGACTCCCGCAGATACACTGCACAATTGCTGACACTGAGGCAACCATCACAGGATTGGTTGCGCCCTGATTCTCAAAAGATTACTCCTTCCTGACCTGCTCATCTGAGCTCTGACCTATCTCGACCAATAGCACCGCAGCATGTGCAGTGGAAAATGATGAGCATACAGCCCACAAGAATGTCTGGTTAACCCTGACTTGCCAACCCTTCACAGACGCCCTTCCTCAATTGTGGACGACATACGTCCCATGGTACAAGAATCTGCAGCAGCGCCTTTTTAGGACTTGATGTAAGAAAATTGACGCTACCGCCCGGTCCTGCAGAGGAGCCGGTAATGCAATTGCGCGCTGAGTAAAAAACCCGCGCTGCCTTCTTTATATCTAAAAGAATGGCCGCCCGTTGCTTCAGCGGCTGGGCTCAAGGTACACTGCGCAGCCTTCTTCAATGCAGATGGAATAGCTGATTGAAGGTTCAGCGGCTGGGCTCCAATAGATGAGTAGAACGGCCAGATCAGGCCTCGGCGGCAAACAGCACGCCGGCGGGGTGTGACACATTGGCAACCTCGGATGACATAACCTCGCGGGGGAGGCGAGCGAGTGCCCGGTAGTCATCCTCGGGAAGATCCCAATTCAGCACATCCAGGATGCCCTGCAGCATCCACCCATATTTTATCATCTTTTGTCAAGAAAAACGCTAGAGGAATGCCAGGTAATCAGACATGGTCTCCTGTGCATGCCAATGGCATCCTGTGGAAGAGGTTGTACGTCAGCATCTACAAACCTGGCATGCAGAAGCAGCCATCAGGCACCAAAGGTGGGCACCCGCAAGACAGCATGCTCGAGCGCATTCCGCTGACACCACATTCCGGCCAGCTGAACACCTTGGTTCAGATTGGTCAGCTGGCTGGACCAAGGCAAGATACCAGGCTGCCGGGCCACTTCTGGGCCGAGAACAGTTGAGAATTACAATACACCCAAACTCAGCGGCAGGGCGCTGCGACAGGATCTGGCTCTGCTTCAACTAAGAAATTAGGCTGGAGCATCCCACACTACGGGAGCAAGTCTGATCGGAAGGTTTCACATACTTTTAAGCCTTGCACCTAAAAAGAGCGTGCAAATGTACAATCTGCAAAGAAGGGAGCAGAAAGGGCAAGTTACCTGGACGTGCTCGTGGGAGCCGGCCTTGGGGGAGACAGAAGTGCCGTGCTGCAGCGCCCAGCGGATGAGCACCTGCGCGGGCCGCTTGCCCAGCCGCCGCGCAATGCTGGCAACGAGCGGAGCGCGCAGCAGAGCGGGCACCTCCTTGCGGTGCAGCATGTAGGCAGTCGCCGGCCAGGAAGAAGCCATCACGTGCACGCCCTGTGCATGCAGACAACAACACACTCAGCACAGCACTTCTCATGCTGCAGAATCAGGACATCCAGGACACCGGACTGCGAATATAATGGGCTCCGCGACCATCAAAATCGCCCAAGAGCTGGCCATCACAAACTGATCACCATTCAGTCATTGCAACTGAAGTATCATTACCACACAAGACATCAGGTAGGGCCCTCACTCCACATCTATGTCAAGACGCCAGATATTCACCGGGGTCAACAGCCTTGTGAGATGGCACTCTCAATGTGGTGCATGCAGGTCATCATGTGTGGTGTAGGCATGAAGAACCAATCTAAGCGCCTCACCTGGCATCTGCAGAAGGCGAGCAGCTCGTCGTTGCGGTTGCCGGGGTGCACCTCCACCGAGTTGACGGCCGGGGCGACGCGCGCGGAGCCCATCACCTCGGTTAGCTGCTCGACAGATGCGTCCTGCAGGCCGATGGCCCGTAGCTTGCCCTCGTCCACCAGAGACTCCATTGTCTCCCAGGCAGCCTGCGTCAACAATATCAACACAGGTCAAGCACTGGCATGACCACTTGGAGGTCTCAGAGGAAATCTCAGAGGAGGTCTCAGATTGGGATGACCACATATGGTGAGCCTGAAACAGGTGCACAAGCCTTGAAAGATGCATCGACACAACTGTAGAGCCAGGATTGCCAGCAATTGCGCCTGCATGGAAGACAGCTGCAACAGAAGTCAATGGTCACAGAGACCTGAGGTTAATCAGAGTTGTAAACTTCAGTGTGAGAGCTGTCAGGCACAGGATGTGCTGCTTGACTCAGAACCCCCTCGCCTCCTGGTCTGCGCACCGAAGCCTGTAATTCTCACAGCCAGAGAAATATGAGTGCCAGCGCAATGTGCTCCGCACCTTGAAGGCGGCGCTGTCGTCGTGGGCGGGCAGCAGGCAGAGGTCAAGGTAGTCGACCTTGAGGGCCGCCAGAGTGGCGCTGAGCTGGCGGCGCACATGGTCGGGTGTGGGGCAAGCATCGCCGTCGGCCCACACTTTGCCAGTGATCCAGGTGTCGGGGCGGTTGACGAGCCAGTCGGAAAAGATCTCGGACATCGCCTTGCCGATCTCGGCCTCGTTTCCTCGCTGCGATGACACGTCGATGTGCCTGCATAGCCCACATCATAAATCAGCCAGAGTCCATTGCGACAGCAAATCTCCTCCCCTGGCACCAAGTAGTTGCTGGCACAGCAGGCCGCAACACCACCTCAACATTCTCTGTGAAAGAAGCTAGGCAGTGGGCGCAGCTCAAAGACAAAATACTCATGGGAATGCAGAAGAGAAGTTGTGTTCTGAGGAATAGCATTGCGTAGAGCATACAGACAATGTCTATGAGCAGCCGCCTCTGCCTAGCTTCTTTCATAGTCAATGCAAAGGTGTTCAAAAGCAGGTGTCCTTGCTTGCTGTGCATCAATTGAACACTTGTGTAGCAAAGTACAAAGGGTGGGAAACACACCTGAACCCGGAGCGCAGGGCGAGCTCGACAGTCTCCTGCACTTTGTGCTTGAGCCAGGTGGACACCCCCAGGATAGGCATGCGGTGGCCGCTGGAGAGTTGCACAGCGGGCGTGCTGGGGAACTTGTACATGGAGTTGATGAAGCGCAGGCGGCACGCGTCCGTCTGGTCCTCATCCCACAGGTCCTTCATCGTCCTGGACGAATAGAGCAAAAGGTCAATCAAAGTCCTGTGCCTGTCATGCCCTCACTTGCTGCTGGGCAAAGAAACAGTATGTTGCAAGTGAAAAGGCACCCAACAGGATCCAAAACAATGGCAAGTACTGTTCCTGCAGCACAGCACCGGTAGCCAGCACCAGATGTACAGGGCATACAAGAAAGGCGCCTGGAGCCATCACAAATAAATACGTTTCTTGCCAGGCACGTATGGCGAGAGACTATGCTGCGCTCCAGATACACATCCTCCATGGAAAAATCACGTCGCAAGGAAGAGGCCCGTTTTGAGGCCAGGAAAATCTCTCGACAAGCAGAAAAGATCATGCATGTGAATTGAGCACGGAGCTGTTCTATCTTTGTATAGTTAATGCCCAGTAAATGCCACGAAGCAGGGTTGAAGAACGGAGCGCAATCACAGACCTGTAGGGGCCCTCGGGGCGCAGGAAACGGATGCCATCAACGAGGCGCAGCTGGAAGTCAATAGATGTAATGCGGTTGTAGTCCTCCTTGGACAGCTCAAAGTTGAGCACCTCCTCCAGATTGCTCTGCACACAGCAGTAAATCGCTTTCAAAAATATGCCCTGCTCTTTGGCTTGTTTCATCCTGAGACAGCAGGCAGCATCACCACTTGCATGCAGTCAAGATTCCCTTAGCATTCAGGCAGACTGGTCACAAGAAGGTCACGCGGATGACGACAGTGAACAGGCACACACACATCTGTGATCATTCAATTCTGACACACTATGCAGCAGCAACACATGCATGCAGCCCATCCTCTCTTCACATCCCAGGCGCCCACGTCTTAAGACTATCAGCCTGGGAACGCTGCCTCCAGAGGACAACGGAATGTGAACGAGTGTGGCAAACATGTCCATGGGACCTTGAGGCTGGTGACGCTATTCCACAGTTGAAGTGTGGAATGTGCACAAGATTGCAGGTTTGAAGGGCCAAATGAACACCTTGATGCGGCCTGGGTTGGACGATTTGGCGAGGATAGAGGTGCCATGCTGTAGCCCCCAACGCATGATAATGTGCAGCACGTGCTTGTTGTACTTCTTGGCAATCTCATTGATGACCGGGTGCTTGCTGGCCGGGTCCGCTCGGCGGATGACGGCCTTTGCGCTCGTCCAGGGAGTTCCCAAGGGGCAGTAGGCGCTGACGTGGATATTCTGATCGCGGCAGTACGCGATGAGCTCATCGTTGCGCCAGATTGGGTGCACCTCAACCTGAATGTCGAAATGCTGTGTTCAGAAACTGTGATGCAAACAAAGACAGCACAGACAGAGGTACGGGCCTCCTGATGGAAGGTGCCAGGCACTCGTGCTCAATTGAATCTCACTGCAGAGGCGGTGTTCAAGTGCTCTGATGCCTTTAAAGACAGCACAAATGGTTGTGAACCGCTCTTTATGGAAGCAAACAAATGTCTGGAATGGAACGCACAATGCCCAATTGAAATGAAGAACAATACATGGGTTGCTCATCAGCATGGATGGCGACGATCGAGGCCGTGCAGGCTGTTGGGCAGTCCATGTTTTGCTGTTCTCTCACTGCCACAGCACTTTCGACTTTTTGACTTGGAACGATAATTGTATCTGCTGTTATATGAGGGGCTGTGGGTGGGTGTACCTGGTTGACTGCTGGGCGGATGCGGCAGAAGGAGAGGACCTCCTCCAGCTTCTTGATGGAGAAGTTGCTCACGCCAATATTCTTCACCAGGCCCTGCAGACAATGATGAGACACTTTCAGACCCTCTGTCTATTTAGTGGCTTCCCTCTAATTCAACGCAAGAGTCCTTCACAGCACACAGCATCCAACAACTGGGAGTTTTGGCTTGCCCCATGGCTTGTCACTGAGATACAGCACACTGGAAGCAATATGCGAGTCGGCTTACAGCCATAGATATTCTTAGAAATGGAAAACGAAGGGGAAACTCACAGCGTCCACCAGCTTCTCCATGGCTGCCCATGTCTCCTTGATGCCAGGGTCAATCCTGTCACCCTTCTTCTGCGGCTCTGTGACTGGCCAATGGATCTGCGCGGCAACAAACACAGATTGTCAGGTGCACAGCAAGTCAGGTCCAACACTCCCAACCATATCTGCTTGATGCCCTCGACAGCATGCATTCACAGCTTAGGCTTTGCAATGTACATGGTACCACAGTAGTTGCAAGCAATGGCGAAAGGAGTTGCGCAAGGCAGGCAATGCCAGAGGACAGACAGACAAAGAGGCTTACCAAATACAGATCCAAGTATGGGGTGCGCAGGTCATGGAGGGTGGCCTCCAGTGCTGGGCGCACATCCTCTGCCGCGTGGTCAGTGTTCCTGTGCAACGTATTCCACTCGTCAGTAACACACAGGGTAAGCAACTGAGCAACATACACAGCAGGTATCTGGGAGGCTGGGCACTTTCAGAAAGCCAGGATGTCGAGCGCTCACCACAGCTTGGACGTGATGAAGAGGTCCTCACGCTTGGCGTGGCCGGCCTTCAAGGCTGCATGGAGGCCGTTGCCGATGGCTGGCTCGTTGAGGTAGTGGCTGGCACAGTCGATGTGCCTGCGGAAGATGGTCAGTCTGTCTGTCAGCCTACATTAAGTACGACGCTTCTGCCAGAGCGCGCTTTTTGCCTTGACACGCCTGATCGATCGTGAATAGGATGTTACAAATCATGATCCACCATATATGCAGGCATGCAGGCACAACAAAGCGAGCAATCCACGTCCAAGGGAAGACTGCACGACAAGGTTAGGAACTTCGTAGAACTTCCCCGTTGAGAATCACCTGTAGCCTGCCTTCAAGGCGGCAGCCACTGCTTCGTTGGTGGTCTGCTCGTCGGCCTTGAACGTACCCAGGCCGAGGAGAGGGATACGGTTACCGGTATTGAGTAGAGCCGTTGGCTGATCAGCAGCAATCTGCACGCATCATGCATGGCGTTCATGACGCAGGCTTTTCAGATAGCAGTGAATACAGAGACCGCTATGTGCTGTCCTCGGCCGCTCATCACTGCTCTCGTAAGGCAGTCACGCCATGGCGGGCATGGGTGAATAGGCAAGCGGTGCCGCCACCGAGACACGTCGAGCAGAACAAAGGCACAAATGCAGGCTTCGGAAAGAGTCGACTCGGTACCAAGATGCATCATGTCCTATCCTCCCACATAAAGCAATGCTCCCTGGAAGGAAGCTGTGACTGCCCCATCGGGTGTACGGCGCTTAATAAACCTGTCTGCCAAAACACTGCACGCACGCTGCTGGCAACGTAGAGCATACATTAACAACGCCAGTGCAACACCAACTGCATGCTCACCGAGCTGATCTTCTGCTTCTTCGCTGCAAGGGCACCACCATCAATGCCCTTGCTGGCTGCTTGGTTGCGCTCGTCCAGGAAGCGCTGCTCCAGGGCCAGCTTGGCCTGGCCAAAGTTGATACCTGCAAAGTTGATACCTGCCAGGTCCTGGCTGGGATAGCGGATTGCGGGCTGTGCCATGGTCGCTGCTCAATATGTCCTGGCCGGTACAAGCGATGCTGCAGTACGCTGGAGGGCTGCAAAAGCTCTGCAAACTGCCTGAGACGATTGTTGTGCAGGAGCTGCTCTCACGCAGGACAAATAGGTTCAAAGAATTTGGCGCTCAGGGAATGTATTCCGGCAGCCGACGAGATTTGCTTTGGACGGTGGGAAATAGGTAGTCCGATGAAGATCTTCGCCATGTGGGGCGCCCTGAAGACTGCAGAGATGCCTGTTTAGGTTTTGACCAGTCACAAATCCACCCCTGAAACGAACGGGAGCCAATCGTTTGCGCTGATGCATGGAGTTGCTGCGGAAGTTGACTAGGTGCGAATGACGGACGAAGCTGCCCGGTTTAGGCGCGCCGTCGAACTGGCAAATGATATGAAACATGAGGTCAGACTCGTGTACTGCCTTCGCGCCAGGCAGGGCGCGCCGCAGACGCCGGGTCGGGCAGTTTCCGAGGAAGGAACCAGTGGTGCAGGCGCGCTGATCTCGGACAGGACTTGATTGAGCTATGCACGCTGCCTCCTCCCATCTGACTCTTGGTATCGTCCTGATCAAGGCCCCCTGCCTTCGCCGCGCCCCAGGTGCGCCATCGGGGGAGCCCATGTCCTGATGGATCGCCCTCACCGTACACTTTTACACGAACTTCATGCTGAGTCGTACTAGCCTCACCAACTGTACGACGATCGTGAAGTCTTGATCTAAGTGCACTGACCTTACGGACTTATCCTTTCTGGTGTTTAAGCTCTTCTTGGCACATGGGTGCTGGGTCCAGCTTCTAGGGAGCCATCAGGGGCCCAAGCTAGATATTTACAACAGTCTGTTGCATGTTTCGGAATCAGGTTGATAAAGGTACCTTCGCATGGTATAAAATCCTTTGCTAAATTGCAAAGGGGTACACCCTCAGGTAGCAGGCTCCAACAATATCCTCGCAGACAGACGATTACAGCAGCAGCTCCTCCAGTGGAACGTCCTACGACTGCAGAGAACAAGGATTCTCAAGTACCGCCGCAGTTTGGTAAGCATTGCCCATAAAATCTCACCTGTGAATATTCCCTTTCCCCAGTAGGTCAAGCCCTTTAGAAAGCAGATGTTTTGTGCGTGCAGTGCTCTGCAGAGCCATTAGGACCTCAAATGTCCCTGGAGTGTTTTTTCCATTTGTTTATTATGTCTGCACAGGAGCAGAGCGATTACATCCACACTCTTGCACAGCGGTCATAGTATCAACTCGTGGACCATCTGATGGACACACTCTGCAGGATATTGATGCTGAGGCCGGTGGTCTTGTGCTTGCGCAGAGACCATCAAGATCGCAGGCATCACAATGACGACGCCTTCACACAACCGGCCGCTGCCAGACTTGAGCACCATCAAGGCTGTGCTGTTTGATGTGGATGGCACACTCACAAACAGCGACCCCCTCCACTTCAAGGCCTTCCAGGACATCCTGCTGGAGTACAACTACAAGGTGTGCATGCACCTTCTGCTGCTGTACACTGATTCTTTGAATAATTTAGGGAGTGGCCTGCAGGGACGATCATAAGCCGGCGAAATTGTTGAAGTGAGATGCACTCTCCTCTAGAATGCAGGAATGCTCCAATACTTGTTGAGGAGTGCGCAGGAGAAATGTGGTGTATTGAGAAACATCCTGCACACCTTCCACAACACCCTGTCAAGAATGTCTGTTGGGGGTGTAACAGGGGTACAACAATGGGGAGCCCATCAGCAGGGAGTTTTTCGACGAGCACATTTCGGGCGGCCACAATATCCTGCTGTCCAAGTTCCTGTGGCCCGACCGCGATCAGGAGTTCCGCGACAGGTTCTCCGACGAGAAGGAAGCCCTCTTCAGAAGATACGCCGGTGCGCCACCCTTGTGCTGACTTGGCCTGGGTGGTTGTCTCCACCTCCTCTTCCTGTCCGTGTATGTGAAGCAGCATGTGGCCTGCAGCTCCTGCAGTTTGCCAAGGGAAGGGGTCATGGATCATGGCTGGCATTAGGAGTCCCTGTCGAATGCTGAAAAGAGAGCCGAGGAAATGCTGCCAGCTCGAACCCTTGCCATCCTTTCTCGAGTGAAACATAGTGGGACTGTCAAGTGGAATGGTGGGGCAGAAGGAGTATACCCGGACAAGGGCAAAATGCATGGCTTGCTCAGTCTCTGATTTGCCCAGCATATAGAATTTTACATTTGAAAGGCAGCATGCATGGCGCGCAGATTCAGTGCTGGAGCGCGTGCCGGGGCTGACAGAGTTCCTGGCGTGGATCGACGAGCGCGGCCTAAAGAAGGCGGCCGTGACCAACGCCCCCCGCGAGAACGCGCGCGTCATGCTCGAGGCGCTTGAACTAGGGTGCGACTTTCCCTCCCTCGTAACACTCCCGTAACCCTTATAAAATCATGTGGATCAGTCACGAACAGTGACTATAGGATATTTTGCTGCTGCCATGCATGCCTCCTAGCGCACACATAGTCCTTATGTCATCATGTGGGTCAGCGCAGCATCTCAACTCCTCGTGAGGTCATCAGCCGCCTCAATTGGCGTTGCGCTCACCACTGAGGAGATGTGCCCAAGCCAAACAACGGCTACAAGGAGGGTAAACAGTACTCAAAAATTCTGGAGACAGATGTGGTGATAATGTTGGCATATACTAATATGATGGGATTGGCGCTCTGTCTGGTGCAGGAAGTGGTTTGACATAGTGGTGCTGGGAGAGGAGAGCGCTCGGCCAAAGCCGCACCCTGACCCATACCAGGACGCGCTGAAAGCCTTCGGCCTCCAGCCGCACGAGGTCATCATCTGCGAGGACTCCCCCTCAGGTGCGCCAGTCATCCTGCAGGACTATCTGATACCCAAAAAACGGGTACTATAGCATGCTTATCTGCAGACGCACCCTGCATATGGCAGGGACGGCGGGAAAGGAAATAATCAGAAAATTAATCACCTGCGCCCCTGCCAATTTATGAGGCGGTCATCCAGGCAGTTTGTTGACTGATGCAAGCATGCTGTGACGGTAATCCGTGATGCGGCTCTTTCGAGATGACCACCATGGTTTGGGTGGTCCGACCATAGACTCCTTTGAAAGAGTGCGAGCGCACACCAGCTGGGAAGTATCTTGTAGACTAGCCGGGGTATACGCAGCTTCACAGCCCACCCCTGTGTCCTGCAAGGCTGGCACCTCTAGTGGATTGATAGCATGCTGATATGGATCTCAGCCATGTCAGTAGGGTTAGGATTTCTGGCAGCCTATTCATGCAGCTTGTATGCAGACGCACCTTGCCTCTGGCAGCAAGAGCGTGGGTTGATTGCAGTGCACTTATATGAGAATGTGGTGCACTGATCAGGCACGGCGGCGGGCGTTGCTGCAGAGGTGCCGGTGGTCGGGATCCTGACCAGCCAGACCAAGGAGCGTATGGAGAAGGCAGGAGTCTCGCTCACAATTCCAGACTACCACGAACTCGTCAAAATAGCCAAGGCGGATGTGGCCAAGCACCAGAATGGCGCTATTGCCAACGGCCACGCCTGAAGCTTCATTTACACATGCAGCTCCAGTGAGTATCAGTGAACACTCTTCGAGGATGGGCCCTGAAGCTTTAACTCACATGCAGCTCCAAAGAGTGCCAGTATGGCTTTATTGCAACCGGCCATGCATGAAGCTTCAATTTGACATGCAGCTCCAAGGCGCATCAGAGAATTCTCTTCAAGGAGAGAGTTGACGGGCTCTGAATTGTGTTCATATTCCACAGCTCCAAGGAGACCCAAAGAATTCCCTGTTCGAGAGATCAGCTGAGGGGATTCGACCTTGTACTTCATGCACAGCTCCAAGAAATTGACTATCAGAATATCCTGTTCCAGGAGGGCAGGTACCGGGCTGTGGGTGGGCTGGGAGTAGGAATTTGAAAAATAGACAGGTAGCGGACACCAGGCTCAAACGGCTTCTCAAGCAAATTGTTTTCATTGCTGCGCGTAATTCTGCATGGCTGTGCAACAGCTGGAGAGCTGTTTGGGCTTTCTTGACGAGACAGGCGTTTTGCCCAGGTTAGATGGGCAGGTCAAGGGCCGCAAAGGTAGCAATTGGATTGACATTGGCTGTTTCACGCCATGTAGTACCCATTAGTAAGTCGTCAGAATTGTTATGTGAGCGCAGTCGGCGCCCTGCAAATGTTCTTTTTGGTGGTCAGATCATATGAGATCATCTCTTAAGACGATCTCAATTCTTGCTGTGACAAATGGGTGTATTATGGTGTGGAGATGAATTCACAGCTGTAGCAAATCAAGGTGGCAGTATTTGAGGCAGGCTCTATGTACATTTAGGCACTTGAATAATCCATTCATTCTAGCTGCAAGATCCATGGATTTTGCACTGAATAATATTTTGAGGAAGGGACTGATATTGTCTATGTTTTAATCCTGAATGACTCTGTCAACCCGTCTCCTTCATGTCTAATTACATGAATGTGCAGAAAACTGAGCACTAGCTCCAACACCTTGACATTAGGAACAATTACCGGCATACGCGACCAATACCATCCGATGCCCGAGTATGTATATTGTGGCAAAACCCTTGTACAATTCTCTAGCTGCTCAAAGACTGACACTTTAGCCTCATGTACAAGCCTGTATAAAACATCCTGAGGAGACACCATGCACCGCAGGAGTAACAGGCGACACGCCGCAACATACATGCACGCAGTGCCACATTTATTTATGCCTTTCTGCCCAATATGATACAAAGGCGCGATTGAGCGCTATATGCACACACAGGAAGAAGCCTAGTTCCACATACTTCAGGGCTATTTGCTGGCAAAGCAGACTGTTCACCACAAGCCTGGCTGCACAGATCCTCGAGAGCTGTCTCAACAGCCTAGTCTCATGCAGCTGGTGGGCCTCCCAGGTCCTCCCCCTCCGCATCCCCCTCTTCCCAGCGGTTCCCATGCCGCCGGGGGGACCCGCCTCGGCTGCCGGTCTGCTCGGGGGCGTTTGCATTCGCCAGATCATCCCCTGCCCCACCCCCAGGTTCACCCCCACGCTCCCCACTATGGCTGTTCTCCAGGCGCGTACCCTGCCGGCCCACGCTTGCGCTCGGCAGCTTGGCCTTGACAAAGCGGCCGCCGTCTTGCAGATGGAATTGGCCCAACAGCGGGTTGGCCGCCGCCTGCTTCAGCTCAATCCCCTGCAACCAGTAGCAGAGGCTCACAATGAATCCAAAGCACCAGAGGCTGCTCTTGAATCGAGACACATCAGGATTCATTGGTGTATGTACATATGAATGCCGAGCTACCTTGGGCCTTGTAAGCCACTGCCACTGGGATGACATCAGAGACAAAGCTCCCAGTGAAATGATTGTATACAATTGGTCATCCCCAGAGACATCTGGTCTTGTAAGCCACCGTCATGAGATGTCACCAGGCAGCACCCCTACCACAAGCAGTGGTGCAGATGCATCCTGTAAACCTCATGCCAGACATGGCATCACAAGCACCATGTGGCTTTTACATGCAACACACCTGCTACAAAGGGCTTGCCTCCCGAGATGGCATTTCAGGATAACTTCCGGAGAAATTGGCCATGCTACTTGGCAGCGAAGTCCCCGTAAACAGCCACGAAGCAGACCTTAGCCACATGGCGGCAGTGGCCAAATCCAAGGAGCTGACGGGATGCAGTGCTGCAAGTTCCAAAGATTGATGTGGCAGCAGGATGTTGAGCAGTGTCGGGATCCATGAAAAAGACAGCGCACAGCAAGTAAAACAACCAGCCCAGTATGGAATGAGGGATGTTGTAGGGAGGTATGCGCACCCCTTGCTGCCCTGAGGATCGGTCCAGGGTGTCTGCGCCGCGCGCCCCTTGACCCTTGGGTGACAAACCCATCCCACTGCGGCCCCTCTGCCCCGACATCTGCGCCCAGAGCAATTGCATCCAGTCAACTACACGAGGGCAGCAGCCTCTGATAGCTTGTGCGCAGAGCTTTGAGTAGCACTTCATGTGTCTGCACATTACGAGACATCAATGGATCGGTGGCCTCGTAAAATATGGTATTGAATGAGGACATGCAACTGGCCTGACTGGGCAATGACTGATCAGCGCAGTCCCATTCAAGACCTCAATGTATCCACACAGCACCTTTGTGCCAAAGCACCAAGTACAGCTTGATACTTCCCTCTCTTGCTTGGATCTGGCAATCTCACAAGGGGTAGACTGCAGCTTGTCTGCAGAGCCTCCAGAAAAGCGTTTGATGTAGTTCCTTGCCTGATGCGTGCTCAAGTATGCAGGACAGTCCCCCACGCTGACCGCGCAAGTTGCATGAGTCACAGCTTGGTAATCCCTCACCTGGTGCGCGGGGGGCCGGCCGGCACCGATGTCCCAAGAAGGGGCGCTGGACTCCGGCGAGCTTTGTCCCCTGTCATCGTACAGGCTGGACACTGTTGGGGGGATGAGGCACTCTGCGAGAGCGGGCGTGGGCGCGGTGAGAATCGGCTGCGCATCATCGTCGAAGTCGCCCGGCCACAGCTGCCAGTGGCGGCTGCTGCCGCCGCCGGCGCAGGGCCAGCTGGCGCAGGGGAGACATGCTGCCATACGCTCCAGCACTGTTGACCCCTCCATGCCTGCACCATCAGGCATGGTTTTGCGGTGAGTAATTAGCTGGCACCCTGCTACCCAACCCTTCCATGCCTGCAGCATGAGTAAAAGCCTTTTATCATCGACTGAACTCTGGGTAGGGCACCCAGCGCTGCCGACCCCTCCATGCCTGCAGCATGAGTAAATAGTCTGGCCATTAGTAATCAGCTGACCTCCTGGGCTACTCGACCCCTCTGCATGCCTGCAGCATGTGAATTGTAGGGCCTTTAGAGGGTTGGGCACCCTGCTAATCAACCCCTCCATGCCTGCTGGTTTTGAGCTGATACGAGCCACCCACACAAAACAAACCAAAAGTACCAGGCACAACTGACTTCGGTCTGAGTCGGAGCCCTTGCTGTGATGATCTGTACAACTGGGGACTTTTGTGTTTTGTATCCCCCTCATACTGTTTTTCTTGCCATGCAAGTGGCAGAGCTCTTGAACTCTCTGCAGCGCGTGGCAAGTCTAGCCACCTAGGTGAGAAAGAAGCAGTTCCTAGGGCCATCTCAGGCTAGGATGGCATCTATCAAAATGCTATCGTTTCAACAAACCCCAGCATCGCCTCACCAAATTTCGAAAGCCAGTGGGGTTCACTGGTTGACAACCACTAGCTTGCTTTGGTACAACGTACTAATAGCTAGGCCCTCACAAGGGGCAATTTGACAAACAGGACGTCTTCAAATCAGAATAATGCACAATCTTCGCATACTGTAAGGCCGGCACTCTCCACTGCTAAGTTCTGTAGAAGAATTTAGTGCCAAGAAACGCTCACCTTGTGGAGAATGGGCAGACTTACTTGCGATCTGCCACAATTCTCCTTCTCCTACTCCTCTTTATGACAACACAAGCCAAAAAGTCTCCCTTGGAGGGTTGAAGCTCGATGCTGTGAAACTGCAGAGGTGACACCTCGGGAATTTCGCACAGTTACTCTCTGCCACAATAGGGACTTACTAGAATCTTGGAAACCCGATAAGATTGGTCTTAAAGCTCAAGGTGGTTGGGGTCTTGAGACTAGTAACCTCTGAGGTGTTGGCAAGAACGTGCTATGTGCACTTGGTGCACAAAAAGACACGCTGCAACAAGACGACCCGGTGCTTGGATCTTACCTAGAACGTATTATTCTTTGAAGAAAACCTCCTTTTGCTTTGGTCAAGTGGATTTAAAACTGGTCAACCAACATTATGGTACCAACTTCCACGCTCTTCTTTGCCTCCTAAAGATTAGAGCCTGCCCAACACACTGCATGCGCAATCACTCAAAACAAGTGCAGCACATATTAAATGTGCTAGTCCCACTTTACTCAAGAATTTGTGGCATCGATCGGGCCTTCGGGGAATAAACTACCGTGCAAACGCAAAATCAGCCAGCTATCTGGCGAGAGGCATAGTCCTTGAAAGCTGTACTTTCCTTCGGCAGATCTGCGCGATCTACTTATAAATTCGCTCAATTGTACTATAACTTATTCTAGGAATTGCGCATAAATCATCCCTGAGTGGCCCAGGCCTTGAAGGTGGAATGCGCATGGACGTCCTAGCCAAGGGGCAGCAATTGCGTCTGCTGGCCCACAGAGCAGCATCTGCCAGGCATTCTTGTTCCAGCATTCGCCCTGTTCGGAGCAGGATGCTGCACAGCGTCGTCGCCCAGGCACGCCAAAGTGCAGCCCTCAGAGAACTGCAGGAACAACAGGAGGAGCGCGCAACCCAAGCTCTGGAGAGCAGGACTCCTATTGGTGCGCACGAGCCTCATGACTTTAATGAGTCATGCTTTTACTCAGACTTCTCTGAATGGCTGCATTCCTCCTCAATTCCAGATATTGTGTCCTGACAGGTTGATCTGGTTCCAGTGCTAGTAAAATAGCTGGTGGTAATACAAGGACTGATCAAAGCAATTTGTGTGCCGCACAGCCATGGACCTGACATGGGAGCGGCCGCTGGAAATCATCAAGTACCCGGATCCTCGGCTGCGAGCGGTGAATGCAAAAGTTGGCGCCTTCAACGACAAAGTCAAGCAGCTGGGCATGGAAATGCTAGAGGTCATGTACAATGGGTGGGCCTCCTTGCTCCTCTCTTCGCATCACATGCCTGCAGTGGCACGCCCGGTGCACACTGCCCAACTCTCCAAAGTGCAGGAACAGCATGATGATAGCACTATTTCTTATACCATATCTTATGGTCCAACTCTTTGGTCCATTCGGCATGGGAGAGTAGTTGCAAGATGGACAGGAGTGACTTTTAGGGGCCTGCAGAGCATTGTCCAGAGCCTGCATCCGCAAGCCTGACAATTTTCTTTAGCCCTGGACCTCGATTGCTCAAGGTGCAATTCAGCAGGTGCCGAGCTTTATGTGGGAGGTGAAAGAACGGCGCATGCTGTGCATGCAGATAGAATGTTGCGGAAACAAAAGAATTACACAATCCGTCAGTCATCTCTGTCGAGTCAATGTGAGTCGTCCTGCATGCAGGGATGATGGCGTGGGGTTGGCGGCGCCCCAGGTGGGGGTGAATGTTCGAATGATGGTGTACAACCCAACGGGCAGGCGGGGAGATGAGGAGTTTATATTAGTGAACCCCAGGATCCTCAGCACCAGCGGCAAGCGAGAGGTCCACGAGGAGGGCTGCCTATCCTTCCCCCGCCTGTTTGCCAACGTGGAGGTGAGCTCCCATTCAGAACATCTGCAGCCTGAATTTCATGGCATGTGCTGTCGCCTTGAATTCCCAATGTTGCTCTTTGCAACGATCACAATAAAGCGCTGCTCATTTTGCGAGAGCCTGTGTCTGTGGACTGCTTGCTTTTAGTTCATGGGTATACTGGTGTGAGAGTGAGAAGACTTCACGGGCTTCCAGTCTTCTCACTGGGATGGCATGTCTGAGCAAGTCAGGAAGCCTATCAAGTGCCTGCAGAAGGTGTCCACACATGCGCTCTCCAAGTCTGTGCATATGTGCAGACCAAGGCAGATAAAGCATCACTAGTGTCTGACCTTGCAATGCTTGACTGAACATTCACCAACACTGGTGCTGTCAGTGAGATATTTCTGCCTGTGTGCTGGTGCAGAGGCCCCACAAGGTGAAGGTGAGGGCGCAGGATGTGAAGGGGGACACCCTGATGCTGACGCTGAATGGGTGGCAGGCGCGCATCTTCCTGCACGAGTATGACCACCTGCAGGCAAGTGGCTTGACCTTTCACCTGCATTCATTTGTGTGCAGCATCATGGAAATTGTATCGCTGTAGGCGTATGCGTTGCAAGGCAAGAGTTGGGACAAGAGCTAGCGGCGGGCTTAGGACGAGATGTTCTTGATGAGATGGTTCAGGACTGCTGTGCTGGTTCAAGTTGTTCGATGGCTACATCTGTTCTCTCCTCGCTGCAATGGCATATTTGGTAGCTTGCCAGCAACATTAAATTTCCAAAGGAAGTTCAGCAAACCTGCAGCATGCTGGCGCCATTAGCAGAAGTCGGGGATGTAAATTTAGAAGTGTGAGAGATGTAATGATAGCAACCAATCTTGATGCTGGCTGCTCTCTGCTGTGCAGGGCACCCTGTTTCACGACAGGATGAAGCCAGAGGAGTTGAGAAAGATTCACAAGGGGCTTGTGGCACTGGAAGAAGAGTACCTGCAGCTGCATCCTGGTGCCGTAGTGCAGCGTGTGTGAGAGCACTCCTGTGCAGGGTCTCTGACAAAGAAGATCATGAGTTCGGCGCTTTTAAAACCTCCTATCCAAGAAGCGCCATGGCCTGTACTGTCGAGGCAAACTCTGACGTGTTCTGCAATTGGCATCTTCTGCACATGCTTGCCTTGCTCTGCAGTGTGTGCATTATAATACCAGTGTGGCCCCGGCTGGCGGGGCCCGGTAGAAATACTGAGCTCCGTGCCCACAGTTGATTGGGACTTGCCTGAATTGGGTGCGTCCAGCAGGGGGTAGGATCTTGGTAGCCTGTACTGGCAGCTTGTCTGCAAACGCACCTTGTGTCTGGCAGGAAAAGAGTGCTAAACTAGATATATTACCAGTATGGAAGGATCTAGAGAAAAGGATGTTGTCCACCTGCAGACACTGGCAGAATGTTGAGATTATGATGCGGCGGTCGCTGTGATCAGATCTTTTGTGGTCGGGCTTCGCAGGAGTTGCGGCGTTGGCAATGCTAGAATCAGTGACCCTAAAGATGAGTATGTGGTTTTCAGATGCTGTTGCTTCCTCCAAAGTAATGACCAGGGTTCAGAAATGTTTGAAGCAGGCATCATGCAGCCTGCTGAGTTCGCATGACCCATGCATGGCGCATCGGCATTTGCATGCTGCATAAATTTGCGGAAGAGGCAGTGGCTCAAAAGATGGCATGGGCTCCTCCCCATTAGAATACGATCAGAATAGATGCCAAACTTCATGCTGGAATCTGTTAATTGTGTAGGTTCAGCAAAATATCAGGTCCCTCAAGATTTTTTGGGGGATATTTTGAGGCTTGCTATTTTGAGCGGATGAGTCAGACCTCTTTTGCCGGATGAACTCGATCGATCGCGATCTGGTAATCTACATTCGCTTTTAAAGATAGATAGTGATCATGGCAGCGCCCGGGGTAAGCTTCTTCGCGAGATCAATTGAGTCCTGCTATGTCCTGTGCACGCATGGCCGGGCCTAAAAGCAACCCAGGATCGTGGGCTGCGATTCTGCGAGGCAGTATCTATACTTTACATGAGTTGAGAAAGACGATTATTTGAATTCCATCCTTGTCAACTTGCTGCCAAGGCAGCAGATCCTGTATCATTTACTGTCCAAGCCGGTCTGCCATCGAGGTTTGGTACGGACTGCAGATCTTGTGCAGATTTGAGTCTTGCCCTTTTCTACAGTAAAGCTGTTCTATTTCGCAGATGACCACATCGCCGCAGGTCCTCAGCGCCGCAAGCAGATGTCCATACATCCAACAAGTCGTGGTAGGTCATCCACAAGTCATCCCTTCGAGTAAATATTGTTCTGGTTCTTGGTAACGCTAGCAGCGCTGCTCTGGTGTCACCAAATCACTGCCTTTCCGCCGTGCAGATGCCTTGGGATTGTCTTTATACGCAATTATATCCAGTCTTCTCAGTGCTCCATGATGCCTCTCTGGCCCTTCACCTCATCATAAAGCGCACTGACAGCTGCTCCTGTGGCCCCAGGCCGATGTGGGGGACCCGCAGATGGTCTCCAACAGCCTGGCACCGTTCATGTCTCTGGCAACGGTCGTCACCGGAGCAGCCGGCGCCCCTGCCCCCTCAGCCTCAGAGGGGGCCCCGCAGCCCAGCACCAGTGCAACTGCTCCTGCCTTAGGAGCCGCCAGCGGTGGCGAAGTGGCTGAGGAGGCCGTGACTGCCAGCAGCGCTGCCACAGCTGAGAAACCCGCAGAGGAGTGATTAGTAAGCATGCACCGGTGCGCCGGCAGTCAATCAATCAACATTTCATCTGTTCCAGTCAACCTTTGGGCTGGCCCGAGCATACTGCTGATTCAGAGACAGCGTGCAACATGACATTCAATCAGAGTGGTCCGCACAAAAGAACATGCTTGAAGAATTACTTCTCTCTGATCCTCCTATATCTTTATCTGTGAATTTGCTCCGGGTTCAAGCTCCCCAGCCCCAAGGGAGTTGGACTTGGATCTTTGCTATAAGTGGGCCAATAGCAATGTTGGGCCCACTTTCTCTGGCGATCCTCTATAGATCCAGCTAGATTGCGAGGACTAATGATGTTCAAGGTGCTGCGAGATGCTGCCTGCAGCTGGATTGGTGTGAAGAGGAGGGTTCTTGACCAGGCAGCTTGCTCTTTGCACAAATCTGTGGGCTCCAGCCATCAGGATGTGCAGCAGCTGAAAAGGGACTGGCACTGCAGATGTTTTGGCAATGGCAGGATGACAACATTTTGTCGTGCCCTGCACAAAGAAGCGTCTGCGCAATTGACTGTTTGCGCACCCTCAAATGTGCGCGTTTGATGGTGCATGCGCCAAGTGTTGGATGTGCTGCATGCAGACAGGCGGGCCAGCTGGCAGAGCTGCATTCGGTGTGCAGGACAGGCAATAATCGGCACAGCAGACTGGATGTTTTTCCCAACTGTACTCATATTCATGGCTGCTAATTAGCCTGGTGCAATTCTTTTCTGTGAGTTTTGAGGGCTCTGTTGGAGAGCGCTTCATTGATGCATGAACAGGATGTTGAAGGCTCTCTGTAAGGAAGTCAGGGACGTCTTGCAAAGGAATTCAGAACGAGGTGTTAATTGTACACATTTCTTACTAGTAAAAAAGGAACACTACGCCCTTCGAAAAGGTGGGGGTGAGGTTGGCCCTAAAATCCCCTAACCCTAGAATCTCGGACATTTTGCTAGGAAGAATGGTCGCCTAGCGTATCTGCAAGGGCTTGAATTAAACATTAGTCAAATGTGTTACACAAATAACTCCAATACCCATATCTTTGCGACTACGCCATCAAATTAAGCAAACTCAGCTCCTCTAAGCGAGCTCTTTCCGTCACCAAATTGAGGAATTTCGGAAAGCTTCAAAATTGTTCCAGCATGGTCTTTGCACATACTTGTAGGATTCACCTATTAGAGAAAGAGGTATGCAGACATCAAGGCGGAGCGAGCGCCAGGAGACAGGAGAAAGGGCAAGCCATGTGCACGTCATATAACCACAACAGAATAATCCCCCAGCCCAGGAGCACTAAATGAACACATTGCATGCATGCATACAGGTGTGACTAGATGAAATCTACCGAAGAAACTTGCAATCAAGAAGGCAGGCAGAGAATCAAAGTGACTTCTGAATTATATTCTGCCCTGCACCTATAAATAGCGCGTGGCTCCGAAAGCGTTCAGAGTTTGGGAGTAGTCGGGTCTTTTTAATGCTGAAAGCAAAAATAAGACAGAGGACGGCACACGGAGTATGACGGACAAAGCAGGACCGACTGGCGTGGTGAGTCACTGCTTCGTGATAGGCAATGCATGGTTGCAGGGCTTGGGCTTTTGCGACAATCGTCACCTATGTAAGTTCTGCATTATGTTGGCAAGCTTCTGGTACAGTGAAATTAACTGCGGGCTGCGTATGTCATCGCTTAGAAGGCGTCTTGGAAAACCCTTCCTAGTGGCATCCTTGCCATCGGCTTGCAGACGGTGTCCGCCAGCAGGCGTGTAGCTTTTTAAGAATGGAACGTCAAGGGCTTTGGCAGATAATCAGGGCTCATAACAATTTTAAGCCGTATGCGTCGTATGCAGGTGTCCCCGGAAGTGTTGGCAGCAGCAAGCAGCTGTCCTTACATTCAAAGAGTAGTGGTGAGCGCATCTTCCTGTCTCCTTTGTGTTAGGGGGCAAAAATAAAAATTTCGACCTTTTCAGTAGTCTGGTGATAACAGAAAAGCCATGAAGCAGGTCCTACTGATTGCCAGCTTCCCCATCCTCGCCACTTGGTGTATCAACCCACTGTTTTGCATCAAGACATTCCATCCAAACCTGCAGTCACAGCGTCGAGCTGGCTGAGGAACTCTTCAGAATTGCAGCTAACAGGGTCACTTCCGATCAGCCTGCAGTAGCTGCCTGCACCCCTGTGCTGCTGAAAATGACCCTCAAACAAGCTGCATTCTCCAGATTACTTGCCGCACCCCGCCAGCCGGGGCCTGTGCTCTTGCGCATCTGTGCCCCGTGTGAAATTTGGGACATGTGGTGCCAGAAAGACAGCAGGAGAGCGCGGCAAGCGCGCAGCAGAGCATCACGTTGATCATGGTTGAATCTTCAAATATGGGTCCTAACAGCCCACATCCTGTTCGTTATCTCCTGAAGCGATCATAATATTTTCCAGCAGTGTGTAGCACAAGAATGCTTTGCCCTCACTGCGCCCTCCACTGGTGCTACTTATGACTCAAGCTTGCATGTCCTGATGTGTAACAGGTTTGCTGATCATGGTCGAAATGGGCTCCCCAGTGTAATCTTTAAAAGCGCTCCCAGTCGTTGGCGCTGTTCCCTCCACAGGCAGAGGTGGGCGATCCGCAGCTGGTCTCCAACAGCCTGAGCCCATTCATGACATTGGCCAGCACAACCTCCCTGGCAGACCCCTCGGAGCCGCCGGCGCAGGCGCGGCCGAGGAGGCGGCCGCGACAGCTGCGGCGGCCAACGCGGCGGCCGATGCCGATGCTGACGGGATACGGGCAGCCCCCAGCCGCCGGAGACCCCCCGGAACCGGCTGTCGCACAGCGGCGGCCCCGCAGCTGCAGGCAAGTGCTCTCCGCTTACTACTACTATTGCTACATGTGCGCAGGACACTGTCAAATGTTTTTGGCAGGAGGCGCACCACGTCTGCAGACAAGCTGCTCTCCCTGTGCCCAATGTCAATTCTGGGCCTGGCGTCCAGATGAGCCCTGCAGCATGTCACCAAGACAAGGATGAAAAGGCCTGGCTCGGGGTTGGACAAACCAGCAGCTTGTAACTGTTGCAGGACTGCACTAGGCGGGTTGGGAGAAAGTCCCTTACCTGCGATAAATTTGCTGTGGCCCTTCGAAGTTCTCAGGCCATGTGTTGCCAAAGAGGCAGCAGGGAATGCGGCAGGGGATGTCGCACTTCCATGGCCAGTACAGCAACCTCAGAATTCGTTGCCACGCTCTGCTGGCAACTCTTGCTGTCCCTTTGACATGCAGGTATATAGAGCCTATACTCCAGACACCAAACACACAACAGTGAGCGCAGCGGTTCTTGCTTGCATGGGGCTCTGTCCTGACTTGCTGTGGTGCAACAGGAATGCCGATATATCCTGCACCGCATACAGAGCCCAGCAGCTGCGACGTGTGCCATGTTGACCCCGCAGAAGGCTTGTTCCTGCTCATCTCGGAAGAACCGCTGTTTGCACATGAGCAAGGTCTGGATGTGCCAAGTAGAGCTCTTCATGCTACTGCTAAACAAAGAGAACTTGAGACTTTGGGTGGGCCTATTATGCCAATTACCAACACTTTGGTAATGATACTGTGGTTTGCTCTGAGCAGGATGCTTTGCAGATGCAGCAAGGCCTTTCCATTATTTCGAGGGGCATAATGCTTTGTCATGACTTACTTGTTTGATCAAGCACTCCAGATTTGACTTGCTCTGCCCGTTGCTGCACTTTGGGTATTTAAGTAACAACAGTTGTTCTTTAATTACCCCTAGCTGCACCTTGCGGCACATGCCGGCATGCCGGTTGCATGTGCGAGCAGGCAGCAACATTGTGTGTGTCCAGATGGGCGCAGCCACCTGAGCGAGGCATGCTTGGACGAGGAAGAGGTGTTGCTCCTTGTGCTGCTGGCAACGCCTTGATCAGGCTCATCCTGGTGCCCCCATCAGGGAAGCTGCCATGAAGCTGCCGTGAAGCTGCCACAAAGATGCATGTAGCAGCCCACCTGGGAAGGGTGAAAAAGCCAAGATGCATCATTTGTACAATATTTTCAAGCTAGGATGGTCGAGGGCTGCAGCGTGAAACTGTGAGATGGGTATAGGCGGAGCTTCCAGAGTTTTTGATGATACAATGGTAAGCGAGCATTTAAATAAGTGCCAATGTGGTACGAGTCCCGTGAGAGACCCTCTTCAAGTTGCCAGGCACATGCGACAGCCGCATGAAATCACTTGCTTGTAATTGTTGTGCAAACAAGACCAAGACCAGCCACTGGCCAGCAATTGTTGGCCAATCTCTTTCAATTAGCTGCAGAAACTGGCAAACATGTCAGGAAAGCCTTTAAAATGCCTTGTGGCATTTGTCAAGACTCACCTGTACACTGTACAGTAGCGCCGTCTGACAGCCATGCATTTGCTGACTGTTTGCACCATGTATGGCATGTATGACACCTGCCCGTGAATGAGTCTGCTGAAAGTTGGTGAGCTGTGATCAACATCATGATGTGTTGTGCTACGTGTGGCGAGTATGCAGTGACACAGTCTTAAAAAAGCTGTCTATAGCTGCCTGAGAAGGATCGAGGAATGCTTTGTGCGAGGCTCGACTGAGTGGCATACTAAATTTTAGTCACCAAAGTCTGCACTGCTGAAGAAGCGTGCAATGAAGAGTTATTGCAACTGCCTCGCAGCTGTTACAGCATGCAGGAGGCATTGACAATGTCATTGTAAAATGGCATGCACTACTCGCATAAAGTGTTGATTGAAGCCCTTCTTGACAAGTGAACTTTCACATGCAAGCAAGGTCCATGCTGAACAACACCAGATTCTCCTGTACAGTACAACATAGACTCTTTCTGCTATGAAGGCAGTGCTCACTTCCACAATACAAGGCCGCCTTGCACCCAGACAGCTCTGATGTTCCTGTCGTCACCCAGATTGATGAATTTCTGGAACGTGTCAAGCAGCGTGTCGCTAGTGAAGGTGTCAATGTTGGACCCAGCAGCGGGGTCAACCATCAGCGCATCAAACTCCTTGCCCACCTCAAAGCTGCCTATCTTGGCCTGCGCTGACAGGGAGTAGGCTCAACTTCCACAACGCAGACTGGATTCAGCCACCCCTATGGATAAAGAAAAAGTTACTGTAAGACGATAAAAGCAACTCCATCTTGGTATCTCCTGGGTTCAGGCATTAAAGACGTGAGGTGAGGTCCGCAAGGAAATGCAGGCTGAACAAGTCTGAAGGCCAAAGATGCTCAGGGACATTCAGAAAAGAGTTTGTCGAAACAAAGCTACAACAAAGAACCCCTCTCTCTTGTGCAAGTCGAATAAAAGGTCTGCAGCTGTGATGAAATGGTCTGGAGTGGACCCACCACAATTTGCATACAGTAAGTCACAAGGCAGATGCAAGCAATCTGAATGGGACATTTAGGAGAAGTGATAAGTTCCAAGTTATCCTACAAGGAATGTAAAGAAAACTATCACTGTTGATTTATGATGACTGTTTGTAATGCACGCACCTCCAAGCCGAGCGCCTGGGCCCCGCCCATGGTGGCCAGCCAGAAAGCTCCCCTGTAGTCCAGCTCTTCTCCACTGCTCGGCCCATCCACGCTGATGTCGCCTGCGCAGCCCATCACACAGAAAATCAGGTGTCCAGAAGGATCTCAACCTCTCAAAATTATTTATAAAGTACGCAGCTGACATACTCTTGCCATGTGAAGATGTTCCTCCTCCCAAAGGAGAGTTCCCAAACCAGGCCAGTAAGGGAGAACAGAGGTGCAGTGGTGCCCTGCTACTGTATTGGTCGCTCTAAACTCCGCACCACGGGCGGTGGGGAATTGTTTCTAGGCAACATTTAGGGGTCTTGCTGGCTTTAATACCAGGGGCTTGCTCCATTGGATTAGGCTCGTCGAGAGCTTCCAGAACCTGGTCTCAACATTGCTAAGGATATATATTTTTGGAGAAGGGTCTCAACCATCTACCCATTTTGGCCAATCATACTTACTTTCTGCGGGGGTAAGAGTGGCCAGTACGGTGTGAGGTTTCAAGAAAAGCGCCAATTACAATTACATGCCTCCTCCCCACCTTGATCTTCGAGGTTCCTAGAGTCGCCTGCTGCGCCGCTGCAATCAGCCGCCGCTGTGCATGGGGCCGGACCTCCGCCCGTATCATGCAGCGCGGCCGGCTCTGTAGACCTTAGCCCCGCCCCATAATCCCCGCAGCCGCCGCCGATCGGTGCGACCTCTCCGCTGCGCGCCTCTGTGCCGGCATTGTGACCGCAGCCGCTCTGCCCGGCTTGTCCGCTCATGGTAGGCTGGCCACCAGAGGCGGTCCCGAGGTTCCCGGCCGCATTTACCCCTACAATAATGTCTTGATCAGGGTAGACACTGAGGAACTTAGTCACATGATCACCTGCATCAAATCCTGGCCCAGGTGCTTGAGAGTGATTCTGCTTTTAATAAACCCGCGATAAAGTGCAGACGTAGAAACGCGGCTCTTCGCAAATCACAAGAAGGGAACAAGTCATGGGAAACAGAGCAAGATAAGCAATTCTTGGAAGGTGCTTTTTTCGGAATTTGCTCATCAACAGTGCATTGAAGGCACAGATAGAGCTCATCCAAATGGGGTTGTGGCCGCACCTCCAGTCGGCGACCCACCAGGTGAGAAGCACCGGCGCCGTTCTGCAAGCCGTTCCCTGTCGGTGCGCAGCATGCGCACGGTCTTGGCCGCGATGACTGCGCTGCGCATGGCATTCAGCATGCTCGGGCTGTATCCTCCCGCCACGTCCGTCCCCAATCCCACCTGCACGCACCGCCACGTCAGCTGCGTCTGATACAACTAAAAACGTTATGGAGTTGCTACGCCTACGCCTACACCTGCAGTTCCCAGTCGGAGCATCCTGCCAGCTCAGAAAAATCGGTGTCATCTACCAGGCAATCATCACGTGAGTGCCAGGTCAGATACATGAAATCTAAATGAAAAATTTGGAGAGCAGATGATGCAAAAGTTGGTCTTTGGACCGGAGAGGATTTAGTACATAGCGTCCCAATGCATGCTAACGACAGGGGACTCTAAATTAGCTTTAGTTTAGAGTCTCCTGCTAATGCACACCCAGGCGGGATACTGCGTACGCCACCCTTCGTGCCCAAAGACCAAATTTTGCTTTCTGCACTCCTCAAGCTCCACGCTGCATGAAAAGGCAGCAGTGGCTGCAACATTAGAGGAGTTGGGCAGCCACCCTGACACCAAGCTGCCGGCAGCGCAGAACATCCAGGGGGATATCGGCGAAGAAGAAGTTCGACAGGGGGCAGTGCGCGATTGCGGTGCCGCGCGCCGCCAGCAGGGCGAGCTCCGCTGATGTCAGCGTGACGCCGTGCGCCATTACTGCGCGGTTAGTCAGCATACCCGCCCTGTCATACAGCGATGTGTCCCTTCCGCAGACCTGCACTTCAATACAAAATCTTCACAACAAATTCTTCAGGCCGTCTGTAATGCTTTGGAATTCCAGAGGACATTGTCATCATAGATACACATATGTTTGTCTTGCACAGGCAGCTCACAAGGCCTAAGCTTTGCTTCCACACATTTTGCAAGGTTGTGGCAACAAAAGTACTTCTTCAGCTCACCCTGCCTTGATGTCCATAGTTAATCATGTCTCCAAGAAGTGCATTGATTAGTTCCCATGTTGACCGACATGCATTCACTGAGAAGCCGCTGGATGGAGGACACACATGCACACCTCAGGATGAAGCTGCGCCACTAAGGCGTCATTGTCGAGGCTCTCGCTGATGTGGCTCTGGATATGACAGCTGTACCGCTGGGCAAGCACGCCTGAACTGGCCAACAGCTCTGGAGAGCAGGTGGGCACGAAGCGGGGTGTAACCACTGGGTGCACCAAAGATGTATCGAGGCCCCTGCAATAATTTCAGGTCACTGGCAGTGGCTGATACATACAATAAAAACATCTTGAAGCTTTGCATCCAGGTATCATGCTCACAGTGAGCTTCAGTGTGTTGCCAGCATGCAAGGGCCTCTAACAAGCAAATACTTTCATGCATGTCACCATGATAAGCAAGTTGACACCGATGATGCATGACTGAGTCCTTGCTGTGTACCTGGTGGATTCAATGAAGGCCTCAGTGTCAGACAGGTTCTGCTCCAAGCTCTTCACATAGAAGTCTTTGGAGTTGCGGTCCATGCACACAAGGCCCACATATGCCCTCTGCCCAGCCTGCGGATAAACAGAGCCTCTGAACAAGTCTTTGCCACTGGCAATCGTGCTTGTGCTTAACAATTTACCCATAAACAAATTTGCAGTACTATACTGTGATTCTAACTCAGGGCAGGAGACAGATGCGGCGGTGCAAACCTGATGCAGAAGCTCTGCCAGGAGCTGTGCAGGCTCCAGATGCAGGGATGCAAAGTAGAGGGATGTGGTTGTGCCGTTCGACAACAGCCTCTGCACGAGCTTGGAGTACTCTGTGCGCGCAAGGGCCAGGTCCTGATGCCTTGACTCCCTGGGGAAGGTGTACTCGTCCAGCCATGCCATCAAGGGCTTGTCCGTGGCTGTCCCGGAATACGAGTACTTTGCATGCCACAAGAATTCGTCAGCTTTGCTTGCGACCCTCAACATGCAAGTGTCTTGCTAGGCATGCAATGCAAAGGAACGATGGCAAGCCAATGCCTGGCAGGCATATAGATGACGATCGGGCATCTGTTCAGGCACCCATTGCACGGCTGAAGCACAGTAGCGCACCTGAGGTGCGTGAAAGTGTGTGTCCACGAATCCCGGACACATGAAACGGCCATCCTGAGATGAAAATAGAGAAGGAAGTCAAGCCTAGCCAGTACATCTTGCGCAGCAATGGTCAGATGCACCTTGCTGAGGGAGGTTTTGGTGTTTCAATTCTATCCGTTATCAAATAACTCACCGGGATCTTGTAGACGGTGCTCTCGAGCAGACCATGCTGAGCTAGGACTGTCGTTGATTCTGACGCAGGCAAGAGAGAAAGTATTTTGCCGCCTTGCCCCTTGCTGGACACCACGCACACATGGTCTTCCAGATACTCGAGTTCCTCGAAAGTTGGAGAATGAATGAAGGTGCCCCTCAGAACGAAAGTGCCCGAGAAACTTGCCATCAGTCCTTCACACATGCGTGTAACGATCGACACAGGCACCAGGAATTCCCAATCATTCGTGGTATAGTGGCGAAATCGAACGCTTTAGACACCTGAACACAAAATGCATGGGAGGAACTCTAGTCTCCAAGAAAGAAGTACAGCCCTCAAATCCCCCGGCTGGAGGGCATTATATTGGTGCACGTGTGGACGACATGTGAGCAGGTGCACCCACCACCTCACGGCACTTGTCCTGCGAATATTCTTCGAACAGCGAGCTATTGCGAGGCTCCCGCGCGTCGAAGCGCACAGCGGATTTTGCAGTTCAGCCGTTATGCAGCTGTCGGCTGATGTGGGCGCAAGGCCGTCTGGCGTTCGAGCCTCCCAACCGCACGTGAGAGGCTCCGCACATCAGAGCCTGAGGGCGAGCAGGACCGCGGGACAGGGCTTTGGCCGGGTGATTGTCAGGCCTAGATCAAAGCGTTCTGTTCTTCAGGTACAGTCCTCGTCCAAGGCAAATATTCGCAACATTCGCGACAGGTGTTGGCGCACCACAACAAGCTTTTGACAACCTGGATCTTTTTTTGCGTCCAGCCCGGCATCAAGCATGCTGTGCTTGAGACGCTGGTGCATGCATATATATTAAGATCGACGCTTGAATAGGACACGACCACCCCTTCATTTGATCTGTGCATTGTATATTGCTTCCACTCAATGCTCTCATGCCCAAATATGTACGGTTGTGAGGATGCTCACAATGAAAGATGAGCAGATTGCTTCAGCTTCTTCCCTGAACATTAAGTAAGTTTCCGACGATTGTGTGGGTGAGTTTGGTGGTACTGCTGTGCTTACTGGCGCCTTCTCGATCACCCTGCAGGGGGCTCCAGTCTGCACAGCTTTCAGAGACGATGCTCGAACGGCTGGCCAGTTCTTCCCCAAAACCACTCCGTACCATCTGGACGCGCATCAGGCCGAGGTAGGCGACTTGACAAGGACCTGGTCCTGGGATCCTTGGCATCTTGGATGGCCTCTCTTTCCACAAGTTGCCTCCATGCATACCTCACATTATGATACTGCAAATTATTGAATGCGTTGTCTCCTTTTTGCGCCAATGCAATCAATTAGTGCAAGTCAGTATTGCTAACTTCTCAGGGGTGGCGCCAAACATCAACACTTTGGCACAGGCGCCCCTGTATGACGGTGGTGGGCACTGCCTGCCTGCTTGTACAGTCATCCTAAGTTCTACTGGCAGTGCAGCAACACATGCAGGCATGGAGGAAGTGTATGAGGGCTTTGAAGGCTTCATGCAAGAGCGCCAAGGAGCTTCAACCCACCATTTGTCTAAGATATTCTTTATTGAGGGATGTATGGGGGATGGCGCAGAATGGGCTGACGCAGCTGGTGGTGCGCGTGGCGAAGTTCCTGGCAGAGAATGAGCGCCTGCTGGTTGTGGCTGCCTCCACCATGATCATGTCCCTGTCCCACACCGCACTGCGCCCAGTGCTGCCCACATTCGCCAAGGTATGCCACAGCTGCTTTCTCCACTGACTCTGTCAGTCCCAGTTGGAAGTCCTAATCTCCTCTTAAACTCCTCTCTATGGCTATTTCCGCATTGCATGCATTTCTTGGCAGGTGGGTGGCATCGTTGCATGGTGCATGGTTGGCACTTTTTCTTGTCATGCAGCTGCAGATAGACTGCCCTACGAACATCACATCTAATATTTGGTGGACATCCATGCGAGGCAATGCCTGTGGAATTCATCATGCCTTGCAGAGCATCATTGGAGCAAGTTTGCTCTGAATGTTGACATCACTCCATGCACAAACTGCCGGCAGAAGGTTGAAAATATCCGCCGGTCCTGCAGCCAGCCAGCCTCGCTACCGATATTACGAACCTTCAGCAACAGATACATGCATGACATGCATCTCCTGTGCAGAGCTTCGGCGTCAGGGCAGCGGCGGTGGGCAGCACCATATCGGTGTACGCGATTGCGCGGCTGATGATGAACCTGCCAGCTGGCATGCTGGCCGACCGCTACGGGCGCAAGCCGCTGCTCGTATGGGGACCCCTCATCACCGCCTTTGGTGCGTGGTGCTATCTAAGCAGTCTCCTAAAAGATTCGTCGAGTTTTTCAGCGCCAACAAAATTTCATGCATCTGAGCTGTTGTACTCCACACGGCTCCTATCGTCTGGATGCAAATCATACTGGGCTCCTTACTGATGCTCATTTGTGGAGCAGGAGTGACAGATTAGCATCAGCATCAGAGATTTGTCCGCTATGAATTGAATCTTAGGACATATGCAGGATTGCCACATTACAGGCCTGCATGGATGACCCAACCAGCTACATAAAGACATCAACCTGACTTGCGCAGAGCTGAGCGGCAAAACATTTGTTTGCGCGCAGGCATGATCGGGTGCGGGATGTCTGGCACCTTTGGGCAGCTGCTGGCGTGGCGGTGGGTGACAGGGATCGGCAGTGCATTACAGATGGCGGGGGCGCAGCTATTCCTTACGGATATATCCCTATCCACCAATCGCGCGCGCACCCTCGGCACCAACCAGGCGCGTTCCCTCTGACGATTCTCACTTGGGCTAATGGGCCGGGCTTGTTCCACTGGCATGCGCAAATGACAACAATGGCACGGCATACTTGCTCTTGCTCCAGCAGCTTGGCTTGTGCATACCTGCCTCACGGACTGTAGACCATATATAGCCAAAAAGAGAGGCTGCATGCTGCAGAATTGTCTTCTTCTTGGCCACAAGTATGCAGGGTGCAGAATACCTTGAGGAGCGCTAGTTAAGGACAAGGAGTGTGGTAAAGGACAGGACCGCTCACAAACGCGAAGCTCGCATCACGGCACATCGTCAAAAATCTCTTACTGTGTGCTGCAGGCGGCGTCGCTGATGGGGGGCCTTGTGGGCCCGGCGCTGGGGGGTCTCCTGGCCGACTGTGCGGGTCTGCGTGCGCCGTTCACACTGACCGGCGTCGCCGCTCTTTTAGCCGCGCTGTACGGCTGGGTGCGGCTGCCGGAGACCATGGGCCTGCGCGCTCGCCAGGAGAAGGACGAGGCCGCCAGCCGCGCCGAGCCGGCCGCCGCACGCGCCGCTCAAGCAGAAGCCCTGCAGGTGATTCCCTCTCCAGTTTATGCTAATGTGTTGATAACTTGAAGGGGGCTCAGGGTGACTTACGCGGTGTCCCCCATTCCGCAGTGTTAATGATGGCTCTTTTTTAGTATTTTTGCACGTTACAGCAAGGGTGAGATCTTGATTGGCTTGATTTGCTGCTGAGGGAAAGCTGTTGACACGTCACGGCCACGGCCAGCTGCTTTCTTCCGGCACACCTACCTTTCAAAACCCTTCTGTAAGCAAACCAGTTGCTGCATCCCTACTCCATTGAAGGCAACTCAATACTTGGCAGGTGTAAAAGGATCATGGGCTGCGCATGCACGTTTCCTGAGCTCAAAGAATTTGCCATTGTTCAGGCTGAGAGCAGCGGAGCAGAGGAGGCGGCACCAGAGCAGATGCCTGTGCTGGCAGCGTCCGGGGGACAGATAGCAGCGGCAAAGGCGGTTGATGCAGCAGTGGACTCCCTGAAGGAGAATTCCACCTACAACCCACGCAGGATGCGTCCCAAGAGGTGCGCAAGAGTGCCATGTTGTACGCCATGCATGCCAACGAGAATTGACACTCACTTTCCTTCGCTTTGGGTGTAGGAGAGCGGTGGTCTGCCTGCATGCAACCCTGGCCCCACATCCGATTGCAATCTATCAAGAGTCTTTGTCCAGAACGACTACTTCCAAAGTCCTTTATCAGAGTGATTTGCTAAAAAGGCAGAATTTCCCATCACTGAAATACTGCGCCAAGATGAGGGCTGTTGAAAAGAGGTCCACCAGTGTGTGTACATGTGCGCAGGAGGAAAGAGCGGCCGTCCTGGCTGCTGCTGCTGGAAAGCCGGGACTTTGGCGCCATCGCGCTCGTGAACGCACTCATGTTTGCCACGGCTAACGGCAGCCGCTCCGTGCTCATGCCGCTGCTTGCCACTCAGAGCTTTGCTCTCTCCACGACCGCCCTTGGTGAGGTTCAATTGCTGATACTTGTGCCAGCCACTGCAATTTCACATGTGCATCCTTTACTGTGTCCACTTCAATGCCATCTATCTGGCAGGGTCTGCTGAGAAAGTGTATCTCAGCATCACCAAGCAAAACATTTTGCCGACAGAACGCTGCAGCTGCAGATCTGTCAGCTTGTCGAGCTCTCGTTACACCGCCACTGTGCACATTGCAACAAAGGCCCTTGGTTTCCCTTTTGGCTCCCGGCAATCCCACAATGGCCGCCAATGTCCTGTGGTGACTGAGAAGCTGGCTAGAGACACTCTAGCCAGCAGTTATCAGAGGCGGTTTACATATATAACTTCAAACATTACAATATAAGGTTCAACCGAACAGCTGAGTGGACCGGGGACATGTGCGCGCAAGGCTGCTAAACGCGCTGATGGCTTTGATATGTTGAAAAAGGCATTTCTCAAAAGGTGGATTTTGATATGTAAAGTCAAGTTTGGATATTTCAACCCAAGAGCTGACTGGACCGGTGACACGTGCTCGCAGGGTTGCTGTACGCGCTGATGGCGGTGATCAGTCTGGTGGGAATAATGCCGGCAGCCTTTGTGGCGGACAAGCTGGGCCGCAAATGGACCATCGTTCCCTCCTGCTTCGGCCTCGCCGCCGCCCTGCTCCTCATGGCAGTCACCGGTGAGGCGACAACCTCTCTTATTATTATTATTAGTATTAATTATCACATGCATTTCCTGCCAAGAGGCAAGGTACGTCTCGCAGACAAGCTGCAGTGAAAGACTGCCACGATTCTTGTTGGACTCACCAGATCCAAGCACGACCCAATCGACCGTGGGCATGGTGCTCAATATTTACACCGCCCCCTGCCAGCCGGGGCCGAACTAATATTTATTACTATTGTTATTACTATTATCATTAAATCGTTTCCTGCCAAGAGGCAAGGTACGTCCCACAGACAAGCTGCAGTTAAAGGCTGTCAAAATCCTTCCCCTTGATGGACTCGCCACATCCAAGCAAGACCCATTCAACCTTCAATAAACACTTATAACCACTTTGTCCTTTAAGAACTGTTTAGATCCACTGTACCAGTTCCTCTGTGTGAACCTCATCTCCGTTGGGCTGCTTGGCAGTTGCCTAAACATATCCTTAGCGACGTGACCAATCAAGTGTGGAGAGAGTAACGTGCATTTGTAAACACTGTCTTTCTTTGCACGGGAAGGGCCTGTGGTATCTTTGCGCAGGGGCCCAAAAGCTTGTTCCAAAGCATGGGAGGAGGGGCTGCAGCCAGTTTCCATTCAGCACTCCCTCGTGCCATGCCACACAAAAATCTTACCCTGGATGTGGATATCAAGACAGTTTCGGGCATCTGTAGTAAAATGTTTGGTGATGCTGATTTGCAGGCCGGCAGGAGTTTTTCATAGGAGCGATGATGGTGTATGCTGTAGCCAACTCGTGCATCGGCGCGACTCCGGCCGCGTTTGCCGCCGATGTGATGCCGCAGTCCGTCTCCGGCTTCGGCCTCGGCATGTTCCGCTGCGCCGGCGACATCGGTGCGCGACCCTGCATCTCTTTCACAGATAAACTCATAATATCTTATTTAGAGACACAAATATAGATATCATAGACATTTAGACACAGATATAGAAATAAATTCATGATAAATTATTTCTCCTTGGCCAACAGACGGCGGTGTAACGCTGCACATCATGGCAAGTGTTGAAATGTGTCCTGGTAAATTCTGGCAAGCCCAAGAAAGGGCCCCTGCAATTGCAGCATGTGTGCAAAATGCACCTTGCCTAGCTTGGCAGGCATTTAGTCATGCAATTGCTCGAACAGAATGGCAACGTGGGAGTTTTGCTGCCTTTCGACATTTCTTCCCGTTGCCTTGCTCCATCTTCATCTCTGGGGCCAACAGTGAAAATGTACGCACACACTGCGCTATACCCTCGTGCAAACAATTAACCCTACACATCTGACCTTGAAATATACCCCTCAAACAAAGGGTCATTGCATCGTGCGCAGGGCTGATGGTGGGTCCGGCGCTGCTGGGCTGGATTGCGGACATGACATCGGTGCAGACGGCTCTGCAGGTCAACGCTGCCGTGCTAGTTTTGGCCGTCTCCTATTTTGGCCTGGCAGCGAGAGAGACCAAGCACCTCCGCGTGCAGCAGCACATGCAGAAGCGCGCTGCCGCTGCCGCGTGACCCCCGGGCCGGGGGAAATGATTGCTAGGGTTTTCACAGAGTGGTCGCTGCTGTAGCATGCCCAGTGACTGGCCTGTGGAAGAAGGCCGAGGCGGGATGGCCTTGCATGCAGCTGCAGAGATAGGAATTTTGTGCCCTTTCAGTTGTAGGAGTTTTGGGGGTGAGGAGCCCTGACGGGTCATTGAGAGTCTTGTGACGAGCTCGAGTGGCAGATAAAGATGGCAGTTTCTTTCAGGAGAGGCATTTGAGCTTTTCACTTATGCAGCAAGCGGCTTCCTACCCAATCACAGCGCATGAGCGTCTGCTGCAAGAGTGTAGGAACAATACATGTGACCAGCCGCAGCCGGCAAGCTTAATTGAATTTGAATTTGGCTTTCTATGCCGCATGCTGGCATGCGCGGCACAGACTGCTTGCTCACCAGGCCAAGGAATCTGGTGTGACGTACAGTATGCAAGAGGCAAGATTTTGGACGAAGCAGTTTTGCCAAGCATTATTAAGTGCATACTCTGCCAAAGTCCTGAGCCATCAGAGACTTGCACGAGCGCGTCGTTCAACAGCAAAACTGCTAGCTTGAGCTACAATAGACTATTTCACTACGCGTTTTCTGTCATGATGTATCTTGATCACGTAATATTGATGACAGAACTGCCAGCGTGGTGAGAGATATAATAATGAGACAAGAGGTTGAAATTCGACTGGACAAGTTAGTATAGCCATGTGTCTTCATGTATTACAGGTGCGGTTGCTAACAGCAGTCCTCCTCTTGTGCATTATTTCCAGTCAACCTTAACAGCTTCTGGCGCTCGGCCAATATGCCATTCGCCAAGTCACTGTGTCACATTGTTCACAGCCTTCATTCAAGTACAGTAAAATGTGAACCCCGACAGGTATTGAAAAGTTTTCTCAAACACATCGTTTAATTTTATTAAGGAACAGTCCCAAGAACCAGCATTGCCATTTGCAGGCCCAGCCTTACACTCAAATTCATGAAATGAAAATCTTGATGCAATCGATGCAGCAAATCCAACACATTTGCTTGATGTACCCACGCTTTCTTGCAGAACACTTGGGGGACAAGCCTCTTTGTTCGGTACACTGCGCGGCTGAAACTCTGATCTGAAGTGAGCTTCAACATGATGAACTCATCTGACACTTGTCAGTGTCTGCTGCGGTTCATGTACAGTATCACAGCTTGCTCTGAATTGCTTGCCGATTAGTCATGCTTATGTGTATTCTGCCGCAGTCGTCATCACTGGTAGGGCTGCCTGCTGCTTGGTGTAGGTCAGCTGGGCAGCTGCCACCAGCACACGAGGCCCCTTCTTCGACCGCACTGAGCTGGCCGCAAAAGTTATACTGACAACACCCTGCAGACAAGCAGACAGCTCATCTGATGCCCAACTTTTCTTCATTCAATTTGAACATAAGATTTCTTCATGCTTGCTAATACTTGCTCAGGATCAGGGCTATACATGCAAAGAAGAATTCTCAGAGCTAGAGCACCGTCTCCTGCCTTCCCACAGCAGAGGCAGAGTGTGTTTCTTCTGCAATCAAGGCATGCTTACGCTGCAAACAATGCAAACCCGAAGCAGTTACATACATTTATCAATGGCTGGGTGAAGTAGCATACCTCATATGCCGGGTTCACGCTGATCTCGACAACAGCTGTGGTGATGTCAGCATTTGTGCCGGTGGTGACATCAGCGACAGCCACCACTGTCGCATTAGCTCCGGCACTCGCGCCACGAACGGCAAAATCGCTGGGTTGGAAGCTGCATGCACACAATACTTGATTAGTCAACAAGTTTGTATTGTTGACGCACTCTGTCACACCTGCGAGGCAGCCCAACCTCCCTTCCTTGGCGCTCGCTCTGTCCTGTTCTCTGCAATTCTCCTGGCTTAGAAGATGTCAGCTACTGACGGCGCTTGCTCCGAGGGTGTTGGGAAGCACGCATGTGCATGTGCCTTAGTAACAATTGATTGCTTTTAGGCTTCAGCGGATTATTTTCAGATTCTGTCGAGCACTTCCACTTTAACTTGGACTGACACTATAAAAGAAATAAAGGGCTCTTGATCTACCTTAGGCTTTAGTGGATCATGATAATAAAAATCAGGCAGTTTCACTTCAATTGGGAGGAACCGTCTAAGCCTTGGGCTCTTGGGCACACAACATTCAGGAATGATTTGTTCAACAGCAATGTGAAACCCGCACCTGAGCGGCACGGATGTATTGCAGACGACAGCCACTGGCACGGTTGCCGCGTTAGTCACGGCCAGAGCGGAGCCATTACTAGAGTAGTAAGCCATCTGCAGCGCGTACATGCAGCAGGTACCCCTGTTCCGCACATAAAGATTCAAAAACAAGCTGAACACACGAATGTAACAGGCATCAGCCAAGAAGATGTCAGCTCAGAAAGAAACTTGGTGGTACCGCTATCTTTGCTTGGATCATGGATCGAGAAATTTCATTAAAGGAGCAGATGCTCAAATTCCAGACACTCACAACCATGCAAGCTGAGAAGCATGACGGGGACTAGTCATTCCCAGGCATCGTGGTTCGACGCATCACCTACGGCCGGGAGAGCCGACATCCTTCACTCCATAGGGGCTTGGAGGCGGCGGTGGCGCCTCCGCAGCTTGGGGCTTCACAATGAGTGAGCTGTAAGCTGGCGGTGGCGGGGGTGGATAAGTCGGCGGCGGGGGGCTCGGCGGTGGCGGCGAGGGAGGTGGGGGGCTCGGCGGTGGGGGACTGTACACTGGCGGTGGCGGGGGTGGATATGTCGGTGGTGGGGGGCTGGGGGGCGGCGGTGATGGGGGCGGGGGGCTCGGCGGTGGTGGGCTGTACACTGGTGGTGGCGGGGGTGGATATGTCGGCGGCGGTGGACTTGGCGGCGGTGGTGATGGGGGGCTCGGTGGTGGCGGAGAGGGGGGCGGCGGGGGGCTCGGCGGTGGCGGCGATGGGGGAAGGGGGCTCGGCGGTGGTGGGCTGTACACCGGCGGTGGCGGGGGTGGGTATGTCGGTGGTGGGGGGCTGGGAGGGGGCGGCGATGGGGGTGGCGAAGGTGGTGGCGGAGAGGGGGGACTGGGCGGCGGCGGTGAGGGCGGGGGGCTCGGCGGAGGCGGGCTCGGTGGAGGCGGTGGGCTTGGCGGTGGCGGAGGGGGGCTTGCCGGTGGTGGGCTCGGCGGCGGGGGGTTTGGCGGTGGGCTTGGTAGTGGTGGGCTCGGCGGCGGGGGTACCTGTAGCACATGCATCTTTTGACTGACTTCGCTAACCTCATCACCTGGCTTCTGTTTCTCGCAAGTTTAATTTCAGGATTGAATTCTAACACAAACAACACATGTCAATCTGGTAGCCAGCAACAAAGATCCTGCATGAAATGACAAGCATGCTTCCGCTTTCATAAGGAGCGGTGGTACTGAAGGTGTACCGGTGGAGGGCTGGGCGGAGGGGGGCTCGGCGGTGGCGGGCTGGGGGGCGGCGGGGAGGGGACCACGATGCCACAAGACTCGGTGCGGAAGGCGCAGCCGTCCAGAGGCGCGCAGCAGTCGCCGCTGCCGCCAAAGAGGCCGCAGCAGGACGTGCAGGCGTACTCTATCTGATATTCCTCTCCCGGGTTGACCTGCGAGGCAAACCCCACTTCTTTTCAAGCCACTTGCTGCCCTGTGATCATGCCCTCGATACAGAAGCAGTAAGCCAGATGTCGGAAATGAAGCTTCGACGCATGCAGGTTGGCATGGCAAAATCCCTTGCGTGCCTTGATGATGGAGCTACTTGAGAGTCACTCTTGGGCAGGCACAGGAACATTGACACTGCTTAATGTGGAGGAGGCACTCAGCTTTTCTAGCATCTCTGCACATCACCAGCTCCGTTACATTTATACAGGAAGAAACTATTTCTTGGCAGAAGATTCAGGGCTGCTCACCGGGGCGGCAATTTGGGTGACGCTCTTGACAGGGATGACCCACAGCTGGAAGACGTTGTTGACATCGTTGGGGCCCGAGGCAAACTGCACGCTCAGCGGCAGCAGGCCGGCAGGGAGGTAGGGAACGTCGTGGCAGACCAGCGTCGCGTCATAATTGCCGGCGGAGGACGTCTGCAGGCTCGCGCCGTTGAGCGTCACCTCCGCGTGGCCGCTGTACCGAGCGCACACCCTGCGCGACGATGAGTCATGGGTTAGTCATGTCCTGATATTTAGTATTGGGTGAGTCAGTGGGTCGCCTGACTTGGCAGAAGGTGTGCCGGCACATGCGCGCATGCGCCTGTCCGGGTCTCTGTCCAACTCTGCAGACCGTTACTTGAAAATTCCTTTAGATTGTGCTCAGGAACCAAAGACGCTGTTTGTTTGCCATGCTGCAGCGTCAAGTCAACCCCTACATTCACAGGTCAACAAGATAACTTTCTACAGGAGCAACAGGAGCATCCTGTGTTGCTAGGCACAAGGTGTCTGTCACAAGGTTTCTTCATCCTCTTTGGGAAAAAACTTCTTAGGCTAAATGCAGCAGGTCGTTTGCAGCAGCCAGCAGCTTGTGATCATGGATACCATCGAGGTGTGCTGTGCCAGTGATACCTGAAACGATTGGCATAGGCTGAGGTGTCAAGGCCTGCTGAGCTGGATGTGATGCCAGCTGTCGCTGCCACCTGGACATACCCCTCCAGCTGCATTCCGTAGCACTTGCTATATTTCCCCGCGTCTAGGGGAGGCGACCCAGGGAACACACCCCCATACGCCTGCACAACAAATCATTTTGGAGCCTGGCCACAAGATTGTCATGACTTGCCTTTTCTGCCAATAAGCAATTGGGCTGCAGTGAAAGGCATGCATGTCTCAGCAGGACTGTTTATTCTTCCTGCTACACTGAAGGGATGATCCAGTCAATGGGGACCTCATTGGAATGCGAAAGGTACAGTAGTGTGAATTGGAGCAATCGTGTGCCAGTGCTGGGGAGGGATGCGGTCCCCCCACCTTCATGAGGGAGGGGTCCTGGCATCGCTGCGGCAGGGAGGGGTCCGCCTGCAGTCCCCCAAAGTCCGGCAGGCCATACGGCTTGCTGCTGCTCGAGTTGCAGTCCGCTCCGTAGGCGTCCGGGTATATTGTAGCCTGCCCAGCCATACACGCCAAGACTCTCCATCAAAATGTGAGCAAGCAACGCTTGCAATAGATTAGACAGCAGTGACAACCTGTACTGCAGGTAAAACATCAGTGGCTGCACAATTTCTTTCCAGGGGCCACCTTCTCCGAGCCTCACTGTACCAAATTGCACAGGTGTGAATTTGCAACAGTCTGTTGCACACGCCCACAAGGACGCAAAATTTGATGACAGGTGCATTCTTCAGACAGTTTGAACAACCATGTGAGGCTTGCATGTGCACCTTGAGCCCGTAGAGAAGCTGCCCGCCGCTGAGCTGGTCGGAGGAGGCCTGCCCGGTCGAGCAGGTCCCCCCGCCCACACTCTGCACCAGAATCTGCCCAGGCGCCGCCTTCACATTCTGAGAGGTCCCTGTAATGACGTCCCATTCTCAGAAGTCGGCGGGCTTTGATCTTGAAGAACAAGGCTTAACAGAGGGTGACTCTGTCAAGTTCATTGCATCTATTCTGTGGTCTTTGCGTTTTGATCTGTCCTATCTGAGCACTGCTGAGTGAGTAGGGCCGAGACGGGGTGTCACTTACTAAGCAGAACATTTGAAATGCTGACAGGTGGGTTTCTGGGACATAGTGATGCACCATGCTCCAGAGGTGCAGCCAAGAAAGAACTTACCTGCTCCGAGGCTGCAGGCAGGAGCTCGGCTGATGAGGCATGCACTTTTAGGCCCGCTGCAGTGCACTTGGGTGGAGCCACTGCCAGCTTTCAGGAAGCTGACTGCCCAAGAAGATGGCCCTGTCCCTGGCTGGCTGCCTGTGATATTCACTTGCAGGTAGATGTGCAAGCCATCATCCAACCATTGCACCTGTTGCAAGGCAGAGGCACTATAATCTCAAAGGCAGTACCGAAGAGTCCTTTAGCCGCTGTGTTGAGTTGTCCTTCTTTGAATTGTCGATATGCAGGTCCAATAAATATTGCCCCGGTGCACCCAAATCATGTGGCATCGGTCGTATCAAAGTGATGCCAGGTGTGAGGCATACCTTGCACCCTTGCGTCACAGATCCTCCATAGACGTCCAGGCTCCTGCCTTGCCTGCCTCCCAGGCTGACCGATTGGCAGCCATCCACTGAGAACTCTGACGCCTTGGCAGAAGGACGCCCAAACCATCTCGATTTTACTGCACAGGCGCAAACATACTCTACCTCGAGCTGATCAAAGGTCTTACTTTACCAGGCAAAAACCTAGGCGTGAAGCATCAACAAAATCTATTCCTGCAGAAAGTGTACGACAGTCAAAGTGCACGGTCAGCCCCGAAACCATCGTCTGAGTTAGAGACCTGAACAGCGATCGCACCTACTGCAGTTTTCAAAGACGCTCCCGAGATGATCTGCCCTCGAATTTGCTCCCTCCTGGTGGAGGTGGTACACAAGCTGTAGTCCGGGAACACCCTCCCATCGATTATGTTGGCAGCGGCCACGAGCAGTGCCGTGGATTGGTCCGCTGAAGCGACCTATAAATATGGCGTGTCATTTAATTTCTGCCAAGTGCAGGGATTGAAGCACCCAAAGCCCGGACCATGTGTTGTCCGTTGATCTTACTATATGTAACGCGGCATGCACAAGGACGGAGCTTGACCCAGCACAGCAGCGACCTGCATTGTATGGGTGCAAATAATCTTAATATAGTTTACCTTTAGAAGAGCCGATATGGCAATCACAATACTCAGGGATGCCGAGGTGTGGCACCACATCTGTTCCACCCGGCCTCTGCTAGAGACGCACTCGAGGTTTTCTGGTATGCGTCATAAGTGTATGGTTTTGTTGCAAGAGAATGGACGTTCAAGGGGCCTCTGTCAGTAGACTAGCTCAATTCGTGGCTTTGTGTCCTGGCAGCGCAGTCTTGAACAAGTTCACGATGGCACGTGACGTCCACCCAAATCACGTGCCACAAAGGTGAATGCGGCACAACCTGTCACCCATGCACCCATGCAACCTGTCATCCATGTCCTCTGCAATGCTGCTATCACGAGAAAACACACGGATATGCTATGTGACCTCAATAAATCCATGCTGTAATAACGTTGACGTCATGACCAACTTGATCAAGTTATCACAGCAATTTGCATTCTGCCTTCTCGAGATCTCAGCTACATAGGGTGCCCCAACTGGAGGTCATCTGGCTACTAACGACCAGAGAGTTACGTATTCAATATTATTTTGTGTCCCAATGATCAGGGCTGGAAGAGGGAGTAAACACGCTGCATGCGGTGGCAGGTCTCAATCTTGGCCCTGGGCGGGTTTGGGGCAACCAGCTCTAACAAATCTGCGCGCAGATTCGGCCACTCTGATTGCACTGTCAATCCCACTATGCCCAGCCCGGATGTGTGCCTCCTGTAGAGTGCTCGAGTTTCCCAGTACACCCTGAGTAAGCAGCAAATCCCGTCAGGGATCATGCCTAAATTCATGTCCAAGTCTGCATAAAAACATGTGCTGCAATGCAGCCAACACATCTGCTAGTGCCAGGTTGCGCATGAAAGAGAAGACACCATCCTGCAATTGTTAAGTAGCCAAATGCAGACATGCCACAATCCGAAGGACAATGCAAATGGGCAAATCTACTAAAATTTAATCGCCTGTGGCTGGTAGTCAACCAGACCTGAACTGGCCCCAGGCCCCTGCTATCAACAGTTTGAACCCATTGACAAGCAGTGAATATGATGACTAATGAGGGCCGAAACTTAGGAAATGTAAGGGTGCGCACCTGGCGACTCGCCAGACGACCTCGCCCTGCAGTTCTGGCGTTCCCTCCAGCGCCAGCTTGTGGATTGTGCGCTCAACTTCAACCATCGCCATCCTGACAGCATAGCATGCATGATTTAATTTCGGATGCCTTCTAGAAGCCAAACAAGGGAGAGGAGAGAGGTTGCATGCATGGCGGATGATGGGGATCACACTCATGGAAGCGGTCTCAGGTGGCCAGGACTGTGGTCAGGGCGGAAATTATGAGAGCTAGTAGGGAATTCAATCCATTCCTGGATCTGACAACCAGACCACGTGAATGACCCATCCTCACCGCTGCCATGATAACAAACCCAAAAGCCAGACAGTTGTGCCATAGGCGTCTGCGCTGCTCCAAAAACATGGCTACCCAGTTCACAAATAATGTGCCCCCGGTACTATAGAGACAGATACTTTACTCAAGGTATTGCCTTTCATGCAGGCAAGACCATGCTGAAGTCATCAATAGGAAGCTGAACAGGACCAAGGTACTCTCTGCACCTGGTGCCACAGAGCAAGCAGGAAGTCTTGTAGCCAGCAGTATTATTCCTGTTATCAATTTCGTTAATATTACTATTATTACACTCTTTTCCTGCCAAGAGGCAAGGTGCGTCCTGCAGACAAGTCGCAGCTAAAGGCTGACAAAAAAACCCCTTGTTGGACTAGAAAGATCCAAGCAAGACCCAATCAATATGGTCATGGTGCTCAGTTTTTATACCGCGCCCCGCCAGCCGGGGCCGGGGCCAGCCAGCAGTATAGAGCAAGTAGGAAATGGATTCACTGTAATACACAGTTGTTTTTATTTGAAGTCATCACTAGCCAGAATAAGCGCGCACCTGGCGGGAAGTTCCTTGCTGCGGGGGGCCGGGGGGCTCGGGGGTCAGCCACCGGAACAGCGCAAGGCAATCTGCTAATTTCATTCCCTGGACCCTACCTTGTTGAGTTCAAATTTGGACCATTCCTAGCCTGATAAATAAGGCACACCTGGCAGGGAGGGCCTCGCTGCGTCGGTCGGGAGGCGAGGGGGTGAGCCACCTGAAGAGGGCATAACAAGTCCCCCCGGCAATGAGCAGGGAGGGGACCGCGGCCACCACCGCCACCGTCAGCTCATTCGCGCGCAAAATCTGATCCAGTTCCAGCATCGCGCTCTCCGTGTCCAGCTTCAGCTTCTGCACCTGTTCTGAATTCAACCGCGATACTTACATAATGAAGAATGGTGTAATGATGTAAAGAGATGCTAGGGAACAGACCGATGCTTAGTGTTCAGTTTCAGCTTCTGCTCGCCTGTTTCAAGCGAGTTGCAGATTTGAAAAATGATATATGTACGAGGGGTCAACGTTGTTGGCTTCAATGTCCAGCTTCAAGGAATATTCCTGCTGCTGAGAAAGCAAGGTAATGAGAATCAAAGATGCAAGAACAGATATCTGCAGCTGGCTCTTTGAAGCGACATCGGTCTCTGTTGATATCTGTGAGCTCTCCAGGGTTGACACTGTCATCATTACTGCACATTAATCCAGTGCAGTCATGCCAATGATGACAACAACCAACCTCCTGGAGCTCACAAATTTTACTTTGTAAGACGACAGATTCATGATCATGTGGATATCGTATGTCTCACCCTCCTGCACACAAATGCAACTGTGCCATAATGATGACGGCATTATCCCAAAACTCTGCACTTTCCCGCTCGCCATCACTAAAAAGCGTTGCCCAGACTGCTCCTGGCAGAATGTTTCACTGCCAGTCTGCTGCGGAGAGAGTCTCATATGGTAATGTATCACTGGTCTTGCCTGGGTTTGGCGAGTCCATCAATGGACTGGTTCTCTGGCAGCCTTTCACTGCAGCTTGCCTGGAGATGCTTGCCTATTGGCAGGAACAACGTCTGCGCAACAAATGTACTTGATATGTAGTACATTTACTAGCGGATTTTGACAACCTACCTGTATGAGTATGGCACGCAGCAGCGAGCCGTTGACGATGTTGCGAATGGGCTTCTTCAGCTCATCCTCGTAGCAGCTCATCATGAACGCCATGCCCGGCAGCAATTCGTCGCCTTCATCACCCTTCCCCTCCCTGGCTTTCTCCCCTTCCGCCGTCGCGTTATTATCTCCCGCCCCCGCCCCCGCCCGCTCCAGCGCCGCCGAAATCTCCGGATCCACCTTCTTCTGTGCTCAGCAAATACCGCAATCTTCAGGAAATTCAAAACCATGCATAGGGGCCCTGGACCCTCTTTGCAACTTGATCGACAGGATCTCACATTTGAGGTCCCGTGAATAAAGATGCCATGGTGGCATATTACACGGTACAGCAGCAGGGCCCATGAATTTGCTTTGCCTATTTACTGGCCATCCATCCAGATCATCGTTTGATGCCCAAATGAATACAGTGCGGTACACGTGAAGGTGAAGCTATGACCCGGCATTAGTGTCATGTCTTTTGAACACAGTGGCATCTTCCCTGGACAGGTTCCAGTGCAATCACCCACTAACGCATGTACAGCGTCAGGATTGCACATTATTTCATGTGCGGTGATTTTTAAGCATGCAGAGAACCCAACGTGGAGGCCTTGCCAAAGTTGGCCTCAAAATCGCCCAGCAAAAAGACATGACATGCACAAGCTCCTGAGAAGACAGCTCACCCCATCTCTAACCAATAATATACATGCATCCCATCCCTGGAAATGATCTGAGGGACCCACCGTGGAGGCCTTGCCAAAGTCGGCCTCAAAGTCGCGCAGCATGCGTTCGAGCGAGGCCTTATCCGTCTCATACTCCCCCACGCTGACGATGCTGCGGCGCTGGCGGAAGGTGGCAAACAGCTCGTCCTTGAGCTGTAGCAGAGGCACGAGCACTCGGTCCCGGTACGCACTGGTTACGGACTCAGCCACGGAGCGCGCCCACATTTCCAAGTCGTCGCTGCCCGCCAGCGGGCTGTGCCTGCAGGCCGGCAACAGAGCACACCTCGCATGAAGCTTCTGGATCTGCCTGTGGTAAACTCTCACGGGGGGCTCAAGATTGGGAAGACGCATGCATCTGTGCATCAATACATGCACCAGCATGTGGCGCCGGTAAGCGTTCGCCTACCACATTGGGGGTCCCGAGCGGGTGATATGTCCTGTTGTCACAAAATCCTGGCCTCTGATGTAGGAAACTTTTTCTCTGGAACCCGCAGGGATAAACAGGTGTTTTGTAGCTAAGCCAAAGGCTTTCAGGGCCAAGCACATGAGTGTGCACTGGTATTCTTGACACCTTCAAAGCAGGAGACACATAAATTTATGCCCGGCACTCTGCTTGATCTACCAGATGCATACGCTGGAATGTGTGCCAAACTAACAAACGATCCTAGCAAAGGGCTCGCTCATCAAAGGAAACTGCAGCACCAGTAATTGATCTGGATAATCAGTGGAAGAGACCTGCAGCTATCACGCGAGCCATGCTTACGCTCACACCCTGGCGTTTGCATCTGGTGTAACAAGGAGTGCATGATCCTGAAGTTTGTTTTTGATCTCACGCACTATATTGTATACATTTGCAAAGAGAGGGGGAGCGCACAGGTAGAGGAAGCGAGCGCTCCAGAAGCAGGCGAGGCCGATGAAGGAGTAGCGGATCCAGTGCTGCTTGTACTTGGACGGCGCCGCCAGCCACTCCGGGATCCTGCACACCATGCCTCAAGAATAGTACACGGACACCATGCCATCTTATCCTGCACCTAGACGGCAGTCAATATGTTCTCCTAATTCCTCTTTTTTTTGGAGCTGGCAGGGTCTGCCCAGCTCCTTGCGTTTGACATCCGGATTGCCATCCTTCTGTCCTGCCCTGAACTTGACAAGGAGTCAGAGTGTGCCATGCTGATAAGAAGTATTTACACAGCCTCAGACAAGTGTATCCCTAGAGCCAATTTCTACTGCCCCTGAGCCCCGGGAGAGTACGTTTTGCTTCTTACATCTAATAAATTTTTCTGCACCCCGTACAAGTAATCTTATGGATGTGGACACCTGTCACAGCACTGTAATTTCTGCACTTAGTTCCCATAGAAAAACAAAGGCCACTGCGGCAGACATGCACAGAAGAGCACCTGATGATGCCATGGCGGCGGGACGATGCGCCCGCGGCAGCCGCCAGCGCAGCGTTTGCTGACGTGGACGATGTCGCGGATGACTCAAAGATGAGCACGGCGGCTGCTCGCTCCAGAGCTGTCTCAACCTCATCATCACACTCCTCTTTTGGAGATCCTGACGTCGCACTGTGCACCCACATGCAGTGAGAACCTCCATTGAAAGTTGCAGGCAGCAAGTGCAGAGAGCGCTAACATTCCAGATGTGGGAGTCTAATGCAGAGGGTCTTTCAGTGCTTTAGAGTGGCGTCTCTGTTTCTCCCACTTCCAGATCTTCAGGGCTTTCTGCAACTGCTGCCTTTGTGCCACCAGCAAAAGAAAAGAGACTCAGCAATACTTGCCACCCGATGATGTTACCCTGCAAAGGCTTATCTGCACGAGTGTACCCTACACTCCTGACCCAGCCATTAGTCACTGCATGACAAGTCAAGTTAAAGTCTTCTGTAGACCGCCACCGGCACCCACCTGCCGCCTTCCTCTGCGCCATAGTCCTTGCTCAGGAATTCAGCGCTGAACCCGGTGATGCGCTGCAGCTTTCGCGCCGCGCGCTCTGTGAGGGCCCGGGCCACGGCCGCGGCTTTGTGCATGAGCGTGGCGGCCGTCTCGGCGTGGGTTTCCTCCGGCGGGCAGGTCGTTAGCTCCTCGGCCGCTCTCCTTGCATTCTCCACTGCCTGTCTCCAGAAAAAGTTCAACGTTGATGACCGGTGGCGCTCTACTGTCCTCTATCAAGAAGGAGACTTGCCGCACACCCTGCTGTACATGTTGATGCATTGATGACAGGCAGGAGACCTTGACACGCAATGTCAGCGATGGTGGACCCTCCCTTCTGATATTTTGGGCTGGTTTGTAAGTACTGTAAATATGGCGTCTGTGGACTTGGCCCCGACACACGGCACTGGAAGAGCATGTCATAGCTGGGCATCTATTTCCAAAAGAATGCCGAACGGATTATATGCCGCATTGCATCACTGCATGTTATGGGCTGTTCAGGCAATTGATGGTGTGGAGAGGGTGCCTCACCGTTGACACGCTCAGCACGCAGTGCAGGGCGGCTTCGCGTGCGGCCGCCAACAGGCGAGCGCTCTCATCGGCCGCGGGGCCCCCGGGCCCCCCGGCTGCGCACGGCTGCGCGGCGGCCGCCGCGGCCGACAGCGAGCGCGCCGCCTCAGAGCCGGCCGCCAGATTCAGCTGGGCCGCGCCATTGTGCACCTTTGCTAGCGCCTCGCACAGCCGCCCGCGCAGCGCCCTCAGCAGTATCACCTGCAGCGTAATAATCTTTCCCTCAGAATCAGGACCACACTCAATGCAGCGCTAAAGTAGATCTGCTGCAGTGGAAGTGTCTAAAAGTTGCCCTCAGGCTTCCTCATACTGGCGCAGTGCAGAGGGAAGGATTGTTTCAACGGAGTACCTAGCAAGGGCAACAAAAGGCTCACCACGAGTCCGAAGAAGATGCATGCCAAGTGCTTGCTGTGTATGACGGTGTGCTACCTTCCCTCGGCAACACAGCACCCTCACACTTCCTCACAGCCTAACAGGCCTTCATGTCTTCGCAGCAATACCAAGAGAGCACTCACCCGCCGCTCTATCTGGTCGGTGGCATTCGGCTGCTTCAGGGCCCCAAGGCGGCGCCGTGGATGGCCTCGCAGAAAGTCCACGCAGTCCAGCACGAAGGATGTCGGCCCCTGGCCCAGCAGGAGGAAGCTGCGGTGCGCGCCGCCCTTCAGCCGCGCCGACCAGAAGCTCAGACTGCCGTCCGCTGCGTCCACATCGTGCAGCAGCCTGCACAAGAATTAGAACTCGGAAACCAAATCAAATTTGGCGCCGCGTCCACTTGCGTCGGAATAATTGGAATCACCGAAACCATAGTATTGATTTAGTAGCTCCTGTTGAACCAGTAGCTCTGCAGTGCATCTGGCAGCGCCAGGATTGCCATACTTGGGGAGCTGGGCAGATGCCTGTACTCGAAGGTTCCCCTTTGGCCAAGAACTACTTGTAGACAGGCAGGCAAAGTTTGTCCTCACTTCTGAACTGAAGATGGAAAGAAAAAGGGGACAGTGATACGTGTTATGATGGGATCTCCTGCAGCTGTGAATGTGGATGTTGATGCTTGGTAGAAATGGGACCTTTTGGAGAACTGCTATACATCAGCTATGCTCCGTTCAGAAAGTCCAGGCACCTGATGAGTCAGATAGCATGAGTACAAATACATTACTTTAATTCTGAGGGTGGTGATGGCAGACCTGTCTGATGCGATCTGGGCGAGCTGCAGGGATGTCAGCCATTGCACGGCAACAAATTCATCCTGCAATCAGGAGAGATGGTGACTTAAATAAGAATGATCTTGAAAGCACTGCAGGAGAGAGTGTTGAGGGAATTGTCACAGGCATCGGCATGCTATTCAAAGTACAGCTGTCCTGCAAGGATGCGCAGATTACCTGATCTGTTTCGATAACCTGTCGGAGCGCGAACAGCAACCCAGACGCGCGTTCACCGCTCAGGCCACCAACTGGGAGCACATCCGGCACTGATGTTGCTGCTGTTATTACTCGATATGTCCTGCTCAAAACGCGGATGGGGAAGAACAGGACCTTCTTGACCAATCTCGTAATCATCTTGCCTTCTACATTCTCTTAGGACGTGGTGTCAGGAGGGATGCTCATCCTGACATCATTGCAATCTTCAGATGAGGACTTTCCTCAACAGCGCTGATGAGTGTTCAACTGCACACATAAATGGAGTATTAACGGAGTCCATGTATCAAGTTGTCTTGTTGATCTTCAGGTCAAGATCAGTTCAGTTTGCGCCTTCAGGAGAAAGCCCAACGTAACGCTGACTCACTGTCTCGGGATCCTGTCTCGAGAGTCTTTCCGAAACCGTCTTAAAAGCAAAACCGCAAACTTGCCTCAGGAGCGTCGTCGGTCACACAAAGATATCGGATTCCGAGAAAGCATCTTTCAGTCTCATCAGAATCCAGAGAGCCTAGCAAGATGCCGGGGCACCACTTCAAGGTCTCGGCTGTGCTGCCCATTGCAGCTTCTGACTACTTCATCGAGCGTGACAGCGCCGCCTTTCGATCCCTCATTTCAAAGGTGAAGTCAGCATCGAAGTACCTATCTCTCCGAGAGATTTCCTTGCTGCTTGTCTGGCACTATCTGCATTGCCTTGGACATTTTACGTAAGTCGTGTCTATCTGGGACGAGCGCGATCTTGAAATTTTCCTGTGATTATTATCCTGTGAAAGAAGCACAAGATAGTACTATGGAAGATAAATTGCGTGCGGCAGCTGATCGTATGATAAGACGATTGCCACACCGACCAAAGATGTGTTTGGTCACAGAGCATGAAGGTAGGATCACTCGATATCGTGGACGGCTGGATGGAGGGGGAGGCGGAGGTCTACAAGTTCGTGACGATGCTGGAGGTGGATAAGTACGTGCCGAAGGGCTTCCAGAGGCACTTCGCCAAGCAGGGCCTGCAGTACACCGACATCATCACCTACGACCCCAAGCTCATTGCCTGCCCGCCCTACCGCCTGCCCGTCAAGAGCATCGCTCCAATCCTCCCAGATAAGGTATGCAAATGCCTTTCCTATTCTTTTACTGAGTGACTGTGCAGACTCCTGCCCTTCAATCCTAGGCACCATACTGAAAGCAGGGCAGAGCCCAATGTTTCAGGACGGCCTGAAGATGTCGGTGTTGAAGGCACCCATGGAATCTATCTCTACTATCTCAAGCACCAAGCTGCCACTGTCACTGATCACTTCCTCAAGCGCTATTTGTCGAAGATGTCCGGGTGATCTGTGCAGTTGCGCAATAAGGGTCACTAAGCACCCTCAAAGCAGTGGGCTGCTGAAGGGGTTGCAGCGGTGCATGCAGTCGCACATGTAGTGTTGCAAGACACCCTCATAAGATTGGTCTGCCGAGGATGCTGGGGTGGTATGTGCAGCCGCGCATAAACTGTCAATTACTGCGAAGCACCGCTTGCAAAGTGGTCTGTTGAAGATGAGATTGTGGTGGGTGCAGTCGCGCATCGAGTGCGTGCTCACGATAGAGGACGAGCAGCCCGGTGTGAGCTGCCGCCAGACGCTGGAAGGCGAGGTGGAGTTCAAGCTGTTGGGGTTGGGGCACCTGGCACAGCGAATCGTGGTTGACAACCTGGAGAAGGTGTACCAGGGGATGCCCCTGGTCGTGCAGAGGTGATTCTTGTAGTGCATTTTTCCTGGCCCCATGCATGGCTGCTTGTGTCTTGTTTTGCATTGTAGTTGACGACCTGGAGAAGGTGCATCAGGGAATGCCCCTGGTTGTGCAGAGGTGATTCTTGTACTGCAATTTTCCTAGTCTCCACCCCATGCATGACTCCTTGTCTTTTGTTTCGCATCTTGGTTGACAACCTGAAGAAGGTGCATCAGGGGATGCCCCTGGTTGTGCAGAGGTGATTCTTGTAGTGCAATTTTCCTAGTCTCCACCCCATGCATGACTGCTTGTCTTTTGTTTCGCATCTTGGTGGGCAATCTGGAGAAGGTGGATCAGGGCATGCCCCTGGTCGTGCAGAGGTACTTTCTGGCCTTGCCAGAAAGTAACTCTTTCTTTTTCTAGTCTCTACCCCATGCATGATTGCCTTTCTCTTATTCTGCGTCGTGCATGAATCTCATGCATGAGTCTCCCTAAGTAGAATCTCTCTGGAGAAGGTGTATCAGAAGGTGTAGATGTAATCAGGGGACGCCCCTGGTTGTGCAGAGGTACTTTCTGGCAATCTTACTCTCCCAGCTCATGATCCCATTCATAACTGGTTTCCTTTTGTTATTTCTGGCACATCTTAGCACTGGAACAAGTGTGGGAGTCTACTCGGTCACAATAATATGGTGCATGGCTGTCAAGGGATTGGAAACATGCAGGTGCCTTAGTACATACAATGCTGCATCACCCCAACTCAGGGACCTTAGGGTGCTGCATGGCATATTTCTGCACTGGAAACATGCAGATGCCCTTCTGCTTCACAAGCTACATCAGCCCAACTCAGTTGCAGGACCATCTGCAGAGAAGTGGAGAGGAGAAGAAGAAGAAGAAGACCGGATTTTGATTGGTGGCTTGTAGGTGGGTGGACTTCAGGAACGAGGTGTTGCAGCACGAGGGCGGCAGGGACATTCTGGTCTCTGGCCGTCCGGACAACCATGGCATCGGGTGGATTAGTAACCGCATCACTGCGATGGTGCAGGTGCGTAGCGGGGTGTGTTGTTATGTCCTTTGCATGTGCTTTAAGGGTGACAAAATGCACTCTGAGAACAAGAATTTAGCCTGGGCTGGATCTGACTGGCCTCCAAATGGTGGGTTGGGGAAATGAGGGCCCAGCTGGGGGGGTTCCTCGTTCTTAGAGTGACATTGGTTGTCCTGTATGCTCTCACCAGGGTGTAACAAACAGCCAAGTATGGATGTCCGCACATCTTGAACTGACAGTGGTGAACATGCACTGATCAACGTTGGGCGGAAGACTGGCATGTCAACTTTGTGCCGCAAACCAACTTGGAAGGCAGGCACTTGCTCAATACTTTTTCTAATTATAATTTAAAAAATTATAATGGTGTAATTGCCATGCAGGCACCTTACAGCACGCAGCAGTTGGAGGAAGCTGCCCAGCCGGGCAGTTCAGCTGCCCAGGTGGCCCTTCCAGCTGGCATAGCTGCCGTGCCTGATCAGGCAATGTCCAGTCAGTCTGGACAGTTGCAGCCCAGCACAGCGGCGACTGAGGCAGGAAGCTATGGGGAAGCTGCTCAGACGTCGGAAACTGCAACAGCAGGTGGACAGCAAGAAGGAGGGGAGGACGATGTCTACTATGATGCTCTAGACGGTACGCAGCATCAGAGGTTTGATATTTAGAAAGATTTACATAGGGCAAACAGGCTCTGGCAAAGCAAGCTGCACTCTGTTGTACACTGTGTGATCTGGCTAATCCAGAGATTGATTTGCTTCTTCTGGGTGTCCGCTGCCTCTGGCAGGGCATGGGCAGCAGTGATGCACTCTGATCATGCATACTCATTGTGCGCTAATCGTGTGCCCCAATCATGTGCCTATACTTCTTCAAATGCAATGTGCGTGCCGATGTGACTATAAAGCAGATTCTTAGCAAAGTTTTGTACTATGCAATTTCTGTGTTGATGATGAGAGTGCAATATGCATGCAGACTGGGCCTGGGCAGATGAAGAGGCCATGTTGGACAGCTGCGCAGCCACACAGGCAGCTGTGAGGACGGACCACGCGGCGGCTGCTGTGTGGATCCGGCAAGCCTCGCAGAAGAGTATCGAGAATGCACGCATTGACATCACAGCCGCAGCTGACACCAACCACACACCAAGCGCTCCCGGCGATACCCATCCAGGTATGTTTTGCAGTATTTGTACCGCCCCGGCTGGCGGGGGCGGGTACAAATACTGAGCACCGTGCCCACGTTTGAGTGGGTCTTGCTTGGATCTGGCGAGTCCAACAAGGGGTAGGATTGTGGCAGCCTTAAAATTGCAACTTGTCTGCAGGACGTACCTTGCCTTTTGGCAGGAAAAGCGTGTAATAATTATTAATAATAATACCGTTCTGCGCATGGTCTTGTGCTTTTATTAGCCCAGAAATGGAGTGTGTGCGTTGTTTTCCTGCTGTACTCCCTGAGGGGCAATGGGCCATTGATCCAGGACTTAGGCACAGAGCAACACAGACTGCGACGGTGCATGCATCTACCATTGGTAGAGAAAGCGTCAAGGAAGAGAAGGGTGGAAGGGAATCATTGAGAGTTGCTGAGCAGATTTGATGATCAATGAACACATGTGCACAATGATCGTTAGTGCTCCTGAGCCGGGATATGTTTGCATTTTTATGCATTCCTATTTAGTAATTACAAATTTTATAAACTACAGTATATCAACAGTATTTACACAGCGAGGCAGCCCTCCTCCCCTATTTTGGCGCTCGCACTGACTTTCATGTATGCAATCCCTTCTGGGTTAATGTGTGCGGTGTGCAGATGGGATGCACAAGCACCGCAGCGCCATTGGCAGGCGCTTCTCCAAGACATTCCACAAGAACCAGGCTGCCTGGGACAATTTCTGGGATCAGCACCAGGTGACTAATCTACCCCACAACACACCCTCACTCCTTGCTTCACATCACCTGCCAGTCCCTGCATGCAGTCACCGTCTGGACACCTGTCTACATTCTCCCCGCCGTATTTTCTGACACAGGCCAAATCTATGTAAAAGAATTTATTCGTTGATCCTGCTTGCAGGTCCCTGTGCTGCATGCAATGCCCAATTTGGCTGCCCGCCTGTCACACCTTCTTCGCATGGCCATAGGTACGCCCTCGCAGATCTTTTTATTCTATGTGTATCTCTGCCACTCTGTAAAAGGACACTGTTCCGTGCATTGAGAAACACTATTGCTTGGGTCTGTACTGCAGCGTTTTATACAGGGCACACTTCTGTGCTGCGACTCACAGTGTGGCCATAAACTGCCTTGCTGCAGCTGTTGGCCCCTTTCCTGTTCTGTGTTCTGCTTAGAGCAACGTTTGAAGTGCACAGCAATCAGATAAGGAGGCGCTTTGAGGGCGTCAGAGTGTCATGGCTTACAGGACGGAGGCATTGACTCTTTTTGGGCCAGGAGACTATTGATGTGCAACTCGCACTGTACTGCAAAGACTGTGGAGCCTCCCTGCACGGCTGCAAGCTATTTGTTTGCAGCAGCTCACCAGTGCAACCCTGGCCTCATCACTATCTGTGCTGGTCTTAAGCTTGTCGGGTACAGTCTACTGTTCTGGTGCTATACCGTTGCGACCATGTTTGACTGTCTCCTGCGCAAGAATGGTGCAAGCCTGGCAGCTTAATTTAAGCAAGGCTCGGGTTGCACATCCAATACGCCATTTCAAGTGTTGACTGGAGACAGTTGAGTAACCGCATGCGACCGTCTTGATTTGCAGCGTGGGGCCTCGTCAGTGACCGCAGCTCATCTCCATCCTCTCCTGGCGCCGGAAGCTCTGGTGATCTGGGCAGGTCCAGCCAATGATCACCGGGTGCAGAATCTGAGGTGTGGCCAATATTGTGTTTGACCTGCAGCTAAGTCACCTTGCCCAGAGTTTCAGGCTTAACTTGCGCATTCAAAGGCTGCACAAGGACGGGCCAAAAAAGTGGTGTCAGTGGGTGGTGTGCACTTGTTCCACATGTGTGATTTGTCCCATGCATGGCAATCGTGGGGGGTCACCGCTGTCTGATGGCTCTGCCCCGTCCTGCCAGAGATACTGCATCTCTTGAGCTCTCCCAAAACGCTGCATATCAGGGTGTGAGGGGTTATTTAACACCACTAAGAGTGGTCTTCAGTACCCCCTGATGGAGCTAGGACAAGGGCACTTTTAGCAATTGCGTGCATCACTAACAGATGCGTGGAGCCAGAAACAGGTGCATGGGCATTTCACTGGCGCTGACTGTGCCTGGATTAATCTGTTGAGCAGGGCAGGCATGCAGAGTGGAGGCCTGGTGCTGTGCTGTGGCTTCGGCGCAGCATCGGCCGCGCCGGGAGTGCCGCAGCCATGCGCGTTGGGCAGTTGATCAAGCAGTGCAGCAGCCTGGGGGCGCATGGGGAGGAGAAGTAGACTCACTAAGGTGTCACTAAGTGTTACTAGGTGTTATATGGCTGCTTGGAGGAGCGGTGAGACACTGGGTGCAGGCTTGAACTTGCCATGTCACCATGTTCCTGTGGCAGCTGTTTTCGCATCGTGATGATGGTTCCCGGACTCCTTCGGAAGGCTCGAGCTGGATCCAAGACGTAATGTTTTCTTGCAAGCGGGAAGGAACATTGCAAAGCTAACGAGGCGGTCAAGCCAGTCAAAGCGTCATTGCCGCTGCCCATACAGGCATTGCAGAGCACCAATGGCCGCGAATGCTTTGTGTGAAGCTCAGCTAGCAGGCTCTATGTGACAGATTACCATCTAATACCAAGTGGTTGTTTGGGGGGGCCTGCCCCCCACACTCAGTAAATGCTGGGCTCCCTGGTAGCCAATCACCACTTACGATTTGGGTTCCTGTTGCTCTCCAAGGATCTAAAGCGGCTTTAGTAGGGCCCCAGTACAATTCTGTATCTGAGTGGAATTCGTTGCATATATATGCATCATTGGATCGGGTTCCGGCTGCAGACGGACATGTGTATGCCCTATGGCCCCCTGGGCTCTGGGTTTGCCACTCATAAAGATTATTATCATTATTATTGGATGTCCAGTGTATCCTGTGCAACATGATCCTGAACATCGTGTCCGAGGATCCAATGAAAACAATTGGCAGGAGACTCATGAAGCTACCCATGACCTCTTTCGAGTTTTTGGAGAACTCTACAGTGCAAGTGCCACAGTGGTTGCTATACGGCCCACCACAGTCTCCTGGGTTTTTTTTATCAATGCATGCAGGGCCACATGGCACGTGCCAAACTCGCCTATGAGGCCTTGCAAAGATTAGCTGCACAGTGGGCAACCGCTACAGGTGTCCAAGGTAAGGAAGGAAGGAAGGAAGATTACATCAACAGGTAATGTTTGGCCCGGGCATGCGAAACTTTACGGGGGGTAACCCGTGATTCTGACGGCAAGGAGTCATATGTGGGCCGTTTCCGGCGAAAAGCCAAATCAGCAGCTGCATAAAGTCTGCCCACCACCCGTCTTCGATAATGATGCAGTATCGCCATTTTCGATGATGTGGCGACAAGGGTCGATGCTGTATCTAAAAGTGCAGCGCCAGAGCGGCCCCGGCCTTTGATAATCGCATGTGCCGACAAGATTCCACGACCGTGCGATCACTGGGAGCACTTCGAGGACTGAGAATGGTTGTGGGAGGTCGCTTGCGGAGATTGCAGGCGCGGTTTGGGCGCTGAGGATGCTGCTTCGGCCCAGTGCTCCTTTTGGTGCACCATGGCACGAAAGAGAGTCTGCGCGCTTCTGATCGCGCTGCTTGCGGCTTGCCTCTGCTCAGAAGTACTCAGTCAAGGTATATACTCGTTTTAGAGAACTTTCCCCGCCTTGCACCGCTTCCCACGCTGAAGTCTGGATGGTGTTTAGAATGATGTGACCGATGGTTGCTGGGTGGAGACTCGTGCTTTGCCTCTCTGAGATGTTGTTCTTCAGGCACTTTTTGTGTGTGCGAGCCTGCCATTGGCACATCCAGTCCTCAAAATAGAGTTGGCAGCGACCTCAACGCACCTTGGTCTCTTCCTAGCCTAGCACAAAATGCTTTCAGAAAAGTCTGCTTAGACTCGTTCACACCATTGGCTTAGTCCTGTGCTTGTCATTTCTCACACACTCGGTCGCTTGACGATGAGCGGGTTTATCAAACAGGGCAGCTGCAGCTACGTTCAGTCATTTCGCTCTGACCAGATGTCATGTCTGCTTCAGCTTTAAACGAGCGACATGCTCGAAATCTTGCTGAGGGATGACCACGAAATGCACTCGTGTGGAAAAGATCAGGAACTCTGCTGCCAGTATTTCTGGTGTGTGGGAGCGTGTGAGCTGGACTGGAAGGTCTAAGTCTTGTCAGCTCTTGGCCGGCGTGGGCTGGCAGGCATCTTGATGGGAGGTGGAATATCCAAATGCTCCTGTGAAAGGGGCCGTAAGATCCTGAATGGGAAAGGGGATTGCAATACCTGAGTTTCCCTGGTGTTGCATCAGGTGGACTGCGGATTGCTGGGAGCGGTGGAGCAGTTGGAGAGCTTGCTATTCCCATTATTCTGGCCAATGCCACGGCCGTGTTGACACCCAAATATGGACAATTTGATGTGTCCTACCAGTCAGTGGACAGGTGACGGCCTTGCCTGTTTCCAGCCACAAAACAATTTTGCTCCACCAGCCCATGGCAAGCATGCACTTCCCAAGGAAGCAGTCCGTTGTCAGTTGGCAGCTGTCAACAGCTGTAAGCCATCGGGACCATCTGCATAGCGCAAGCCGTTGCAGTGCAAGAGAGCTTGCGATGTTGTCTGGGAACCTAGTGTCTAATTGAGCGCAGCAGCCCAATTCTTGCATGCATGGAGTCTTGCCGTACTGACATGTGCTATTATTGCCTTCTGCAGCCCTCAGGACGTCAAAAATGTCCTGTCGGGAGCGGATGACTTTGCACTGTCCTACATCCCACTCACGGCCCAAGCTTACAAGTCAGCCGGCAGGTGCGCAATGTTCTATATGGCCCTTTTAATCGGCCCCTGTCCATATTTATTATGGATGGTTTCTACGGGGAAAACATGTATGTCAACAAAATACATTCAGGGCAGTAGGCCAGATGGACATGTGAAGTCCCTGGCTCTGCTGAAGGCATATTTCCTCATGACTGGTCTCGTGAATCATCTTTGGCCTCCAGACTCGTTTGGTGATGTTGTGCCTTGTCTGCAGGGTGCTGTTGCAAATACCCTGGGCCATCAGCAATATGGCAATGATCATCAACGTCCCAGGTGGGGACCAATTTGCTGCATTTGCTGTGCTTTGCAATCTGCCGTCACAGTGAACTGGTCTTATGGGTCCAGATAGTTGCTCTCCGTCAGTCCCCGTTGGGATCAACCTCACGGGAGATTCCTTGTTTGCTGTTGCAAGTATCTTTCCGATTATCCCACGCTCCGAGGATGCCAAGTAGTAGCAAATGGTCAAAGCTGTAGGTGCTGCAATGATCTTCTCGCCCCTTGAGGACCTAGAGACCTGCGGGGGGCATGTACATATTTGAATGCATGCAACGGGGATCTATGGAACACCTGAAATGGAGGTCCTTGCACAAACAGCAATTGAGGAAAGCAAATAATTAACAGTGCTTGAGAATTCGCTATGCATGATGCAGGTGTGGGCACCGGGCAACTCCGACTGAATGCAAAGCTGCTGGGGAGCATCTACCAATGCAGCATCACCAATTGGAATGACCCCGCCATTGCCATGATCAACCCAGGCATCACGTGCGTGGCGTTCTCATGCCTTCACTGTTGGCTCAGTGTCAATTTATCTGTAATATCTCTTTGTGTTGTGCCTTGCTTCACAATAGCCTCCGTGGCTGTGGTGTTGGCTTGGCTTGAAAGTTGAGGGGTCTAAAGCAAGGTGGTCACATGTGAAAAGGTTTGCATCATTGGACAGTCTGCTCTGAGGGGTTTTCTCCTCAGATGGCCATATATGGAACACAGCCCTAACTCTTGCTCCGTAGTGAGCATGTCGGATGTTCCAACAAAAAGCTCTATCGCCTAAAGATTGGCATCCGTCTTGAAATGTTATCCCTGTGCTCGCAGGTTGCCGGACTTGAAGATTGTCCCGGGGGCGTTCTCATCCAACAAGGCAACGACGCAGATATTCACGGCATACCTGGCGACTGCGCCTGGCTGGAAATTGGGAGTGGGCATTCAGCTGCCCTGGACTCGCTGCGTGCAGCATGTGCTCACTCCTGACAACATGCTTGAAGCCGTCTCCAAGGCTCCAGGAGCCATCAGGTGCGGCCGGGCATTGCGCTTTTAATATGATCTCTTTTGAACTTGCTGCATGTGACTCTCGTTACGTGACTCACCCTGTCCTGCCACTATTGATGCATATCTTTGCATGGCTACCATCCACTGAGAAGAGGCTTGGTGCATTCTGCCCATGTGGTTGCCATAAACTGAAAGGAGGTAGTGTACATTCCGCCCGGCATTTTCTGATTATCAGAACAATTGAGGCAAGGACAACCCCAGAGTCCTTGTCACATAGCTTGTACTCTTAATATCTGCTGAAGAGCAGGAGGGTGTGGCTGAAGAGTTGGTGTGTGCAGCTATATTGGCGCCTGGCGGGTGAATGCATCTGCCCCTGTTCCGACAGCTGTGCTGCAGAACGCTGCTGGCAACTATTTGGGACCCACCGCCCGTTTTGGCATCGACTCCCTGAAGCTTCCCTCCAGCGTGGCGAGCCCCGACTGGGCAGGCGTGGATTTCTCAGGTTCAAGTGAGGATGACTTATTGAGCCACGACCTCTTGTCACACGATGTTCAAGATACCCATTGCCACCATAAATGGAGTGCCCAGACTGCTATGTCCCTGCAACAGTCCAGTGACTGGCTTGGGGATGATAACACCTTGCCACTATCGAGGCTCCCTGTGTCTTTAGCGGCAAGATTGTTCCGCTTTGCACATCCTCATGCTGGGGATGTTTGTTTGTTTGTGTGCCTGGCGTGTCTGAGGAACGTGATACAATCTCTTGTGCGTGCAGCACAACCGGACATTTACCCCATGACAGGCTTCCTCTACAATATCGTAAACCAAGACGTCTCTGCAGCAGGTCTGCCTCTCTCCTACAGATTTGATCCCCTGCTTTGACCTGTGTCAATGGCTTGCTGTGTCCCTAGGCTGCCCTTGTGAGGCCAAGTATCAGACAATCCCAGGTGTCATCTTGCCCGCCATCGTGTTATTCCCCTGCTATGTGCAGCGGTGGCGTCAGGCAGCTAGCAGAAGCAGAGACTTGTGTAAAAAATTTTGAGCAAGTGTTTGGAGCGCTGAGGAATTTCTGTGGTTCGCTTGCAGGCCTGCAGCAGGCAGAGGCCATAAGGGATTTGATGGCCTACTTTCTGTCGGATGCGGTCCAAAGCAATCTCACTACCCTCGATCTCGCGCCCATACCACCTGCCAGAGTGCGCGACTCACCTTGCACCTCAGTAGCTTCACATTCTTTGGCTCCTCACAGTAGATGCGTGTGCTCCGTGCTCTCCAATGCTTGTCAATAAATCATATTGCATTCATCCAAAGGTGTCTGAAAAGGTGCATTGATCGGTGCAGCCAGTAGCCTGCAAGCCTTGCAGTAATTGATGATCCATGCAGTGCACCTTTTGCTACCTGTGTTTCTGATGCACATTCGCTGATTATGTCGTTTGTTGTCCTGCAGCGGGCATTGTTTCGCGCTGAGGTCGCGCAGATGATTGTGAGACCAACAAACGGCTCCACTCAAGGAGCTGCAACTGCTCTTGCTCCAAATGGTGAGCACCCTCCTTCTCCTTGCCTCACACCTTCCTCATCGATTGGCACGGAGTAACTGGCTGAGTAGGTCCTGCCTCTTACAAGCCGGCCACCCTGATATACACCTCTCATGTCAAGCTCGGGCAACAGGCAGGTGTGCAGGTCTGGGGTTTGGGCACTTGCGTCCTGACTTGCACTTGGTATATCAGCACAAAGAAAAGATGGCACAGAAGATTCCTGTAATCTCTTTGCTCTCTCTTTGCTGACATGGTCAGGATTCGAACGAGCTCTTGCCTGCGAGATGGAGAGGTCCACAGGCCTGACAGCACCCTTTGCTCTGCTGAAGAGTTCGAGCTAATGAATCAAAGACGGGTCCTGAAGAAAGATTTCTGGTGTGCAGTTCTAGATGGGCTAGTCACAATGGGGACAGTGGTGGAGGGGAGCGGGGGTGCATCAATCCAGAATCTGATCTACAGAACCATCTCAGACGGGTCCGCCGCGAACAAGTTTGGCGCTGCCACGATCAACTATGCGCCGACCGACAGCATCCAAGGTATGCAGACTTATTTTTAGCAAGGACCCTTCCTCCTTGTTTGTGCAGTGTGGACCCACAGAACCATATGATGTTCTTAGTGTATTTTTATCATTACACGCATTTCCCTGCCAAGAGGCAAGGTGCGTCCTGCAGACAAGCTGCAGTTGAAGGCTGCCAAAGTCCTATCCCGTGATGGACTTGCCGCATCCCAGCAAGACCCAATCAACCGTGGGCACGGTGCTTTGTATTTATACCGCCCCCCGCCGGCCAGGGCCAAGGATGTTTTCAGTGTATCTAAGCATGCATATTTACAAAGCAAGCACAATTTGCCAGCACCAACCAAGCACCTTCCCTTTTTGTATGTGAAGCACTGGCAAACCCGGGGGTCCATGCCTTACAGACCGACAGGGAAAAATCTGAATCAGGACTTCTCAGCTTTGACCAGCAATTCTATACTCAGGGGCAGTGTCATGTTGATCGCAAATTCTGTTCAATACTGTGTGTCCTGATATTGGAAGCAGTGGGATTCACTTTGGAGTTGTGTTCTGCAGGGAAAGCAGGCGTCGTTTCAAACTCCTTTGCATATGGGATTTCCACCATCGCGCTGACGGCTGACGAGATTGCTGCTGCTGGAAGGTGCATAGTAATGGAACTCCTGAGCAGCACGACATGTTGCAAACCTCTCCCCAGAGACACCGCAAGTGACTTGAAAAGTACTGATTTGTGTTGGTGTGATTGTGCAGGCCACTCGTGCAGGTTCCAGTCGGCTTCAGTCCCATAGCCATTGTGCACACAGTGCCAGGTGGGTCTTGCTCCAGGAACCTTGAACCTCCTTATGGTCCCCATAGCTTTCTGCAGTGGATCTTTGCCCTGGCATTGCACGCCTCGCTCGCTGTTATCTGTGAGATACTGTATCTCATGGTGCGATGCACAGACGCTGTCAGTATAGCCCGACGCGTCATGTTGCCGGTACTGGCACGTTGTTTGGCCAAGCAACCGTCACATGCACGCATGCGTGGTTCACACTCACATTCAAATTCGAATATTTCGTCTAAGCAGGTGTCAAAGACGGCGTTCTGCGCCTCACCCCGAACATCGTGGCGCGCATTTTCCAGTGCACCCTCACGAACTGGAATGACCCGGAGATCAGAGCTGTCAACCCTTCGGTGACGTGAGTCCCTCTATCCCCTGCGCACGCTTCCAACTTCCATTTGTGTTGTCTTGACATATTAACCCGCCAGGGACGGCAGCGTCTTATGTTTGTCTGCCTGCCCCTCGCACAAAATCTGGAGCTTTAAGGGCATTGTGTGCAGAGCAAGCGGCTTGAAAACCTTGTGTCGAAGAAGAGGCCTCACAGTTTTACTGGTGTTTCTTGGCTAGCTCTGCACAATTCCTTTGTCTGACCGCCCTTCTGTATGCTTACAGCCTCTGCGCTGACTGTTTTCTGGGCTTGCACTGCCCGTCTCTTTTGTCTGTCTGCCCTGTATCTCTGCGCTAACAGCGGTGTCGCATACTGATGTCAGGCTGCCCGATGTACCGATCGCGCCGTTCGGCCTCGCTGATGTCAGCGGGACGACGGAGTTGATGTCAGTGTACGCAGCACGCAGCCAAAACTGGACGCTCGGCGTGTCCACTTCTCTTGCATGGCCCCGCTGCGTCCGTCGCACCAGCGGTGGCAGCAACGCCGTCTTACAGTCGGTCAATGGGACCGCGAATGCAATCGGGTGCGTGCTGCTTTCATGCTCTTATTTCCGAATTGTTCCTGGAGCTGTTCCTTCGACATATGATGCATTGGGTGCACGGGGCACTGGGCACTCAGCTGCAAGGCCATCGTAGCTGTAACATGAGCCCAGAAAATAGACCTTTTGTGTATGTGATATGAGCTCTAGGGGGCATTGGGCATTGCTCTCCGTCAGCTGCAAGGCTACGCTAGCAGTAAAGCTTGAGCTCGTATATACACCCTTCTCTACGCCAGTGCAAGCCGCAGCAAATGGGTTGCTTGCTTGGGGAGATTAAAGTGCAATGTTCTTGCATTAGGACTGCACCCTACTTTAAACGAAAGGAAGCGGGCACCAATCTAAACCAATCTAGACTAGTGGAGGGTTCCTCCTTTGTGTGAAGTGAATGTCTCACGCCTTTTGTGTGCTTGGACAGGTATGTGTCTTACAATGCGCTGGTCGCCGTGGGGCCGCAGCTGCCAGTGGCGTCAGTGATAAACAAGGCAGGAGTGTACGTTGCGCCCAACGCATCAGTCTTCCCATTCTATAAGGAGGAGCTGCCCGACAACATCTCCTCGCCCAAATGGAATGCCCTAAGCCTGAATGACACCTGTGCGCCTCTGCCCTTTGCCTCTCCCTCTAAATGCCCAAAACAGGGGACGAAAGAGTAGCTTGGACTTGATGAGTCCCCTGTTCAAATGAGACATGCACCCTGCTTGTGTCTTGCTTGCTAAAATTGAGTAACGCGGGCCCTTCTGCACTTCTCTGAACGCTTTAAAAGAGATTTCCAACCTTCTTGTCTCGTGCTTGCTAGATCCAGGAAGGGAAATCCCTTGCCATCTTGTCTGCACCCCCAGCCATGTAGGTGCCCTGCCAGCACTGCCTGTTGGACCAGCAAAACAGGGTCCTATGGCAGACACATCCTGGCAGGTTCCTCTTCTTTGCAGCGCTGATGTTTCTATTTGCTGTGTGCGCGCAGTTCGGACCGACAAGTACCCGATTGGGAGCCTCATCTACATCATTGCAGATCAGGATCTCAGCGCAGTGGGTGAGTAGACCGCGCTGTGATTTATCGAATTGCCTCCCCGGCTGTCTGTGAATCTGTCATCGGGCCAGCATTCTGTCCGAGCCGTGTGCTGCATTGCAAGAAGGATGAAGTGCAATCGTGTGTTCCTGAGCGCTCAGTGTGCAAAGAAGCAGGATGCGCAGATGACCGATGGATGCAATCCTTGGTGCTTGTTGAAGCATGTTTGTGTACTTGCTGCAGGCTATTTACAGGCTCTGACTGTGCAGCAGCTCATCCAGTACTTCCTGTCGGACACTGTGCAGGCCAACCTGCAGAGCCAGGGCGCCTCGCCAATGATTGCCACTTACGTGAGTCTCCGTGCTTTATAAATTGATGCGCGGTATTTTGCAAACGAGCATTTTGGTGGCTGCTGCACAGTGGCTTTGCCAGATGTTGCATGGAGCTGCATCACATGGCATGCACTGCCTGACATGCACTTGCCTGGATGATGTGGACCCTTTATGAGAAAGAGACTGGCGATATTTGGCGCTCCGCTGTGGCGTTTGCTTTGGCATGGGTGAGGGGGGCAGAAGAGTAGCCCTGATGTCGGCAGCGCCTCATCAGGGTCCCCACTGCGCTTCTGGTGCCGCAGTGCAAGTTCCTGTTAATATCACCGATTGGTGATGAGTAATTGGACTATTTTGCTGTATTGCAGCTTCCTCAGGAACGGCAGCAGGTGGCAGCGCTCAGAGTGGAGTCAGAGTCCCCAGGGGCTCCTGGCACTCCCAAGGGTACGTAGCTTGCTCTGCCCCTATTTGACTTCTTGTGCTTCTGGATCAACTCATGTACACTGCAATCTTGCATGCATTTTTTTAGGCATAAAGATGAGACACCGAGGTTGATTAATGTTAGCTCACTTTTGTCCAAAATGATGGCTTATTCATAGCTGTGAGGCGCGCATCGGTACATCTGCTGCTTCAATAGAACACAGATGAATCATGATAATTTTGCCCTTGAAGCTAATGCTGCGTTTGTGGCCTTCTGACGCTCAACACTGTGCACTGCAGGTGGCGTAGCGAGGGCGCAGGCGGGCAGTTCTAGGGCGGGGTTCCCTTGGTGGGCAGGGCTGATAGTGGCCCTCGCAGCTGTGGCAATTCTTGGCGCTGCTGCGCTGGCGGCTTGCTTAGTCATCCGGCGGCGGCGGCGGCGGCGGACCAGCGAGGGCGCTTCCCTTGTGGCGGCGGGGGCACGACTGAAGGTGCCTGCACTTCTCTGCCTGCAATGCTATCCTATTGAATTGGCTCATTCATGGTCTTAGGAGGCTCAATTGAAATAGGCGTGCTTCTTCTGCCCTGGCGGCACCGAGAGAGGCGTACACTTCATCTGTACGCCAGTGAAACCTGCAATCAGCCAGGGACAAGGGGTAATGGGTCTGTGCTCGCTGTTCCGTTGGCAGATAATCCTCTTCCCTTCGCTTCTCTTGGGTAAGGGAAGTTGCATGGTGCTCTGCGTCGACTTCTGGGGCAATGCAGAAGATAGACTGAAAGAAATGTGAGAAATTTTTAAACACTGTTGTTTCAATTCAATGTTGCACTTGCAGGATGAGGAGGTGGGGGCCAAGAAGGAGGTGTTCAGGTTCGACAGGGGGTCCGATGACCCCCCAGACCGGGGGAACCGAGCGCATGATGCCAGGTCTACTCCGCCGTCGGGGAGGCTCAATCGCACACCCAGCGTGGACAGCGATCACCTCATCGTCGCGGTGAGTCACCCGATCCGCTGCGCCCATATCTTTCCCTTCTCGCTATCAAACTCCTAGTTGCATGCATGCCACTCACATCAGACCAACTCATTGGAGCCTATCGTGTCCGGCTGCCATGGCGAACCTAAACAAAGGATTACTTCGGTCAAAAGCAAAGCCCAAGATCGCACAATCAAACAGCTGCTTCCTTGAGGTCGGGTGCTACTTTTCGATTATGAAGTCTCCTGTCAGCGCTCATTCACCCAAGTATTTCCCACTCATTTTCTTTCCGCTCCTTCAGGGTGGCGACCCTGTGCTGGACCAGCAGGGCATCGCCAGCGCCGCAGGCTCGCTGGAGCCTCTGACCGGCGGCGGCAGCAGCAGCAGCCACAGCGGCCACCGCAGCGTCCGGAGCGTGCCGACCGGCGATCATAGAATCGCCCTCACAGAGTGCAGATCCACCTCCCTACCCCAGGCATGCCCTCAGCCCCACGCCCCTGGCTTGTCTTCTCAAACAGGCGCCAGCATGGCCTGTCCAAGCTTCGTGCTTGCAAGCTCCCTGGCTTGTCCTCTCAAACAGGCGTCAGCAGGGGCGTGTCCAAGCTTCCTGTGCAAGCTCCCTGGCTTGTCCTCTCAAACAGGCGTCAGCAGGGGGTGTCCAAGCTTCCTGCTTGCATGCTCCCTGGCTTGTCCTCTCAAACAGGCGTCAGCATGGCCTGTCCATGCCTCATGCTTGCATGCGCATTTTCTGGCTGTGCGCGCGCTGGGCTTCCCAGGAGAACCAGCAACATCCTTCTCCAAAATTTCTGGCGCTCAATTGAGCAGGACTGCATGACGGAGATGGGGCCTTTAGAATTGCATTCGCCACCGCTCCAGGATTCTCCTCTGATTCAGATATATTGTGACTCTGCCATTGCGGGCGACACTGCAATTTGCAAGACTCAGGCTTTGTAAGAAGTACTTGTGGAACTTCACAACCCCTCCAATACCGACTTGCCAATGGCAGCAGGATTCGTGAGATGCGGGACCTGCTCCTCTCTGCGCCGACTCTTGCACTCATTTATTTTCTGACTTGTGGTGCTGCCGGCTGTGCAGCAGAACGGGACGGCGAACAGTGATGTGCAGAGCATGCCGAGCAGCCGCGGTCAGAGCCTGCAGAACGAGCCGGCCATGCAGAGCCTGCCGGGGCTCATTCGCGCGCGCGCCAACTCCATCGACATCGATGAGGTCGAGCGGGGAACGCTGTTGGGGAGAGGGTATGCCTCTTCTTACCCTTGTGTGGCCGTGCCTCCCCACCACAGCACCCATCCGTCCACTCTCCTGCATGGCATATACTACACCTCTGCGTTGATTTGATCTGGCGCATGCTCATTGTCACTGGTCAGCTCCCATTCAGATTAACTTTGTCCTGGCACAGGTTGTGACGTCAGAACCGGTGCATCTTGTTCTGTGTCAGGCTTTGCTGGGATGACATAATTTAGATGGGCGCGTTGTCTGTTGTGCGCTAAGAGCTTTGTGAGGGTAACTTTTCTGCTTGATGAAGAGGCAAGGGCTCGAGCGTGCTGCACGCTGCGCAGGTCATTCGGGAAGGTGTATCAAGGATGGTGGCGGGGTGGCAGCGTGGCGATAAAGATTGTGCCGCACGAGGGGGAGCTTGGAGAGAAAGTGGACGCTCTGCGAGAGTCGCTACTCTGCAGCGCCATCCAGCACCCCCACATTGTGCGTCCCTTTTCCCCGTCTGGCATGTCTGCAATTTTTTCGCAGTTTTTCGTTTTCTTCTTAGCACTTGATGAGCAAGTGAGAGATTTTTTATCTGGAGTGAAAGCAGCAGTGGACGGGCACATGCTGTGGTTTGTTGATGGTGACTTTTCAATGTGACTGCGCGGGCATGCAGCACTTGCTGACAATATTTGAAGCCTGAAAGACAAGCCCTGAATGGTCACAGATAAGGATGAAAGGAAGCCAGGGGCGGTGTTTTGTGGGTTACTCTACCTTGAACGGCCAGTGTCTTCTTGTATTCTCCTGGTTCTAGCAACCAGATGTGGGAATATTTGACTTCATAGTTTGGTGTGACTGAAGATGTGCGCATGCGCCTCACCCCTTCCACAACATCCAGTACATGTATGTGCCGCCAGGTGACCACGTCATCTGTTTGGAACCCGGAGCAATCAGTGGCTGTCACTACTTGATGACTAACGTGTGCATGTGCCGGCAGGTGACCACGTACAAGGTGATCACGCTGCACAAGGGCGCCGCGCAGCAGCGCTTGCGGCAGCAGGAGGCCTCCATTCCAGAGGGAGTCGTCAGCTCGCCAGAAGGCTCTGCAGGCACCGGCACGAGCCAGAGCAGCCCCGGCATGAACCTCATGGAGACCTGGTGCGCAGCGTTGCCTCTCTCAGCGCCCTATCAGTGCACAGCATCCTGTCACTTTGGCAACTTGCACGTTACTGCATTCCTGCATGCTGAGAGCTTGTTTTGGCACACATTGTTGCGTTCCTTTGAGGGATGTATGCAATGTGATCTAGTGTGCTCGTGGGCCGGAGGTGTCTTGTATGTTTCACATATCCCACTTACACTGCGAGGCAGCCCATCCTCCTATCTCCTGGCGCTCGCACTGCTTTGATGTCAACATACCATTTTCTCTAATTTGAGGGATGTGATCTGTGTAGGATCATCATGGAGTACTGCGACCTCGGGTCCCTGGACAGTGCCATCTCAGATTGCCGCTTCCAGGACCTGGTGAGCTCTTTTTATCATGATTTGTATTGTTAGTATTATAATAGCACGTTCTCCAGTCCTTCAGGACTAGGTACGTTGAGCAACACCTGGATAGCAATAGGCCCCTCCTGACAGCACTGATCTTTCGTCCCCACCTTATTCATGCCAGCCTCATGACTGCTTGCAAGATGGCTGCGGCAATGGCCTGCTGAATGTACAATGAGTACTTTGGCACCCCAATCTTCGTCCAATTGAGGATTTGTCGGACGGGGAGTGGTGTGAATGTAAGCATGCTTTGAGGAGGCAAAGGGCTTGCTTGAACAAATTCCTGTCGGGCTTGTTCAGAATCCTTCGAAATTATTGCCCTTGATTTTCTGGTTGCTTTCTTTTTCGAATTCGTATCTCAACTCATGACCTCATGTGTCACTGCCCCTCCAGGAGTCCATGCTGCTGCGGCTGCTTGATGTGGCGTTGGGCATGGACTATTTGCATAATCTTGGGATTCTGCACACCGACCTCAAGCCCTCCAACGTGCTCCTGAAGACTACTGCAAAGACCCAGAACGACACCACGGGCTGTACTGCAAAGGTGCGACTTCCATAAGCATGGCGAGTGTAATTTGGTTGTATAAATTTGCCCACCGCAGAAGTGCTGCAAGCCGCCTCCTATCCTCATGCTTTGTCAAATCGTGTGGGTGAAGTGTCTGGAGCTTCTGAGCTCTGCTGCTCGGGTGCGAGTGGGGGTGATTATGCCCTTATGCCGGAATCGAAACTGCGAATACATAATAAAAAGTAATGACCGCTGGCAGCAGGCGGCTGGCATGGCATGCACGGCTGGCATGTCTCTCAGTACCCATATTGCTGATCCTCTCCGTGTGCCTGAGCCAGAAATGCAGGGACAATTCTGGCTCAGATTCAAGTGCCAAATGCCTTCATGTGTAGCAGTCAACACATCCCCAAGGTGCAGAAGAATGCATGTCCGCTCAAGCCAGGCTTGTCTTTAGCATATCCCCGCTATGCATGCTGTGATATGTTGCCCTGCCTAGAGGTCTTCTGGTCACTAAGGACCCTAGGAACACATCTTAGCAGGCCGAGTGGGTTCTTTTTTCGCTGCCCTCAGCAACACCGTTTCACTTTTAACAGCGTCGTTCTTTCAACCGGGTGCTTTGCCTGCCCGAACGCGTGCAGCAAGAAGAGGATATATTCTTAGCAGTGCTCGAATAGAGTGCCAGGAGCTCTGAAACCTGCCAAGGACTGCAGCAAAGCAGAAGGAGGACAAATGACCTGGCTCTGTCTCTATGAATTTGACATTTGAGGCATGCAGACATCAGGGCAGAGCGAGCGCCAGAAGATGGGAGAAAGGGCCGTATATGTACTAAGAATATATCTGCTGTGTCTGTGTGCAGTTGGCGGACTTTGGGCTGTCGCGCGTGCTGGAGACCAATGCAACCCACATCTCCACCAACACCATTGGCACGATCGCGTACCAGCCGGAGGAGGTACGCCCCTGCTCGTTTGCCAATCCCAACACGTGTGACTTCACTGCTGCATCACTTGACGCAGTGGAGGGCAGCCGTCAATGCCACACAGTCCAGAAGCTCTGAGATCGAGGGTACAGAGCCTTCGAATTGCTCTTTGTTTGGAAGGCGTCATTGGAGGAGCTTGTGCCCAACTTTTGGCATTATCTGTGGTGCCGTCAGAATTGGGTATGGGAATGTCGCCAGCTCTCCGAGTGGCACTGCTGCCTTGTCAGGGAGTAAGCCTCCATGTGCCAAATGGGTCTTGGAAGGACTGATTTTTTTGTGTGTGTGCCAACCTTGCTTTTCAGACACCGGACCAAAAAGATGCGACATGGACCGTAGTTGTGTTGACCCTGGTGGGAAAGTGTGAAGCTGACGCGACCAGCGCCTTGCTTGTCTGCCAGCGATGACTCACATGGTCAGTGATCTGATGACTAAACCGGTTCGGCAGGTGCTGCGGGACGGCCATGTGACGCCGGCATCTGACGTGTATAGTTTCGCCATCCTCATGTACGAGATGTACACGCGCAAGCACCTCTTCAAGGGCATGATGCACTCGCAGGCACGCCTCTTTCGCGACTCTCCCGGGACAGCCTCTAGTGTGATTGTCATGGGGTCGTGCATAAGTGTTTTTAGGTATTTTGAGTACTGGTGTGACGTCTGGCATTTCGCATCTTTCCAATGGCTTGGGAAGATCACCATTATCACAATCGTCCCCTACGATCGGTCGACACATCTTTTGACAAGCAGCGCTATCCGTCAGGGTGGAAAGCTGACGTGCTGTCTGAGGGCGCTGCACCCTCAGCGTGCAGATGTGGCTGCAACTCAATCACAATTGCACACAACCCCATTTATAAGACCTACGCAGCTGGGGGTTAGAGATGTCTGCATTCCACAACTCACCGGTCGATGCCCCCTGCGCGCAGATGTTCTTCAAGGTGTTCAACGGCTACAGGCCGCCGATACCGCTCGGCATGCCCAAGGGGTTCCAGGATCTGATGACCGCCGCCTGGTCGCACAACCCGTCCGAGAGGCCCTCCTACCGCTCCATTGTGAAGGCCCTGCAGCGGCTCATACGAGAGGTGTGCCTTCCTCATTGGCACTCGCCATTGTAACAGGGAAGCGGTTGCTAGAGATGGGCAGCTGCCCCCCCTTTTGGAACGTCCTCAAAAAGGTCTAACGCACTCCCAATCTGGGTTTCGTGGAATCCTGCATCATCGATCATGTATTCTTTGGAATTCAAAGGCCTCAGATGACTGCGAACGTGGGGCACTAGGCATTGAACAAAAAGCTGGAGGTCTGTCATTGCCCCCTGTCATTGGCATTTAATGAATGTGTGTCAGGGTTGTAATTCTTGACCCTCTAGGTGGTCCTCTCGATACATATTGCCCCCCAGATCCTCACAATTCCCCTCTGCTTGCGCGCAGCACCGGAGGGCGATGGGACGAGCGACCTCGGTGAACCTGGATGACGTGCTGCCAATGGAGCCGGCGATGCTGTTTCCTGTCGGCCCCGCGATGCCCATCCGCGTTCCCTCGGGGCCACCTCCGCCCGAGACGTCGTCGGCCGACTCATCCAGAGCGCGCGAGATGTCCGGCGCGTCTGTCTTGTCTGCACACGCCGCCCAGGTGCGCGGAGATCTTCTCAGTGGCCTCTGTGTTCTCTTGCAAAAGTGCTGACAGCAGGCTGGAGAGCGGGGCGAAGTTGTGATTGTACGGGCGTGCCCCACTGCTGCGTTGTTCTTGTAGATGGGAATAAGTTGGTGTCGCGTGCCTGGGATGGCCTTTTGAGTGTTCTCAACAACCTGCATGTCACAAGCAAACGTATGATGTAATCATTGCTGCTGCAGAGCCCCGGGACACCGGACGACTTTGAGCGGGCGCTGCAGGATCTGCGCGCCAAGGCGGCCGCCGGCCGGCTCGCCCCGGCCGCGCCGTCCGCCACGGCCCCGGCCCCGGCCGCTGCGGCCGCGCCGGGGCACAATGGCGGCATCTCGGCATTCGCCGCAGCCGCGGCCGGCTCCCCGCGGCACAGCAGCAATGGCAGCGGTGGCAGTGGCAATCGCGGCAGCGGCAATCGCGGCAGCGGCAATGGGGGGCACGGGACCCCCGGCTTGCCACCAATGTCCGTGTCGGCGGCCAACGCGCAGCAGCCGCGGCCGATGTCGCGCGGCAAGAACTATGACCTACTGCTTGGCGACTGAGCGCGCTGAGCCTGCCCGGTCCCCCCCCCTTCCAGGATCTCCCGCACCTTAATTTGGAAGGGAAGGGGTCCGGTCAGCGTGGTGGAGGGTTGCTGTAGGGAGAGGTATAGCGGGGCTGACCAGGGGACCTTAAGAACCCAGTTGCATAGGAGGCTGGAACGGATGATTCAAATTGCTCGCCGGGCATTGTCAGGGCCCGTGCATCACTTGCTGCTGTGCATCACTAGGAGCGGAATCCTCTGGGGGTGATTTCGGCCACCCCATGGATATCACGCACGATTGACAGCGCAGGAAAGAGGGGGAAAGGCATTTAAGGAGAGCGGGTGTGGGCATTTTATGTATGGACGTAGTGTCCTGTTGGCTTGCATGGGGCGAGGCACCCGCCTCGGCACTGAGAGCTGAGTATTCTGGGTTGCTCTGCTGACCAAGTGCTGTTTGGGCCTTATAAGGGTTCACGTCAATTCCTCCCCTTGACAATGTCATTCTATCCAACAGACGAGGCACGATTGTGGTGGTCTATTTAGTGAAGAAAACATCCTTCAGTGTGGCCTATCCCGACGAATCCATGACAGGCTCCACTGAGGATAGTGCAGGGCTTTGGCCCCTTGGCCGAGTGCTCCTCAGCAGCCCGCACAGTATTAATTATCCCAATTGGTGAAACCCTGCGCCGGCAAAAACCACCTTTCTGGGAGGCGAGCCCGGTCCGGTTATAGTGCTAATCATGAGGTGCGCTACATGCGTGCAGAGAAAGGAGCTCCTGCGAGCCCCTTCCCTGCACTCTGTTTTAGCGGGGGACTCGAATTAGGTTGCTCGGCAAAATAAAATATGCATATAAGAGTTTTCTCTATCGGAACTCCTCTGGGCATTCCTGCTCCAGCACGGCCTCAGGTGCATGGCACAGCAAGACGCCGGCCCGGCGAAACTGTACAGGGTGCTCTATTTCCTTCCGTATCTTTCTGTCCCGTTCCAGGGTAGGCTTTGGCGGTGAGACTCCAGGTGAGTGTTCTGGGGGCGACGCCAACTCAGGTTCAGTGGTGGTGCACTTTTTTGGCTTATGTGATGATGGACAGCCTTCCGAGGAAATTTCCGTGTGAGAGGCTACGCTAGTGCGCAAGCATGCTTTGCAAACCATGCTGGGCGCAGGGTGTTTGAGGCCACAATGATTAGAGGTATGGATACAGCCCATGTAGCAGCCGAAGATCAGTTGGTGCGCGGATGTTTGCGCCCGGAAGGAGCATATATCAAAATGGAGGTCCGGTGAGACAGTTCACTGTCAATCTTGTCATTCGCATGATTGAAGGACACTGCACGGGTCAGTGTGTATATACTCAGCGCTGTAATCACAGTACATATTCGAAATGACAGCCTGGACAATTGACCCAGATCACAGCTCAGCTGTTGGTTGGAAACACTTTGATGGCACCAGAGAAGCTCGCTTGCCAGCAAGCTCCTCACCTACAAAACTGCTGCACGATGACGAGCATTCGCACAAATGCATGTCTTGAAATGTTTTGAGTGCGCATCCGCATGCATGCACACACGCGCATGTGATGGTCACATTAGGATTTGACCACGTCTTGTCCGGTCTCTGCTCAGGCACACCAGTGTGTAGAACACAGCACATCTAATCAGCCCGTAAGGCTGGCACGATGTAATGTTTCTCTCTCTCTCTCTCACTGAGCACTCATATAAAGCATGCATCCGGAAGAGACTGCTTGGCTCTGGCCGCTATCAGTGCCCGAAAGCGTTTGATGTGGAGGACTGGCGCCCAAAAGTATTCTGTGATTGATCATATATATATATATATATATATATATATATATATAAATCATCGATGTCGATATCTTGATCAATACCTACTGCCAGCGATGGCCACGGGATGCCAATATGATGCAACGATGTCACGTCTATGTTTTGGCTGAGCGCAGGCAACCGACACAACTGGGGCCCTCAGGACAGGGAGACACAGTCCCTCAATATTGAGACCAGTCGGGTCTGTAGGGTTGGAGGTCACCTGAGGTCAAAAATGATTCCACGAAAATTCTCTGGAGGTGACTGATCCAATAAATTGACCAGACTTTGCCAGAAGCAAAAGCAACTGTCTTTGGGAGCATAACCGAAAATCGTATTCTGCCCAGACTCGCGAAAGCGTTTTTTCAGTCACGTTCGGGGAGCATCGCGCGAGACCTGACTGAAAACCGGTCGGACTTGCATCTGACCTCGGAAAGCCACCGAACAAGCTTGCGACAGAGCTGAATATGTGCACAGACATCATTCAGCAGCTCTGTGGTCGTCGTTCGGCCCTTCACACATTGGTGCCCTTGACCGGTGAGTCAAAGGTGACCACGTGGATGCCACGTGTCTCAACCGTCCAGCTGGCAAGAAACAAAAACGACTGCTGCTCAGACTACATCGCTGCACTGGCATGTCCGAAAGTCGTCTGGTCCTTGAGGTATCAGTGTGCTGTTGCTTGCTGGATCTACACTTGCAAGCTTGTTGTAGGTGGATACGAAGGCACCCTTGGACCACTTGTCCCGCCACTTAGACAGGTCGATCAGCGCTGCACAGTGGTGCACAGCAGGCGCGCTATCTCCAGGGCATCGTGGGATGCTTTAATAGCTTGTGGTGTGTTGGACCACCTGCTTCAACCGAGACAGGTTTCTGCAGCAGGCATGCCTACAGGTGAGGTGTCAGCACTTTAGAAGCACTTGCAGGTTGTTTGCTGTGCAGAAACTAGCCAGCTCCGGAGACTTGGCATCCTGCTCGAGCACATGCGCGTTTGCCTTGTCGAGTAGCAGGGCTGACCTTGTGCGCTCATGCCAGTCACAAAAGCAGACATGGTGTGCCTTATCAAGATGAAAGGCGTTGTGGTTGTCTGCCGTACACCTCCTTGCTTTTTGATAACTGACTTTGTGAAGGTGCAGGTGGGACTATGATCAGAGTCAGTGTAGATGGTCATCTCGAGTTGGAGCCCTACGAGTTTGAGCCGCCTCAAACGGCAGACAGTGTCATAGAAGCAGTGGCCACTCAGCTGGAGGTTGCTGCTGGTTCCTTGAAGGCTGGACAGCGGCTTTTTACTGGCAAGACAGCTGTCCCTGCTGGAGACTATGTCTTCAAGACCAGGACAGCACGGGCAGAAGGTAGGCCTTACATCTGGGTCTGTCGGCATCTGGCCGGAACACCACAGCACTGTTGAGCTCCAGCTGTATTCGCACAGCTGCCACCCTGTGTTTGCGCGCCTTTCCTTTCAGCAGTATTGGGCTTGATGCCACTGGATCTCTGCAGCTTCTGGTAGCTTCCGTTGGTGTGCTGCTGGTTTCTAGGACTGCAGAGGACCTGGGCATAGCTGGGGCTTTGCCCTCGGCGCTGATCAGTCCTTGTCAGAACCGCACAGTCCCTGTTGACTTCAGCCACCACGTATGCACGCCAAGGCGTAAAAGCAGTGTTGGCTGGCTTCTTTTGGCGCATGCTTGTTGCCAACTTTGTGCAGGTTGCAACAGTCAGTAGCAGGCGGCTGTATCTTGGCTTGTGTACGAGTAGGGCTTGCTATGCCGCTTTGCAGCATTTGCCTGCATGCCTCACTGCGTACTCCTAAGCTGCTACACGTGCTGTCGTGCCCAGGCGCAACAGCAGATATTGAAGAGCTGCGCGCCAAGGTCGCCAAGGTGGACAAGTTGGAACAGCAGTATCAGGAACAACAACAGCAGCAGCGCAGGCTGGAACTCCTGGTGTTGCAGCACTCACAGACAACGCAGACCGAACAACAACTTGGGGCGGTACGGCTGCCATGGCTATTTTGATGCTCTATGTCCATAATCAGCGACTGGCTGTACACAGAGTGCAGTAGGGAACATTGAGCAACATGGTTTGCGATGGCATGCAGGTGTTCTATGACCTTGCACCAGTATGCCCCATATTCCCAGGTCTCCCGGCACCGGACATCCCCAAGCTGGAGAATGGCTGCAAACGTGTCATCAAACAGTGGCAGGACACTGGCATGCTCGCCAAAGCTGGACGGACAGGTACGTGGGCTAGTTGGGCAGAACCTCTAAGGGTGGCAAACAGGGCATGCCAAGACCCACGTAGCATTCTCGTGGTCTATTGAAACCTGTTTGCCCGCATGGTTACATCCGCTGCCCATGCAGCAAGTCAGTGTCGTGCCGTGGCATCTGCGCAGGGGCCCGCCAATCTCCACGCAGCGCCAGAGCGCAGGTAGTGCAGCTGATGGACCTTGTGCCCGAGCAGCGCCCGAGTGAAGCCGTGCACATGCAGCCACTCGTTATGCAGATGCTGAGCGCAGTGTCAGACGCTGTGGGATCGTCACAGCACCTTTTTGACACACACTCCAGCAATTTCCTCAAGCGCCCAACAGCAATGATTGACTGCTGCGGTCTGGCTAGCACACTTGTGGAGTGGACACAGCTGGTGGTGCCTTATGAGTTCAAACTTCGCAGCAGACAGGTGGTCAGCTTGCTAGGGCAGCTCATTGACCGCTGTGAGAAGCTCTTCCACCACCAGCGACGGCGTCAGCACGTCTATGCAGTGGGCATCATGTTGGACGCTGTGGAGGTGTTTTCCATTTCATGCAACAATGGCAAGATCAGTGTGGAGCGGACAGGCTTGCAGCCATTGTCCATTGCCAGCGGCTCACCGGGCCTGCGATTGTTGGCATCCGTTCTGCAGGCATCTTTGGTGCAGCTGGGCTACAGCAGCCCCCAGCTGCCTCCCAGCTTCCAGCTAGGCAACCACACTTTGAGCAATGCGCAGCTGATCCAAGAAGGCAGTGCTCCATGCAGCGGCCACCCTGGCAGCTATGTGTTCCGCGTGACTGTCGATGCCCTGCAGCACTCAGCCATCCTGAAGCTCAGTCATGATGATCACGAGGTGATACTTGTGTACTTTCTCTGTGTTACATTCTGGCGTTGCCTGTCAAGCCTTGTATGCTGCTGACTGCATGGGCAGTTCTGAAGCTGTCCCTGACAAAAGCCTGTTGGTTTCAGGAGTTCATTCTCAAGGAGCTGCAAGGCCTGCCGCATGTCGTGCAGCTGCAGGCATCAGGGTTGCTCGCCTATGAGAGCAATCTGTGGCATGCGGTCCTCCTCCAGCCCTATGGGCGCCTGCTGGAGCACACTGATCCGCGGTCTTTGATCGTGCAAGTGACATCTGATGTCGTACACGCAATATCTGACTGTGCCAGCAAGCACATCGCGCATCGCGATGTGACGGCGAACAACTTTGTCAACTACCAGCAGCGAGGCTACCTGTGTGACTTTACTGCTGCCAAGGTGATATCCTGCGGCAGAAATGCCTCACAATGCAGGCATGTTGTTAGGAGCTTAGCCCCTTCATGGTGCTGCTTGGTGGTCGTCGTGGTCGATGGTTGTATGTGGTTTTGCAGGTCATTGAGGACTGGTCTGAGCTGCCAAGCCCCACAGGAAACCCGGCAGCCATCACAGGCACACCGCTTTTTGCAGCAGTATCCGTGCTGGAAGGCGGCCCACATACCCAGAGTAGCATGTATGAAGGGCTGTTCTACAGCCTGTTGTACATCTGCCGAGGCGGGCGGCTGCCTGATTCCTGGGCTTTCAAGTTCACTGGCCTGGCTGAAGCGGCGAAGCTGCGCCGTGGGTGCATGATGTGTGAGCCGCCTATCAACACCTGGGATGTGCCAGAGGAGGTTGCACCCTTCATCCGTGCACTGCATGCGCTGTTTTGGGCCGAGATCCAGGATGGTGCCTTCAAGTACCGAACGAATGTGACGGCCAAAGAACTGCTGGATGTGTGCAGCCAGTTCATGGCTTAAACTTAGGAGCATGTGTAGAATAGCTCCATGGTGTTTTTGGCGCTGCTTTGCAGTCTACGCGATGGTGCTTGCAGCCTGACCATGCCCATAGAATATCAGCATGGCCAGTCAGAACACCAGTTCGCTATTATCGTCAATTGAACCGAACTACATGAGAAATGTGCACGAGTGCTCAAGCAATGCTGCAAATGCTGATGCGGACAAACCATGTGGCTTGCTGGCCTGGTGGGCCGAACATGTGCTGCTTAACAGCCATAAGCCGTAAAGTGTGGCTTATGAACGCTTGATGGGCTGGATGCAAACACTAAATGATATTTAAGTAGTGAAACAACCGCGCTCCGTGGGCAAGTGCATGCTAGGATGCATGCATGGCTAAGCAGCTGATGCTGCACGAGGGCGTTGACACGTTCCAGCCCAGCGCTGCTATCTCTTCCACACAAACCATTCGCGGCCAATTGGTGCTCTGCAATGCCTGTATGGGCAAAGGCAATGACGCTTTGACTGGTTCGACCGCCTCATTCGCTTTGCAATGTTCCTTCCCGCTTGCAAGAAAACATTACGTCTTGGATCCAGTTCGAGCCTTCCGAAGGAGTCCAGGAACCATCATCACGTTGCGCAAACAGCTGCCACAGGAACATGGTGACGTGGCAAGCTCAAGCCTGCACCCATTGTCTCACCGCTCCTCCATGCAGCCTTTAGTAACACCTAGTAACACCTTAGTGAGGCTACTTTTCCTCCCCACGCGCCACCAGGCTGCTGCACTGCTTGATCAACTGCCCGACGCGCAAGGCTGCGGCACTCCCGGCGCGGCCGATGCTGCGCGGAAGCCACATCACAGCACCAGGCCTCCACTCTGCATGCCTGCCCTGCTCAACAGATTAATCCAGGCACAGTCAGCGCCAGCGAAACGCCCATGCACCTGATTCTGGCTCCACGCATCTGTTAGTGATGCACACAATTGCTAAAAGTGCCTTTGCCCTAGCTCCATCAGGGGGTACTGAAGACCTTTCTTACTAGTCTTAAATACCCCCTCACACCCTGGTATGCAGCGTTTTGGGAGAGCTCACGAGATGCAGTATCTCCGGCAGGACGGGGCAGACCCATCAGACAGCGGTGACCCCGCACGCTTGCCATGCATGGGGACAAAAGACACATGTGGAACAATTGCACATTACCCACTGACACCACTTTTCTGGCTCGTCCTTGTGCAGCCTTTGAATGCGCAAGTTAAGCCTGAAACTCTGGGCAAGGTGACTTAGCTGCAGGTCACACACAATATTGGCCACACCTCAGATTCTGCACCCGGTGATCCTTGGCTGGACCTGCCCAGATCACCAGAGCTTCTGGCGCCAGGAGAGGATGGAGATGAGCTGCGGCTACTGACGAGGCCCCACGCTGCAAATCGAAATCCAAGACCTAATCGCATGCAGTTACTCAACTCTCTCCAGTCAACACTTGAAATGGCGTATTGGATGTGCAACTTGAGCCTTGCTTTTACTAAGCTGCCAGGCTTGCACCATTCTCGCGCAGGAGACAGTCAAACATAATCGGAACGGAATAGCATCCGTACAGTAGACTGTACCCGACAAGCTTAAGACCAGCACAGAAAGTGATCAGGCCGAGGTTGCAATGGTGAGCTGCTGCAAACAAATAGCTTGCAGCCGTACAGGGAGGCTCCACAGTCTTTGCAGTACAGTGCGAGCTACACATCAATTATCTCCTGGCCCAAAGTGAGTCAATGCCTCCGTCCTGTGAGCCATGACTCTCTGACGCCCTCAGGGCGCCTCCTTTCTGATTGCTGTGCAATTCAAACTCTGCTATAAACAGAACACAGAACAGGAAAGGGCCAACAGCTGCAGCAAGGCAGTTTATGACCACACTGAGAGTCGCCGCGCAGAACTGTGCCCTGTATAAAACGCCGCAGTACAGAGCCAAGCAATAGTGTTTCTCAATGCACGGAACAGTGTCTTTTACAGAGTGGCAGAGATACACATAGAATAAAAAGGTCTGCGAGGGCGTACCTATGGCCACACGAAGAAGGTGTGACAGGCGGGCAGCCAAATTGGGCACTGCATGCAGCACAGGGACCTGCCAGCAGGATCAACAATTAAGGTATTTTAGATAGATTTGAACTTCGTCAGAAAAAATGGCAGGGACAATGTAGACAGGTGTCCAGACGGTGACTGCATGCAGGGACTGGCAGGTGATGTGAAGCAAGAAGTGGGGGTGTGTTGTGGGGTAGATTAGTCACCTGGTGCTGGTCCCAAAAATTTGTCCCAGGCAGCCTGGTTCATGTGGAATGTCTTGGAGAAGCGCCTGCCCATGGCGGTGCGGTGCTTGTGCGTCCCATCTGCACATAGCACACATTAAACCAGAAGGGATTGCATACATGAAAGTCAGTGCGAGCGCCAAAATAGGGAGGAAGGGCTGCCTCTTTGAGTAAATACTGTTTATATATTGTGAATTATAAAACATGTAATCACTGAACAGGAATGCATCAAAATGCAAACATCTCCCGGCTCAGGAGCACTAACGATCACTGCGCACATGTGATCATTGATCATCAACCTGCTTTATTCCTGCTGTACTCCCTGAGGGGCAATGGGCCATTGATCCAGGACTTAGGCACAGAGCAACACAGACTGCAACGGTGCATGCATCTGCCATCGGTAGAGAAAGTGTCAAGGAAGGGAAGGGTGGAAGGGAATCATTGAGAGTTGCTGCAACGCACACACTCCATTTCTGGGCTAACAAAACCTTGCATTAACATTAAAAAGCACAAGACCATGCGCAGAACATACCTGGATGGGTATCGCCGGGAGCGCTTGGTGTGTGGTTGGTGTCAGCTGCGGCTGTGATGTCAATGCGTGAAATCCCGAGTCTCTTCTGCGAGGCTTGCCGGATCCACACAGCAGCCGCCGCGTGGTCTGTCCTCACAGCTGCTTGTGTGGCTGCGCAGCTGTCCAACATGGCCTCTTCATCTGCCCAGGCCCAGTCTGCATGCAAATTGCTCTCTCATCATCAACACAGAAATTGCAAAGTATTCAAATTTGCTGAGAATCTGCTTTATATTCACATCAGCAAGCACATTGCATATGAAGAAGTATAGGCGCATGAATGGGGTACACGGTTAGCGCACAATGAATATGCATGATGAGAGTGCATCACTGCTGCCATTGCCCTGCCAAGAGGCAGCGTGCACCCAGAAGAAGCAAATCATTCTCTGGATTTGCCAGATCACACGGTGTACAACAGAGTGCAGCTTGCATTGCCAGAGCCTGTTTGTCCTGTGTAAATCTTTCTAAATATCAAACCTTTGATGCTGCGTACCGTCTAGAGCATCATAGTAGACATCGTCCTCCCCTCCTTCTTGCTGTCCATCTGCTGTTGCAGCTTCTGTCGTCTGGGCAGCTTCTCCATAGCTTCCTGCCTCAGTCGCCGCTGTGCTGGGTTGCAACTGTCCAGACTGACTGGACGTTGCCTGGTCAGGCACGGCAGCTCTGCCAGCTGGAAGGGCCACCTGGGCAGCTGAACTGCCCGGCTGGGCAGCTTCCTCCAACTGCTGCCTGCTGTAAGGTGCCTGCATGGCGATTACACCGTAATTTATTAGAAAAAGTATTGAGCAAGTGCCTGCCTTCCAAGTGGGATTGCGGCACGAATTTGACATGCCAGTCTTCCGCCCAGCGTTGATCAGTGCATGTTGACCACTGTCATTTCAAGATGTGCGGACATTCATACTTGGCTGGTTGTTATATCCCTGGTGAGAGCATACAGGACATGCAAATGTCGCTCTAAGAACGAAAAATCCCCCCAGCTGAACCAAAAAATTTCCCCAAACCACCATTTGGAGGCGAGTCAGATCCAGCCGAGGCTGAATTCTTGTTCTTAGAGTGCATTTCGTCACCCTCAAAGCACATGCAAAGGACATAACAACACCCCGCGCTACGCACCTGCACCATCGCAGTGATGCGGTTACTAATCCACCCGATGCCATGGTTGTCCGGACGGCCAGAGAACAGAATGTCCCTGCCGCCCTCGTGCTGCAACACCTCGCTCCCGAAGTCCACCCACCTACAAGCCACCAATCAAAATCGGTCTTCTTCTTCTCCTCCTCTCCACTTCTCTGCAGATGGTCCTGCAAATGATTTGGGGTGATGTAGCTTGTAAAGCAAAAGGGCATCTGCATGTATCCAGTGCAAAAAAATGCCATGCAGCAGGACTCAAAGGTCCCTGAGTTGCGGTGATGCAGCATTGTATGTACTAAGGCACCTGCATGTTTCCAATCCCTTGACAGCCATGCACCAACTTATTCTGACCGAGTGGACTCCCACACTTGTTCCAGTGCTTAGATGGGCAAGAAATAACAAGAGGAAACCAGTAATGCATGGGATCATGAGCTGGGAGAGTAGAATTGCCAGAAAGTACCTCTGCACAACCAGGGGCATGCCCTGATACACCTTCTCCAGATTGCCCACCAAGATGCAAAACAAAAGACAAGCAGTCATGCATGGGGTGGAGACTAGGAAAAATGCACTACAAGAATTACCTCTGCACGACCAGGGGCATCCCCTGGTACACCTTCTCCAGATTGTCAACCACGATTCGCTGTGCCAGGTGCCCCAGCCCCAACAGCTTGAACTCCACCTCGCCTTCCAGAGTCTGGCAGCAGCTCACACCGGGCTGCTCGTCCTCTATCGTGAGCATGCACTCGATGCGCGACTGCACCCACCACAATCTCATCTTCAACATACCACTTTGCGAGCGGTTCTTTGCAATAATTGACAGTTAATGCGCGGCTGCACATATCACCCCAGCATCCTCAGCAGACCAATCTTACAAGGGTGTTCGCAACACTACATGGTCGACTGCATACACAGCCGCAACCCCTTCGGCAGCCCACTGCCTTGAGGGTGCTCAGTGACCCTTATTGCGCGACTGCACAGATCATCCGGACATCTTCAACAGCTAGCGCTTGAGGAAGTGATCAGCGACAGTGGCAGCTTGGTGGTTAAGATAACAGAGATAGATTCCATGGGTGCCTCCAACACCGACATCTTCAGGCCGTCCTGAAACATTGGGCTCTGCCCTGCTTTCAGTATGGTGCCTAGGATTGAAGGGCAGGAGTCTGCACATCAACTCAGTGAAAGAGTGGGAAGGCACTTGTATACCTTCTCTGGGAGGATTGGAGCGATGCTCTTGACGGGCAGGCGGTAGGGCGGGCAGGCAATGAGCTTGGGGTCATAGGTGATGATGTCGGTGTACTGCAGGCCCTGCTTGGCGAAGTGCCTCTGGAAGCTCTTTGGCACGTACTTATCCACATCTATCATCGTCACGAACTTGTAGATCTCCGCCTTCCCCTCCATCCAGCCGTCCACGATATCTAGTGATCCCACCTTCATGCTCTGTGACCAAACACATCTTTAGTCGGTGTGGCAATAGTCTTATCATACGATCAGCTGCCACACGCGATTTATCTTTCATAATACTATCTTGTGCTTCTTTCACCGGTCGGATGGTTTCAGGATCGCGCTCGTCCCAAATAAAAACGTCTTACGTAAAATGTCCAAGGAAATGCAGATAGTGCCAGACAAGCAGCAAGGAACTCTCTTGCAGAGATAGGAACTTGGATGCTGACTCCACCTTTGAGATAAGGGATCGAAAGGCGGCGCTGTCACGCTCGATGAAGTAGTCAGAAGCTGCAATGGGCAGCACAGCCGAGACCTTGAAGTGGAGCCCCGGCATCTTGCTAGGCTGTCTGGATTCTGATGAGACTGAAAGATGCTTTCTCGGAATCCGATATCTTTGTGGGACCGACGACGCTCCTGAGGCAAGTTTGCGGTGTTGCCGTTGCTTTCAAGACGGTTTCGGAACTCTCGAGACAGTGAGTCAGCGTTACATGGGCTTTCTCCTGATGGCGCAAACTGAACTGGTCTTGACCTGAAGATCATCAACAAGACAACTTGAGATATGGACTCCGTTAATGTTCCATTTATGTGTGCATTTGAGCACTTATCAGCGCTGTTGAGGATAGTCCTCATCTGAAGATTGCAATGCTGTCAGGATGAGCATGCCTCGTGACACCGCGTCCTGAGACAATGTAGAAGGCAACATGGTCACGAGATTGGTCAAGAGGGTCCTGTTCTTCCCCATCCGCGTCTTGAGCAGGACATATTGGGTAATAACAGCAGCAACATCAGTGCCGGATGCGCTCCCAGTTGGTGGCTTGAGCGGTGAACGTGCGTCTGGGTTGCTGTTCGCGCTCCGACAGGTTATCGAAAGAGATCAGGTAACCTGCAAATCCCTGCAGGACAGTTGTAGTTTGAATAGCATGCCGATGCTTGTGACAATTCCCTCACGACTCTCTCCTGCTGTGCTTTCGAGACTATTCTTATCTAAGTCACCATCTCTCCTGATTGCAGGATGTATGTGTTGCCGTGCAATGGCTGACATCCTTGCAGCTCGCCCAGATCGCATCAGACAGGTCTGCCATCACCACACTCAGAATTTAAGTACTGTATTTGTACTCATGCTACCTTACTTATCAGGTGCCTGGACTTTCTAAATGGAGCATAGCTGATGTATAGCAGTTCTCCAAAAGGTCCCATATCTACCAAGCATGCTTGAAGTGCATCAACATCCACATTCACAGCTGCAGGAGATCCCATCATAAATACGTATCACTGTCCCCTTCTTCTGTCCATCTTTAGTTCAGAAGTGAGGACCAACTTTGCCTGCCTGTCTACAATTAGTTCTTGGCCAAAGAGGAACCTTTGAGTCCAGGCATCTACCCAGCTCCCCAAGTATGGCAATCCTGACGCTGCCAGATGCACTGCAGAGCCACTGATTCAACAGGAGCAACTAAATCAATACCATGGTTTCAGTGATTCCAATTATTCCGACGCAACTGGACGCGGCGCCAAATTTGATTGTGATTTCGAGTTCTAATTCTTGTGGAGGCTGCTGCACGATGTGGACGCAGCGGACGGCAGTCTGAGCTTCTGGTCGGCGCGGCTGAAGGGCGGCGCGCACCGCAGCTTCCTCCTGCTGGGCCGGGGGCCGACCTCCTTCGTGCTGGACTGCGTGGACTTTCTGCGAGGCCATCCACGGCGCCGCCTTGGGGCCCTGAAGCAGCCGAATGCCACCGACCAAAAAGAGCGGCGGGTGAGTGCTCTCTTGGTATTGCTGCTTAAGACATGAAGGCCTGTCAGGCTGTGAGGAAGTGTGAGGGTTCTGTATTGCCGAGGGAAGGTAGCACACCGTCATACACGGCAAGCACTTGGCATGCATCTTCTTCGGACTCGTGGTGAGCCTTTTGTTGGCCTAGCTAGGTACTCCGTTGAAATAATCCTTCCCTCTGCACTGCTTCCAGTATGAGGAAGCCTGAGGGCAACTTTAAGACACTTCCACTGCAGCAGCTCTACTTTAGCGCTGCATTCAGTGTGGTCCTGGTACTGAGCGCAACCATTTTTGCAGCAGGTGATACTGCTGAGGGCGCTGCGCGAGCGGCTGTGCGAGGCGCTGGCAAAGGCGGATAAGGCCTCGCTTGAACGCATGCTGCGCGACTTTGAGGCCGACTTTGGCAAGGCCTCCACGGTGGGTCCCTCAGATCATATCCAGGGATGTGTTGCATGTATATTATTGGTTACAGATTGGGTGAGCTGTCTTCTCAGGAGCTTGTGCATGCCATGTCTTTTTGCTGCGCGATTTTGAGGCCAACTTTGGCAAGGCCTCCACGTTGGGTTCTCTGCATGCTTGAAAATCACCGCACATGAAAGAATCTGCAATCCTGACGCTGTGCATGCGCTAGTGGGTCTTTGCACTGGAACCTGTCCAGGGAAGATGTCACTGTGTTCAAAAGACATGACATTAATGCCGGGTCATAGCTTCACCTTCACCTGTACCGCACTGTATTCATTTGGGCATCAAACGATGATCTGGATTGTCTATGATGAGATGATTTACTGGCCTTGGATGGCCAGTAAATAGGCAAAGCAGATTCATGGGCCCTGCTGCTGTATCGTGTAATATGTCACCATGGCATCTTTATTCCCGGGACCTCAAATGCTAGATCCTGTCGATCAAGTAGCAAAGAGGGTCCAGGGCCCCTATGCATGATTTTCAATTTCCTGAAGATTGCGGTGTTTGCTGAGCACATAAGAAGGTGGATCCGGAGATTTCGGCGGCGCTGGAGCGGGCGGGGGCGGAAGATAATAACGCGACGGCGGAAGGGGAAAAAGCCAGCGAGGGGAAGGGTGAGGAAGGCGACGAATTGCTGCCGGGCATGGCATTCATGATGAGCTGCTACGAGGATGAACTGAAGAAGCCCATTCGCAACATCGTCAACGGCTCGCTGCTGCGTGCCATACTCATACAGGTAGATTGTCAAAATCCGCCAGTAGATTTACCACATATTATTATAATTGTGAGCAAACGCTATTCCTGCCAATAGGCAAGCATCTCCAGGCAAGCTGCACTGAAAGGCTGCCAGAGAACCTGTCCGTTGATGGACTCGCCAAACCCAGGCAAGACCCAGTGATACATTACCATATGAGACTTTCCCCGCAGCAGAGTGGCAGTGAAACAATGTGCCAGGAGTATTGGCAACGCTTTTCAGTGATGGCGAGCGGGAAGGTGCAGAGTTGTGGGGATAATGCCGTCATCATGTTGGCACAATTGCATTTGTGTGCAGGAGGGTAAGACATACGATATCCACATGATCATGAATCTGTCGTCTTACAAAGTGATACTTTGAGCTTCAGGAGGTTGGTTGTTGTCATCATTGGCAGAACTGCACTGTATTAATGTGCAGTATTGATGACAGTGTCAACCCTGGAGAGCTCACAGATATCAACAGAGATCAATGTCGCTTCAAAGAGCCAGCTGCAGATATCTGTTCTTGCATCTTTAATTCTCATTACCTTGCTTTCTCAGCAGGGAAATTCCTTGAAGCTGGACATTGAGGCCTGAAATGTTGACCCCTCGTACATAAGTCATATTTCAAATCTGCAACTCGTTTGAAACAGGCGAGCAGAAGCTGAAGCTGAACACTAAGCATCGGTCTGTTCCCTAGCATCCCTTCACATCATTACACCATTCTTCATTATGTAAGTATCGCGGTCGAATTCAGAACAGGTGCAGAAGCTGAAGCTGGACACGGAGAGCGCGATGCTGGAACTGGATCAGATTCTGCGCGCGAATGAGCTGACGGTGGCGGTGGTGGCCGCGGTCCCCTCCCTGCTCATCGCCGGGGGGACTTGTTATGCCCTCTTCAGATGGCTCACCCCCTCGCCTCCCGACCGACGCAGCGAGGCCCTCCCTGCCAGGTGTGCCTTCAGGCTAGGAATGGTCCGAATTCGAAATTAACAAGGTAAGTTCTAGGGAATGAAATTAGCAGATTGCCTTGCGCTGTTCCGGTGGCTGACCCCCAAGCCCCCCGGCCCCCCGCAGCGAGGAACTGCCCGCCAGGTGCGCGCTTATTCTGGCTAGTGATGACTGCAAATAAAAAAAAATTGTATTACAGTGAATCCATTTCCTACTTGCTCTATACTGCTGGCAGGCCCCGGCCCCGGCTGGCGGGGCGCGGTATAAATACTGAGCACCGTGACCAAATTGATTGGGTCTTGCTTGGATCTTTCTAGCCAACAAGGGGTTTTTTGTCAGCCTTTAGCTGCGACTTGTCTGCAGGACGCACCTTGCCTCTTGGCAGGAAAAGAGTGCAATAATAGCAATATCAACGAAAATTATAACTGGAATAATACTGCTGGCTACAAGACTTCCTGCTTGCTCTGTGGCACCAGGTGCAGAGAGTACCTTGGTCCTGTTCAGCTTCCTATTAATGACTTCATCATGGTCTTGCCTGCATGAAAGGCAATACCTTTAGTATAGTATCTGTCTCTATAGTACCGGGAACACATAATTAGCGAAGTGGGTAGCCATGTTTCTGGAGCAGCGCAGCCGCCTATGGCACAACTGTCTGGCTTTTGGGTTTGATATCATGGCAGCGGTGAGGATGGGTCATCCATGTGGTCTGGCTGTCAGTTCCAGGAATGGATTGAATTCCCTACTAGCTCTCAAAGTTTCCGCCCTGACCACATTCTGGCCACCTGAGACCGCTTCCATGATAGTGATCCCCATCATCCGCTATGCATGCAACCTCTCTCCTCTCCCTTCCTTGGCTCCTAGAAAGGCATCCGAAATAAAATCATGCAAGCTATGCTATCAGGATGGCGATGGTCGAAGTTGAGCGCACAATCCACAAGCTGGCGCAGGAGGGAACACCAGAACTGCAGGGCGAGGTCGTCTGGCGAGTCGCCAGGTGCGCACCCTTACATTTCCTAAGTTTAGGCCCTCAATAGTCATCATATTCACTGCTTGTCGTTGTGATCAAACTGTTAATAGCAGGGGCCTAGTTGTGTGGCTGGGGCCAGTTCAGGTCTGGGTGACTACCAGCCACAAGCGAGTAACTTTTAGTAGGTTTGCTCATTTGCATTGTCCTTTGGATTGTGGCATGTCTGCATTTGGCAACTCAACAATTGCAGGATGGTGTCTCCTCTCTCATGCGCACCATGGCACTGTCAAATGTGTTGGCTGCATTGCAGCACATGTCTTTATGCAGACTTGGACGGCATGATCCCTGATCATGACGGGGATGTGCTGCTTACTCAGGGTGTACTGGGAGACTCGAGCACTCTACAGAAGGCACACATCCGGGCTGGGCATAGTGGGATTGACAGTGCAGTCAGAGTGGCCCAATCTGCGCGCAGATTTGTTAGAGCTGGTTGCCCCAAACCCGCCCAGGGCCAAGATTGAGACCTGCCACCGAATGCAGCGTATTTACTCCCTCTTCCAGCCCTGATCATTGGGACACAAAATAATATTGAATACGTAAGTCTCTGGTCTTTAGTAGCCAGATAACCTCCAGATGGGGCACCCTATGTACCTGAGATCTCAAGAAGGGAGAATGCAAATTGCTATGATAACTCGATCAACTTGGTCATGACGTCAACATTATTACCGCATGAATTTATTGAGGTCACCTGGCATATTTGAGTGTTTTTTCGTGATTGCAGCATTGTAAGGGACATGGATGACAGGTTGCATGGGTTGGTTGGAAACACATTGATGGCACCAGAGAAGCTCGCTTGCCAGCAAGCTCCTCAATCTACAAAACTGCTGCACGATGACGAGCATTCGCACAAATGCATGTCTTGAATGCTATGTGTGCGCAACCGCATGCATGCACACACGCACATGTGATGGTCACTCAGCACTCATATGATGCATGCATCCGGAAGGGACCACTTGGCTCTGGCCGCTGTCAGTGCCTGAGGCGAGCGTTTGATCTGGAGGACTGGCGCCCAAAAGTAAATTTGTGATCATCGATGTTGATATCATGATCAACACCTAATGCCAGCGGTGGCCACGGGATGCCACTATGATGCAACGATGTCACATCTATATTCTGGCTGGGCGCAGGCAAACGACGCAACTGGTTGGGCGCCCTCAGGACAGAGAATCACAGTCCCTCAACAATAAAACCTGTCGGGTTCCGAAAATATCTCACCACGTGAACTTCTCAGGGGTTACTAAAGGAGTCTTTAGTACCCCCTGAACTTCTCAGTGGAAGGGTGGGTGCGTCGATCACAAAAGCGAGCGCCCCGTCACTATGCGAACGTGCCAGGTGGGCTGCCCGAGAATCTATTCGAAGATAGGGGTCTGCGCTGGGGCGAGATCTCAGAGTCGCCTTTTGCGCCATCCGTTCCAATTACTCCTCCCTCAAGTGGGTGCTCAGCGAACTTACCCGGCAGCTCCTCACAGGTCTGTGCGCCCCTGGTGTGCCCCAGCACCCGCCCCCCAGGCGCACGGATCTCGAGCTCGCAGCGCCGGCCCCCAGGTTGTTGCGGACGCCTCCCCAGAACATGATGAACCGGGCAGGGTCTCGCTTGAAACCTATCGCGCCGCGGCCCGCGGTGGACTCGTTCTCGCCCTCCGGCGCGGTGTCAGCGGTGTCCCTGGACCCCAAGGACTACGTCTACCCCCATGCGGACTATGTCTGGGGCGTGCCGCAGCAGATGCACGCCGGCGTCATGCACGAGCAGCATGGCTACGCCAACCCGTGCATAGCGGCCAATCCTGGCATGTACAGTGGGTACGGGGGCCTCGTGTCACCTTGGGGACAGCCCGCGATGCCGCAGTACCACTCCCAAGTGGGCCCGTCCACCTCAGGTGGGCGCCCTGGATCCGCACCCAAACCGTATCTGGGTACCAGTGGTGCCTGTCAGCACCCATGCAGCGGCCTGACAAGCATTGGCATCGCACCAGAATATGCTCGATAGTCAAGGATCGGTTATCGATGCCCACTGCGGCGCGAGATACTATTTGGGCATTCAGGCCAGATGGCCTCCTGAAGTGGAGCTGCATGTAGCAACATTATCGATACTCTTGCTGGTGAATTTCGCCAGCACCTGGCATTGCACTGCAGACTGCGAATTTCATGTTTTCAAGAGGAGTTGTCTAGAACCGTGAGTCCCATATCGTTTGTCTTGCGTTTGGTCAAGCAATTGCTTGGTGAGGCTATGCTTCCTTTGAACATCTGCTTTTCATTGATCTCTCAGGCTGAATGCGCATTCTCAAGGGTCAAAATTTGAGGCAGATGTTGGGCAACATGCAGGGCACATGCCCACCCCGCAGCCATCGCAGCCGATGACCCAGGACCTGCAGCAGCCCAGGGTGCCACACATCGTCAGCAATGGGGGCAAAGACAAGGACGGCACCCTCCCTGCCGAGGGAGATGCCGCGCAGGTAGGACATGAATGTATTTTGATCCAGCCAGTCAACAACAGCTTGGTGACACTCAGGGACTATTACTCAGGTGCATGACCTGGAGTACAGCAATGCCGAGGTACAAGCAGCCATCAGTGGACATCCGAGGTGTGAGCATCCCATGTTCTGGCAGGTGGTGCCAAAGCTTGAAGGTGTGGACGAGCTGCTGAGCATGCCTCTGGACGAGGAGTGCTTGCAGCGGCTGCTCAGCGGCGAGGGCCTAGATGAGGATGGACCTGTGGTGAGCCTTCCTTCTCTCTGCACCCAAGCTATAGGGATCATGATCACCGAAATTACCGTTAAATGGAGATGATTGTACTGACAGATGCCTGGACCTGTGTGTCTTGTCTTGATGCGTCTGTCTCTGTGCATGCTCCACATCCTGCATCATGGGATAGATCTCACCTGCTGCAAGTTTTGGCATCCGTGCCAAAGTAGCAGGTGCCAGGTTGATTGAATGGATTAGTCAGCTTTGCTGATGCTTTGGGTGCGCTGCTTGCGCAGACGATGGACCTGGGCACATCCCACAGCTGCAAGGAGCAGGGGGATCTCTCTGGGGACTCCACCTGCACCGGTGAGCAAACCTTTAAAGCTGCCATGAGCCCACCTCATCACAGAGGGGTAGCATTACTTGCGAGTGGATTAACATGAGGCAGCCTGAGGGTCTGGCACTCCACAGCGGGCCACAAAGTATGATCAACTGTAGGACAGGAGGAAATTGTGGAGGAGAGCGCAGAACAGAAAACATGAGGCGTGGAAATGAAGACAATGTGCCTGTGTGATCAGGCGAGGCCAAGGCAAAGAAGGCGGGGCAGTCATCAGCGGAGGAGGGCAACAGCGCTTCAGGGGCCGAGGACTTGCTGACAACCAACGAGCTGAATCGCTGCATGGCCGACTCCTCAGTCCTCAAGTGCGCTCCCTTTTAGTTCTCCATTCGACTTTTTGCCTGTTATCATGCAAAGAATCCTTCCTCTTGAATACTCCACCGCAAAGCAGCCTCTGCATGATCCTTAGAAGACAAATCCAGCTGGTTTAGTACCTCGGCTTCTTACATGATGCCAGCTGACACAGGGCTGTTGCCCCACAGCTTCCCAGTCATCAAAACTCGCTACGTGGCTTGATGAAGAGGTTGAATTCACGGTGCTGGTTAATGGTTACCCATCACCACAGGAGCGTGGCCAGTTTTGGCGATCTGGACCTGGACTACCTGGCGTCCATCCACGAGCTGGAGGCAGGCGACGATCACATGCTCAGCTTCGACGGCGAGTGCGGCTCCTCGCTGCACGGCGGCTGCGCGGCAGCTTCCAAGAGGGGCGACGTCCTTGCGCGCATGCGCAGCGAAGCCACGCTGCCGTCCTCAAAAAAGAGCAACCCGCTGTCCGCACTTGGCCCCGATGCCGGGCTGCAGTGCGTGCTGGACTTCCTCGCCTCCGACAGCCTCAGGTGCGGGGCCACATGATGTTCGTTGCAGGGTTATCCTGAGATAACAGGGGCTCACAGCTTAATTTCTGGTTATGCAGTGCCTGCATTGGGGAGGCAGCAAGCACGGTATCTCATAAGCGTCGGTAGCTGTTCAGTCGGTCAGACATGCTACCGCATACATCTGTCACAGCAACAAGTCTCTCACATTGTCATGCTAAAGACCAATTGTTTGTGGAGCTGTGTCGCAGCGCTCTCATCTGCATGTTTCACTTCTGAAGCAATGGGAGGCGGGCGGAAATGCAGCTCTGATCATATCCTGTCTTACCCGCACAGGTGCCTCCCTGAGAAGCAGCGCACAGCGGCAACCGAGTCGGTGCGCGCACTGCGGCTCAGCTGCCAGGCGCGGCAGCAACCAGATGGCGAGGAGAAGTTGGGTCGCGCAAACTCGGTGCCCAAGCGCAAGCGCACCAATCCACCACGCTCCAGCAGCTCCAAGAGCTTCAAGGCCGACGCCGATGCCACCGCCGCCGTCTGAGCAAGCGCTAAGTCTGGCGATGAGCATATCCGGCGCACATGGGAATTTGAATTCGACAGCTGAGGATCGAGGAGTGCCAGCTGTCGCAGCTGGAAATCCAGGAGAGAGGAAAGTGGGTCACACGAAAACGGCATTGAGTGCCCTCTGAATAGGGGTTTACGTAAATGTTGCCATGCTGAGTATTCAGCCGCACCAGCCATTGGTGACATTGTGAGGGCAGCATGAAAATCGAGCAGAGTCCAGAGTCTTCATTTTATTCATTTCAGCACCCGTGCGTCTGGCTTGCACGCGCATACCCAATTTTGCAGCAGAATTATTTTCTCCATTCAGCGTTGTTCGAGGAGCCAGAGAGGGGGGGATTTGGGAAAAGCAAGACAAGATCGGTACAGGGGGTAACTTCCTTACTGAGGGTATGCACCTGCCAGAGAATTCCCTTCTTTACCCATGTGTATCTGACAGAATTGCCCACAATAATCAAAAGCAAACAGTGGCCGCCAGTGGACTTTTGAAGAGGAAGGTGATGAGGGGAAATACACCAAGAGAAAAGGGGAGCAAACTGCTGCTGCTGTACAGCCCATATGTGACAGTGCAATGCAAACACAGCCATCAGTGTGGTGAGTGGTTGAGCCTGTATATCACTGTGCAGAGCTTGTTGAAAAGAACGCTATGAGGCAATGTGAGATGAGAAGATAATATGAAGCAAAGTTGGGAATTGAAGAGCTGAGCGGTCTGCATACGGTCTGGGTAGCAGCAATTTGTTGTCCCTCCAGAGTGCTCTGGCATTGCACTGCCAAGCAGCAAGACAAAAAAAGATCAAGCAAGACAAAAGAGCGCTGTTCAAGAGATCCCAAGGCCTCTGTTTGCAGTGTTTTGATGCATCACTGCGTACAGATCAAATTGTTCATTCAATTTCTACTTTTTTGCATGAGCTGCACTAAGCAGCTTATGCCCTGCCTGTGCAGATGATCATGCCCCTGTTTGGGTGATTTGTTGCTTTGCATATGTTGAGTGCATTTGAGAAGAAAATTTTGGCGAGAAGCCATTTCAGGCCTGTGCTGACACTGGTGTTTGTTTTAGGAGCTTAGGGTGTTGTCGGCCCCGGCAAGCAAGTGCAGCGCTTAAATTGCCTGATGTCTTGCCACTGCTTGGGGTCGCATGTGTTGTCTGGAGTTTGCCAGAGATCACGGGAGCATGTTGGTGTTTCTTGTGTGCAATCTGCCCTGGCTGATTGTCATCTTTGCCCTTGAAGATGCTTGCCTTGATGAAGTTGTGAGTACAGCATGTGCATGACAGTGCCGCTGCATAAGCTGCATTGATACGGGAACAGCCGGCACTTTGTGTAATCAGACATCTTGACATTGATAAGCATGCAAGCCTTGCCTTTGCAGCTTGTGCAGCTGCATCACTTTGGCTGTGTGCCCACTGTATAGACTACACTATACAATCTATCCTTAGTGGTCTAACATATACCCAAGCGCTGGGCATTTGCCCCAGTGCTCACGAAGTGTCCTTCGCATTCAAAGCCTTTACCGCAGCGATCCGGAATCCGCGAATTTCGGATCACCAGGCCCTCAATAATATATCAGTGAGTCAGTGAGTGTTCGAAAATGGTTGGGCTGCCCAGGCAAGCATGGCCCAGCACAAGCATTCTACCAGAAAAGAATATGCAAAAGAAATTTTGCAGAACAGATTTGACAAATTTGCACAACAAGATGGCACAATTGTGGCCACGTGCTCGCTATACGATACATGGCATAAATAATACTTGTCTCATCAGCAACACGCCCCTATCCCAGACATGCCTCCCTGAGTGCCCTTTCGTAGTCACAGGGGAGGTGGTCATTGAATCCCGGGAACGCCAGCAGTAGAACGCGCATCAGCACCCTCATGGCTGACTCATCAGGATCCTGCGCAGCAAACACAAAGTAGATCAAAGGCTCGCCTTGTGCATGGTTCTGACACTCTGTGCCCACAGTAGCTGCTGCAGCTTTACCATGCACATGCAAGTCTGTGCAGATTAAATTTGAAGCGTGCTGATCATCAGCTGTTTGCTCTTTCCTTTGGCATCTCAGTGCAGGTTGGAGGTTTTCCCTCCCCTATGGCAGGCTCAATTGGGGCGGACGCCGCACTCATCACATCTCAAACTGAGAATATTAAGCCTTTCATTGATGTTCTTGCAAGATGCATAACGCACTAGGAAGCAGCATGCAAAAACAATAACACTTGCGATGTCCGGCGTGCCGTTTGAATTTCAACTATCACTTTATTTTAGGTGTTTCTCGCTCACCCTGAGGCCAGTGCCAATCTTGGCCAGGGACAGAGCATACGCCATAAAGTCCTCGCGCGCTTTCCAGACCCTTACGGTCCGCGGATCCGCCTCCTCCCGTAGAATACGCGTGCGGCGGCCCGAGTCCGTAACAACCGGGATGGAGGTTATGTAACGCTCCAGCCCGTGGTGCTGATAGCCCCATGCCGGGGGCAGCTTACACACCTGGATCCCATGCAACTTACCAACTCATTTCTGCTTTATTTGGCACGTTAAGATGCGAATCCCTAGTCAAGCAAATAGCAGGTTCCTTGGACCATGCTAGAGGGCCCATGTGTGGATGGTTTGCGTTCAAAACTGCGCCCCATTCATGTTGTGCAAGAGGGTTATCTGGAGGAATGATCAATGTCTCTTCTGCAAGCACAACCAAAAGCCTCCATGCAACTGCGCCCAGCACTCTGCATGAAGGATGCACCAAGTGACGAGTGCGCCGGGCTGGCGTGTAACAAAATATCAAGTCAAGGAATTAACGCCTCTAGTTGTTGCGCACCAGGTCTAAGGCGTGCGCGTAGCGGAACGCCTTCCCCGGGTACAGCTCACCGATGACTCGCGCTGACTCACCGTCCCCGCAGCGCGGCGCTCCAAACGTGAAAATGCCGCCGATGCTGTGTTCCAACCCCGGAGCCCTGCAGCGTCAGCACTAGTCAATGATCTTTTCACGTTTCAGCCTTTTTCCCAGAAGCTTCATGAAAAACTGACTCTGTGATCAGATCCCCTGGGACTCCCTTTGCCCAGACTCCTTCTGCTGAGCATGCCCTGTATGACATATTGACAGAAACTGCCTTGATACTACTCCAGACGAAGTGCTACGCTGTCAGACTGACTGAGCAGCATCACAGTCAGGGGTTCTAGACATATCTGCCTTTCGGGATAAACTGCCACGTCATCATGACATATGACTTAGTCACAAGTTCAGTCGTGCCTGGTGCCAGGCGGTCAGCAGCATGTGCGCATAGGTTGACAACCCTGGGGTGTTTATAACCTGAGGGGCAGAAGGAGCGCGAGGAAGGAGGCGAGCGCGCCGCCCATGCTGTGGCCGACCAGGAAGATGCGTTTTCCCCTGCCCGCTGATGTCAGCAGGCCCAGGAGTGAGTCAGCGACCGTGCTGCCCGGCCGGGCAGGGTCGGGCTGGTGCAGGCCTGCCCACAGCCCATCGTGCACCTCCCCCATGCCTGCACAGCCTCAAGCATTTTCTGCGAGGAAGACTTAGGTGGATAATTGCCCAGATCCTGCACCCTATGAGCCTGTCAAGTTTCCGCCCATCCTTGTTATTCTGCCTTTGTTCTAGGCAGGCTATCAAACACGTTTACAGCTGATATCCCCTCTATGCTGTGAGGAAACAGATAGGTTTAGTGTAGACAGCTGCCCTCATACTCAGGAACAGCCCCACGATTGTAGGTCACCTTACTTTGTGGGCTGTAAGATTTGGAAACCACTGAAGAGAAAGCTACTCTCACGATGCAAGGAGCTGTCCTCATTCAACCAACGGCATGTCCTTATAGAAGGCATGTGAGATCAGTCAGTCCAGGGTCTTGCAGAGTGTCTAAAGATTGGAGGGAAGAAGCGGCAGGTAAGCAACCTGGCCTGTAGCGCTTAATGCAAGGGGGGTCTGCGCGCAGATCCAATTGGTACAATGGGTCCGCTCCCTTCAGCATAACCACCAACGCCCTCTCGTTGCTGCACCCGCACCTGCGAGAAAATCACATTCTGCCTTGTTATTATATATTGAGGGAGATGTTGTGTTGCGGCTTTTGCATCTTGCAGCGTGACCCTCTGTGACAGCTGCCTGCTGATTATGCGCTGCATGCTTATACGGTAGTATTTGATGGTCACACCAACATGAAGGTAATTTTTTGATGTGCCTGTCGTAAGTGAATAAGCGATCTCACCAGACAATGTCTGGCAGCCAGCAGCTTCTGTTTTGGCGCCCATGTAACGATTCACCCCGGTGGTACTGCATGCCCCACCTGTGAGCCTCACCCGAATGCTCACGAAGGTAGAAACATCAAAATCAATAGGACCTTCATTCTGTTCAGTCATTGAGATATAATCATATGAAGCCATGAGTGCAGTGCAGATCCAGCATCATGAAAAGAGCGCCAGGCTGGACTTGGATTTGAGCAGTAAGTAGGCGTAGAACGGCCAACCCAAGGCAGCTTGTTGCGCGACTTTGTCCTGAAAACAATGCAAATGCAACACCAAAAATGCAAGGAGAAGGCACAAAGGAAAGTCTGGCTGTGCTATAGTAAGGGTACAAAGCTGCACACCTGCTCTCGATAACATCGCGCACAATCCTCTCGTCCTCGTAGATGAGCTTGGAGCACATCGCCAGGAAGTGGGCATTCCTCGGGCAATCCACCTCTCCCTTACTACCCCTCACCGGCGCTGCAGTCGGCTTTGTGAAAGCCCCAGTCTTGCGCTGCGCTGTCAGAATCCTTCTGCATTTTCTCAATGCTGCACTCGCATTTTGCGTGCTTGCTGGAGAGGCACCCATATCTGCTGGCTTGCTTGCTTCGGAAGGAGCAGTGTTGGCATTCTCTGGACAGACAGACTCTGGTACTGCCGGGCTGATATCATCCTGCAGCAGAGACAGAAGAGCTGCGGCGCGCATCGGGGGCCGGCGGCTGCGGCTGCTGCCGCTTGTGGTAGGTACTTTGATTGGGTTGTCGAAGGGGAAGCTCTGGGCTGGGCTGTATGGCAGGGACAGGTCCGGGCTGAGAGCGCCCAGAATCGAAAAGGGCACCTTGTCTCCGCTCTTCAGCTCGTACGCAGAGCCTGCATGCACCGGGCAGCAACCACCAAATTTAAAAGATGCATACACTGCAAATTGCACCACTGTGATCCATCAGCTTATTGTCGAGTTGTTGTTGCCAATAAGTCATGGGTTGCGCATTGCTATGGGCTGTACTTCAAAGTTTAGCTCTTTTGCGATGCACGGCTGCTCTCTCAAGCAGTAATGGTACCTTTGCAAGAGTCCGGGTCATAAGAATGAGGGAGGACCTGTGAGAAGGGACAGCAGGCGCTCAGCGTCCGCCCGGAAGCCATGCAGGAGGTTGGGCACTCCGAAGAAGCTGATGAGGTGCAGCGTGCCAAAGTAGGCGAGCACTTGGGTCATGAATGTCCATGACACCCGGCTGGCCTCCACAAATCGGCGCAGGATCAGGCGGCTGCGGTCGATGTGCTTGGGCCTGAATGCCGCTGCGGGTGGGGAAATGCACCCAAGCAGCCCATCCTCTGAACAGGAGCACAAGGCATCAGCTTGCAGTCAACCATGAGCAGGGGGCTCAGGCTGCGGCCCCTGTAGTAACACTGACAGGTAGCAGTGCTGTGCCTTATAAGCTGCACAAGATTGACAGAATGAAAAGGTGTCTTGGTGTGTTAATGAGCCGTTATTTTCCCTTTCAAGAACATTTCTTGGCAGATGGATCGTGCCTGGTGGTGCAGCCCGGTAATCGGACGGCTCCTCGTAGACGATGTGTGAAAAGGTGTCCCAGATGCCCAGCAGGATCGAGACTGGCCAAAATGCCACCTTGATGACTGTAATTCTCAAACAATCCCATTTGTCGTTTGCGATGCCCTGCAGATGCAACAGAGGTTCCTCGAACGACGAATGTTACTATTGTTTCAAACGATTGTGATGCAAAATACCACATTTGCTCACTTCATCTCCAATAAGTGCTCGTCGTAGCAAGTCGGCCTTCGCCCGTCTCTGACGCTCTTCTCGAGGCGTCGTCGGTGCACACATGGCGCAGGTGTTCGCGAACTCATTCCATGGCCTGGGTGTCATGATTTTCTTGATTTTGAATGATTTTCCTTATCTTCTCCGAGCTCATCTTGTTTCTGTCGCAGCGTTTTGAGAAGCCCTCTCGGAATGATCGCGTTGCTGTTCTTGGACAGGTTGAACCCCATGCAGGTGGCCACATTTGGCATGGATCTCAGTCGCCCCCTCCTTGCCCCCTCCATTCGGTTGTACGTTACTATTGATACCCAATAAGAAAGGAAGTGGAAGTGCTAGTTAGGTAAAGGGTGGTACAAGGTGCTTCTAGTTGTTGAAGTGTCGATTGCTGCTTTGACATCAGTGAGCTCAACTCTGGTCCCATCTATCTTCATACTTCTTGAGGCAGTTGTGAGAATAAGGATAGCAATCTCATCATCGCTTGATGTAGTGTATGACACAGGACCCACATTGCCCTGAGGCCTCACTTCTGTTTTGAAGAGCATTGAGCAATCACAAGCCCGGAGGGGTTCTGTCTGTAAGGATTTGAGTATCACTAAGTATTTTGTAATAATTTGAAATCGAAAAGTGAGCAGACGCGTTCGTAGAAGCGTTAACGTAGGCCGCCAGAAGCCAGATCAGCCATGGGCTTGCAAGGGTATGTGGGCAGTGGTGAGGACCAGCGGCGGATCAGACGGCAGGAAAAGGAGCGGGAAGAGAAAAAGAAATTATACGAGAAGGCCAAGGAGCAATCGGATGCCAATGTGGAGGGTGCAGGCCTGCGCCAGTTCGGGGCAGGCACATCAGAGGTGAGCACGCTGGAGCACCTGCAAATCATACATTCTGGGAGACCCAGAAATGATGTCCACGAATGCTCCTCTCTGTTAAATGCCATGCAAAGTGACCAGGCCTTTGGTAGCTTGCCAGTCCCGCTTCACACAGGACCTGATCCAGCCGTAGGATCCCCTCCAAAAGCCCCTGTTACTGATGCATAGCTATTGCTGCTGCTGCGCAGACCCTGGATGCGGCCTTCAAGATAGAGACAGTGGGGCTGGTGACGCGTGAGGAGTTTCTGAGCAAACGGGATACCCTCAGAGACAGGATGGATGAGGCCAAAGCCCAAGCCAAGCGCGAGGCTGACAAGGCCCTAGATCAGGCACGTCACTTCTTGTGCAGATGCCTACACAGAGAGCCGGCCTCTCCTACTCTCGCACGTATCAATGCATTGGTTTCTTATAGCAGTGCCTCAGAGGCTCACCATCACGACAGTGTGCAGACATTGACATACCAGATGTCGATGCTCGGATGGCGATCTATTCCCTGTGCAGACAGTGTTCCTCCCTGGCCAGCAGGCTGGGCTACTGGTGTCTTTATTCATTTCAGCTGGGGATGCATGTGCAGGAAAAGGCAGAGAGGAGTAAGAAGAGGGCCAAGATTGCAGCGAAGACCAAGCTGTCATTCGCGCAAGACGATGACGAAGACGGCGATGGAGAGGTGTGCAAGAGATTTTACAAATCTGGGTTTGAAATTAACAGCAAATTCACAGGCGCCTTCGCAAGGCAGAGAGCTTCCTTGTCACATACGGTACACCTCAATGCCCTGTGCGCCTGAAAAGGCATGAATGTTCAAGGCAATAGGAATTGCTGGTTGTTGCAGGAAGAAGAAGAAGCAGCAGGGAATGGGCTTGAGAATGGGGGGTCCAAGGCGCAGGAGCCAAAGCAGGCGGCAGCGCAGGCGGCAGCTTCCAGGAAGCTGGGCAAGGACCCCACAGCTGCCACCGACTTCCTGCCTGACCGCGAGCGAGAAGCTCAGGAGATTGCAGTCAGAGAGCAGCTAAAGAAGGAGTACGAGCTGCGACAGAGGGTGCTCATTTCTACCCATGCCCTCCCCGCTCTTCAGATGTCAGTAGTCTGCCTTGGATCTCTGTATTGGTATCACTGTATCGAGGGTATCAGGTGATGACAGGAGGTGAGGAAGTCAGCAATTTGGGTGAAGTATCAAAACCAGACACTTGTGGAATAGCCGTAGACATTGCACACTGCACCGGCCGGATGCGAAGCGGTGCTTGTGATACACAACCTCATAGGGGCGCGGCATGCAGAGCAAGTTTGTTGTCATTCTCTCAACACTCCGAATAATTATTTCAAGCAGGTCATGTAGCTCTGACTTGTGTTCTAAGCTACACAGGCAAAGTCTGGCGTGTGTGCACATGCAGCTTGTGAGGAATGAGCCGCTATTCTTTGAAACACAGATTTGAGTTTGAGTTTTGGTGCGCGCAGCTGGTGAGGAACGAGCCGCTGAAGATCACATACAGCTACTGGGACGGGCAGGGGCACAGGCGAGTGGTGACCATTCGCAAGGGTGACTCCATCGCGCAGTTCCTGCAGAAGGTCAAGGAGCAGCTGCACCCCGACTTCCGGGAGCTCAGGCGCGCAGCTTCCCCTCACCCTTGTGCACTTTGCCAGCACAGGCTTTGTTCTCTGGGTTGGTCGACCCTCGAAAACCATGGTCACAAGGCTGGTGTCAACCTCCGTCAATCAGCTCTGCACCAGTGGCTTATTGTTTCGCTGATGGCAAGGGCGCTGTCTTGCAGCTTTGCACTCCCACCGGAGCTGATGTGATTTCCTATGAATCACCACACCACAATCATGAAAGGCTAGATTACTCTAGGGTCGGTGAAACCAGCCAAAATTGCAGGGCCTGTCATTTGCAGCAGAGCCGCAACCCCACTAAGTCCTTCCTTATTTTCACACCTCTATTTGCTCCTCTTGACAGGATTCCTGTGTCTTGCAGGGCGGCGTCTGTGAGCAGCCTGATGTATGTGAAGGAGGATCTAATAATCCCCCAGCAAACCACATTCTACGACCTCATATCGTCCAAGGCTCGCGGCAAGTCGGGCCCGCTGTTCCACTTTGACGTCCACGAGGACATCCGCATGCAGAACGATGCCACCGTGGAAAAGGACGAGTCACATGCAGGTATTTTTCAACCTTTGGAACAGATTAAACAACTGATTTGAAGATTTTGTATTAGGCCCAAGGAGCTCCTTGCAAGTTCCATATGCTCCCAAGGGGTCCCGTAATTTGGAGTGCTCCCAAGCCTCTCCTAGAAGGTATCCCATGTAGTGAGCCACTTACTTCTCAGTGAAGTACCTTCAAATGTTGATGTCTGGAGTTTCTCGGTGGCACAGCAAGTGGCTTGCTATATCCCAACAAATCTGTTTGATGCAAAGCTTCTGTGAGCCGTAATGGTTGCTTTCTGAGTTGAGCACTCTGGCCAGCACTGCATCGGAGGATGGAAATAGTTTCTGCATGATTTGTGCAATGACATATCAATGACATACAGTATAATGCGCCCCAAATGGCGGGGGGCGGTATTAATGCTGAGCACCCACGGTTAATCGGGTCTTGCTGGCATCTGGCAATTTCATCAAGGGGCAGAAATATGGCAGCCATTAACTGCAGCTTGTCTGCAGGATGTACCTTGCCTCTGGCAGGAAGAACGTGCAGTAAGAATATAATAATGATGATGTGGGGCTTGAATGAGGAGTGACTTCTGAACTTAAGAGGCTCTGTGACTTCTGACCTACACACGCGGTGATAAGACAATTTTTTGCGCTATTGACCAATGGCATCAAGTTGTTTTCTCTCAGTCAGGTTTCCTTTGTTGTTTGCAGGCAAAGTGGTGGACCGGCATTGGTACAACCGCAACAAGCATATCTTCCCAGCCTCAAGATGGGAGGTCTATGACCCAGAAACCAACTATGAGACATACACCATCCATGGCAATGAAGTGAAATGAGCGTGCCTTGCAAAGCAGGCATGTAAGTGTTATGCTTGGACGGAAACTTGGCATCGCCACTGCTCGATGTTGAGTGGAACGGACATCTGTACACGTGAATTTTGCACCCATGTGCCTCCCCTGTACCAGGGAATTAATAGCAGATTTCTTTGATGGCAGAAAATTATGAGAGGAGGCATGCTTTTTATGCGTAGAGAACATGCAGACATCAAGACAGAGTAAATATGTGCCAGGCATGTGCATGGGGTAGCCCCGTGGAAATTGTTTATCCAAAATGTTGCTTACAACTTGCCACACAAAGTGCGGCGTTGCAACTGTGTGAAACTTTGTCTCTACGACCAATATATTAGCACACATAACATGACCACACACATCCTAAAGGACCTGACTCATGAGCTCGTAGCAAGCTTGGGTCCTCTATCAAATTCAGACGATAAAAAAACCTCCTGTCTTGGTTGTACACCATGCACAACCTGCCAGTTCACTGCAAAAGGACAGGGAAAAAAAGTGCACACGTTCACTATTCCATGATACAATTCAGACTCTCCCTTGCCACGTCTCACCCCGCAAGAGTTCCGCAATCCGCCAGTCCTCATCCCAAGTTTTGTAGTTTTGCATTTCCAAGTCTCTGCAGCAGCTGCCAGCAGCCCAAACTTTGAACTCAATCCTCCCTCGCATCCGTATGTTTGCGTCATAATTAGGTTGCCATTCCAGCACTCAATTCCAGCCAGCTGCTGGCACTAACAAGACATAAAGACTGCCAGTGACCCAGCGATCAGTCGCTGTGTCAATACAGCAGCAGTTCCAGAAATGCCTCTCCTTGCACAACTGCGCAGGGATTGTATTGTCATGTCAAGAGCCAGAACATGGTTCGTCAGCTTAGCTAGGGGTTCATTCAGGGGTGGATCACTGTGTCTCACCCTCTCGGCAGAACATGCCAGCCTTCCTTTCAGAAAGACAGTCCGGGGTAATTAAATGTGTTGCAGCGCTGGGGGCCAGCTCTGTTTAATTTGCACAGCTAGGGGGGAAGGAAGGTAAAGCTGATTGTACAATAAGAGAGTCCCGTCAGTCTATGATGTCAGCGCAGAGTGACGTCACCGTCAGCGGTGACATCAGCGCGTGTTTCAGAGACAGCCCGCGGATCGTAAAGGCTAAGGTCACAATTCTAGCTACAAACAATTCTGGCAACTCAGAAACCTGGCTACGCTCTCCGCCTTGTGTGCCGTCCACTCCTGGGCACACTTTCCAATCCTGCCGCTTTGACCGTCCCTTGACAGCAGATCCTGGCTCAAATTTCCGCCTGATCGAATCAAATCAGATGCTTTGGGATACTGTCAGAGCCAGCAGAGGATGTTCCATGTGTTGGCCGGCAGTCTCAAAAGGTTAGGAGACTGACTTGGCCGTTGCCAGCACTCTCTGAGCGTCAACAAATACATGCTCCAGCAGTCTTATGCATTCTTTGAAAAAACACGAGGGCACCTCGCATTTGTTGCTGCTGGATCCAGCAGCCAAACAATGTGTGTGTCTTTCGTTGCTGCATCTCCCTTGATGACAAAGTCATTTCCCATCCCTCACTGCAGCGCTTCCCACTTGGAATCGGCTGCCACCAGTGGACTGACCTCTGCAAGCCGGCAAGGCTTGCAGATCCAAGATGTCCTCCGTTGGGCACTCCTTTGCTCCCATCTCGCCACAAGATCAGCTTTTGATCTTTCTTTCTCTGCAGGGACGGAAGTCACACAATTCTTCCAGGGCTGGCAGACTTTCAGGGCCGCTTCCTAGCAGCGGGCCCCACTCCCTAGCAGGTGTTGCTCCTTTGCATCTTCTCACTTCCCCACAGAGTCGCATGGGGTCTTCAAACCACGAATCACTTGTATGGAGAAGCAGTTCTCCATTGGTATCCATGACAGGACCGCGGCAGGAGCGTTGCAGGTTGGCGCACGCTCCCGTGTCTTGATGTGCGCCAAAGGGTAACGCTCCTCCCAGTGAAGCCGGCCGGGAGATGGCCGGCTCGCGGCCTGTCACGAGTGCTCGACAGTATCTTATTGCCTGCGATCAAAGCGCGGAGAAAAAATTTTGTCCCGGGGGGCGGCCGCGGCGCGGCGGCGGCCGGGGTGAGTCATCCAGGTGGCTCATCGGGGTGACTCATCAGGGCGCCTGCGCGGGCCGGAAGAACGGGCCGAGGCGCCACTGGAGTGCCTGCAGCACCTCGAGCTCCAGATCGGCAGCGGCCGTGGCGGCAACTTCTCGGTTGTGCACGTGTGAGAGCATCGTGGACAGCAGCTTCTTGTAGGGCACAAACTCCACGTTCTTGGCTGCGATGTAGATGCAGGCCAAGTGGATGGCCGTCAGCCTGCAGCAGCACATCATCATTGGTCATTTCTTCCCTGCTGGACTTAATTTGTGATTGTCAAAAAGATAAAACTGCACATTTTAAATATAAAATTGAAGCATGGGAGAGAAGACTGGTGTTTGGTGACGGTCTCCCCCTCACTAAAGAGTCAGCATGGTTGCAGCAAAGGCAAGCAGTGAATTAGAAGACCTTGTGTTGTGCCTTTTACAGCATGACACTCCAATCTATGCTGATGATATTGCAAAGGAACGGCAGCAGTGCATCAGCGCTTGGGCCAGCGGCGCACCAGTGCTTGGGCCCGAGGTGGATGTGGGCGGAGCCGATGGGGCGGTTGGCGCGCGGGGGCGGATTGGCCGGGGTGGTCGCAACAAACGCGGTGAACTCCGGCGTCGCGCGCGCGGCGGCTAGCAGCGTCGGGTCGCGCGCGGCCACGCGCTCGAAGTAAGCGGTGCCGACCGAGATTGTGCAGGGGGTGAAACCGTACATGGTTGCCATGCAGCCGATCAGGGACTCCTCCGGCACTGGCCGGTAGCTGAAGTTGCCTGCGTGTGGCAGAAGTGATCAGCATAAAGTTCTCAAAGTGAAATCCCCAAAAGGAAGTCGACAAAGTCTCAAAGGTTTAAGAGTAAGTCTCAGCTCTTCCTCCCTTCTTGGCGCTTGCACTGCCTTGTATGTCTTGCATCTCTTTCTGATAACGACTCTGAGAAGGTGCCCATCGTAAGGTAAGTCAGAAGGAGCCTCTTTTCACGGTAAGTCTCAGTAGGTGACTTTCACAAGGTGAGGCCCTCTCTGGTGTGACGCAAGAGGGGTGCATCACATTTGAAGAGGAAGGCCTCATCATCAAGATCATCTGATGAAGATCTCATCATTGGTCATCATCATTGGTCATCATCATGAACTTAGTGATTGCCAGCTCAGCCAGTTGATCATAGCACAGCACGCTGTTCTGATTGATGGAACGATGCTACTCATTGTAACCATCTGGATGTACAGATTTGGTGTCAGCTGAAGCACAGCTCAGACTCTTGTCTCATCCAGCTTTGAGAGCTTCTCAAGATGATCTACCAGCAGGACTCACCAGAGGATGAGGGAGATGTGGACATTGCGCAGGGGTCTATGACCGCAGAATCCTCTGGCGAACTGCATGCGTCAAAGTCGCCGCTGTATTTCCGCTTGGGCACCACAAAGCTGGATCCTGCGCACCACAGAAAATCCCCGCTCGTCAACACCTACAACCTATCTGAGCATTTGCTTTGCCACTAGAATGTCACACTTTCAGATGCTGCAGACATTGGTAAGCATCCGAAGCTCATGCAGGTTGCCAACACCAAGATTGTAATTCCTCGCTACAGGGTCGCTCGCAGCCTGCAAGTCAGATCAGCTCCACCCAATGCATGCCAACACTGTGTACCAAAGACAGATGCATACAATCATTGCTCCACAGCACAAACAAATATGGCAGGGTGGGGGGTGGCTCTGAAAGGATCCGCCTCCCCACTGCTCTTGGAAAGTGCCACCAGCAAATCTGCAGTGCTCACTGCAGGGCCGTTCACCGGCCACACGTGATTGCACCCGCAGCATACCAACAAGCTTCCACAGAGAGGCGCACAAACAATCCACAGGACTGGCAACATGGTGGGGATGGGGGTTGGGCTCACCCTCGCTCTGCTGGCTGTCCAGAGTGCTGGCGGATCGGCAGCGCGCGTCCTGCTTCACACCCTCCCACGGATGCGGCGATTCGCACTCCGGGCCGAACTGTGCCGCTGTTGGGCTGGCGTCCTTGCATTCCAATCCCTGTGCACAGCCCAACCTATTCAGCCCCATACTGTTGACAGTTGAAGATTAATACACCCTTACTGTGCCACAGTCCTGTATAATCCACCAATCAAAGCGGCTGCGGAACACATTCAGAACTACGGCTGTCTGTGGGCCACCTACTTCACCCCAAGGGGTGCTAGTCGTCTTTTAGCGCTGGCTATTCACAAGCTGCCCTGTTTAGTGATTAAGGCAGGTGCAGCAAGAACAAAACCGATGGTATGAATGATCCAGTGGGGATGAGGTTGCGTTGCACCACTCCGGGAGAATATTCCCCGGGCCCTGTTGGCTGCAAATTGCATGCAGTGGGTGCTTTTTGGCCCTGCAGGGCATGCTGCAGGCACGCACCTCTTCGCAGAGCAGCAGGCCTGTCTCGTCGGTCTGTGGCTGCGCAACTGGGCTGGGGCCAGGTATGTCCAGGAGCAGGCTGAAGTCCAGCTCTGACTGCAGGGAGGCCAGATTGCTGCAGGAGCCGTTCTGAAGGCTCCTCAGGCGCTTGGCTTCGTGCCTGCATTCAGCTTACCCCCTTCAGCCCGCTTCGATCTCCTTTCTGGCTTTCAGCAGAGCTGCCTTGAGTCAATGTGGACATGTGGCCAGTTTCAACTTGGCCTAGGTCTGACTCGTACACGACGGACCCCTTTAAACACAACCAAAGGCGCGATCGTGCAGAATCTGCATTGCGTGCCGCAATGCAATGCCCTCGGATGCTGGGGCCGTGTGACACATCGAGCTGAAAACCTCACCCATGGGAGGCGCGCTCCCAAAAAATTGCGGCGGGCACGACACGCTCGGCCAATCTGGAGGCACCCACCCAGTGCCAGGGATGTCAGAATACAATGCCCCGAGTCTTATGGGTGGAATATCTATATCACGCTTGCCTCCAAGGCTCGAAACCCTGACTTTGAACTTGACGGCAGGAGCGCCTCACCTGAAGTCGGGCGATGTGGCTTCTGCATCGAGCGATGCTGGGCAATCAGCGCCGGTCTGGCAAGCCGACATCTGCGCTATCGAGCTGCACGGCGTGGGTGCCGTCGAGCATCCCGCCTTGCGCTTGCTGGGCACCGCCAGCGGGGCCGAGCTCCCACTGCACTGATGGGCGGGCGGAGATATTTGTCCAGCCCTCGAAATCGATTGACATCCATTCGCCCATGCTCGGCGTCCGAAATTCATGTATTGATCACAACAACGTCAATGCATGCACGGGCGCAAGGTACGACCTCGTGAAGACTGCCAGCGCAATCTCACATCCCACAACAGTGCCGGAGGTATCCCAACACGCTGTGGATCGACCTTGCACCGTACTCGCGTCAAATATCTGGGTCACAAAAGAGCATCATAACCCGCTTGAACTTGCCCGATCAAAGAAATCTCAAAGACCCCGTGAGGTGGCATACGTGGCGCCAAATTTGGGGTTCTTGGCGGGCGCGTGTGCCGTCATGCAGTGACACTTCACCCGAGACTTCCCCAGATCCACCAGCAAATGAATTCGATACTGCGAAATAAGAATAGGATTCTTCAGGGGATACTTTAAAGAGAGGGAAACAAAAGTCTGATGCATTGTGCCCTGACTTCTCTGCACCTGCCCATGCACCTGCAATTTGATATTTGTCAAAGGCCCATGATATTTGTCGATACAAGAATGTCTTTAAGTGCGCAGTAAATATCTAGTCGGACACTTTCATTCCCACCAACCTAGGTCTACAAATCATTGTCACATCATTGCTAATGTGCAGTGCATACCGCAAAACCTCTACATGCAAGACTAGCAACAGACTCGGGTCCCAAAGACAAATGCACTGCCAATCTGCAGCGGTACCCGGGCAGACACTGAAGAAATGACCCAAACATGCACGCCCTTGCATGCGCACATGCGCAGAAAGCTTTCTCCTTTTTTCCTCGATTTCAATCCGATTGCAATCATTCCACCACATGCACGACCAGGAGAAGCAAGTTCTAAGCTGCGGTGCTCAATATGTCCTGGCCTTGGGAGGAACGTGCTCCATCTCTGAGTCCATCGGCTGATCGTGCACCGGCCTGTAGTCAATCCTGACCTTGTCCTGCACGGCACATGTATCCAGACTGAGCACCTTGTTGGACTGACGACGATTGCATGACATGCTGCTCTATCTCGCTGAAATTGGCGGAGTAAGAAGTCTATCTCTACTGGTTGATCCTTTCCAGCCACACAGGGCAGTACTGCTTGGAGATATTGCGAACAGATGCACACCCAATTTCTTCAGCAGTTGATTAAACTCTCAAAGAGGTCCTCCAATGCGGCATTGAAGCCCTGCTGAGATCAGCATTATCTGCTGGGTAGAGCAGGGCAATATGGGCAGGGGTGCAAGCAGGCCGTCCTTTTGGCATGCCAAAGGCACAGGAAAGATCAGGACCTTCCATGACAAGGCTGAACTAACAAATCTGGCCTATCTGTCAGCAGGCTCATTTGCAGTCCACTTCACTCACTACAGAAAGGATGCACCCCCATTGGCTCTCACCTTGCCGGGCGCCTTGTAGTCGAAGTAGCCGACGGTGTGCTTCATCCAGTGCTTGTCGTCGCGCGTGGTGAAGTCTTCGCGCGCGTGCGCCCCCCGGGACTCCTTCCGCTGCTCCGCGCTGTGGATCGTCACCGCGCCGTTGATAAGCAGGTTCTCCAGCTCCATTGCCTGCGCCAGAACAGGACACGCTTTTCGAATTTGAACTCAAATTTCAAATGCGCACTGCTGCTGCGAGGAATCAGTGAGGACACAGACAGGACTCGAGAGGACAGGATCTAGAAAGGCAGGAAGAGCAGCCACTCATGACAATGACAGCTTGCAGGAGCTCAATGAGTTAGCTGCAGAGCGGAAACTGCTATTGCGCAAGTTCTGACTGTCCCAAAAAAACACTCAACGCAGCGCAAACCACTACCAGCACGAGAGATATCTACGAAGCTTCCCTTGGCCATGCGCAGTGGACCGAAACAGCAAAAGCACAAAAACTGCACAATAGTATTCGGCAAGCGCCCATTGGTAACCAGAGCAGGCTGCGCACCTCCACCAGGTCAGTGTTCCACACCATGGAACGGTCCTTGAGGCCCACGTCATTTAGCGACTCAACAATGTCGTCCACCTTCTTGCACCCCTCCTCCAACGTCTCCTGTAGTGAGCAAACAACCCAGAAACTTTTAAATCTCTGTTTGCAAATGCGCCAGGGCACCCGTTCTCAGCATGCAGAAACAGAAAACAGGCAACCCCCGCTTTGCTCCGAGGCGCCATGCAGTTTGTGCTGTACACTTGCTACTTGGAAGATCCCTTTACAGAGCAGGGGGACCACGTGCACAGGAGCAGCTCTGTGAAGGGCAGCGATCATTGAACAGTTTGCCTCGGCTCTCACAGGACAGCTCCTGTGAGTGCCAAACCCCAACTCCCCAGAGGCAAACCACTAAAACGCAGCACCCCGCACAAGAAGTCAAATGGTGCCTGGAGTAGTCAAGAATATTGAGGGTCCATAGACATCCCAGGGTCCAGTACAATCAAAATACGATGGCACATGAGCGGCGAGTGTGTAGCGCGCCTGGGTCCTGAAGACGGCGGCATCTGCTTGCATGGTCTTCTGGAGGTTGCTGCGGATCTGGGCCACGCTGAGGGGCCCCTGTGAGTGCCGCAGCTTGTCCAGACGTGAGATCGTGTCCTGCCCAGCGTCCGCCGCCAGCTCCGGCTGCGACTCTCCTGGCTTGCCCTCCTCGGCTGCGCCCGCGCCACAAACAAGATTAACTCTCTTGCACCTTCAAAGTGGCACATTTGAGGACTGCATGCTGAGCAATTTGTGCGGCAATGATACCTGCTCTTTAACTTGCAGACCACCCCGCAACAGAGCTCAGGCGGCCGGCGTATCAACAACACACACTCGGTTCCCCACGACCTTTCTTAAGAGCATAATAACACTCGCGCCGGCCCAGCGTAGTGTGCTATTGGCCCACTCCAGATTTAAAATTTAGCGCTAACCCACCCATCGCAGCAGGAGATAAGGGCAAGAGGGTATCTGGGGGCTCACAGATGGTGATGGCGCAGGCGCGGCCGAAGACGACAATGTCCAGCAACGAGTTGGCGCCCAGCCGATTGGCGCCGTGCACGCTCGCGCTGGCCGCCTCGCCAGCCGCGTATAGCCCCGGCACGATGGCGTCCGGGTTGTCCTTTGTGGGTAGCACGACCTGCCCCCGAAGGTTGGTCGGGATGCCGCCCATGTTGTAGTGCACCGTGGGGATCACCGGGATGGGCTCCTGTGCACACGGGAGCAGAAAGAAGTGGTGAGAGAACTGTGCAGCAGCAGGGATGGCATGCGATGCACTGCATCTGCTGCTCTAGTGGCCTGCCTTCCAAGCAGCAAGAAGTGCATGTTACGGTGAAAACCACAAAGGAGCCAGGGTCATTTTTCCATGGATCCCAATTGGTTGCTTGCTCACACATTCCGGTTTCTTGGCTATGCAGGCACACAGGCATCCTTCTGACCTTTCGTTGAGAGTGGACAAAAGTTGCGTCTGTGACCTCTTGCTAAAATAGAGCGGACATGATTTGCAGCACAGGAAGGCATTGCAGCCGAACATGATCAGCCACGGGGATCACAAAAATGCACCTTGGTGACATCGACGCCGGCAAAGATGGCGGCAGTCTCGGAGATGCCGGGCAGGCGCTCGGCCAGCAGCTCAGGCGGCAGGTGGTTGAGGTGCAGGTACACATGGTCCTTCTCGGGGCCGCACCCGCGCCCCTCGCGGATCTCCATCGTCATCGACCGCGACACCACGTCCCTCGACGCCAGGTCCTTCGCCGTCGGCGCGTACCTGGCCGGAACAGCAAATTTCATGTCAGGTCCGTTTGAATCATCATTCAAATTCAACGTTCAACAATGTTGACTGAACATGCTGGCGAGCGACACCAGGCCCTTCGCCGTCGGCGCCTACCTGCCGAGGCAGTTTGAATATAAGATAGGAGATTCAAATTCATACTTGCAAATGGGTGGTATGCTCAGACTCCCACGGCGGCCACCAGGCAATGCCAGCAGGGATCAGGAAGCCGTCTCAAGGCATGTGGTTGCTTCCCTTAGACGTTCCTGGTTCCATCTTCCAGAGCGCAAGAGCGTTGCAACAGGGAGGGCTGAGCTTGGTGTGCTGAGCATGTTCAGGCTGGCATTAACAGCATGCACAGAGGAGGTGGAAGCTTCTGCTCGACTTTTGCGATGCCTGCATGAGATGTTGCAGGGACCGATGAAAGAGCTCACCGTTCCATGAAGCGCTCGCCCTCGCTATTGCGGAGGATGCCGCCCTCGCCGCGGGACCCCTCCGTGATGAGGCAACCCGCGCCGTAAATGCCTGTCGGGTGGAACTGCACAAATTCCAGGTCCTGCAGTGCGCCAGCAGCGACCCTTCAGCCGGTGCCTTCAGCCGGTGCAGCCATATAAAAAATGTGCCAGGAGGTACTGGTGCATACTGCTGCTGCTAAGGTTGGCGGACAAGCAAGCAGGTGCAGAAGCTGCACTTGCAGTAGCCAGCTCATGCCAGTCAGCACTTCAATCTAATTGCAGCAGGGGGCTGCATGGGTTATGAAACTGCGGAGGTTTGTTTCAGATCCAAAAACCACCCGCACGGAGAGGCCGTCTTACGCTGCAACACCAATGGGTGAGCAGATTGAACACAGGCATTGGTATCAACGCATGGGTCCTGAAGTTCATGTGAAGATGGATCCCCCCACCTGCAGTGGGAGGCCGGCGCGCGCGGCCATGGCATTGCCGTCCCCGGTGCAGGTGTGCGCTGAGGTTGCAGAGAAGTACGCGCGGCCGTAGCCGCCGGTGGCTAGCACGGTGTGCGCCGCGCGGAAGCGGTGCAGCGTGCCATCCTCCAGGCACAGCGCCATCACTCCCCGGCACGTGCCGCTGTCGTCCATGATCAGGTCCAGTGCAAAGTATTCCACTGCGCGTCACAGCAGGACCATGGTCAGTCATCGCTTCTTTGCTTTGAGGCTATCAAATTACTGCACTTGTATGCACAAGTGGCTGTTGTGCTTTGCGCCTCCCTTATGCAACTCCACGTCCATTGTGTTACACTGGACAAGGGCCCAGCAGAGCAGCGAAATGCACACATGAGTAGATCGCAAGGATTGTGAAGGCAGATGCTGTACATCACTCTATTCAATATGCCCCCCAAATCTAAAAAATGAGGATGTGCAGATGCCACAGGATGTGAATGTCACTCAGCTTATTGCAAGAGACCCTCTAAAAAGGAAAGTGTAATCATATGGCAGCAACAAAGATGGAGAGTCACGCACCAAAGAACTGGCAGTCGTGCTTCATGCTCTGCCCATACAGCGTGTGCAGCATGGCGTGCCCGGTACGGTCAGCCGCGCATGCACACCTGTATGCCTGCCCGCCCTTGCCAAAGTCCAGGGACTGGCCTCCAAACGCGCGTTGGTATATCTTGCCCTCCGGCGTGCGCGAGAAGGGCAGCCCATAGTTCTCGAGCTCTGTCACTGCCTTGGGCGCCTCGCGGCACATGTACTGGATTGCGTCCTGCGCGCATATTCAGATGGAACACTTGAAACAGGGGCAGGCATCTGCGAATACTGATGCCAAGTTTGCATACTGATCTGCTGTTTGTGACAATGGTAATAGAGTGTCTAGTGATAAGACAGCATCCATTTTGCATGCAGTATTTCTGCTTGTGCTGAAAAGAAGAAACGTGCCTGATCGCCGAGCCAGTCAGAGCCCTTAATGGTGTCATACGCATGCCATCTCCAGTCGTCCTCTGACATGTTACCCAGCGCGGCATTAATGCCGCCCTGCGCTGCCACTGTGTGGGAACGCGTGGGAAACAGCTTTGTGATGCACCTGCCAAGACATGAGTATATGTGTCAACCTCTGTTGGGGGAAACGTACTTAAGCACTTTCAATGAGCCACAGACATTCCTCACGAAAGAATTTACAATCTTATCTAATTCTAAAAACGTTCCAACAAGAATAAAACATCACAATACATCCTGCCCTGTCCCCTAGACATGTGCACGCGATGGAGCGTTGAGCAACCCTAAAGCTGATAAAGATCTGAAAGCTGAGGGCTTTGCCATGAATGTGGCATGATCGTTTGTAAAATTGTGGAGGGACGTATATACAGTCTGCACGTCGGTTCGAGTGATGACCAAGTCAGGTCTTTGTCCTACTAAATATTGTCAGAAAGCTTTGCGACTCACGCTGCATTGAAGCCTGCCTCACACAACCCCACGGTAGCTCTGAGGCCCGCTCCACCAGCACCTATGACAATGGCATCGTAGGTGTGGTCTATGATCGGGTAAGACGATTCAGCTGAGAAGGATCTGCCACTGACGCTGGCAACTGCTGTCCTGCTGGCTGAAGTCCCCAGCAGCCTTTTCGCAGCCTGTGCTGCTAAGCTGCGCATACCCATAGCGCCAATCTACACAAACTTATTCTGAACGAGCAGAGGAGAACACGACGAGACAAATCGCAGTCATGCGCCTTGCTGTCATGACGTGGAGGCATTCTCGTGACGTGGAGTTACACCGTGGCCGGGCTTTATTTCAGCTTCACCCAGCTTCTTGAATGCCGCATGCACGCGCCCGGAGCGTATTGTTCTCTCTCTTGTCTCTCTCTTCTCGTTGACTCAAAATAATAAGAAAGCTACATGCTTGCTCTTGTTAATGGCTGTGTATGCTCGGTCTGCTCAAATGGGTTCGACAGCAGCTAGGTCTAGAGAATTGGCTCACCTACGCGCAGAAACTCCTGGATGTCTACAAAGGATCCACTTTAACAATGCAGGTGTGTGTGTTTGCTTCCTTGTGTTCAGCGATTTCATGTTGTTGCGTTGTACTCCAGTTCGCATCGAATGCTGCGCTTTTTGGCAGGGTCGGCGTTGTGCACGCTTGACGTTGTGAAGAAGCAGCAAGACTACCTTGAAGCAGAGTCTTTGTACGGAGGGTAAGGGATCCCTGATCATCATTCCACATTTGTTTCCTGACACGATCCTTTCACATGCCCCTTTGGGATGTCAGTCACTTTGCGCAGGTACGAGACTGTCGAAAGCCAGAGGGAAGCTTTGGATCGGCCTTACAAAGAGTTTGCAACGATGCTGAACTGCTCACCGGGCAACATTGCCATTCTGCAGAGTGCGACTGCAGCATGGATGCAGGTCTGGTGATGGGGATGGTCTATCATTTTCTCTTTTCAGCCAATAGCCAACCCATTTTGAAACTCACAGTAAGCACTCAACCCCTTGGATCTGCAATGCTTGACAAATTGCCCATCGGGTGCAGGTGTTCTATGGCATTCCCTTCAAGCAGGGAGACCGCATTCTGACAGGTGTCCATGAGTATGCAGCCAATTACATCGCTTTCCTGCAGGTCTGTTAAACATCTGCACTGGTGCACTGCTATCTCAGCCTGCATGAGTACAGCGCACTTTGCGGGCTGCGTCCCTCTTGGTGATACACTCGCTTAAGCGTCTCTTGGGTCAGCTATTGCTCCGATTGAACTTCGAGTTCAATCATAGCCGCATACAATGTACATAGCTCCTCTATTGGATGCAGAGTACAACCAAGTACACCTCGTGGTGGGGAAATTGTCTATCCAAAACATCAGCAACGGATGTGACAAATCTATACAACTTCCTATCTTGACTGGTCTGCAGCCATGTGACAGCTTGGACTGTATGTTGCCGCAGAGGGTGAATTTGACTTTGAATGCATGCGCAGGTAGCTAGGAGGACCGGCGTCAGGATTGAAGTCATCCCGGAGGACGCCGACAATGATGTTGACATAGCAGCATTGGAGGACAGCATTGTACGCGGGGACAGAAAGCCTGCACTGCTGGCATTCACACACATCCCCACAAATTCAGGTCTGCTGCTCCGCCCACCCCCACCCTGCCCTTTATAATCCTCGCCCTTCCTTAAGCCATGCAAAGGTCAACAGCTAGCAAATCCACTACTTTGAATCTCACACTGTCTTATTGGAACACTTGCATAGCAATGATGGTGTTGAGAAAGTCAAGCATAGCACTACTGGCGTGCTTGGAGGCTGCAGCATCCCAACGCCTCCTTATCCTGCAATCTACTGCGGAGCGGCAGCTTGCTGGTGTGTTGTGTCAACCATGAACTACGAAGCGCTTGAAATGCAGCATTTAATTGCTGTGCAGGTAGAGTGTACAGCGCGGAGGCGATAGGGGCGGTGGCGAAATGCCATGGAATTCCTTTTCTGCTCGATGCTTGCCAGAGCATCGGCCAGATGCCACTGGATGTCCAAAAAATTGGCTGTGACTGGTTGAGCGGCACCTCTCGCAAGTACCTGAGAGGCCCCAGAGGCGTCGGGTTCCTGTATGCTTCAGAGTGAGGCTCTTATTACCTGCAACAGAAACGCACAAGTTGCAAGAACTCACGTTTTTTGTGACAATCTGGCCCTCTATTGTCTTGGTCCTGCCATTTCTGCTGCTGTGTCGGTGCCTGCCATTACTGTATTCACAAATCCCTTGCCATTGTTCCTGCAGCTTTACATAAGATTACCTGTCATTGATCAACCAGCTGCAACCCTATGCTCATGGGTTGACAAGGGCGGGGTTGAATCCTGGGAAGAATAGTATGCCATGAGGGCCATTTGCAGCTGTTGAGCATAACATGTGCATGTAGCGAGGCAGTGAGGAGGTTTGAGCCTGGAACTCTGGACATGTACGGAGCAAAGTGGACGGCAGAGTCAGAGTATGTGATGCTGCCGGACGCCAAACGATATGAGCAATATGAGAAGTGCTTTGCTGCCGTGGTGCGATCTTAAACTCCCCCTTTGCCCCTTGACATTCACTTCGCATACATGACAAAGGGAATCCTGCATTGTGGATGCACATGTGAGGTGAGGCTGTAAAATGAATTTGGATTGATCACCACACTTGCGTATCTCCCAGCAGGAGACTCTCACACAAGTTTAAAGTCCGCTGCTCGCAATTTGCGTGGTCACAAACATATGGAAATGCATGACTTGATGCTTGCAGGTTGGGCTGGGAGCTGCAGTGCAGTATGCGAATGAACTAGGCTTGGACTGGATTTGGGATCGGGTGCAGTCTCTTGCAGCAACTCTGCGCGCACAGCTCTCAGAAGTGCCTGGCGTGCAAGTTCATGACAAGGGGAAAGTCCTGTGCGGCATTGTCAGCTTCACCAAGGTGTGCTTTTCCTCTCTGGCCCTCTTGACTAGTACTTGCCAGGCTCTTTCCCTGACAGACGCTTTTAATGTAACAGATGTTTCTTCAGGATTGTGCATGTATATCAGATACTGCCCAGTGTGTTCAACAAGGAGTCTCATGCTTGAATGTGTCTTGCCCACGTTGTCTTCAATGGTGCCCAGTGCGAACAAGTTATGACGGGTCCAACGAGGAGTGAGATCTTGCCCGCGGACGCACTTTGCCTCCTGGCAGGAGCAGTCCCCAAGATGCAGTAAAGTTTTGGAAAATCTGGGATGTGCTTTGTAAGCATGCAAGCCTTGTTGCGAGCAGGATGGAATTGCACCAGGCCAGATCAAGGCTGCTCTGCTGGAGAGGGGAATCAATGTGAACACATCATTAAAGTCATCTACGAGGATGGACTTTATGAAGAATGGACTCCCCGATGAGGGAGTGGTGCGGGCCTCCGTGCACTACTATAACACAGAGGAAGAGATATCTGCCGTTGTGCAGGCTGTGTTATCAATATTTTGATTCTGTGAACGTGACATGTCAGGCGCTATCATTAAGCTTGGTGCCTTGTGTGCCTTGAAAGTTCTGTCCTGCAACCAGGGGAGATGTAGTGGGTGTGTCCAGCCATTGTGAGCAGAGAGGGATTGGTGTCAATTTTGTATTCTCAAGCGTACACGCATTGTCTTTGTACCATAGATAGTGAACTGGCTAGGAGTGTTTTGAATTGCTGATTTCACAGCTATAGATATCAGGAGCGTCTCAGTGCTACCAGACTTGTTTGTCACACGTCCACTATGGCCAGTATGCGGCCTTACCAAATTTCAGAGACAGCTTGTTATTTGCACTGCAATGAGTTTCAAGATCAACTGCTGCTGGCACCACTTCGTGGGGACATTTTTGGTACAAAACCGGTCCATCAGAAGGATACCTTCAATGTTGTGAGTTCCCAGGCCTGGATAGTGTGTGACAGCCATGGCCAGTTACTACAAACATTGCTCTGTGAGGCTAGGGAGGGGTGAGATCATATTAGAATACCCCAGCTTGATGCATTAATTTTCCAGTATTGATGAAGTGAACTTCATTGTACAAGTTCTGATGAACACTAGTGTCCTTCTGTGTTCATCATGTAAGCTCTTCTTCACGGAGGCCATAACATCGTTGTGCGTTCCATAATGTTTCAACAGTCGCAACCAGCATCTTGCAAGTTGAATGCAACAGCGGGCTGACAATCAAAGAATCCAATTAATATGACATGCATACAACATTCACATCCGCTCCTTCCTCAGCAAACAGCACTGCTGAGAAGAAGACAATATGAACACTTGCCACCAATGCAAGAGGATCACACAACACAGCTGCCGCATCAATCCAATGCATCAACCAATGGTGACATGATGTTATGCTCAAAGAGCAGCATCACTCACAGCCAGCAGGGCGGGTGGGGGGTGCATGGGAGGGTCAGCTTTCCGAGGCGGCTGGCTCTGCAACATTGGTGTCAACGGCTTCTTCTTCCTGGGGGGCCGCTGCCCCATTTGAGGCCGCTGGCTCCACCACCTTGTCTGTGTAGGAAACCTGCCGCACATTCACATCACTCAGCATCAGAGCAGTGGATAAAGAATTCTTGTGACAAACCAGAACACATTCAGGCGCAAAAAGAGGTATCCCCAGGCCCTTGCAGCAGACCACAGTGATCTGCATTCTGCAGGCACTGCCGAGCATCATTCGTCACTGGAAATCATTGCCTCACAATGGGAGCAAGGCAATCCCTGGAGTCACAACTGGATACAGCACCCTCGAGTGTCAGTGACACGCATACACTCTCACACACACACTGAAGCTCAATCTGGTGCACGCCCAATTCTCAATACCAGGGTTTCTTCGAGATAATCTGCCCAGATTATTCAGAGTACTTCTTCTGGCCGCGTAAAGACGCTTGGGAGGAGTTGAAGTCAGCCTTAAAGAGCAGGCCGTGGGTCTCAGAAAGGTAGAGGCCCGTATGAGATTCCTGTACAAGTGTCTCAACGTGTGATGCTTGAGGTAAAGGCCCTTATTACCGTAAATGGCGGATCCACGGGACAACAGAACTGCACTCTTCGCGCAGCTCACCCGGCCTAGACGGGTTTGAGGTTCTGCAAGTGACCCTGCAACTAGCACAGCCGCTTGGTAAAAATCGAGCATGTAATGCGGTGGCGCGGGAGTCTCACCTGCACCATTGCAGCGCGCAGAAGCTGCGATCCGAGCCGGAATCCGCGCCGGAACTCCTTTAGCACGGTGCCATCAGGGACGTCGTCCCTCTCTTCGCGCATGATGGCCTCATGGAACTCTGGGTCGAAGGGCGTTCCCACCCCCGCCACAGTCTCCACCCCCAGAGACCGGAACGCCTCCACCATCTGCTTGTACACCCCCTGCCCGCCCGCAGAAAGTATTCTTACAACACTCTGTTACAACATTTTGACCCTGCAACCATTCACCTAAATGCACCGCTTCAATTCCCCGTGAAAAAGATTACTCTGAAGGCCCCTCCCTTAACCTTGAACACAATCCCCGTAAACCCCAAGCAGAAAATGTAGTGAAAGTATTTTCATGGCTGCCCATATGCATGCGTGAGCAGCATCTGTCACCAGACGCTCTCTCTCGTCTCAGGTGCATTCTGCAGATATCTTTGGAACTTGTGCAAAGCTGAGGAAGTAGCCAAAATGCTTTATTATTAGGCAAGAACCGTGCTCGCGCTAGTATGGAGCAGGCTGGCTCACCTGGTAAGCGCCGTCGATCTTTTTTTCGCCCTCGGATTCTGGTTTGAGGCTGCCCTTGGCCATCTCAAAGCTGTCCACCACTGCCAGCAGCGCCTTCACAGTCTCCGCCTTTGTCCGATCCTTCACCTGATCCTTCTCTGCTGCCTGCCACATGCACAAACTTGATCAGCAGCGTTAGATAAATCTTTGTGCTTACCCGTCGATGCCTCTAGTCTCGCTGGCTCCAACACACTCTCTTCTGACACGTCAATGGCTCTAGGTTTGCTGGCGCATTCGTTGCCCTGTCTATCTTCGCGCCGGTGCGTGGTGCACCGTCAGCACATTCAATAACCGCCAGCGGCAGTACATAAACAATACTTATTACATGAATTTTGAGTGTAGTCCGAAAGGTCAGATTTCCCCAAGGCTGCAGGATCAACCACTGCACTGCTTTGCAGATGAGGACATAAGATTTCTACTCATACACCTCCGGGGATACTGGCAGAAAGCAGGGGTGGCGCACCGTCCGCTTCCGGAAGTTGTCAAAGTCTGCGTTGAGACGAAGGTAGCGCTCCTGGGATGCCCTGGATGACTCATCCGCCTTGGCCACCGCTGCACTCTGCGCGCTCGCCTCCTCTTTCAGCCTTGACACCCCAGCTCTCAGCTGCTCCTTTTCCTGTATACCACACAAGAAAGAATTTTATCAGCGCTCCAGCAGAATCACACAATCCGTTAGTCATCCCGGTGGAGAAGGTGGTGATGCGAGGCGAGTTTATGTGAGGACGTCAGGGAAGAGTCAATTAATTAGTGCTGCATCAGAGTCAATGAGAAATTCATCTGTCAGCCATCCCTGTGGAGCAGAGGTGAAGCAGGCGAGGTGATGTAAGGCAGTCGGGTACATGCAGCTATGTGAATTCTTTGTCCTAGTTCTCACACCCTGCTGCATCAGATGGTGGGAAGAATGTGGCAAGGATCGGGTTCATTGGCAAGCGCTTTAACTCTTCTTCACCATTATCATTTTTCTAGCAGCTTCCCTTGGCATACATACACAGTGCTTTAGGAGACTTTGCATGTGACGGATGACAAACAGCAAAAAATTGGGGGGTCGTGCGATGGCTGCGTCTCACCTCGTCACTGAGAGCACTGGCACCAATCAAGGCCAGGATGTCGCTGGGGGCCTGTTCTGAGCTGTCTGCTGCCTCTCCATCAGCAGCAGAGGTGCTGCAGCACCAGTGACACAGCTGTCAATGCGCCAAAGGCAGAAGAGAAGATACAGGTTTGCAGTGGAACAATCGAACGAGGAAAGGACAGATCGCAGGAGCTTGTTGATCTTAGGATTCTGGCCATAGACAAATATTCGCTTCAGGCTGCTAGAAGATCTGCTCACCTAGGCTCCTCTGGGGCTTCCACCTCGACAGATGTCTCCGCTTGGGAATCCTCCTCCGCTGCCCTTACCAACACCTGAACATCACAAGCATCTTTGCGTTAGTAGAATGGTGCGTCTAGCAGAGGCAGCCCTCTTCACAGCGCGCACATGTGTTATCAATACACAAAAGCAGAGTGGCAATGTGTAGCAATAGATCATCGTGGTAGTAAAGAAGACAAATTCCAGTCTTGCAAACCTGAAAGGGTCAAATTCAGCCAGGCGGATGAAATAGTACAATAAGCAAGGACAGCAGAGCAGCAAAATGTGTTCTACGATCCAGCACCTAATACCCACCTGGGAACGATCCTGCAAGTGGAAGTCCTGCAGCGATAACTTTCGATTACATCGCCTGTCAAAGACGCCGTTGGCGATCACTGCAGGACGCCTGACAGGATAGCACAATCTCCAGGGCAGCCTCAGAGGCTGCGCCCTGGCCGTGGTAGCGCACGGACATGCCATGCTGTTGGCGCTCGTCGTGAAACGTGTTGTAGCCATTGTCATAATTATGTATTGCAGTTTCAATGCACCACAAAAAGCGAGCAGAAAGTGCACCAAAGCCAAGGCTCTCCAAGATGTTGCCTATTCTGGAGGGTGGCTGAGGATGCGGCAGCGCCTAATAAAGTTTCCAGATTGTTGCGAGATTGCACCCGTTATACACTCGCACTCGGTCCTTGAATGCAACAAGAGAGGTCAAAGATTGTTTGCTGTCATCCTGCTGGCTCGAAAGCCCACAACTTGAGGGGCGCCCAGCACCTGCGCGCTGATCGTGTGGGCCTACCTCGTCGTTGATAATATCCCTGTCAGTGCAGCTGTAGGTGCAGGCATCTGAGACCAGCAAGCAGAGTAGTGTGATGCGCTGAGGGATATCAAATTTTCAAGATGACCGCGCAGCCCCTTCTTTCCCCGCTTCCGAGCTCGCTTGCATTCCAGCACGTGCAGCGCCCAGCAAAAGTACTGGTTGGTGGCAGCACTTTGGGCCGCCTCCGGACTGAGAGGTACAAGAGCCCCTGGCAGACCATGCTGGAGCAGTCGGGCGGCAGCAATCCCTTGGAGTTGAGCACGTCAGGCCGGGAATCGCCCCTGTTTCACCTCTACAGCCTCAGTTTTGACACAGAACAGGACAACCGCATGCGGCAGCAGCAAGAGTTCTACTTGAATTACGGGAGGGCTCTGCGTGTCCTGAGGGAAGACATACCCAGGTGTGCTTCTGTCCGTGATACTGCTGCACTGTTTGTTACATCTCCTGCTTCAACGTATATGACAGAGCCAGGCAGAGGCGGTGCTGACAATTGCGGAGATCCTGCAAGCAGGATATTTGAAAGCAGAACACAGAACGCCAGGCAACGCTGGTCGCAGGTTCTTCAAGGGGGCGCCTGACACCAGCATTTTCACAGAGGACGTGGTGTTCCTGGATCACATCGGTCCTCGCATCGGCATGATTTTCACCACAGTGAAGGGCAGAAAGGCGTACTCCCAGCACATCTGGCTCCTGCGCTTCCACTCCAGCCTCATCTTCAGCCGCTGTGAGGTGTGCACCCGTGCTTCACATCCGACTGTTTGCAGGCACAATTTAGGCATCAGAGCCCACTGAGGCATCTGCAGTTTTGTCTGGGGCCTACAAACAAATTTGCAAAGTAGACCAGCGATCCTCTCGACAAATTCCTTGGCGCTCTGACGCTGATGTGTTCTGAATTGAGTTTGATGTGGTGCCTCTCAGGTGGAGGTGCAGAGGATTTGGGAGAGGGATTCGCGCACAGTGGCAGTTCGCTGGAAGCTTCGCTGCTTTCCTCGCCTGTTGGACCGATCACTGGTCAATTTGGACGGCATCTCTGAATACAAGTTCAACGACAGGGGCCTGATCTACGAGCACACGGTGAGTGGGGCTTTGATCACCCATCTCCCCGATGAGATCATTCGTTGCGAGAATCTGAGCTCTGGTGTGACATGCAAACTTTCCAGTATGGGTGCATTGTCCTCGCATCACTGTTGGCTTGCAACGCCCGTATGCAAAGTGGGTTTCCTTGTTTCCTTTCCTTCCTATGCAGCATAGACACACACTTTCTTTGCTCTGCGGTTTGGAGGTGCTTGCTCGCTCATTCTTTCATTTGTGTGCCTGACATTTCCAATTGCTGGCTGGCGTTTCTGTATCTGAATTGGTGTTATCCCACAGGTGGACATCATAAACTGGGATGACAGCCGCAGCAAGAAGCCAGCGCAGCGGCAGCTTCAGCACAGCTTGTCCACGCTGGCCTGTTGAGTGGAATAGTTGAGGAAGTTTCGAGTTGACGGCCAAGGATGTGACATTCAGAGCCTCTCAGTTTTGGTCAGGATGGTAGAGTCACAGTGAGACAGCAGAATTAGATCACAGCTGTTCGAGATGAGGAAGATTCTCTGGCATGTTGTCCCCGCTCAAGAACGCTGCTGCAATGATATTCTTTTGCTTTGTGAGGAAGTGAGTTTCTCAAGCCAGAAACGACAGTGTTGTGGAACAAGTGTGAATGGTCCGGTTGAGATACTGTTATCAGAGTTCAGCGCTAGCATCAAAATTTTAGTGATGAGAATGTTGGAGAGGCAACTTGAGACAATGAGCTATGCAGATTTGGGATCCTGGGCTCCCAGGCAGCCTGTTTGCTCGATTTTGGTGATGATGAGGTGTGTTTGGCCGTGGAGTGTGCGAACTTGAATGTAGACAGGATTGAGGATGGTAGTCAGAGAGGCCAGTCAGGAGAGAGGCAGATACGCTTGAATCTCTTTGATCGAGGAATCCTAATGGTGTTTCAATATTCCGGTATCTCTTCACAGTATGATGAACTGGATTTAAAGAGCTCAGCGAGCCATGATATTAAAACTGATCAACACACAGTGTGTAAAGTTTGGATTAAGAAAGTGAACTTGCATGCAGATTTTGCACCTCGGAGGTGCTCGAGCAACTCCCTCGCAAATGGCTGTCAGTCAGCTTGCTTGCTCCAAATTGACTTCAGACCGTAAGATCAGCCATGAAACACTGAAACTGCAGTATTGCAGATCTGATCCAGAATACTCCGTAAAGCTGCATGCCCCCTTGGGCGTGTGGCCTGCCAGCTGCTTTGATGTCAACGTTGTCATCATGTCAACATCATAGGTTTCCCAGTACTGCTGCAATGCGGCAATATTGGTAAGCCTGTGCACGAGTTGATATGCTAGGCAATCGTTGTGTCTGCTGCATGCGCATTGTTAATTGGAAGGAAATGAGCATTTGGCCTTTGTGCCTTGCCTTGCATGGGACTCTGCCAGATCTGGCGAACAAGAGGTAACTTCCTTCATGGCGTAGCTTCCAGGCACCCGGGAGCTGGTCGACCTCTACCGCGCTTTGCTTTCTCTTGGCCTGCTGCTTTGATCCCTCAATCAGTTGCTGAGAGTCGTCTGGCCGCAAGTTGAGTTCTTCCCTGATAGGCAGTCGCACCGCTGCTCCTCGTGCAACCGGTCAAACCGACCGATCTGAAACGCTGCGCGCTTGTTTTTTGCACCAGGGTCCCCTGTAAGTGCGCCATCGGTCCGTCAGGGCTGTTGAGGCGAATATTTCACGATGTCTGGCGCGTCTCAGATGCCGCTCCCTGGCAAGGATGCGCATAAGAACGGGAAGAAGCCTCTCAATCTTGTTGCCGTGAACGACAGAACCTGGAGCACCGACGCAGACCTGGAGGGAGCCGCCAAAGAACACTCGGCCCAGGTGCATTACATATCCTCATCCTACATTCCTGAACGTTTTCGTGATGCTCGGTCGCAGAAACTCGGCTTACCGCTTCAGGAGTACCGGTGCTGGTACTCCAAGCTAAGTGTGCAACGCTTCGCTTTGCCTTGTTTATCGTCTGCTCAGCACCAGACGATAGTCACATGTGCATCGACGAGACAAGTCGGGCTAATGCCAAATCACTCAGCATGCATCGAGTACTGATGCTCCTGTGCTGCCACAGGCAACTGCTACATGGGCAGCCTTCCTGGCCTTGTCCTATCGTGAGCTTCTTCCAACACAAACATTATTCGACCTGCCTCACATTAACCTTCCCTGCATCTCTGTGCAGAATGCACTATGCCAGTGCAGTTGGCTGTCTGTCATGCTGACCAAAAACGTGTTTTTGTTCTCAGGATCTGTGGGAGTCGTGTACGGGGATCTGGGTAAGCTCACACAGACACTTATGCATCTCCCAACATTACCGGCACTCCCTGTTAGATGTTTCTAAATCATGCATAGTTGCACTGCTTTTATGCAACTTCCTCTTGAAATCACCCTCTTGCATGCCTTGCAAGCTGCAGACAGGAGAACAAAACGAATGTTAGGCATGAACTGGAAGCCCCCTGCATGCTAAGCCAGGGGGAGATGGCACATGCCAGACTGGCATTGCCAGTAGCTCATCTGCCTGCTTGTGATGCTTTTGAAACCTTAATTATCCATGTTTATGTTGGCTCTCACGTTGTGAAAGAGAGAATTGCATGTGCAGGCACATCCCCGCTGTACATGTGGCCATCCATATTCAGCAGTGCACCTTCTGAGGAAGATGTGATTGGAGCGCTGTCACTGGTCTTATGGACGCTCACGCTCATTGTTGTCATCAAATATGTGGTGCGATTTTCTATCCTTGCATGTGTCATTCTGGACTTTTAAAGACTGCAAACACTGTGCAGCTATGCACCACACCTGCCTTGGCGAAACACATCATCACCAGCAGAGACTGTGCGAAGCAAGAGCATGCATGCGCCTCTATGAAGCTGCACGTCTTTGCTAAAGACATCATCTTGTGCATTCCGTTGATTAGAGCAGACTTCTACTTGGAGTTGCTTGGGTGGGTCGGGAGTTCTGACTCTGTGTGTGAGAACTGCAGGCCATTGTGCTAAACGCCAACGATCACGGGGAGGGTAAGCGCTCTTTTTCTGCCTGCTGCTTTGGGATGTGACACCCGCTTGATGCGCTTGCGCATCATAGCAAGGCCTTGCAAGGCAAACCCTGCTTGCTGCGCTTGCAGCGCTTGCGCAGCACGAGCAAGAGGGGCCTTAACTTGTAAGGGGGTGGCCCTTGGAGCCACCATAGATCGAGGAATTCCCTGAATGGGTGTGCCAATATTGCTACGGACCTTCCTTTGAACATTACTTTTGCCAGTGTGTTCTGAAGCCACCTCAACCTCTCAGCACCCGCTCGGCAGCACATCTGGCCTGCACTCGTGCACGGGCTAGCCACCTTTGTATAGTTCAATGGCGCAATTTGCGTTTTTTTGGCAGGGAATTCCCCTTAATGTACCGTAATGACAGTTATGTATCTATTTACTTATTTGAGACTCGCCAGATCCAAGCAAGACGCAATCAAGAATAGGCACGGTGCTCAGTAGTCACACCGCACCCGCCAGCCGGGGCGCCCATGAATATGATGACAGTAATACTTACTGCTATCGATGGCTTTGCAGGCGGCACATTTGCCATCTACTCCCTGTTTTGTCGCTACGCCAAGATCAACCCCATAGGCGCTGTTGAGGCCAGTGACAAGACACTGCGCCGCTACAGCACCAGCCAGCGCCGGCTCATGGAGATGACCAAGGGGTACAGCGCTGTTCACTCCCTCTCTCTCTGTGCAGGCGCACATGCATAGCACTTATTGCAAAGAATACATCTCTTTGGAGCAGCCAGTTGGCTAATTTTGTTTCTGGAGCTTGCATGCATGCTTTTGAAGCAGAAGAAGAGAGGCCTGGCCCCATCTGTTATGCTATGCAAGCAACTGTAAAGCGAACGTAAGACTAAGACCGAAGAAAAATTCTGGCAGATTGCGGAGCATGCGCTCGTTTTTGCAATCTGTGCATGCACTGTCCATAGCACTTGTGTCTGCGTTGGCAGCATATAAAGAGGACTGAAGTTCGCATGCCCGCAAGACAGAGTTATCACCGAGCACACTTATGTGGCAGGATGAGGTGCGGGGACAGAATCTCACTGGCCCTGGAAAGGCATGCATGGCTGCGGACTTGCCTGCTCATGCTCGTGCTGCTGGGCACATGCGCGCTGGTCGGGGACGGCATCCTGACACCTGCCATCTCTGGTGAGTCACCGCTTACTCACTGGCACGCGGGATGACTCACTCTTGCCTCCACGTTGACCTGGCGGCATGCAGCTGATGACACCTGCTCCCTAGGGGCCCGGTGCTGGTCTGCAACAATACTGCTTGAGCAGATAGCACAACTGCATTGCTGTAATTCTGTGGTTGCATCAGATTTTTGTCGCATTCATGCAGCAAATAAGTGCAGGCCATGTGCCTGTGCAGTGGTGTCGGCAGTCTCGGGGCTACAGGTGCCGGCCAGCCTCCTGGACGACTCAGGCCTGCCTAAAATCAGTAACGGTGAGTCATTGGCTTTCCAAAAATTCCTCGACTTGCTTTAGGAGAAAGCACGTAGATTGCTGTTGCAATAGTGTGGATCCTCATCGTAACATGTCTTGTAAAACATGCATGTTGAGAGAACGATATAAGCGGGTCCCACTGCCATGGCTGCCGGATACTTTGTCATTTTGAATTCGAATTCGAATTAATGTGTGCGTGCCTGAACAGGCGCCGTGGTCGGCATAAGCTGCGCCATAATGGTGCTGATATTCGGCGGGCAGCGTTTCGGAACGTCCAAGATCGGCTTTGCATACGCGCCAGTGCTCTTCCTCTGGTTTCTTTCCAACGCAGCCGTGGGACTTTACAACATCGCCACCGCCTACCCGGCCATTTTGAAGGCATTCGCACGTCCTCCAATTAGTAAATATTACCTCAAAGAAGAATTCTGGAGTTGAGCGCAGCAAAGCATGCATGGAACTCCAGTCCATCTGGCAGCCAACTGGCTGCAGGTGCATTTGTAAATTAGTCAAGAAACCATGAAACATCCATAGGTCTAGTGTCCCAAGGCACTCCTGCACCTTCACTATCCAGCTTGATTATGTCGTGCAGTTGTTACGGCTCCTCTAGCAAGCTGCCAAAACACACGGTGCTCTTGCATTGCGGATGTACTGTTGCAGTCTCAAAATGATATTGATATGCGTGCGGCAGGCTTGCTCCCCGCACTACATCTTCACCTATTTCATCCGCAATGGCCTCACCGGCTGGGAGAGCCTTGGTGGCATTGTTCTGGCGATCACAGATATGCTCCGCCTCCTGCTTCAACAGTGTCTGTGATAGCTTTATTACGGTGCTGCCCAGACAGGTCCTGCTTGCAACAGCTTGTGAAGACCATTGTATGGTAAGGCTTTCAGCAGCATTGTGAGTCTGGGGATTGACAAAGGGGGTGACTGACATGCATGTGTCTTGGTGCACGTGCTGAGGCGCTGTTTGCAGACCTGGGCCATTTCAGCAAAGGGACCATCCGGGTGAGCAACCCATTCTTGGCTCCTGCCCAATCTTTGTAGTGGAATTGGAATTGACTTTCTGGCGAGAAGCCAGGGCAGCACAGGCAGCTTTGGTTGTCTAGCAGAAGGGCTGACTTTGGTTGACTTCCCCTTAACCCTCTTTCAGTTGTTACAAAATTACAGATGGCTGGGGTCCACACCCGGACGCTCAAAGCAATGTGGGGTATCGATTGCATGGAGGCTGAATATGTCTGGCGTGAGTGTGGTGGGCTCTGCTTTGTTCTGCAGCTGAGCGCATTGGGAGTGGTGTACCCCTCGCTCTTAGTAATCTACCTGGGGCAGGCCGCCTACCTAGTGGCCCACCCCGACTCCTACAGCTCCCTTTACTACAGCGCGCAGCCGACAGCTGTCTACTGGCCCATGTTTGTCATCGCCATCCTGGCATCCATCGTAGCCTCCCAATCCATCGTCACGGGTGAGACCCATTTTTATGATTATTACCCGCGTTTCCTGCCAAGAGGCAAGGTGCGTCTGCAGACAAGCTGCATGTGAAGGATGCCATGAACCCAACCCCTGGATGGACTCGCCAGATATGCAAGGCCCAGTCCACCGTGGGCACGGTGCTCAGTACTGAAACTGGCCCCCGCCAGCCGGGGCCTGTGCATGTTACGTACCCGAGCATCCCTGCTTCGGGAAAGCTTCAGGAGCGCAATATTCTGAGTACGAGTCAAAAGTATTTCTGGTTTCACCCAAAACAAAGACTTTCGCTCTCTCTGTCAGCAGCCTTATCCCCAGTTTTGAGACCTGCAGCTTTTCGTGTTGCCTTCGATGGGTTTGAGCAACCTGCCTGCACTCGGCCATGCATGACTATGGCTCATGCACGACCATGACTAACCATGACTACAGTGCATGCGTGACCTCACCATGTTCTACACCATTGCCTGTGCTTGGAGGTCCTGCACAGCCGCAACAAAATCCCCCATACCACCTACAGTGAAGTCAAAATGATCCTGATTCCTGATTGGTTGCATGCGCAGGCACCTTTTCGATAATCTCACAGTCCATGACGCTTGATTGCTTCCCCCGGGTTCGCATTGTGCACACATCAGCCAAAGTCAAGGGCCAGATCTACATCCCAGAAATCAATTGGATCCTGCTCACCATCGGCATTGCTCTGATTCTGGGCTTCACGCTGACTCAGCCTGCCAGCTCACCCGTCAACACCGCCCAATTAGGCAATGCCTTTGGTGCGCGCACCCTTTGTTGCTAGAGTTTTTGTCCTCTTCGAGCGTGCTTGTGTGCCTCTGCTTCATGGTGTCTCGATGAATTGCAGCTACAACGCTGGCAATACTGCCATGGCATGAGGGGAACAAGGTTTGCGCATGCAAGCCCAAGGAATTAGATGGCGGGCTCAGCACACATTGCTTGCATCACCAACAGGATTGACCCCGTTCGACTTGCATGTGTCAGGCCTGCCAGGGCTGCTGCAGAGAGTAGTTGCAGACGAAGTGCTCACCGGGAGTCCTTTGCTTCTATGCATGCAGTGTATAGCATGATGCTTCACATGCTTGACGGTGCTCAGGATTTGTTGCGGCACAGAAAAGTTGGCAGAGAGGGCGCCTCTCTTTGCCGAATCACTCTTGCTGCGATGGGAATCTCATTGTGAGGCCTGTCAGTGCAGCCAATTGGCCTTTCAAGTCACGCTTCCATCAAGCAGTCATGACTAAACAATTATGACTGCTTGCATTTTTCTGGCGCTGCAGGCGTGGCTGTGCTGAGTGTGATGCTGGTCACGACAGTGCTGGTATCTCTTGTGATGCTGGTGGTGTGGGAGAAGCCGCTGGCCCTCGTGCTGCCCTTCTTCCTCTTCTTCTTCATCTTCGAGGGCGTCTACTTCACAGCCAACATCCGCAAGGCACGTGCACAATATCATGGCTTGGGTGCAGACTCGTCTAGAACCTTGGAACCTCTTTGAATATGTGCGCTGCTAAAAGATTAAGGCTTGACCTGCCCGTGGACTATATGGAGCCAGCAAAGTCACCGTTGTGCTGAAGAAATGCAGGGGACGCTAAAAATCCCACATTGACTGAAGCCTAAGTAGTCACACAGGAAGCACATTTGTGGCTTTGAAGATCACCCTTGTCGCCACCAGCATGCGGCTGGGTAAGTAATGCCTTAGAGTGTCCCGTTAATTTAATTTTTAATTTTTTTAGGGTGTAGGGTCAAACTCCAAACCCTAAACCCTAAACCATAAGATGGAAGATCGGCAGACAAGGAAAGGACACGCCTCGTGTATCAGATTTTTTTCAAAAAGTTACCCCTCGGGTAACCCGAGGAGTAACAACAGAACAACCTGAATTGCAGACTTCAAGAAGTGGCTGGGGGGCATGCGGGTGCAACCAAATCTGCACAAAGAATATGAGGAGTTTCTGAGCTGCTTTGTCTGGCGCAAAGATGTTGACACTTCTCGTACCACGCTGCAAGGGCCCTGCATCTTACCCTGCAGGGAACACACGTCCCCCCCGCATTCTCAGTCATGTGTCCAACAACTGAGCACCCCCTACGAGCATGTGCCGACATGTGCGTGCGGTGCGAGCGCAGGTGCCGACGGGCGCCTGGTTCCCTCTAGCGCTGGCGGCTGTGGTCATGGCCATCAGCTGCACGTGGCACTGGGCGTCCATCAAGCGCCTGAGATACCACAACGACCACGCCAAGCAGCTGCCCGAGCTGCTGCAGCCTGCACAAGATCACAGCGATGCCGATTGTGGCAGCGGTGGCGACGGTGGCTTGGTGAAGGGCAGTGGAGCAGCACCGTCTGAGTACAAGGTGAGCGACAGCCGAATTCCATCTGACAAGATAATCGGATTCATTGCTTCTGCGCTGGAGTGTGGGCGCATGTGGTGTAGTCAAGGTGGTTTTTTTGTAATTTGCTGTTGGTTTTGCAAATTTCTTAGCAGGGCTTGCATGATTGCAAAGCGGCTTACTTCGTGAAGGCTTCTGAGTGGATAGCATGCCGTCCTGTCCCATCGGCTCCTTCAAAACATTTTGCTTCTGTCACGTCAGAAGCGTGTAAGCAGGGCTTGTCCAAGTGATCAAGCATGTGGGATTGTTAGCATCTGGTTGCGGCGGTCATCACTCATCTCACGCATGCAAGTGAGATTGAATTTGAAATACCCTAAAACTAAAAATTCGAATCGGCACGCGCAGGTTTTGTCGACCGGGGTGACGGTGCCCCGCCAGCCGGGCGTGGCAGTGTATTACAGCGACAGCCTCCGAGGCCTGCCGCCCATTTTTGAGCAGCTTCTGAGCACCGCGCCCGTCCTGCACAAGCTCATAATCTTCCTGCACATTCGCCAGGCGCGCTGCTGCAGTAGATCACTCACAAGATCGCACTCTTTTCAGATGGGTTGAGGCCAACAGCATGGCTTCTGTCATGTCTCTGGCATGCACCAAGATCTGACGAAAGAGGACTTTACTTCTATATGCAACCTACACCTCAGCATGCCATGTTCCGTTGAGGACTTCAACTGATAAATGCCAGGGCCCTGCACAAGGAACTTTCCTTTAGAGGAGTCCTCAGGGGGATTTTGTCATGTCCTGATGTCACCACCCATGAGAAACTTGATCACAATTGCATTCCTGTGTGGGTGATGTCTGTTTGCACGACGGACGAGTAGCGATTTTGAAAGGGACAGATGAGCATTTTCTGGGCCTGGAATCACAGCCTAACTGCAGCATTGACAGGCGCTGGTAGCCTGAACGAGTTCTTACCCCATGCAAAATCAGGTTCTAACTCAATTGCAATGGGCATTGCCAAATCAGATTATAACTCAACGGGTACTGCAAATAAGGTCATAAATTGTGCCCGTTGCCTGATCAGGTGCCAGTGCCGGCTGTGGCGGAAGATGAGCGGCTGCTGGTGAAGCCGCTGGAGTTCCCGGGCTTCTTTCGCGTTGTGGCCCGCTACGGGTGCTCCTTTTTATCTGAGCACCCAAACACTACCCACGCTGTAATGATCATATTGTTGCAGTCCCTCGGCAGAGTACATCGAAGGCATTTGCTCCCCAGGCCAAGCATGGCCGCAAAGGGAGTCTGGGGTGGCCCAGTATGCATCTGAATAACGGCTAAGCACCGACTTGCTGATACTCTTGACGTACACTATTGTTGGCTTGGCTGCAGACAGTCACAGCACTGCAAGAGGTAGAGGCCGTCTGGGATATTCTGGTCCAGAGAGAGTGAGGAAAAATGAATGCTCTGAATTCAAATATTTCAATTCACATTATAGGTACCGCGATCTTGTGGATCAGGGCCCGGCGTTTGTGCGCCTGTTGATGGCACGGCTGCAGTTGGAGCAGCGCTTCGCAGTCGCCTCTCTTGCGGCCGGCGCCACCGTGCGGCCGCTACAGTCGCAGGTGCGCGCGCAAACCGGCGAACATTGCATTGCACCTGTTTTGGCATCTGATGCAGTGTGCCAAGTTTGGCAGTCGTTGCTGTTGGCCTGTTCTGGCAAGTGCAGCCGCGAGCCTATTCTGGCAAGTTTTCTTTTTTTTTCCTGAGAAAATCAGCGTAGCGGACATGCCACCGGCGGCTGCAGTCGCAGGTGCGTGCGCAAGCTGAGATTTCCATGTTCCGGCAATCACCGATCTGCGTATTTTCTGGTAAAGTGGGCGGCTCAATGGGCATACATTGCATTTCGCCAATACGGTGAAGACAGCCGTGTGCCTGATCGTACCTCCACTGCAAGCGTTGCAGCGCAACACCCATTCTGTCAATGTCCGCCATCTGGTTTGTTTCGCCAAGGGGCGTCACACATTATACTGCCCTTGGGTTCGTTTGCTGCGATGTGCCTGTTCGGCAATCCCTGCACTGCGCCTGTTTTGGCAACGCAACTTACAGATGAGCACACATGATCTTATTTTAGGGTTTTCATATTTAGGGTTTCGGTTTTCATCGGTTAAGGGTGTAGGGTTTAGCGATAGTGAAAACACATGCCCTTTGCGCTGGCGACAGAAACTGCAAGGGGTTTGCATTGTTAGCATGCTATCGAGACCAGCAGTGGAATTGCTCCTGCGGCAAATTGTCTAAAGCTGCTGCTGTGGTTGAGAGCAGAATATGGCGGCGCGTAATCAATTGTTTACACAGCATGCATCATCATGGCAAGGGCAACTTTGGGATGGCTAGGTCTAGACCCAAAGCATTCAGCTGTTTAACGATGCACCCAAAAAAATCTATTCGTGTAAATGTTGAGCTTGTGAGCTCTGCTGCAGGCGCTGTCAGCTGCCCTGTCAGATCCGGCGCTGACTGCAGATGACCTCAGCAAGATTGTGTCGACCGGGCGCAGCTTCCGCCTGCCAAGTGGCGCTGAGTACGAGCTTACTAATCCTGTCCCTGCCAAGGGTCCCCCCACGCCTAAAGAGGCTGCTCCACCTGTGCCCACCACTCAGGTAAACCTCTGAGAAAGCCCTCTGCAATCCTTAATTACTCATTGTTGGTTCCACGGGATGAGAGAAAATGACTGCATTGGCTTGTTTACCCTGATTGGGTGGCTGCATGTTAGCAGTGCATTCCTTACATCCACACGGAAGCATTTTGCATCTTTGCTCCATCCTTCTCCACACATGCATAGTGATTGCGATCTTGCGGCTGACAACATCTCAGCCATGACTCTCATCAGGGTTTGAACCGCAAGATGCAAGCAGATTCATTGAGGTTTAGGCAAGGCATGTTGAGGTCTGGCCTTGGATTTGTCACAGGAGCAGAAGCAGGAGGCGCTGCAGAAGATGGACGCAGCTCTGCTGCAGCTACACGAGATTGAGATTGCTGCCACAGAGAACATAGTGTACATCCGCGGCCGCGCCACCGTGCATGCCAAGCCCGGCACCAACTTCTTCTCCAAGCTGGTGCGATGACTCACCCGTGACTCACCCTCGACTCACCTCCTCCCTGCCCACCAGAACTTTGTCTGCACCCTTTGCTTGCCGCCCTGGCACATCTCCTGATGGTTGAGAAAATGCTAGAATGCACGCAAAGTAGAAAATTTAGGCCTTCGCACACACTGACAGGAGCACAGGACATCAGAAAGTGCTCAGCAGGACAAATGTTTGCCGTGTTTATGACAGTCACCAGCAGCTTTTCACACCTCTGCTTGGCTACGCATGTGCGCACACTCTTGGGTGGAGTTTCTGAGCTTCTGGGGAGGACAGGATTTCCGGTAATAATTTCTGTGGGCTGGTTGCGCAGCTGCTGGAGAAGGGTTATGGTCTCCTGGCAATGCTCAGTCGCTCGCCCATTGCAGCATTCAGGATCCCAGCCAATCGGTTATTGGAAGTCGGGCTGCAGTATGAAGTCTGATTTAGGCAGTGCCCCTGCCACAGGGGGGCATTTAGAAAAGTAAGCATAAAAAAACACTAAAAATTTGTTATCAGATGCTTTTCCTGCCAGAGGCAAGGTGTGTCTGCAGACAAGCTGCAGGGGAATGCTGCCACATATCCTACCCCTGATGCACTTGGACGGATCCAAGTAAAAGTGGGCAAGGTGATCAGCTTTTACACCGGCCCCGCCAGCCAGGGAGGGACTACCAAAAGTAATCAAGTAATCAGTAATCAAGTAAATAGTAATCAATAATCAAGTTCCCCCTGCCTACCAGACGCGAGAAGGAGCTAAATTGAGAAAGATTTACGAGGTAGAAGTCTAGTAAATCCTGCAGGCCCATGGGAGAGGGTGTTTGTTCAGTGCACATGGCGTTGAGTCAAGGCTTGGAAATTGCCATGGCAACAGGCTTTTGCAGCAATATAAGCTCTATCGGAGAGCTGCGCAGGTTAATCACTTCCGGCGCCAGTATCAAGATATGACAGCAAAAAGTTGGCTCGAATGAAGTGCTTGAACATTAGACCGGTGAGGTTTGCAGATACACCATCATAAATGCCATTTTTATGATGGGCGCATTCCCCTGAAGTAAGTATTCCAGTCTGTCAGCCGTTGACCAGAAGCTTCTGAGGGGTTGGTCTGGGACCCCAACCGAATGACAGGTGGCCTTTCAGAGCTTGGTCTGTTGAGGATCAAATTGTTGTGTCGTGCAAGGAGAAAGCACAGCTGCAGCTTCGGAATGAAGATTGGACTATACTTTGGCATGCGCATGGCATAGGTAGTAGCGGTTATAACTGTAAGACAGCACTTTACGTCTGCTCTTCTTTGCAGCTTTTCTGAGCAAAGGCGCCACTCTGTCCAGATGCGGGAGTGCCAGTTTCAGGGCTGGCCAAAATTGGGCCAGATTGCTGTTCAAAATTTTGAGATCTGTGCGATCTGTGCGACGGGTCTTGGACATGTGCTAGGTATTTCATGCACCACTAAGATAGACCTAAGACCCCAGACCCCTAAAATCTGGCGAGCTGTGTCAGGAACACCGGCGCCAAGTTTGGCTCCTGAGGTGGCATTACTCATGATGACCGCGCTGTGCGCGGACTAAGGTTCTGGACCCGCATGCCACTTTCTCACGGATCAGTATTTTCTTGTACTTGGCAATTTGCAGAATTTATGTAACCAGCTTTTCATAATGGCAGCGCTAGTTCATCCTGATGATAGTGTACAAGCATGGAGAAGCCTTGGCTTGGCTGCCAAGATTGCCATATCACCGGAGCAGGAGTCACCATGGAAGGCCATTCACCGGAACATGCATGGATATGTGACACCACACACTGCACCTCAGCAATGTTTGGGACCATGCAAGGTGCATTCAGAACACTTATATGATAATTGAGACCATCAGCTGGAGATAAAAACGCAGAGGATAAATCTGATCCGCCTGATCCCCTGCAGTCCCTCAGCGGGCCCGGAGGCATGAAGATATTTGCAGCAGGCCTATCTATTCTGTTCTGTCTAACCAAGCATCCCTCGCTACAGAATTCATTCTCTGTGGTTAGGGCTCGGCAGTAAAAAATTCTCAAGCATGCAGAGGGCGAATCAGTATACACAGCATCAGGGCTGCAGCCGCTGCTGGCTGCCAGCTCTCCGCCTCTTAGTCCTGGCCTTGAACATCTCCTGGACCTCCTCCAAACTCAGCCCTGCACCAGCACACAACAAATCTCATGAAACAAGTGCTGCTCAGCAGACACGCATGAAAGACTGCATGTCAAAAGTGCACCGTCAAATAGACAAAGCCCAGCTTTGTGCCATATATCTTGGCGTGAGAGTACGAGTGCTGTCCCGACTTTGTCGACATCATGTAGGTTGAATAGAGAAGATGAAGAATGCTTGCCTCTGCATGCGTGTATAAACATCTGGGCACAATTTTGGGTGTTGGACAGGCGCACACCGGTCAAAACACAGGTCCACAAACGCCCAACTAGCTGTTTCGAAGCAAACACTTGAACAGAGGATGTAAATTATGGAGAGGGCTGACACCATAAGCAAAAATCTCACCCTGGGTTTCGACAACTGCAAAGTGCGCCCACACAGTGCCAGCCGCGGCGATCGCTGCGTACAGCCAGAAAGTCCCCGAGCCGCCAAGTGTTCCCGTCAGCATGAGGAAGGTTTGCGCCACTAACGCATTCGTCAGCCAATTCGCAGTCGCCGCCACGCCGCAGGCGAAGCCGCGCACCTGTGACAAACCCCCAGGACTTGCTCAGCATAGCCATGACTAATGAGATGAGGGCTCATAAAAGGCTGCAGCCCTGCAGATGTGTTCATTCCCAATCTGAGCCAGAAGGTGGGCCAGAAGGTGGTGCTGTGTGTGAGGAGCGCCTGTTTGAGCATTCAGCCAGCGAGAGCAGCATGCTAGCCCCCGAAGAAGACATCAACGTTGATCTTTGATCTTAAATCTTTACTGATGGCATGAGACTGTTGAAACACAACCAGACGGCTGCGCTGATGAAGTGTGGAGCTGGGATGTGACAGCAGAGCACTATGTCGCACGCCAGCCCGTCGTCCATCATGGAAGCTTATGACAGTGCTACATGAGGTCCAGGCAAATGCACAACTATAACATCTGCACAGAGCCTTCACAGGCCACCAAGGGTGCCCTCCTGCTAGTTCAAGATGAGTTCAGGAGATAGGCAGAGGTAATTAAGGAATGAGCCAAGCAGGGTTTAGGCAGGGGGGACTAAAGTTGAAGTAGTCTTTACTAAGTAGTCTGTAGTGCCCCCTGTTGTAGGGATGTTAGGGGGTTTTGAAGGGCGCGCCTGAGGGGAATAAATCTCGGCGTTTATGGCCCAGGGCACGGGGCCGAGCCCAGGCGAGAAGGCGGCCAGGTAAACCAATAATCCCCCCAGGATGAGGGGCATGAACCCTGAGGGGCACCCGGCTGTGTAGGGGAAATAAGCGGGGGGCCCGTCGGGGGGTCCCGAGGGACAGCCGTCGCCCCTCGCCACGCACACCCCCGGCGCCGCCACGTCGGCCGCCGGGCCGCAGAAGTCGCAGCCCTGCGAGAGTAGTCAGCGATCAGTCATCCAACGATTGTAGATCATACAGTATACGCAACTTAGTGTGCACGCTAAGAGTTACGAAGACCAAGGTTTCTAGCAAAATGCCAATGTGAAGAACCAGGGTGCCTGCGACAAGGAAGTTGCCAGAAAATGGGTATGAACATGCAAATGACGGCCTGTGGGAGCTAAGACCAAATAGACATTCAGAGTGGCCAGCCGTCGCTGTGATCTGCCGGGTACAAATAAAGATGCAGACGCCACAGGGCTGATTGACACATGCCCTTGCTAGGTCAACCTCACAAAGCATACAAGACCAGCGAGGCATTGATGACTTAAGTGCCTCGTCAGGTCTCACAGGCATTGCAAGAGGCTGTCCTAGGACAGGCGGATGGTAGAGAGGCAGGTGCGCGCACCTGCCGGATGCACTGCGTGCACGTGGCCGCGGCAGCCGCCGGGCAGCTTCCGCCGGGCGCCACCGGCGGCGCGTGCAACTCGGACACCTTGAAAGCTCCTCCAAGCAGCAGCAGAGCAAGTGTCACCGCGCACAGGCTGCTCTGCAGCAGCTTCCTGATCCCAACACACACAAAAATCAGAAGCTCTTCATAAGTGCCGATTGTGCCCCTTTGCCCGAGCCATGCCTGCCCTATACACATTCCTGCTATGCATGCTGTAAAAGGGAGTCCCATCCAGGTGTCATCTGGTTACTAATGACCAACAAATATATTTACCCCTCTCCAAAGTCTTCCCCCACCGTTTTCCTGCAATCCCTCCCCAGCACATGACATAGCACAGCATGGGGGCAAACGTTTGCACCCAGTTGCAGCTTGCTTCAAACCTCAAACAATGACCTGTGAAGTGCGTGGAGGCACTAGTCAGTTACACAGATGCCTGAAGAAGGTTCCTTCCTCAAGTCTCACAAGGCTTTATGATCTGACGGAAAAGGGATTAGGTGATGCGCACCTCCTGCCGCATCTGTCGATCGCCACCATTCCCACGACAGTCCCCAGTGCATTGACGGCCGCCGGCGCCATCGCCACCTGCGCGCACATTCCGCACATGACTCCTTTTCTCATTTTTTTTATATCAACCCCCTAATCAGGGTGATCACCCCTTCCACTTTCTCTCTGCCTTGCTCTTCCCCTAGCTGTTAGGCGAGTCACTACCTCTGAATAAGAATATCCTCTGGCCTGCCGACCTGATGGCACACCTTACGCAGTGCTTCAAAATATAACACCCCCCTCGCCTTTGCATCAAGGCAATGCAACTCGAAGGTATGAGCTGCACACAATGTCACCACTACAGAGAAAGTGTGTCAGGGACAATTTGAAATTGCATGTTACCCCTACACCCTACACCCTCAACCTCAAATTATTACATAATATGAAATTATGTATGCTTGTGATGCCGGCATGCTAATGTGCATGTCTTGCCTTGGTGCCTCAACATGAGAAGGGTTCTGCATGTTCCAGATGGTTCCAGAGGTGGGCATAGCAGGCAAGGTGTTCAGCAACATGACGCTGCGAACACAGAATGTTTCAACGCCCTGTCAGAGCACATAAACATAGGGGCCTCACGAGCAGGGCGGTGCGCTTGTCATGCAGGCCGGCCAGCTCGAGGATGACAGGCGTGTAGTACATGACTGTATTGATGCCCGCCAGCTGCTGCAACACCTGCAGCCCCACGCCTGCAGCACAGCAACATCAATCTATGTTCCTTACCATGCTCACTGACAGGTTTTTTCAACAGTGTACAAAAGGCTACCACTGGCGCAAGCACACCGCAAATGTGGATGACTTTAGGACTGGCAATAGAACTGCCAGAAACCTGAAAAGGCTCTACCCCATTCCCCATTCATCCTGCTGCCGGTGATTCCCGCGCAAGTGTTGCAAAATGGCACGCATGCTTTTGCCGAGCATCGCAAGTTTGCACGACTGCTACTAGACTGCTGGCCCTTCCACCAATCACAATAGGAAGCATAACGACGCACAGCAGAATCAAGGGATCTTTCAGAAGGTAGGTCACAATAGCAAGTGTAAGGACGCACAGCAGAATGAAGGAATCTTTACAAAATGTGGATGACACACGGCGCCCATTAGGTAATCACCTATGTGCAGCTGGGCCCGCAGTTCGGGCGTGCCCAGGGCTGCCCAGACGCTGATGCGGGCAGCCCGGTCGCTGTCCACCTGGGCGCTGATGTCAGCAGCCTCCTTGTCCACGTCAGCGCTGGCCACCAGCTTCTCCAGAGCTGCCCTGCCCTCCTCCTGCCTCCCGTGCGCCAGCAGCCACCTGTGCATGAAAGTGCAGAAATATCAGCATCAAGACTTCTCAAAGCAATAGGCATCACATCTGGACTTCCCTCCACAATGTGGCTCATCAATCAATTAGATGCGAGCTGCTCCCGTCAACATATTTGCAGTGCCATTGACTTCCGTGCAGTTGTGCAGGATCGTGTGTGTGAATGCATGCGAGAAGGAAGAGACGTGTTCGTAATGCTATTACAGGAAATGAAATCCTTAGTGCCCTCAGAGTTCTATACTTAGAGTCCTTCGCTGATCTGAGACATGCTGGGCAAGACAGGTAAAAAGTGAGAAAGTGAAATTCGTAGAGTTGTCAGAGTCCTCAGAGTTGTATTCTACTTGAAGAGCGGACCTGGGGGACTCAGGAAGGAAGAGCAGGCCAACCATCTGCAGAAGGGCGGGCACGGCTGCAACCCCCAGCATCCACCTGCGCACCAACAATCAATGTCCGACACTCCTCATTCACTGCAGCCCTTGAGTGACCTGGTAACAAGTCGAGTAGCCTGCTTGCCAGGTGTTGGCATGCTCAAGGAGGCGGATTGCCAAGCCTGCCACAAGAACTAGATAGGTCCAGCAAGAAGTGACTATCAAATTTGCAGGAGCAAGCTTGCAGAAGCAAGCAAGACAAATCACTGCAATCATCACATGCAAGGCAAGCAAGATGCACCGCCAATCACTTAACACATTAGCCAAACAATACCGCTCTCCGCACAAAGTAGGACGATCCACAGTCCTCCGAATAAATATGCTCCTCTCAACAGCACAGATTATAAACTCCAGGCTAAGCTAGCACCACGCACCTCCAAGTCCCAGGCACAAAGGTGAAGAGATAGTCCGCGAGGTAAGCCACGAACTGGCCGCTGGTGATCATGAAAACGTTCACCGTGACCAGCGTCGCGCGTACCTCCGCCGGCGCTGATTCAGCGATGTACACCGGCACGGTCACGGAGGCCAGGCCCACCCCAATGCCAACCAAAGCACGCCCTGATCAGGCAACAAAACATTCACTGGTTTGAATTTGTAAAGCAATTTGAAATCTGCCTGCACGGGGTGTTTTCGAGGGGCTGCCTCCCATCAAAGTCGAGCTTGCCCTGGACGGGCCATGCTGCATGAGATCTGCCTGCATGGCGTGTCCAAGTTTTGGGCCATCAAAAACGCCGTCAAAAGATGGTTTAAATCAGATACCTTCAGACATCTGAGGCATTTGGCTTAGTGGGCATGAAGCGCGATTGAACAGATTCAAAACATGTGCATCCAGAGGAGGTGAAGAGACTCCGTACCGCAATTTCGACCGGGTGGCAGGACATTGCCTTTTCAGCACACAAAAGAATGACATATTGGACACAAAAGGACACGCCAAAGCATACACAGATTTGTGCAGAAGTCAAGGCAGAAGCACCTGCAATGATGACAGACACGTCGGGTGCAGCCGACATGAGCAGCGCGCCGACGGTGAACAGCACATCGCCGGCCATCAGCGCCTTTTTGCGCCCGAGAAAATCGCTGAGGGCGCCCCCCAGCGCGGACCCCCCGGCCGCGCCGGCCACCGCCGCGCTCACGATGGTGCCCTGGATCCAGCTAAGCCTGTATGCATGCATGCACAGCGCGCCTGATCAGGCAGTGCTCATTCCAGAGCTGCAACTTGCCTTGGAAGATGTAAATAAGGTGAGTGAGTGGTGAGTAAGATCCTTAGCCAAAGTGGATCCAGCAGAGGATTGATGCGCAGAACGGAAGGGTGGCAAAGCGCTCTCAGAAAAAAGAATTACGTGCAATGAATGAAGCCTGACGCACAGGTGCAAGCCCAGAGATTGGCTCGAGCAATCTAGTGTTCATGAGCAGCACACAAAGATTGGGAGCGTCGCATGCCTGGCTGCGTCTGTGCTGTAGCTTGACATCACGTCATCCTGCATATAGGGCAGCGCTCCAGAAATGACGCCTGTGTCATACCTGCATGCATGCGCAAAGAACAGTTCATGTCTTTGTAACCAAAGGAAGTGTGATCAGGAGGCATATCACATGTGAGATCCCATGGAAGAGCCTAGAATGACACATTCGATGGAGAGAGAGAGAGTGAGGGCGCACCCAAAGAGAAAACCACCGGTGCCGCAAATCAATGTCAGCAGCCACACATATCCTCTTGGGCTGAGCCTGCGTGAGAAGAGTTTATATCAAGGTTACCCCTTGTTTGGAATTACAATTTTGCCAGTATAAGCGATGGCCTGGCAACAGCACCAGATAATGGGGTACACTGAGTGAGGCATGTCATTTGCAAAATATCTTTTGAGTAATGTGATGCGCACCAGGAAGGAGCAGAGCGCACAGCGGTTGGGTTGCTGTTAGTTTCGCCTTCCAGCAATGCCGCCCTCTCTGACCATCCCACAAGAATATTGTCAGGAACACCACATGCACGCCGGAAAAGAAGTTTAAAATTGTTCAAGCACAGTACGTCCAATTTTCTCAGGGGTGTGGATCCCAGGCGACTTCAACGTCGCCATCTGATGATCTAGCTACCTGTTGCTGGTGCGCTACCGGTCGATGTGTTGGCCATCTCGAGGCCTGCTGATGGGTCCAAGACTTTGGGGCTCGGACCGTTGCCCCGGCGACTGACCTTGTGCATGTCCTCACATGTCTAAATCACTTGCTCAAGGACTAAGATGCGCCATTTCCCTAGTCACCATCCCCAATAGATCTCGTGAGCTTGCGTGGCTTGGAGGTGGAAGGTCTTCTCCTCTCCTGTCCAGGGCAGGATGCCGGCCACTGCACGATAGACACGTTTGATTGATCCTATCGATTCTGTTTGCTCGCAGACTGGCGAAGATTGCTGCTTATAACACGATAAATTGCTCTCATCGCAATATATTATTCTGCTGGCTTTGCGTTTGTCTCGACTTGCGATCCGTGATCGTCTCAAGAATATATACTGGCAGAATTAGAAAGCAATGACGAGGGTACTTATGACATTCGAAGCTTGATGAAAGCGCGCTCACTACACTGACTGCCATGACTTTTTCCAAAGGGCACAATACTCTTGCGAATCTATCGGCTGATTGCAATACGTTCCATTGCCAACTCCTAACCTTCTTTCCATCGCAGCTGCAGAAGGGCCTTCTGAAACCGAAGGAGGAACGTAAATAGATCCATGTCAGCAGAAGTGATGACGTCATCATTTGATCGCCGCCGCAGAACAGGACAGCCGCTATCGAAACGTCTCGGAACAGAATTCTTTGCAATTTCATCGAGCACTTGCTTTGTGGACGGGTCTGCTGATGAGAAGAGAATCCACATCAGGAATCGTCGTCTTCATAAAGGTCGATTGAGCTGCAGAAGCAGGGGATGTCGTCTTCAAGCGATGACGAGGAGTACAGCTCCCTAGCGGAAGAGGTGATCTTGATCCCTTGTTCACCTGAAGTCCATTGGTTCAATGCCTTTCGTGGCAGTAGATCAGGTTGTGAACACGGATTGCCTTGCACGTTCTCATGCAGCACAAATAATAGTAAAACAACTAGCTGCTGGTACAATTTAAGTTCTATGCCACAGGAACGATCTTTCTAGAGTAGCTTTAAAAGGTATCATCTAGTTTTCACCTTATTCGTGTATGTATCAAGCACCCCTGTTCTTCCTGCTGCACAGGAGGCAGCTTTGGCCATGGGAGCAGAAGGAATGGAAAAGGACGGAGACGAGGACGAGGAGGGAAACAGCGCAGAGCAGCGAGTAGCACGGTCCTCTGACGCTGGCGCCCGGCCGCCCATCTACAATGCGGAGGGCATGCACGAAAAGCTGGAAGACATCTGCTGGCCGTCAGAGGTGCCATATCCCTCCGCCTCTGTTTATTATGCAGTCAAATGCAACGTCAAAGAATTTTCTTCTTATGGTTCCAATGACTGCTGCAGAAGTGCACAGAAGCAAGAAAATCGACGCCACAAGCTTCTGACAGGCTTTTGTGCCCTCTGTTTGCATACAGGCAGCCTGGGACGAGTCGCTTGTGATCACTGGGGAGGATTCCACACAAGTGGAGGATGTGGATGATGACCTGGCAAGGGAGCTGGCCTTCTACAATCAGGTCCTGCTTCATCATAGCCCCTGATCACCTGTCATTAAGACATCGTTATCGTGAAAGGAACTTATCTACTTGTACCGCTGTCCTGCCTGAGTGCGCCTCTACTTTTTGTGCTCTTCAGAGCCGATACCGGCGCTTGAGACTGGCAGAGGCAACCAGGCTGGTGTAAACCCATGCCAGTCTCAGATAAGCGCAAACAGTAAGGGAGTATTGTGGCAGATCGGCGGTAAATGAGCCTCAGCAGCTGGTGCCCTTTGGGTCCATGATTGATAGCTGCTAAATTCGCTGACCTGAGTCATTTTCTGCGCCAGGCGCTGGCAGCGGCGCGGGGAGCCGTGGGGAAGCTGGAGGCAGCTGGCACGAAGTGGCTGCGGCCGCCGGACTACTACGCGGAGATGGTGAAGAGCGACGAGCACATGGCCCGCGTCAAGGCGCAGCTCATGCATGAGCAGGGCGAGATTGAGGGCGCCCAAGATAGGTGCATCCCGCACCTCAACTTTCGGCAGCCACCCAGTGAATGTTTGTTGTACAGCTGTGCAGCTGAGACTCTGCAGGCCGAGGCCCAAAATGGCAGCCTGAATGACGGCCTTGAGTCAGACACCTGCACTCTGGAGACTGGGCTTTTGTCAGTAGCTTCGGGTTCTTCGCAAGCGCAGATCGTTACACGTTACATCCTTCGTGTTTGTCACATTCTGAAGTACAGTGGACTACCAGGCCATGCAAACAAAGGGACGAGCACAGTTGGGCATAGAGGGGTGGTGCACCCCGTCATGTCTTTCAAGTGGCGCCTGCCACAGCGAAATGTTTACATGGACTCCAACCGCTTGCAGCACTGCCATGAAAGTGCCTGAGAAATGAAGCCTATGCAGTGGCTGACATGCTCGGTTGTTTGCAGGCGGAAGCAGCGGGAGGCGAAGAAGTACTCGAAGCAGGTGCAGGCGGAGCGGATCAAGGAGAAGGCGCAGACCAAGAAGGCCAGCATCTCATCCATCTCCAGGTCAGCCCCATCCTTACCTCCTTTTAGAGGAGCATATAGCTGTATCTCTTAAATCCAAGCCAAGACAGAATGCAACACATGCAATACAGCGCCAAGCGTGGAGGCACGGCTGCCTCGCTGTTGACATGCAATGCATGCGTAAAAGTCAGGCTAGTCTAGTTGTCGACCCTCATTGTCAGCCTGGTTGGCATGAAAGATACAAGCTGACCTCCATCGCCACAGTTGCCATGATCTTCTTGCTTTTTTTCTGCTTCTGTTTCGCATTTTCCGTGTAATATATTTTACAGCAAAATACTGTGCGCAGGCTGCGCAAGCAACGCGCGCGCGATGGCTTTGCCGGGGAGCTTGACATGGAGAAGGAGCTGGCGCGCGGGCCGGGCGGCAAGACGCCGATGAGCCCCGGGCAGCGCATCCGCCCAGGTGGGCAGCCGCTCTGGGCACTTTCTATCAACAATCCGCACGCAACAGCACATTCTGGTGCATGTTGCAAGAAGATCCTGAATCTGGCAGTGAGGTATTGCTGTGTCGGGGATCTTTGGCGGCGAGCACCAGGACGTTCTGACTCTGACGAATCTGCATCGCATGACTAATTCACGCTTAAAAGTTGCCACAGATTTCACCTCGCTGGCTGTTGCCAGTGGGCAGTAGACCTCATCCTTCATCTGTGTCAGCCCTCTCAAGGCGCATTAGGGTGGGCCCGTTCATTGGGCCCCTTGACCTCTATAAGCAGCTGTTGAATTGTGCGAGTCCATGCAGGCGAGCGCAAGGTGAGCAAGAAGCGGGAGGCAAAGGACACCAAGTTTGGGTTCGGCGGCCGCAAGCGGCTGGGCAAACAGAACGACGCCAGCAGCGCCGCCGACATGGGCGGTTTCCGTCAGGGGAACTTTGACGACGGCGTGGGCCGCGGCCGGTGCGCGCCCCTTTTTGCACCCTTTTCCTCCCTCTCACAGGGACAAGAGAAAGAGGTATGCAGACATCAAGGCAGAGCGAGCGCCAGGAGATAGGAGGATTATAACTTGTATGTGAATGGGACAATGGGCCAGAATGCAGGATTGGACCTTTGTCTCCTCTTTCAGGGGCTCTGAACTTCATCAAAGCTGCTGGACCCTAGGACGCCTGCTAAAGAAAAGGCACTAGACACTGAAGAGGGATTGCAAAAGCATCGAAGGCATAGGCGCTTTACCAGTGCCTCTCTTCCCCACACATTTGCTTTGGCAGCAGCCAGTGTGCGCCATTTTTCACTGCCCACCTCCCACGGGATGCAATCCTCGTGTAATAAGTTGAACCACATCTTCTGGTCTCTGGTCTTCTGGTCTCTTGAGACAGCTGAAACGAAGATTCATGTGTGCTGTGTCCAGGGGTGGCGGCGGCAGGGGGAGGGGCGGCGGCAGAGGCAGGGGAGGTGGCAGGGGTGGTGGCAGGGGGGGCGGCAGGGGGGGCGGCAGGGGGGACGGGGGTGTCAGACAGGGGGGCGTTAAGAAAAATGCTGGGGGGAACCGGCCAGGCAAGGCGCGGCGACAGGCTGGGAACAGGGGTCGTTGATCATTTGAGAGGAAGGGGATTAGTAGTGTTGCAGGAATGGTGAAGCGTGCTTTGTGCTTGCAAAGAAGGTGTTGTGAAGTGTAGTTAGCTGTGCATACCGCCCTCGCTTTACAGAGCAGGTTTAGGGGGACCACTGTTCGAAGGAATGATTATGTGACCCTTTTCCACAAGTTGTGCACGTGGCAGAAAGTCTGGAGTGTAGTCTGCCCTCAAGCCCAGACCTGCAGTTAGTCATTCTGCAAATGGGCAGCCCCAATTGCTGGAGTCCCATTGCCAACCTGTGACAGTGGTTTTGTAAGCTGCACTGTGCAGTGACTTTAGTAACTCACATAGTCGGCCGATGCACCGCGGACTATGCACCGGCAGTAGAATAATGTTTACACCATGGCCTGTAATTGATGATCTGGGAGTTGAGAACACCTCTTACAGCACAATCAAACGACAGATGAAGTATTTGCACTCACCTAACGACAGGATTGCCACTGGCCAATGTAATCAGCCACTCATTCGTCTCAAATTTCAAATCCTGGGTGTCAAACCCTAGTCCAACCCTAGTGACGAACCACCGCCCACCCAACGAGTCATTCCGGAACGACATGAAGGGCAACGGCAACATTCCGATATCACAAATACCTGAATGCCAAGACGTCTGTTGCTTCAAGCGTTCAATTATCACTGTTTGTAGCTAAGAGGGACATCGTCAAGGTCCAACGCAGCTCCGAATAGCAGCCAGCGTTTTGCTCAGGTCGTGGATCGCATAGCTGACACAGAGCCAGGGAGCATTTGAGACTTTAAGGCATCTTAATTCACACAGAAACCGAAGCCGTTGCCCAGCTAAAATGATCAGAAGGAGTTCCCAGGTGAAACAGGTGAGCGTCCGCTGGTTGTCCCAGCGTTCTCGAGTCCTGCGTCACATGCGCTTGGAGGCGGAGCTAGACGGAGCAAGCAAAGCTATCATGCTTCAGTCCATCGTCTCATGACAGAACTTATAAGTCTTTGTTGAATGCACAGCAAGCATTCCAGACGTTCTTTCGTACGCAGACCTCTTCTGGGAACCATATCAAGACTATGACTGTGCGTTGGGCCATGTAGGGTGGGTGACGGCGCGTTGAAGGAGCATTGAAGTGAGACTATCTTCGATTGCTAGGTAAGTCCTATAGTTGACAATTAATCGTCCTAAAAGACACGCTCTCTGCGACTTAAGGCTCCCGCAGTCTGGACGATGCCGTTGTCGCAGCAGTGATGTACGACGAAATGCTGGCTAGCGCCTTTCGCCAATGACAAATACGCCCAATTCCTTCATTTTATGTCTTTTAATCATTGTACTGGTGTCAGCAATGCGACGCTGTCTGTCTGTTGCCTGGAAGTGTGCAACTGGGAAAGCCATTGTGGCTCACAGACTGTCTAGAAGGACAATTATCGTCAGACGAGCTGCCAGGAAGCTCCTGTCAACCTACCAGTACAGAAATTAGTCAAAAAAATCACCATTGCATGTGCTGTGTGGTTCCTTGAACAGTGCTTTTTGTGGTATAGGTGGTTGGGGGCATTGCAGCCTTTGCCAAGACCAGGACTTTGCAGCGAAGCCACGCAAAGATATCTGGCAGCAAAGGAGCTGGGCGCATGAGGTGGCAGACCTCCAGACCGTGGCTGGCGGTCTCACTGATATTGCTACAACTATTCAGCACTGAAGCCAGACAAGTGAGGGCCGCTCACCTTTCAACTCCCAGTAGCCTGTCTCATCCGTGCTAATCTGCTTGCGCACCATTCCGGACATAAATGCATGTATTGTGTCAGCCCTGTTCTCAGCTTGCCCGTGTCACTGCTCAACGTTGTACTTCACCACCATATCTTCTTTATGCTCTCATGAGGTACCCCTGTCCATGGCGTTCTAAGCCTTCGGCTTCTTGTTGCCAGGGCTACTATGGACCAATGCATGCGCCAAACCCGGCCCCAAGCTCGCAGCCGCAAATGCACGAGCCACCAGCAGAGGCGATAGCTCCAGCGCAGCTGTCAGCTGCGCCAGAGCTGAGCGCTACCGCCCAACTTGCAGCATCCTTCCTGCAGACGCGGCTGCTCAGCGGGCCGAGCCTGCGCACCAAAAACGTGGCCAGCCCGGGGGAGGCCCCTGCCGGCGGCTCCGCTTCCATCACATCCACCCAGACCTACGCCAGCTCCACCACAGCCAACGGCGTCGCCACCGCGCCCGCGCCGGCGCCGGCGGCCGCGCAGGGGACGCGAGTCGTGAGCGGGTCGCAACTGCGCATCCGCACGCTCGCCAACGTCGCGCCGGCCGGCGCACCGGTGGCCGCCGCGTCGGTGGCGGCTGCGCCGCCCGCTGCCGCGCCGACCGCGGTGCCGGGAGCTGCGCCACGCGTGCTCGGCCCGCCGGCTTCCCGCACCTTTACGCTCGCGGCATTAACGCCCGGGGGCGCACCGGCTCCGGCCGGCGCCCCCGCCGCGGCCGTGGCTGCGCCAGGCCCGGGCAACCGGCTGCTCGGCCCGCCGTCCAGCCGCTCGGTGCCAATCGCTAGCGCACCCGGGCCAGGGCTGGCCGCGCCGGCCGTGGCGGCCGTACCGGCGTTGGCCCCGGCGGCTGCAGCGCCGGAGAACCCCAACCGCGTTTTCGGCCCGCCATCAACACGCACCTTTGCCACGTCGACGCCGGCTGGTGCTCCTGTAGCGGCTGCGTCGCTCGCGCCGGCGGCGGCGCCCGCGGCTGCTTTTCCGGCTACCGCTCCGGCAGTGGTGCCTGCGGCCGCGCCCCCGGTTGTCGCTCCCGTGGCGGGGGTGTCGTCTCCGGCGCAGGTGCCGGCGGCCGCGCCGCCGACAGCCCTGGCGGCTCAGGCGCCATCGACCCGGGTGTTCTCGTCGGCTTCGCGGCGGGACGGCCTCATTGTGCCTGGCGGAGTGCAGGTGCCTATTCCTGTTGCTTCTATATCGAGTTCTTGCAATTTGCAGAAACTTCAGCTCCTGCAAGACTTCGTACTTACGCTTGGATCAATTTCATGCATGACCTCAGACATCAGCAAGAATCAAGATTTTGCAGTTCCCCAGATGGGCGCAAATGCTCCTAGCTCATCGCTGTTCTGTGTCATGCGCAGGCCCCTGCAACCCCGCCGGCCGCCAGCCCGCCGGCAGCAGCCCCGGCGCCAAATGAGGTGGTGCAGTCCCAGTCGGTGCCAGCCCCGGTGAGCAGCCCTGTGGCGTTCCCTCAGCATTACAGCATCTGTATTGATATTCAATATTCTTAAATCTATAGAGCGCTCCCCTTGCTTGCCCTGCCCATGTCCTGCTGACTCCCTTGGGCAGTTATAAAGCTAGGAAGGAGCCATGCCATAGAGAACACCACCTGCTTGAAGCCTGAATGATAACAACCTGAAAAAAAGACAGTCCATGAAAGTGACGACCTGTTTGCTATTTGCAGGCACCGGCAGTGGAAGCGCCTGCCATTGCACCCGCTTCAGCCGTCCCGTTGGTTCCAGCCCCTGCCGCACTCGTCACAGCACCAGCACAGGTGCCACCTCAGCCCTACTTTCTTCAGGGAATACTGGGGAACCAGGAATTTATTGTAAAGTGGTAGATATCAATCCCCCACCACAGGCTGTGGCAGACATTTGGCACTGAGCATCCAAGGAGCTGATGGTACTGGGGTACCTGCGGGCCATGTTTGGGGACCAGAGACTGCAAGTAATGAATTTGCTAGGAGATGAAACGCCACTAACACCCTGAAAAACATGTGTTCTGCTATTCACCTGCATCCACTGGGCCGCAAGATTAGTCAGCAGCAATGCATGCTCAGAAGCATTTCACATTGCAGGCTCCAGCCGAGGCGGTGTTTGTGGGGAGATCCCCAGCTACAGTGGCGTCTCCTCCGGCCGCGGCGCCCCCCGTTGCGGGCGGTTCCCCAGCGGCAGTGCCACCAGAAGGGGAGTCCCCGCCTGCGGCGGTGTCCCCCGCGGGGGGCACCCCCAGCATCGTGCTTCCACCCTCGCCAGTGCCTCCAACCACCTCGCCAACCCCAGGCGCCCCTTCTTATCAGCCCCCTGCCCAAGATTATGCCCTGCCATTGGGATTGGTCAGATCTTGGAGCTCTTTAATCACAGTTGGCATCATGCACAGTGATACTTGGGCAACATTGGGTGCATGCCTCCAAGACAAGTCAGACACGTTCTGCTTTGTGCACAATGCAATGTGTGCGGTGCTGCTGTGCATGAATCCTTTCAGGCCTCGTAAGGTTGCAGCACACACGTTTCAAACGTTGCTTTCGTTCTGCAGAGGCTGGCGGGCCGCCGGGGGGCCAGCAAGGAGAGGGCCCCAGTGGACCTGCCACACCATCCACCCCAGTAAACACCCTTTTAAATTCAAACTCAATGACTAAGTTCGTCATCTTTGCCCTTTGTGAGTCTCATGCAGGCAGTTTTGGTCATTGGCGCGAGGCACAGTCACACAGTCATATGTAGCCTGACTACTGTCTTGTCAGGCAATTAGCTACTGAACGGGGAGAATTCAAAGATGCAGTCCCTAGAAGTGTACATACAGAATCCTTGCTAGACCCAAGACTTACCTGGCAGCACAGGAGTTGACATGTTCTCCCCATGCAGCATGTTCCATCGATTGCTGCAAGCAGCGGAGTGCGCATAAGATTTCAGACTGAAAATGGCATCTTCTTACCTATGCAGGGCGCGGAGTCATATTCTTCATATTCTTCAGCAGCGTCGCCCCCCCCTCCGCCACCGCCGCCGCCCCCTCCACCACCGCCGCCACCGCCGCCGCCGCCACCGCCGCCGCCACCGATTTATTACCCCGGCCAGTCTTACGGCAGCTACACTCCCACCACTCCAATCCAAGGTGTGGCTTTTTTGCATCGTATGCAGTCTACTGTGCTTCTCAGGTCCCTGTGTGAGCCGTGTTTCATTTTGGAGAGAATCTGGGCGGCAGCGCATTGCCATTGCATGCTACACATCTCCTGGAACTTTATGCGCAGCCAGATTGATGTCTTTGCTGGTGACTGCACCCAAATTTTAGGCAATGCACAGAGCTGCAGCACTAGTCTTACCCTGCTGCTGATGAATATGCTTGATCAACTATCTAAACTGGGTTCAAGGTCAGTATGGAAGCTCAGTTGCAACGCCGGACGGCCAGACCGGCATGGAAGTCTAACAGAGATTTTAACTTATAATTCAAATGCGCAGGCGAATCAACTCCCTCGGGCCCCAGCCAGCCGAGCGGGCCGGCAGCGCCGCCCGAGGGCAGCGCGCCGATCTCAGGCGAGGGCCCCCTGCCCCAAGGGGGAGGTGCGCCCCCCAGCGGTGGCAGCGGCGGCGGTGAGGGATCCCCACAGGGTCCCCCCAGCGGTGGCAGCAGCGCACCACCGCAGGGACCCCCCAGCGGCACCACCGATTACCGCGGCAGCGACCCTGTGGGGTCTGACACCAAGGGGTCTGACACACGGGGCAGTGACCCCGTTGGCAGCGACACAAAGGGCAGCGATACGATTGGAAATGGCAAGGGATGAGTCATCGTCATGCGAGGCAGTAATGCACTTGCCTGACGCAATTACCTTCTTGATACCTTTTGTCTGCTGTTCGAGCACGACAGGAATAGAGATCTCTAGAAGGCTGTCTTTGCAAATGGGTTCTGACAGGTATGCCAAACAGGCAGAATAAATAGCACTTCGTACAGCTGAGGCCTGGTAGCTTCTGGTCTGCTGCCTTCAAAACGTCTTGAGTGACGGCTGCGTGAGTAGCTGTTGCAAGACACACATTCAACATTAGCTGTAGGTGTCTTGAACACTATCAACCACACGTCCTGTGGGTTATATCTCAAGGAAGTATCGAACAGGTCCAGCAGAAGATTTGCAGCATGCAAGAAGGGAGACTAGCTATGTATCACTCTCTTACTGAGGCTGTCTCTGCAGGGTCAGGAAGATGGCCTGAATTGCTCAAGAGTGAGCACCATAACTTGCTGATGGGGGTTAGGGCCTGTTTTTCCTGCAGGCTCGCCAGTTGTGCCGTCTGTCATCCTCCGGGTTGCAGGAGGGTATACAGATGAAGATGCAGAATAACTGCAGATCACATATGCTCAGTGGTACCACGAGCCGTGCTAGAGAGCCCTTGGCGGTTGCGTTCCATAGCCCATGCCAGTATTCATTGGACACCAATTGCCCCTGTAAATTCTCACCTGGACAGGAGATTATATTCCTTTATAAGACAGACAAAGTCAGCAGCCGGTGTCACCAGACCCGGGATGCAGTTCATCTTCAAAGCTTATTGGGTCTGGAGCTGACAAGGCCAAAATAAAGCACAATACTCACGTTATCTCCTTGGTGCCTTGGTTCCACATCTCTCCCCAGTGTAGATTCTTTTTGGTAACGGCTACAACACGGAATGGCGTTACATATTAAAGACAGCAGTAGAAGCGCGGGCCTTCAATTGGATTGCAAGCACCTTGCTAGAACCATCTCACCCAGGGCCTTCCCGGTTGATCCGTAGTGTCTTCAGCTTGTTTTGAACCAGCCTGAGGCTTGCCTCTCTTAAGCTTGCTATGCACTGCCGGGGCAAGGCTGAATATGCCTGTACTGCCAACTCCTGCCCGGGGCCTTGAGAGCCACTCTACCTCCCTCAGATAATGTGGCGTCACGCTGCAATGCTCAAATTTGAAAAGGTCCAAGGAAAGTGCATGCCATGCATTGGGATATTCTGCACTGCCCAGTGCACGCAAGATGCGCCGAGCAGCAGCTGCCTGATTCCATGCGAAGTTTGAAGAATTTCATTGCCAAACAGATGTGCAAGCGGGACAAGATAATCTATATATGCATGCACTGATGGTTAGATGTTCGTGACCGTGTTCGAAGAGCTTCCAGGTGCCTAGCGGCCATGCCTGCTGAGGCATCAACTAGTGGTAGGAACTCCGCATGGCTAGTATTTGCTGGAGGCCTGGCGCTTGGAGGGACGTTAGCTGTGGCACTTACTTATGCTTACGCCACGTCCACCAAGGATAGCCGCGTACGGAACAAACGCAGCAAAACTAGTTTGAGGTAGGCATGCCCAAAGAAGAAACCTGAATCTTGATGATCAGGTGTCAATCATGTACTGAAGAATCTGTTTTAGCTTAAGTAGTTCCACATGCCATCCGTGTGTAAATGACTGCTCTCTGAAATGGCTTCATGTGCCTTTCCACTCGTTGCCAATTTCCTCTTCGCTGGACAAAAGTTGTCATTTTGCTATGTGTACGTGACACAGAAGGGCTGTTTGAAGCATAATGATCGCATTGAAACATGGAATCCTTCCCATGCCCTTGTCTCATTTGCGTATGGCTGACTGTACTACACAGCACATGCCAACACTGAGTTCTTTCTTACTTCCTTAAAGGCCCGTCAGCCCACGGCGGCGAAGACACGCAGCACTTAACGGAGACAATGGCGATTATTTCAACACTAATGGAGGGGGCAATCACTCTGAAGGCCCTTGGGAGAAGAGGCGATCCCCACAGCAGGAGGTGTTGTCATCCTTCTCTCCTTAAATCCAACATGACGGCGTTAAACAACCATCATCAAGTGTGCCTGTCTATAGTGCAAGGCCATTTCATGCACCAGTCTTGCACTGCACAGAATTCCATACCTTGGTTCAGTCAGTAGAGTGAGTCCTGTGCAGGCTGCGGAGTCTGCTCTATTGACGCCCTTTAGGGAGAGAGCCAATGGCTCGGCGCATGCCCCCACAGTGGCCAGCAGAAGGCAGCAGCGCCCCAACCAGGTGCATATCCTGCCTCACTTCTCTGAGAGGCGCTCAAAGCATCATGCTGCACAATAGCACCCTCACAAAATGACCATTCTATACAATGGAGGAGCTTGCAGCTAGATCATGTCCTTGCTTACAGCTGGCAATGCATTAGTCACACGTCCCTTGCATCTTCGTCTTGGTCCCCCCTTCTTCACAGTTTTTGAAGTGAATGGCTTCCTGTGCGTATTAGGGTCTGGAGGCCAGCATGTCGACTGCCACTCAGAGAATGCCAGCGCATGCGGTGAGCACATATTTGCCGATTGACCAGGAATTAGTGGAGCACTCCAGTGCTAACCAATGACATGCCATGTGCCAGCAGCCGCATCCTAGTAGGGAGAATACAGTACTGAAATTCATGGCATAACAGAGGACTGCTCAGCGGCTGCTTGCTCTCAAAGGTCTCAATGTGGTTATATTTCAGGCATTTCAGAATGGACTCTCTCTTTGTGATCACTTGCTACCCAAGGCCTGCATGCTGTCCTCCTTGTGTTTGATACCAGACTTGCAAATTCCTAGCGCTGATCATGAGTTTGCTGCACGCAGGATAACATCACAGAGGACGATGAGAACTGGTCCAGGGACATGCCAGGCTACAATCCCTCGCCCTCTGTGCCGCCATCCGTGCCGGAAACTGCCAATGTCTCGGTGTGTTGGCGCCTCCTCTCAACAATCTGTAAAGAGGAGTCTTGACGGATAACGGTCCCTTCAGCGGCGGCAGCCACCTCCACAGATGCCAAGACAAGACAAAGCAGAAAAGAGAGGGACCTGAACATCACCAGACAGAAAGAGAGAGGGTGATATTCAATATGGGCTTTCTTGAGGATTATATTGCATCTCATCGAGAGCGGAAAAGGGATGCTGGTCATGTTGCCGAATAACTGGCCTCGGACCGCAGCCACAGAAAATCATAGTGCACGATGATGTCATAGCTGATGTCAGCGGTGTGATGTGGCGTGCCAGGCGGACGAGCGGGGCATGTCACTGACGGCGGCGCAGCGCGAGCAGCTCTTCAAAGTTGGCCTCGGCCATGGGGGCGGCGGCGGCAGCGTCCTGCGCGCGCACGCCTACATGGCCGACCAGTACAAGCAGGTGACTCACATGGCCGACCACTATAAGCATCGAGCGCCTCGGCTCGCGGTTATAGCTCTGCAGGGAAGCAGGCCGGGATCACCTTTTCAGGGGCTTTCAGCACTTCTCAATTTTACAGGAACTCGCTGGCTCCCGGGCTCTATGAGCGGGTGACTAACATGGCCGGCCAGAACAAGCGGGTCGGCGAAGGTCTCTTAATAGAGGACGATTGTTCAGTTTGGCGTGTGATTTGACCATCATAAATTTCTTGCGCTGCTGATAAGATGGCATTGTCCCCTTATGGAAGTTCATTCTGAACATGCCTCCTCTGACAGCACCGGCACCAGCATGCCAGTCTAATTGACTGGGAGTTCTGGAGCTCCTGACAGCGGTTGCAGGCGGTGCGCTTCTTGTCAGTCGGGCTGTGCACGCTGAGGCGCGAGTTTGTCATTCAGCATGCATGCGCGCTGCCATGCCAGTTATGCATGGCGCGTTGGCGCCCAGGCAACCATGGCCCCGACTGCAAACAATCGCACTGCCTTCGCCCGAGAGCGCTGTTGCAGCAGAGCCTGTGATGTCCACAGCAATTTCCTTCCGTTCTATGTGTCACTTATAAGTACATGATTACTGTGACTAATTATTCCCTTGATGGCCGGGCTCTGTCTGTCACCCCGATCAGCCCTGGTTGGACAGGTTTAAAAACCCAACAAAGTAAGCTGCAGCCCTCGAATCCTCAAGAGCTTGAAGCCTCAAGGCCTCAAAGGTCAAGTCCTCAAGGTGCCAAGGCCTCAAAGCATGAAGACTCGATAAAGCAGAGGTTTGGGACGCATGTGAATGCGAGTGGAGAATCACCTTCAAACTTTTCTGTGCGCACACCTGCAGAATCCAATGAAGTTCAAGAAAATGGACAAGGAGACATAGCGTTAAGGCTTCTGTGCATGCAGACGCAGAATCAACTGATGCAGCACGCGCATGCGAGCGGCAATGCGTTGGCTCTGGCGCAGACGCTCGTCCCGGCGCCCTTCCAGCACCCGATGCCGCAGCTGCCGCCCACGCACAACATCGCCTCGCACAGCACCAACCCGGCGACCGTCAACTCTGTCAATGACCTCGTCCTGGAGGGCAAGGTGTGAACCACCAACCACTAAGCCTGATGGTGCACTTATCAGACGAGGCCTTGCATGCATGCAGGACAGCGCGGCGGCTGTAATTATGCTTTCACGAATGATTCAGCTCATGTGCCCTGTGTCTTGAAGCAAACTGGCATTGTACGCGGGCAAGCTGAAGGCTCAGACATATATGTTCGTGCAACTGCTGAGCTTTATATCCTTCCGGGTGATGGCCATGCATTCCCAAGCAATTCAGGACCGTACTATCAAGATCATCGCATGCTTGCAAGAGTACCCCAATTTCGTGTATGCATGTCTGAAATCTCGGTGTTAGGCACAGAGAATTGAGTGCATGGGTAGTACACATCTGATGTGTGTGTGTGCATGCATGCAGATCATAGAGGATGCGGCGGTGCACGAGCAGTACAGCAGAGTCATCACTCCCGAGCCGGCCATGAACGAGGAGACCGAGGACGTGTGCGCGCTCCTGCAGCAGTGCCTGGACATCAGGCACGCCACGGCTCTTTGTGTTTGAATTTGAATCGCCTGCAATTGCCGCACACGCTCACTGATAGCCTTCCTGTGATAAGTGGTATCTGAGTCCTTGCCTCGCAGAACTATATTATTTTGGGGGCAGGTGGTCTCACTTATCACTTAGGTCAAGGCAATGGAGAACATTTCAGACCCCCAAACAGGCATCATCTTAGAAATTTTTTCGCTGAGAGGTGTTTGCACTGTGAACACGTGGCCCTGTTTGTGAGAATAAAGAGCTTCTAGGAAGGTGCAGGGGTAAGAGGGCATTTAGGAAAAGGTTTGCCAGCTCAGACCTGGCTCGGATATACAATCTGGGACATGCAGGGAGAAGTGGCTTTTCAAGCCGGCTGTGCAGCCGGAGCACCTGGCGCATTTGGAGGAGGTGGCAAAGCCATCTCTGGTGGACCCCGATCCCTTCGAGTGGACCCCCCAGGAGCGCGCAGATTTCCAGTACGAGATGGTTGACGGGATTGTGCGCGTGTACCGCGGCGACGACCGCGACGAGGAGGCGTTCCCTGTTCCCGGCAACTCCTACGACTTCTTCTCCGACATGCACTGGTGTGACTCTCGCCTATCTGGCAATTTTCTTGAGAGTCCTGAAACAAAGGGTGACTTGGGCAAAATTTCTTGGTGCTCCTTCTCCAACATGCACTGGTAGGGTCCCTGCATTTGCTTGTTGGCACCATAAGTTAGCCAGTTTTGGCCGGCATATGTGGTTTGTGATGGTGTGATCTTTAAATTAAGCATCTCTGGCACTACTAAGCCTTGCAACGGATGACGTGACCGTGCTGAGGTAGCATGGCCCCATTGCAGAAGAGTCCAACGAGAATACTCAAGAAAAGAGAACAACCGGCATCATACGGATGGCTTGCCAGGTTTATATGGCCCCGCGGGTGCACTGCCTCAAGACGCTGCCTCAAGCAGCGTCTTTTAAACATCGGGATGATCCATCAGAATGACTATAATGGTTGAAATGGACCTGGAGCAAATTTCTCACTGGCAGGCTGGTGATGAGTCAGCATTGTGTCATGCAGAGACACTGACGCGCACATGACACTGCAGGAAGCTGCGCATCAGCGCGATTCGCCCGACCTCCCTCATGCATCCTGGTGCTGAGTCAGCATTATGTTACGATGAGTCACTTACGCGCGCATTATGTCATGCAGGGTGCTGCGAATCAGCGCGATGGGCCCGACAAAGTCGCTGTGCCACCACCGGCTGATGCTGCTGGAGCAGAAGTTCCGTCTGCACCAGCAGCTCAACGCGGACAAGGAATTCCTCGCCCAGAAATCCGCGCCCCACCGAGACTTCTACAACGTCCGCAAGGCGCGCCCTGTTGCTCGCTAAGTTGTCAGCACTAGCAGACCTTTGCATGCGCCGGTATCAGTGATGAGCCTGCAGCGCAGCACTGGCAGCACTGGTACATCACTGGCAGGTTTCATTATGACAGAAGCCCTGGGATGAAAAGGATCGTGCTTCCGAGTCTTCCAAGGCGCATGCTTTGCCCATCCCCTGCTTGAGTAAATTTCAGAACAATGCATCCTTTGCACACACTTTGGGGGAAGTGAAACGTCCCTGCATGTGCGTGGGAATTGGGGCTCAGCAAGACTTTCGAAGAAAAGGTATTATATACCCTCGCATGTAGGATAGCCTAATACCTAGGCCCCCGTATATGGACTATGCGGCCTTGACAGTACACCCGTTTCTGCTCCTTCAACAGTACATTGTACTGTCGCTGGTGCTTAGTTTCATATTTGAGGGTCTGATTGCGATGCCCATGTCTGATTTGGGGAAGGAGCATTTCAAGGGATATGAAAATGTGCATTTTTAGAGAAAGCACCTTGGCTCCCTGGCGCACAAAAGTAGTCAAATGTCCAGGAGCTCCGTATGACGATGACTACAAGACGTGATGTTTGTGGCTAGGTCAAGCTTGAAATTGACATATTGGTTGCTCAATGCTTGCAGGTGGACACGCACGTTCACCACAGTGCGTGCATGCACCAGAAGCACCTGCTGCGCTTCATCAAGAGCAAGCTGCGCAAGGAGCCGGACGAAGTGGTCATCTTCAGAGACGGCAAGTGGCTCACCCTCAAGGAGGTCTTTGAGTCCCTCCACCTCACCGGGTGCGCTTTCTCCATTGCCCTTCTGCACTAGCCCTTTAAGGCAACATCGAGGTGGGAAACGGCTTAGACGAGTAGGTGCTGTGCTGACTGCATGTGCTCCTAGAGAGCTCCCTTTTTGTGCTGCCTGCTGCTATCGTTTGCTGACTGTTCCTTTTAATGATGTTAGAAATGGCCAGGCAAGCATGTGCTGTGCTGGCTGCATGCGCTCCCAGAGAGCTGGCTTTTCTTCACTGTCACTGCTTCTGTCATCTGCTTGCTTTTCTAGGACATTGCTGCTGCATGAGGGAATTCTTTCTATCTCATGTGGACTCATCTCTCTTCATGCCATTCAACTTTCTGCAACAGCACGAGCGGGTGACCTTGGGAAACAGCGCTTTAAAGCATCTAGAAAGCCCACACGGACGCCGCCACAAGCATCTGGCATAGCTGCGGAGCTGGTATGAGCCCCCGTTTACTGTATATCTGGCATTTTATCCTTGTTTTCCGCCCTCAACCTTGACTGTGTGCTGTGCAGGTATGACCTGAATGTGGACACGTTGGACATGCATGCGGACAAGAACACTTTCCATCGCTTCGACCGCTTCAACTTGAAGTACAACCCCTTCGGTCAGTCGCGCCTGCGCGAGATCTTCATCAAACAGGCGCGCCCAGCTCATTTCCTGCAAATTTGCCTTTGTGTCTCTTTCTCCATCCCCGGAAATATGTTGTCGGTCAGATTCAGCCACGCAAATTTGCTTCAAGTCAAATCATGTCAAGGGTTGTTCCATTGTTCTCCAAAGCCATGCAGTACTGTCTTTGCCTATCCTGATTATATTGCAATCAAATCACAGCATGATGTTCTCAGGGATTTTTGTCTTTGTGAGATCAGATCATCCGTGGGAACAGTAGCATTAATTTGGTATTGTATTGGGAACAGTAACATTAATTTAGTATTGTGTAATAGTAGTTTTTGTATTAACACCGGTGACGCGCGCAGGACAACCTGCTGCACGGCAGCTTCCTGGCGGAGCTGACGAAGGAGGTGCTGAGCGACCTGGAAGCTTCCAAGTACCAGCACGCGGAGTACCGCATCTCCATCTACGGCCGCAAGCGCGTCGAGTGGGACATTCTGGCCGCCTGGATCGTGCAGAATCAGCTCTACTCCGACAACGTCGTCTGGCTCATCCAGGTGCTCTTCGGCCCCTGTTGAGATCAAGAATACCCTTGCACAGGCTCCATTATTCGCGCTCCTGCCAAACAAATGCAATGGTGTCTTGCAGAAATCCATTGTGTAGTGGCGACAGGGGCCATGGAGTCTGCAACAGAGAGCCTATTGGTTTCCTGAGGCAAATTGGTATATACTCGTTTATTCCCTCGGCTGCTTGTTGCCAAAGAAAGGACCAATGCAGTTGGTGGCTTGCCCGATCAGGTGCATGCATGCCCGATCAGCTGCATGCATGTGTGCAGGTAACAAATGGTTGGCATGCTGAATTTCAGCTTGCACAGCCACCGCACGTACTACCAGACTTGGCCATTATTCACCCATGAACGAGTGCAGTGGGCACAACGGGTAAGAGAGATCCTGACTCCTGCAGAAATTGACTTTTGTGTATGGCTCTGCGCAGATTCCGCGCCTGTACGACATCTACAAGGCGCAGGGCCTGGTGGATAATTTCGAGCAGCTGCTGGACAACATCTTCACGCCCCTCTTCGAGGTCACCGTCGACCCAAATTCGCACCCTCAGCTCCACCTCTTCCTCAAACAGGTGACCACATGCCGGGGCCCTCACAGTGCACGTGTCTGCGTACATTCAATAGGCTTTATGTTGCAAGAAGGGGTGATCGGGACTTCTGGACATCAGGCATGCACTCCATTTGCTCAGAAGCAAGATTGCCTCAGGGGAAGGAGTGCTACAGGTGTCCTGAGTCCCTGCTTCATGCCCCAAGTCCCTGCTCATCTCTTCCCGCCATGAAAAAGAGGCATGCTGCAGTAGGCACAAGACAAGGTCTATCGGTTTGTTCTTCTTTGTTCTTCTCCAATCTGAATCGGAAGGTTTGAGTGCTGGAGGCAAACAAGTACTCGGTGTGACTTGGACTTTTGGCAGCAAGGGGTCATCTTGAAGCAGCAGATATCCTGCACACTCTTTTTGTCATTTTGATTTGGTTTGCAGCCTGCATGATGTCTGCTTCTTGGATGGTTTCTTGCTGCAATAAATGTCAGAATGCACAGCAAAGGTGTCTTAGGAATACAATCTTTATAAGTTGCAGAGTGGGTGAAGGTTCCTATGGCATTCGCGTGATGGCCAAAAACCTTTTGCTTCACTGGAATTCAAATTTCAGATTTGAATTTATTTCTTGCCGCGTCGCGCCAGGTGGTGGGCTTTGACATGGTGGACGATGAGAGCAAGCCGGAGAGGCGGCCGGCCAAGCACATGAAGACGCCGCGAGAGTGGGAGCTCAAACACAACCCGGCGTACGCCTACTACGCCTTCTACACCTACGCCAACCTCTACACCCTCAACAAACTGCGCGAGGCCCGCGGGCTCAACACCTTTGCGCTGCGGCCGCACGCCGGTGCGCCAATCTTCACTTTTTGGATAAAATGATTACCCTTTATGGAGTGTCAGGGGCACTTGCTTGTGAGCTGCGTGCTCCCTCACGTGTCAAGTGCATGCTCAATAGCACAATCCAGAATGCCCTGCTTGCTGAGCTCCAGTCAGCATCCTTGAGATGCACAGAATCCGGAGTCCACGTCGAGCGCATGTGCAATCATCAAGAGCTTCTGCCCTGTGCTCTCCCCTTCATCCCTAACAAGGAGGTGATGACGTTGTTGCCCGTCTCTTTTGGTGGGTTTGATGCAGAACTTTTATGTGCAGCAAAGCGCAGCGCATACATCCGCGCGGCAGGCACATGGTGACGCGTCACGATTGATGTGGCTGTTCACTCGTTCACTGAACGCCTCAGCTCACTCGTGATCAGCACCATTTGAATTCGGAGCACCATTCGAATTAAGCTATGCACGCGCACAGGCGAGGCGGGTGACGTGGACCATCTGGTGAGCGCGCTGATGCTGTGCGAGAACATCGCGCACGGCATCAACCTGCGCAAGAATCTGCCGCTGCAGTACCTCTTCTACCTGGCGCAGATCGGCTTGTGCATGTCCCCGCTGTCTAACAACTCCCTCTTCCTGGACTACCACAAAAACCCATTTCCCACCTTCTTCGCGCGCGGCCTCTCCCTCTCCCTATCCACCGACGATCCCGTGCAGGCGTGTATTCTCTCCCTTGTAACTGTGTCCTTTCCAACATCGGTGCATTAGATTGACCAGGAATTGAAAAGATCAGTCAAGTCTAGCATCCCTGATCAAAGCGGGGCAAAGGCACAGGCAAAGCATGCACAATCCTCTTCTGGGCATGATGTGCTTGTCACTCAGTTCCGCTTCGGCCGGGAATCCGCCTCAAGGGATGCAGGCTCTGTGCCCTTTAGCAAAAGACAGTGTTGGAAGCGTGTCTTGTGGCATGTGCAGATCTGCAAAATGTGCACATCCGCGTTTGCAAGGTGTCGAGCAGGTGCTGAGCACCCATCTCGGCGAACCATACGCATAGCTCTAGAAGAGAAAATGTCTGAAGAGGCCTGAAACTGTGTCTGGCGCGGGGGCGCAGATCCACCGGTGTCTATGTTGAGGGTCCGCTGGGCATCTGAACATGTGCAGTTAGAATGGAGAATGGCGAATGTGCTTACCGTAGTTAGCACCATATTTCCCGCATAAAATAAGTATTTTTCTTTTTTAAGGGTCGAAATTAAGACCCTAAAATGCAAAATATAAACCCTATGACAATTTTGAGACCAGTTTTGGAAAGCTCTCGCTGAGCCCGACCCGTTAACGATGATGAAACATCATTTCAATGAAGGAAAGACTCTTAAAGTCAGGTCCAAACATTTCACGCATTTTGAGGGGTGCGGGAATTATGGTGCTGACTACAGTATGTATTTTTGTTGGTGACTGCAGATCCACCCGGGTTCAGGGCTGAGGGGTTGCTGGGCACCATTTGCATTTTCGGAAAGAGTGTGTGTGAAGTGGTCTGAAGTGGGAATCCTGGCGCCTGTGGCGCTGCAGATCCACCTGACCAAGGAGCCGCTTGTGGAGGAGTACAGCGTGGCGGCTCAGGTGTGGAAGCTGTCAGCCACCGACCTCTGCGAAATCGCGCGCAACTCAGTCCTCCACTCCGGCTTCCCCCACCAGGTAGGCTCTCTTGACCAATTCACAGATACAAATCAAAGCATCAGAAAACAGACGTTCTCCATAGCACAAGACCGTTAAAGCTCCTTGCAAGAAGGAGACTGTTGTGTCACAAAGTGCTGTATGTTGCTTGGATCTGGCGAGTTCAACAGAGGGTAGGAATGCGGCAGCCTCCAACTGCAGCTTGTCTGCAGGACGTAACTCGCCTGTATAATTATGGGGAGATCCTGTGATGTCTTTTTGTAGGCCCTCTCTTCCGGTATATGAGACGCTTCAGGAAGTGCGAGCGCCAGAGCAGGCAGATGTTGTGGATAGTAGGGCAGTTGGATTTTATATCGGCTTGTCTTTTAAGGGAGAGCTGATCGTGACTCTTACAAAGAGTCTGCACTGTGTGCGACAGAGAGTGGTAATTGAATGCTTTATTTACTGTGCTGTACGCCATTCGGCCCCCTTATAAGGTCCGAGAAAGGCAGCAGCGTGTAGCATTTGAATGATGTGTTGAGGGTGCAAGCTGCCGTTTAGCCTCCCTACAATGCCCAAGACAGGGCAGCAGTTTTGGCTTCACGATTGGACGCTTTGAGCACTAGCACTTTTCAGGGTGGCTGGCGGTCGTCTCTAGAGCAGGGAGAAATGCACCCGTGAGTCCTGCCGTGAATCGCGTGTGTCCCGCGGCACTGGCAATGTCCTAATAACCCATATCAGTCTCAGAACTTCTTTGTTACTCACCCAGCCATATATGATCCGGAATAGGAACATCAGGACATCAGGATCCAGGATCCAGGCTTGTGCCAACTGGCACGAGCCTGGAGGGGTGTTTTGCGCTAGTCTGAGCTGGTCATTTGCTTCAATCACATTTGCTGAAAGGCGATGGTGACACTACAAGTGAAGTTGGTCTCTGCAGATCCCCAGGGGCTTTTTAGCATGAGCTTCATTCTCTCCAGTCAATTGTTCATGCATGTGGGTGTGAACAGATGAAAATGCATTGTGCAGTCTGCCCGGGGGCCTATAGCATTGATGTGTCATTTCTTTCCATACACAAATGCTGGTGCTTTGAATTTTAGAAATTTGAAATGCGGTGCGGGCGAAGATGCACTGTACAGTGTGCACGGAGGACTGTTGCAATTATAAATAAATATTTCCGAATTCAAATGCTGGTGCATTGTTATTCAAAAGTTGAAATGCTGTGCAGGTGAAGATGCACTGGGTGCACCAGTACTACTGGCTGGGGGGTCCCCAGGGCAATGACATCCACAAGACCAATGTGCCCAATCTGCGCATGCGATTCCGCTTTGACAACCACCAGGAAGAGGTGCGAGCATCTTGCGTACCCCTTTCCTAGCCTGGTTGCAGCAAATTGAACATTGACGGCAACTTCATCCCTGTGCATGCGCCAGAGCACTTGACTAGACACTACCGGAACTTGCTGGAGATTCAAATGTCTGCTGCTCACTATTTTGCTGAAAGAAAGTGGTGTGCGGAATACAGCCGGCTTTTCCCACCTTTTCAACCTATTCCCAACGGCTCGATATTGTTCGCTAATGACTTCATCACGTTCGTGTTCAGTCACTGATCTTTTGAGCAGAATTACTTTGAAGTGGCTGTGTGGCGCAGATGGCTCTGGTGAAGACGGGTGCGGCCGCGCACGCACTCAGAGTAGAGGCTGCAAACGCACGCAAGGATGCATCATAGGGGCCGTAATAAGGTAGATACATCACAGACCCGATGTCTGATACCAGTTGCAGCTTGCAGATGGTGAGTCACTAATGGCCACCCAGCTGACAGTAAGCTCGGGGCCAAAACAAGAGGGGAATTGCAGGACGGAAGGCTGCCGTAGAGGGCACACGTAACCTGAGCAGAGCACAGCAGATTCATGGTTGGGAAGTGCTGGTATCTGCTCGCTGTTGTGTGGCATCAGTGCATTCAATCTTTATGTCTGAAAGCCACATTGGGTATTACAAGGAATGCAGGTTGTAGCTGTTTCTGGTGTTGTGCTTTCGGTAAGGTTTGTGGATGGCTGGAGAGATCTTTCCTGGGTTGGCAATTGATCACAAACGCTACCTAGAAAACCACAGCTTTGTTGGCCCAAACAGAAATGGGCTTCTGACAAATTATTGCCGTCTTGCATTGTGCTTTTGTTTTTGAATGCTAGTGCAGAATTGGTAGGGTGCAAGCCTAATTTTAAGGCCTTGCTTGCTCAAGAACATGCTCTTGCCACCTTGGCTCACTGGAGTGACAACGCTTCTGCTGTAGACGATTCATAGCATACATGCACTGCATTTTAAGCCTTACTTGAACACGATTTGTCATCAAGACTCACCACCACACCTGTGACATTCAGTAGAAGATACATGGAAAGGAATGTGCATCACTATCAGGATCTACTACCATACCTTCATTATACAGCAAAATATGAGTTTAAATGATTGACCAGGTACATCACTTGAAGGCTGCTGCACTGGTGGAATTGGCGCTGCCGTCAGCATATCTCACATAGTGTTCCAGAAGCTTGTCCTCGTAGCTAGTGCCCTCCTCTGGAGCCTGGAACGTCCCCTTCACTGACGGGCGCTCCAGTGCAGCCTTCACCCACCGCTGCAGCTGCACAGGCACACGCGCTTTGCCTTTTAATCTTGAAGATGAGATATTGCCACTGTCGACATGGTTCTGGCGATTGTCCATGAGGCAACGTCACAAAGAATCCAAATGCCATGTTGCATTGCCACACTTGCATGTAACACTAATGACAGCAGTCCGACTTGTAGCGGGCAAAAGGAAGACATGCAGTGTTTTCCAGGATTTACCCAGACATTCAGCCATTTATTTTTTACATTATTTCATTGCGAGCATTACATATGCGTACCTTTGTGCAGCGTTGAGGCGGCAGTTCCAGCTGCCTGAAGTGCTTGAGAATGTATCCGCGCACAAACCAGGGGATCATCGCACAATCCTGCAATGTTTTCACGCAAAGACTGAGACTCCGTCGCACAGGATCAGTCTTTGCACTGGTTTGCTACTTGAAGCCATGTTGTTAACATCGCATGTAAATATAGTCATACCTAGCAGGGACCTGTTGGTGTCACTTCTAGCACTGCCGGAAAATATATATCAAAGGTGCTTTGCCGCAAGAGCCTGGCGTCCATATGGCACACATTGGCCACACTACAGACCCAGAAGAAACACCCATATCTGAGATATTCAAACTTTTGGGACTGAGGACACAAAGACTGCAGGCTTTGAAGTGACAGGGGAGTTTCGCAGGGAACGCCTCACCACGAGGGAGAACTCTGTGCCCATGAAGAAGGGTCCAGCCTGGTCGGCATTGTCCTCCAACCAGTCACACTCTGCCTGCAACTGCTCCGCCACCTCAGCCTGCTGGCCCACGTCCTGCCTGCGCGCATGTGCCCGCACATGCCGGTCGTCGGAATTGACCACATCATTTACACCTTTCTGTGTCACCATGGGTGATCTGCAAGTGTAGGCGTCTGACGTTGTAGATCTTCTTGGTCACCACATGACGCAGCGCTCTTCCACCCCTTCTATAGGTCACTTATAAAATACAAATCACCCGTACTCCCCCAGAAAAGTGGTCCTCCAATTTCAGCAGATGTCAGCTTTTGTGAATGGAGGCGCTCACATGCCGGCAGCCAACCAAGAAGACAAACCTGCCCTTAATTGTCAAGGCCAGCGCTGCTGACAAAATCCCTTTCCTTGATCCATCTGCCAGCTGCTGACCAAACACTTCCTGATGCTCATCTCGGCAAGAAAAAGAAATTACATCGCCAGCGATGGAGAGCGTGCACAAATTGCAGCTTGCGGAGGTTTACTGCCTTGACAACAGCGCGACTCTTTTATTTCTGGGGCTGCATCCTTCTGCCTTGCACCCTCTTGGGCAGCTGCCTCCTTGCCGTGTCCTTTCTTCTTGGACTTGAAGGCGACAAGAGATGGCAAGGGCTGTGTTGCGTGTTATTGCTGTATTCTTACATTTGGCCCCGGCTGGCGGGGAATGGTATAAATAACTGAGCGCCACACTAGATTGGTTCTTGCTTGGGTCTGGCCAGTCGATCCGGGGACAGTATTTTGGTAGCCTTGACCTGCAGCTTGTCTGCAGACGCACCTTGCCTCTGACAGGAGAAGTGGGAAATAATATTAATTGTGAAATTGGTTGATGGAAAGTATGTCTAGACCGCACCTGATGAGGATGCGGTAGAAGAGCGGCACGAAGCGAGTGTTGAAGTGGTCCATCACGATACGCGCCTTGGCCCGCAGCGCCGGATGCGGCGGCAGCAGCGGAGGATGCCCGGGCGCCGGCGCATAATCCTGTATTTTCAAAGTTTTACATTTGATTTTGAATCAGAATATTTGGACCTTCTCCACAGGTAGTAATCACTTGAGCGCTGCAGCTCCACATGCTGGCATTGCTACCTGCTTTCTCTTGGCTGTGTTGGCAGAATTTATGGGGCAGACGTAGGCAACTTTACATAGATTCTTGGGTAATCTTGAAAAAGAAAATGCTAACCCACCTCCAGCTGATGGCTCCCAGAATCTGATTGGTCACGGCTGCGTGAGCAGAATGATGGGATGATGCGGTGATACATGGATCGCTTGTAGCATGAAGTGCTGGCTCACCTCTAAGAACTCGTTGCAGATGAGGGACTCATAGACGCTGTGCGGCTGCTGGGTCTTCTCATCCTTGTATGCCAAGACTGGCACCTGCAAAGAAAGCCAACTCTTTTGAATACAACACCAGCATTGATTCCAGATTGATTTGGCCTTGCTCGGGCTTGGCGAGTCCAATACGGGGCCGAATTTTGGCAAGTGGCCTTTACATGCAGCTTGCCTGCAGACGCACTTGCCTCTGGCAGGAGACCAGTGTAATAGTAGTAATAATAATGATGAAGATGATGATGTGTCCAAAGCTACGGGAAAATGTACATGTAGGGGGGAAGAAAAAAGGGTGTGATGACAGGGGCAGGCGCACCTTGCCCAGGGGATTGAGGGCAGTGAACCACTTGGGCTTCTCAGTTAGAGGGTACCAGAGACCAGTGTCTGGGTTCCTCAGGCTGACCTCCTTGTAGGCAAACGGCAGCCCCTTCTCCAACAGAGCAATCCATGTGCGCTGGCAAGCAGGCGTGCGTTAGTATTTCGGTAGTTTACATTGGCTGTGTCCTCGAAACAAATTGAGAGAGCGCAGAAAAGGAATGATCGATGGATATATCGACCATCCATCACCTCACAAGGAGTGGCAGGGCAAATCTCACCTGCGCGAAAGGGCAGAACCTGCAGCGCACATTTTGATTATCTTTTCAGGTCACATTATGGAATGGATAGAGCAATCACAGGTACCCCAGGTACGCCCACTCACTGTTTGCATCTGGTGATCCTCACATCCCATCCCGATCATCTGCAAAGAGTAGAAGGGTCGGTGGTAACACACCATGAGCAAAGCAACGTCAGTTCTGTGTTCAGTTCCAGGAACTCTTCATCCGCCATTGCTGCGTCGGGCGAACCAGCGTCCAGAAGAGATGAGCGCTTGGGGCAAACGGACGCGACGATTGCTGCGTGAATTGCGATATGGGTGGCAGAGTAGAACCACAATCGTTTCCCAGCTAGAAATTATCCTTTCCTCCTTTGCTTTGCAAATTTTAAAGTTCTGAACGGTGATCGCATTGGGGGAAGTTACATGGAAGTTGGAAGGTGCATATTGGGTAGGGTTTATTAAAGGGTTTCCTCTTCCATTTTGGAGAAGGAAATTCCTTGCACTGTAATTCATAAAGCAATAGCTATGAATCTTGATTGATACTGCTGGCTTACGCTGTTCACATCTCATCCCGGAATAAGGACTGTCTGAGACAACGCAAGCTCCGCATGCTGTTGTGCCCTTGCAAAGCAGAAAATTGCAGGAAGTGCTGATTCTACTTCCGAATGGGCATGGGCATTGCTCGCATCGCAAAAGCTGTGTCAGAGATGGACATTGATGACCACGTCTTCGAGGGAGTCTATCCTTCCCTGAGTGACATCCCAGTAAGTGACAGAGTTAGCCCAGTTTACGTCGCAGCTTCGAGATCAAGTTGCAGTAGAGCACACTTTATATCATTTACAAGCGTCCAAGAGGCGTTGCATGTCTTTATTTTTTGCAATACCAATGCTCTGCTTGTTGTTTCATAGTTCACATCTTGATCTCCAGGACGATCTTCTGGCCCGTGCGCTCAACTACTTGGACGCCCCTTCATTGAGCAAAGCCGAGTGGGCCTGTCGACGATTTCGCCGCATCGGTACCCCCCGACATACTCTTGACTCTTGATGTGCACATCTCAAAACCCATCCCTGCCTGCATGTATCGTGTGCACACACCTCACGATGGCTGGTGCTGTACAGTCTTGGAGCATGACCTCTGGCGAGAGCAGTGCTTGAATGCATGCCCGCAGCTCAGGAGCTTCCATGCAGATCTTCTTATCAAGGTGTGGGCTGGCCCCTCAGATTTTCACTATAAACTTTCCGAATATATCTCTACATTCCACCTGTTTGCATGCCTTCACCCCACAAATACGCTTTCAGAGCCATGACATTCATCCCTGTTTGTACACTTCAATCCAATGCGCCTGCGCAAGTGAATACTCAGTATACTCAAACCTGCTGAGCTGGCATCTGCTATAAAGCAACAAGTAGGACAATGGGTCTAATGGCGGTCTTTTCTACCGAGCTTGGACTTGACACAATTGCTGGGCGGGCTAGAAGCCCCTCACAACACGTGGCCAGCAGACAATTTGACAGGACAAATTTCAGAGAGGCCTAATATGGCCAGTGGCCGTTCATCTGCAGCTCTGTCATGACATAGATGCTGGGCAGGCTACAAGCCCCTAACAACACACAGTCTGACTGAACATGTAGCCTGAACAGAGTAGCCTGAACAGGCCAATGGTCTGAATGGTTCAGTTTGTAGAGATGTAACAGTTGCATCTGCTGCCTTGTCAGAAGCTGAAGACGCCGCGGGCTTCGCCAATGCTGGCACTTGAACAAATGCTCCCCTCTCCCCCGCCAGAGGAGGTCCTGCGCGCAGCCGCCTTCTACAGGCTGCACAGCGAGCTGACGGCCCCGGACTCCAACCACTCGCTGCTCGCCTGCGCGTTGTCAGCCTCCTCTACAGGTGCAGTGCGCGGCCTTTTTCTCCTTAGATCAATGGAATAGAGACTGTAATGGGCGATGGTCTTGGGCCTCTTTGAAAACCTGCATGGTAGAAATGCATCAAAGGCACAGCACCAGGATGCTGGCTTACTCCTTGTCCTATGTGGAGGCCCTTGGTTCTAGTGCCGCACAAGAGTCAGAAGGAGCTGGATGTCCACACGACTTGTGAAACTTGTCAAACACTGAATGCAGCTATCCAACTGGGTTGCTAACCGCTGCACACGGAAATTTGAAGCCTGAAATGTGAGTCCTTGCCGGGAAATGGCGTGCGAACACATCGGTCCTGTGTCATTCCGTCTTCACCCAGGCATGAACCCCTGGATTCATCACCCCAGGCTGGTCACTGAGTTGCGTTCAGGTCCTTGCATACATGCAGACAACGCCAAGAGAACGTGCCACAGAACAATCCGGGCATTCCTGCTGCACCAAAACCCATGACCCTCACCCAGACCCCAACACTCTGTATTTTCCCTGGGTTGTATACCCTCAGTGTCCCCCTTTTCCGCACAGACATGCTAATACATACATTACTACGCTTATTCTATATTCTTTTTGTTGCGCAGACAACCCGGAGGAGAGCGTGGAGAATGTGCTGACGCCTCTGCACCGCTTCAATCCGGCGCTGGGCGTGCGCAGCGGCAGCTACTGGTCCAGCCGGGGGAGCGAGGATGAGTCATCGACCGAGTGGCTGGCGCTGCGTCTGGCGCACCCGCTCTGCCTCGTCAGCGCCGTCAGCATCATGCCCTTCCTCGCATTCTTCCAGCGGGTGCGCGCTATTTTCTTTTGTTGGGTGCACAGGTTTTTAAATATGGTAGACTATATATGGTAGTCCCTGCCGGTGCCATTGTACATCCATCTGCCATTCTCCATGCAATAAAAACAGCATGCAAATCGATGCAAGAAGATTCACAAACCTGCAGGTTGTTGGGGTGCCCCCTGATGTACATGTCGTGGGGTCGAATGGTACTGGTGGGGTGACTTTTGTGAGGGGGCCACCAGCAGTGGAAATCTGTTCCTAGCCTTTTTTGAGCGGGTGCGCGTGCTTCTGTATCCTCTTTCTGTTTTGAGGGAGGAGTGTGTCTCGGTGACGTGGCACTGGCAGCCGTTGCATGTCCTGTCATGCATGGATTGCCTTGCGATGCCAGGCCTACCTTTACCTTTCCCTACCTGTCTCTGCCTGCTGAGGGCGCATTTCTGAGGAAGGTTGCTTTTGTGGCCACAAAATGGGACTTGACTGGCTTGGACTCTTGAAGATTTTCTAAGAAGAAGTAAGGAACACCCTGAGTGCTTCACAAAGCTCAAATTTTTCTCTTCCCGGCAACATGGCTAGGGTCAGGGAATGGCAAGACAGCAGCCTTGTGCGACAGTGACACAGCTTTTTCGGAATAGTCAGTCATTACATTTCACTGGCACTTTGCAGGGCCACCCGATTTATGCGCCCAAGGCGGCGCGATTCGTTTTCTCCTGCGGGGAGGACGTGAAAGCGAGGCCCGTCGGTTCGACGCCCGACAGTGACACGGACGAAGATCCAGAGACGGCTGCGCTCCTAGAAGAGGCGGAGGAGGCAGGCTACGCGACGATAAGGAGCTGCGCCAGATTTAGCGCATGGGAGACCCGCACTGAGGCGTTCCCCATGAGCCAGTCAGACGAGCTGCAGATGTTTGAATTCAAACGGCCCATCCTGTGCGTCGGCGGCCTTGTGAAGGTACGCCTCTCAATTGTGTTTCAGTATCGCTTGGAAACTGGCTCAAAACCTTTTGCTCGTCCGGCTGTCCCTACTCCAAGAGTCTCAAAGCATGCCTTTGACAAAGAGCTCCAGATTTGCATGATTAGGTTGACGGGGGAATTGGTATATCAGTGACAAACATTCTTGCAAATGCCAGACCTGCTCATCTGCATGATAGTGTCAGGCTATGCTCTATGGCATTGGCGTTGCCTGCATTATTTGGGAAGGGCAAACCCAGACACGCTGGCATCTCCTGGCAAGGCCCCTCATTCGTCTAGAAGGGGATGCAGGTAGCATTTTAGCCTGAGCAGCATGCAGTATGGTTGTGTTTTCAGCCTGTTGTGACGACCTTCGTCTGGAGCAATCACTAAGGGAAGTCTTTTTTCTTGAGTTGCTACGGCTGCTGTTGCAGATTGAGCTGCTGGGGCGCACGCAGCGACAGGAGCAAGACAACGCGTGGTACACATGCATAAATCATGTTCGAGTGTTGGGCAAGCCTCTGCACAACTTTGTGCCGGCGTCTCCGCAAACACAGGACCGGGCCGAAGGCAGCAGCAGCAGCAGTGCTCCTAAGAGATGTCCGCAGCAGGGGGTGAAAATCGAGGGTGTACCCCTTGTTTTAGAGGCCCGGAGGGAGGACCCGATGGTGGCGCGGGGGGGACTGATGGCTCTGTCAGAGGGGGGACTGCTGCTGCAGCGGCTGGCCACTGAGGCACAGGGTGCGCTATAACCCAATCGTTGACGGCTTTAAAACTGGTTGAGACTTTATTTGTCACGAGAACCCAGTCACATGCCTGGATTGCTTGAGGCTGCTGATGCTTCTGTCACTGCGTCTCAGTTCTACAATTTCCAGCCACCATCCCTGTTCTTCTGGAGGAGCTGCATGCAAACATAAAACCCCTGCATTCTCCCAGTAAGATTTGCTCTTGAAAAGCTCAAAGCCGGCATAATCGTGCCTAAGAAATGCACGTTGGTCAAGCTGAATTTACAGTAGTCACCATCTGTATGCGCATGAAATTGTGTGAGTCGACCAAGTCAAAGGAATTCAAATGGTTTATATGTAGAGATAGTCACAGAATTTCTGTGGATCTGCATCTGGTAATTTGGATGCATTACAGCCTCTCTGTTGTGGTGCAGGGGAAGGAACAGCGGATTATGACACAGACGACGAGCTGATAGCTGATATAGCTCATGCTGACGTCATCGGGCCGCACCTGGCAGAGGTCGGACTCGAATTCGAATGGCTGGCTGGGGGACAGCCGATGCCCCCATGGATAGCACACCCGCCGCAGCCGCCGCAACAGCAGCAGGCGCCAGCTGACGGCGAGGACTAGTCATGTTTGTTTAGTCATGTGTGACAGCAGCGTTTATGCAAGAGAAGACAGGCGTGCGGTCTTTGATTCAAGGTTTGCATTGTTGAACTTTGAGATATGGGGGAAATTGGGTTCTTGATTGGAATTCATTGCCAATCTGTCTGCAATTTGCAGAGGGTGGGTGGCAAGGTAGGAAAGTCCTTGATTGCTGATGGTTTGATGGAGCAGTACAAAGTTTGCTGGAATTCTATTCATTTAAGCAACACTAGTGTTGAGCGGCCTGTTGTGTGCGATGAGGCTTGCCAGGATAAGAACTCAGACATCGCTCGGACGATGGAGCCTTTCGTGGCCAAGTGCACCTGCCCTGAGGTAATTGCATAATTGCATTCAGCCCTGTGCAATACAAGTATCTGCTATCTGAAACCCTTCCCATCTGAATGTCAGGCAGCTGCTTCTTGTTGGCTTCCGGACTCAGCCCATGGAATGTGCTACAAGGCATTATGCTTGCTCTTCTGCTTGTCCGATTGCTGCAAAGGTCGCTCTGCCCTCTGTTGCTGCATTGTGACATGTTGCTCAAGAATTGCCTTTGTTGGCAGCAACTCTGTGCAAGACGATGTACAAGTAAATGCGTATCACGATTACCAGTCCTCATCACTGGAAGTGAAGCCATCCTCCTCTCCCTCTTTGATGATCCTCCAGCCTGCCACCCATGCACCACGTAACACTTGGGCTACAAGAGAAAGGTATGTGTACTGGATGCATATAAGCAGGTGGGAAATTGGGTCCTGCTAGGTACAGGTGAGGTGATTCAGATGGTGCTTGGGGCAGATGGACACTTTAGGGTAGCATGCACTGATCGTCGGGTGCTTGTTAGACAGGATCTGGCAACACTACAATCTTCAATATGAAGCGATGTACTGCACTTAGGTATTGCTCGATACATGCGAGCTCGAGACACTCGAAAGATGACAAATGAGATGAGTCGAAAGCAGGTGACATGCTGCTGAGTCACCTTCGGGGACGAGAACACGACGCACGGAGATGAGCTGGGCGCCGGAGGGAACGCCGCATTCCTCCAGGGTATGCTCCGGCAGCATCAGCCGACCCTTGAACACTGTCGTCTCCCAGGGGTCCTTGAAACCCTCCAGCCTGCATCAAACTTATCTCAATCTCGTCCTTGCGTACCTCCAGACTCTTTGGCAGCTGAATGGCTGTCAGCATGGCATGCCGATTTTTGCCCACATTCATGAGCTGACAAAAAAAGGCTGCACGCCGCGTGAAGCACCCGTATAATATTGAAGTTACACTCTTGCTAGATTCCAGCAACTTCTTGATCCAAGAATTAGTCAACCCACCCAACATCTTGAGATGGCCTGACAAATGACTCAACATGACTGAAAATGCCAGAGGAGCACCGCGCACCTCTCTAGTTTGTCGGTGGGTTCCCAGCCCAGCTTCTTCTCAATCTCCTTCTGCAGGTCGGCCACTCGGGCGCTTGGGGGCAGCGCCAGCTTGATGTCCTCAAGCACGTCCGTCTTGGTCTCCATGGACTCCTGAAGAACCCACATCCACAACTTGAAGTTATACGAAACATTCACCACGCTTGCCTTTAAATGGCAAGTGTGCGCTGTTAAGCCAGAGTCATGTACAGCCACTCATAGAAGCAAGATGGGCCTGCAGAGGAACTGCGGGCGGAGGCTGCCGAAATTAGACACTTACTAAATCCGTGCTCGCAATATGCAAGCAAGACCCGATCAACCATGGGCATGGAAACCAATGAGATGTGCTAAACCACGCCCCGGCAATTGGGAATCTGACTCATGCTGATACAGAGGCAAGTCTGCTCTCATCTCCAATCTCCAATCAGTCTCAAATCCATTGTTGCTATCATCTGCACGTTGGTAGATTTTCTGGCTCCCGATGTTGCAAAGAGCACAACGGAAGGTTGAGACACAGGAGTTCCTTGGCAGAGCTCCCTGGTTATTCTGCAGACATGGCAAAGCAAAGCCGTGTGATTGCGCTGCGCAACTTGCCTTCCAGTACAGGGACCACTTGTCCTTCTGCAGGCGGGGCTTCACGGTCAGCTGCAGATTTTTGGCGCCTCCAAGCAAGCGCAAGGAGAGGTCCAGAGTGCTGTCTTCCAGGATGCTGTACGTGCTCAGCATGTGTGCGTCCGAGAGCTGCTTCCCCGCATAGCTAAGGCACTGTTCACTCGCCAAGATTCCTGAAACAAGTTCGAAGGCTCAATCTCCCTGATCGTTTTGAGCAAAATGGAACTGATGAGGCAGAAGCGCATCGGAGTGCAGTGCAATGCTCTGCCGGATTTATCGTTGTCTATTATTCAGAAATTCTTCACCTGTCGCTTCCTCGACGTTTGTACGTAGAGACTCGACGGTTTGGCATGGCTCAAAATTTAGGGATACAGTCTTGTCACCCCTAACAAAGATCTTCATCTTTCGGAGCACAGACACCCCTCTCAATGCTCGCCTTATTTCCGCCAGTCCTGTCAAGACAAGATAGAATTTTCAAAACAAATTGAATTGAATTGGACAGACTGGAGAACGTAATTGCTCGCTCGCCTATGTGTAACGACTCCGTAACGCCAGCTGAGGAGATCACGTAACCACGATCTCCCAGCTTTGAAAGACTTCGGAGACAGGATCCCTTGGAACATATCTTCGACCAAATTAAAAGATTCTGCAAGAAATGTACAAAAACTCTCACAAACAGACCATGAGACAAGAGTAGATCCTGTAGAAAATTATTACAGGATGAATGGAATACAGAGGCCGAGGTACGACGCAGCATTGCTGAAGATAAGCAACATGTAGTACTTAAGATCAACTTAATATTATCCTTCAATCGTTTTTCGCATTGTCTGGCGAGGGCATGCTTTGATTCTGTGAGGGCGTGTGAACTTGCCAGTTCAATATCCTCTGAATGACCATCCTTCATTGGCAGGCGTGCAAGTCCTCCAAGGCCGAGCTTGATGGTGGGAGACATGGATGCCTGCCGAGCGGCATTTGTACCCCTGCAATCAACCTGCTCGGCTCTCCTAGCTCAGAACGCAGGTGAGGCCGATCTGTCTTGGCAGTATTATGTGATGTGGTGTTATTGACCCCTGTCTGACTGCTGCCTTCACTGTGAAACTATACACCAACCCCCTGTCCTGATGGGGTTCACTGCTCTATGCAGGGCACACGCAGTGGGAAGATACTGTGCCTCGCTTCAGATCTCTGCGCGAGTCTCTGCTGTCACATCAGGTGACCTTCAATGCTGACATTCCCGACACACAGCCAGGCTCAGAAAGTCTGACAATGTTCTCAACGGCATCGCAGTTCATACAGTGATGTCTGTTGTTGTGAGTGCGAAAGGGTTAGTCCCAAGTACTGACAAATGCCAGGGCTGAGGGCTCATTTGAGTGGCAGATAATGTAGCAAATGCCAAGTCTTACACACCATGGGTGCATACTGTGTCAGGCGGTGACAGGGCATGAGGGGGGGTCTGAGCAGCTCAAAAACAAAGTATCACCCAAGTGTAATGCATGCTTGATCAGGTAGTGGACGAATTCACAGTGGCGGCTCTGGAGGCATCATCGGACGCATGCCTTCGCGCGCGGAACTTCGCAGAGTTCCTCAAATCCACTCAGCACCTTGTGCTCACAGCCTACCCGCTGCTGGCTGCCCGCCACCAGGTGTGACCCTGCCAGCTCCTGTACTTGCCACTTCATTCATTCAGTGCAGGAGATTGCCTGTCGCCCGGGAGCAGCTTTTGAACGCACCATTGCACAGATATTATCCTTGCGGCTACATGCAGCTGACCTCTACACATGCAAATAGAGGCATTGCGTTAGCAGCAGCCTTAACAGCGCATGTGCAAGCAGGTCTCAGCAAGGAAGTATTCATCTTTTAGAAGTATACATGCGCTTGGTAGCACTATTATGTCAAGAATAACAAAGTAAGAATTAGCACATGTCCCGTTGCTACACATACATGGCTCCGGCTGGCGGGGGCCTGTATAAACTCTCAGCACCTTTCCCAACGTTGATTGTTTTGTGCTTGAATGTGGCGAACCCAATAAGGGATAGAATTTTGGCAGCCTCTAATTGCAGCTTGTCTGCAGGACGTACCTTGCCTTTAGGCGGGAAAAGCACATAGAAGATGAAATAACAAGGACAACAACAATGATGAATAAACGTATTGCAAATTTTATTAATAACAAAGATGCTAGTCATAATAGTAATGTGAGTAATTGTACGTAGTAAAAAATAAAGGCTGGACAGGTGGCGGAGCAGCTGGAGAGCTTGAGCATGGCAGGCGGCGCGGCGAGGGAGGCAGGCAGGGCGTCAGAGGGCGTACCTGCCAGCCGTCAGGCCGGTAGCGCGGTTCTGGCTCGGTGGAATGAATTTGCCGGGGCCTTCCTCCTCTACTTTGTGTGCATCCCGCCGAGCCCTCAGGTAGGACATATCGTCACCCGCCTTAATGTGCTCCCTCCTTTCAAAGCTGTTGTGGAAAGCTGTTCAACGTGGGCCCATATTCCGCAGTTCTTCTTGCAATGGGTGTGGCACTTCATGCTCCTTTTACTTCTTCTACACTGTTTGGCATTGCTTGAGATCGCCTCCAAATGTCCTCCGTTAAGGCCTGGTTGCAATTGCAGCAAAAAATTGCGGCTCCACATACAACAAAATCAAGTGGGTGAACAGTGGCCCGCTTGTAGCTGCAAATGATATATTTTCTGCAGACTCAAGAGAATCCTGAGGTATGGCATGCATGGCAGAGTCTGGATGTGTCAGCGGTGCTGAGGCGGCTGCCCCACAGTCTGCAGAGGTGTCCGGAAGTGGCCTTTGCACTGCGAGTGCACCTTGCTGTGACCACCAGAGACTGCGCGGAGTTTCTTCGAGCCCACTCCCGGGCCGGCTGGGTGCAGCAGGCGCTCATGCAGCCCAAACTGCAGCAGGTCGGTGTCTTGCCATGCCCTGCAATTTGACGGGCTCTGTGGTGCTTTATAAAAAACGTGATGTCATGAACACAAGTTGAGGTTTCAGTTAGCTGCTTGGTTCTAATTTCTGGCGGGAACACTGCGTTATTGTATGATAGGGCCCTTGGTGTAGAGTCTCTAGATCACTGTCCTTCAGACGCTATGATTATGACATAGAAAGCCCAATTTCGTGTGTTGTACGCACTAAAATGTGGCATGTCGCAGCTGTGCAATCCTGTTGGGATGTTTTCGGACCCTCTGAGTCCATGAGGACCCAGCTCACTGACATCTGCGCTCTCCCTGCTGGCATGAATCTACCATGCATGCAAAGCTCTGTAGCATCGAACGTATTGAAGAAAGTCAAACAGCTTGAAATATGTTGGTCGCAGATGCGCGAAGGGGCAGTGGAAATGGTGGGATCCGCCTACCGCAGTCTCAGCTGCACAGCTGCGCGGCAGCTGCTGCACTTGCCGGCGCATGGAACGCCCCCAGACCGCGACCTGGCCGCCATTCTGAAAGCCTGCGCCGATCGCGGCAACGGCTGCGCTGCGCGCGCTCTGTCCTCCATGCAAATGGCCGAGCAAGATGCGGAGCAGGCGCTACTGTTCAGGTCTTGAGAGGTCAAGGACCAAGTACTGAAGCTCTGCGCAATTTTGTGTCATTCTGCGTGCATGTGAATATGCATCGACAGCGCCGTTCCAAGTTGGTTATCAATCAGTCCTGATTGTGATATGTGGTTTTGTGTGACGCGTTGAACTGATGTGAATGTCAGAGTTTGCTGAACAGCTTTGCAGCCAAGACAGAAATCTTGTAAATAGCACCCACAATTCTGACAAGCGCCAGCTCTACTGGCAAACTTTCTCTTCTCTCTTTGAAAGGAGGGAACAGGTTTGATAGACTGAGATTAGCAACCCCTCATGACCTCTCTGGTTGCATGTGCCTGGACAGCTAGAAGATGGACTGTTTGTATTTCAATCAAAGCTTCTCACAGCAGCCAGGCGGCAATTTGTTGCCCGCTTAGAGCTTGGCTTGGCCCTGCTGCTCTTTGCGGCGCACAGCGTTCTGCACCGCCCTGTCTAGGGTGGCGTGCAGCGCGGTGTAGTGCGGCTCCAGCTCAGCGCTGACCTGGCCCATCCATGCGCGCACTTTTGGGAAGGCTGCCAGCTGCTGCTCTAGGCTGGGACCCTGCGCATGATCAACACCATGGTCTCCTGAAAGCCAAACTTCAACATTGAAGAAATGAGCATGAGGACAGCAATAACGCCGAAGTTAAGTCATGCATGCAACACAAAAGCCAGTGGCCATGCATGCGCCTTGCAATACACTGCCTCAGCAGTCACCAAACCATGTGAGCCTTGTGAGACGAGCTAAAAGAGTCCTAGGCAAGGCACATGCAAACAAGAGCTCCTTGCTCTTACTTGCGCTGTCCCCGGCGCATAGCCTATGTTCAGATAGGTTTGCCCAAATTGCCATTTTGCCAATCTATTGCAATACGACCGCACCTCTGTTGCGCCATCCAGCAGCCGCAGCGTGACCAGCTCTGTGAGGATGGGCAGGTCTGCCAGGCTGA